TACAGGGAAGTGCAGCCGGTCAAGGTGGGCAGGGCCCAGCCCCCTCCCAGTACAGGGGAGGAACTGAGGCGGGGGGGGGGGGGGGGGGGGGGGTGGAGCTTGCTCAAGGTCATGCAGGGAGCGCGGGGAGCCCAGGCCCCTCTGCCCACCGTGACCCCCATCCTGTGCACATGTAAGGACGGCGTCCTCCTGGCCATGCATGTTTGTACGTCCGTGTATGAAATAAACATCTCATGAGACGCGAGTGTGTGTACCGTCTGTGCATATACATGTGGGCGCACAGCACACACGCATGCCCGCATGCACGCCCTCGCCCCACAGGACACCCTCGTGCCGGGACCCGTGAGGGCGCGGACAGAGGCTTGAGCGGGCAAAGATGTGCCCACAGGCACAGTTAGTGAGGGACAGGCACGGACCCCAGAGCCTGTGCTCTTCGCCCCCGACCTGGGCTCCTGCTCCCTGCGTGTGCACACGTGGGGGGCGCGGGCTGCCCCTCTCGCCCAGCACGCCCCCTGCCTGCGGGTGCCGGCCGGCATGCGGACGCAGAGCCGGGCAGTGGGGCAAGTAGAGTTGGCAGTGCAGGCGCCCTCCTCCCCCACACGGGCCAAGGGCCACCGAGTGCCCCAGGCTGAGGAAAGGCCTCCTGGGAGGCCTTGCCCGCGCGCGGGCGCAGACTCGGGTGGCTAGAGACCCTCCGGGGCACGACGCCGGGCCCTGCCTCTGGGCTCCGGGAGCAGGGGCAGCGCACACACTGCGCGTGTGGGCTGTCGTGTTGTGACCGGTGTCTGTGTGCCTGTGACCTCATCCCGGGGATGTTCTCAGAGTGTCTTTGCACAGGTGTGTATGTGCATCATATGCTGTGTCCAAAGTACACGGGGACTTGTGTAAGCAGATACCTACAGGGTACACGCTGAGCTGGACCGGTGAGCACAGCTTAGTGTGTCTTTGGACACAGAGAACATGGAAAGCCCCGCCTGCCATAGACAGAGTGTTTCTGTGTGTATGTGTCCACATGTGTGTGCTTTTGTACACTTCACTACATACAGGATATGTAAATTCAGTGTACAAAATATTCTTGTTTATTGACAACATACATGTGTATGCCCAGTACATGTATATAATACAACACACAGTGATCAGTGTGCTCCATGTGGGTCCAGCGACTCTGCAGAATAGTTTTGCACATGGGGTATCTGTGTATAAACCATGTACATGCATTGCCACAATGGACTCTACCCATGTGTGTACACACTGCATACAGAGTAAGCATGCACACAAAAATGTGTGCCTTTGACATACCTGTACAGAAAATTGTATGCAGAGAACATGTATGTAAAACAACGCTCCAAAGTGTGTGTGCCAGCAGGTGGTGTCTGTGCACACAAACCCATGCATGTGCCATGGTGCCCACAGAGCGGGCGACTGTGCAAAGCCATGTGCATGTGCATCTCCGTGGGACACGCGCCGTGCCCGTGCCTGGGCAAGCATGCATGCGCACACATGTGGAGCTCATGGGCCGAGTCCATGGTATACACACCATGTCCTGTGCATGTGGCTGGTATGTATACATGACATGCGTTGGACCTCAGGGAAACGCAGCATGCTTGGTCCAGGCAGGACACATGCATGTACACATCTGGGACATACGTGTGCACATGGGAGACCTGAGCCCCTGCCCCTGGGGCCTGCGCTGAAGGGAGGAGGGCAAGGAAGGGGCAGGGGCGGAGCTGCAGGGGCCCGGCCAGCGGCGGGGGCCCAGGCTGCGCTCTCCAGCCCTGAGGAGCCCTGAGCCACCTGGGGTGGTCGGGCCCAGCCTCATCCTTCCTGCGGAGCACCGGGGGCATTTCGGGCTCCACTGGTGACTCCGTTTTTGCAGTGTCCTGCCCGGACCAGCTGTGTGTCCAGGGGTAGGAAGCGGTTGTCCTGAGGGGACCCCATCGAAGGCTGGGGACGCAGGAGAAGGGGTGATTCCCAGTGTTGTCGGCCCCATGAGGCTGAGGCGCCCTGGGTGCCGATGGCCCATGAAGGGCGTCCTCTCCTGGGGGCCTGGCAGCTGCTTGCTGCTCAGTCCAGGCGGCGATCGATCATCTTCTGTCACTCATTGATGATTCCTAATGGCTAATGACACATTGATCGGAGAAGCCAGGTCAGGCAGTCCTCACTGACTGACCCGTAGAGGCCTGCCTGCTGCCATCCCCTGGGCTGGGGTCAGGGCTCCGGACGCCCCTGACCCCACTGGGAGGGAGTCCCCGTGGGTCCAGTGTGGGCGCAGCAGGGGCCAGAGGTCAGGAGGACAGGTGGGGTTTCCCTTTTCTGTCTCTCTTTGGTGGAGAGCGGAGGGAGGCCGGGGGTGGGGGCGGGAAATCGGGGCCTGGCTCCACCCAGGACCAGGCGGAGGTGTCGGCCTCTCGCTGAAGGGAGACGGGAGAAGCAGGTCTGGGGAGGGAGGACCTATTTTTAGGTGAGAGTTTGAGGTGTCTGTAGATCCCACGTGGAGACGCCAAGCAGGCGCTGGAGCTCAGAGCAGACGTGTGGGGTGTGGGGTGGGCGGCAGGAACTGCAGGAGGTGGGGTGGAGAGTCGGGGAGCCAGCAAAGGGGTGCGGGGAAGGGGGGAACCAGGAGAGGCAGCCTCCCGGGCAGGAGGCCCCCGGCCGGCCCCTGTGCTGCCGGGCAAGAAGAGGCGCTGTGGCGGCGGGCAAGGGGGCTGGAGGCTGAGGGGGTGTGGGCGCCGCCGTGGCTCGGTTTCCAGGCTCCCTCGACAGTGGGGGCGGGGGGGGGGCGGGGATGAGCCCGGAGCCTGTTGCCCCGGGTGTGGCCTGCTGGGCAGGGCCACACCGTCTGGGATCACGGGGCCCCCAGGGCTTCCAGGAGGCGGAGGGTATCCAGGCGGGTCTGAGGCTTGAGAGGCCTTGTGGAGAGGGATTGACCGGGACCTCAGAGGCAAGCGAGGGTCCAGTAGCCTGAGTCCCGCCAATGGGGGGGGGGGCTGAGAGGCACAGCCCAGGCCCTCGTGGGCAGGGGAGGGGCCACGGTCCCGGGAACCCCGGAGAGCTGACGCAACGTCGGCCCAGCGTCCATCCGGCGCAGCAGAGCGGCTGGAGGACATGCAGATCCATGCAGGGCATAGGCCGGGGGCGCCCCTAGGGGAGGGGATGGAAGGATGGGGTGCGGGACGGAGAACCAGAGAATCGGGGCGGAGGAGGAGCAGAAGGAAGACCTGAGGCCCAGGGCAGGCTGACAGCGCTCGGCTTTGCCTGGAGCGGCAGCTGAGGAAAGGGCTGGTGAGTGTCCGGCGGGAGGCGCCGCACCAGCCCCGTGTCCAGCAGGGCGGCTGCGACCCTGCCGCCAGCCAGGGACGCCCCGCCCTGGGCCCTCACCCGGGACTGGTCCACCTGCACTGGCCCTGCGACGCCATCAGGGTCAGTGATGAGCCTCAGGCCGCAGAGGAGGGAGGGCAGACGCACCCCGGGCCAGCTCCCGGCCTTCTCTCTGACCACCGACGTCGCACACTCCCACCCTCGGGCAGCCTGCGCCTGGGGAAGGGGGCCCTGGGCGAGGCGCAGGCCCCTCCGGACCTCAGCTCCCACAGGGGCTGCTTCCAAGACCCCAGCAGGGATCCCCGCGCGCCCCGCGGGAGAGGTGCCAGCCCGCCCTGCCGCCCCCAGGCACCACATTCACTACGTGATCCCGTACGACGGGGACCAGTCAGTGGTGGACGCCTCCGAGAACTACTTCGTGACAGACAACGTCACCAAGCAGGAGATCGACCTCATGCTGGGGCTGCTACTCGGTTTCTGCATCAGCTGGTTCCTGGTGTGGATGGACGGCGTCCTGCACTGCGCCGTGCGCGCCTGGAGGGCCGGCCGGCGCTACGGTGAGTGTGGCCCGGACGCGCGGGCCCGCCCCGCCCCGCGAAGCCCCACCCACCACACCCAGCCGAGAGCCACGCCTCCACACAAGAGCCACGCCCATCCGCGCCCCGCCCGCCCAAAAGCCCTGTCCCACCCTGACCGCCGACCACGCCCCTCAACGCCGCGCCCCAGCCGTGTCCCCGCCCAGGTCAAGCCCCACCCACCACGCCCGGCCCCAGGCTGCGTTTCGCGCCAAAGCCAGGCCCCCCCCCGGCCCCGCCCCGCCTGACGGCTGCCCTGGCCACGCCCCCCTCAGATGGCTCGTGGACCTGGCTGCCGAAGTTGTGCAACCTGCGGGAGTTCGGCCGGCGGCCGCACAGGCCCTTCGAGGAGGCGGCCGGGAACATGGTGCACGTGAAGCAGAAACTCTACCACAACGGCCACCCGAGCCCGCGGCACCTTTGAGCCGCGCGCAGGACTCGCGGGGCCGCCGGCCTCGGCGCCCACGTACACGGGACTGGACGGCGGCCTGGGCCAGGGCGCCCCGGCCGCCGGGCGTGTCCAGCGGAAGGTGCTGTCTCCTCTTCTTTTTATAAAGGGGTCGGGTTGGGGCCGGTCTGGGGGCAGGACCCCGGTCTCCAGGGCCAGGTAGGGTGCGGGGCTCGGGGCGGCAGGGGCCCCGCGTCCTGCAGCCCAGCCTGCACCTGGCCTGGGACCACGTCTGTTACTTAAAACCGGCTGTTTCCTGTGCGCCTGTGTCCTCCCCGTCCCGGCGGAGGGGAGGCCGGGCGATGGTCTGGGCAGGGCAGGGCAGGGGGCCGGACCCCGGCCGCACCCACGTCTGCACACGGGAGCATGTGCATGGGGCGTGTGCGTCCGCGGGCCGCAGTGGGGGGTGGGGGGCAGGGGTCGGGTCGGCCCCGGCCTAGCAGCAATAAGGCCCCTGGGTCACGCTGTGGCAGGCAAGTGCGGCCACTCTGCCCAGGGCATCCCCGGTGAGCGCCTCACTGTGACCCCCAACCCTGCTGGTCAGTAAATTCTCCAGAAAGCTCCAGCCTCCGCCTCTTCTTTCGCCTCTGGCTTGGCGGCCCCTTCAAACGCTGCCCCGCACGTGAGCCAAGAGGCAGACACTGAGGTGTGACGTCAGCGAGTTTATTAGGTTCCGGACAGAGCGCCCAGCTCAGCGGCGGGCGGGCGGGCGGGCGCAGGCCGTCGGGGCCAGGGCCCTTCTCCAGCACGGGGCGGCCCTCGCCGGCGGGCGGGCGCCTCCAGTCCCGGGCGCAGCCCCCCGCAGTGCAGGCACCCAAGGGCACAGTGTTGCGTGTGGGTCGAAGACGAGAGGGGCACCCCGGGGGGGCTGCTCTGGTCCCGGTCCCGGTCCCAGGTGAGGCTGGCCAGGCCCGGCTCCCACCCCGCTGGGCAGGGCCAGCTCCGCCACTGCCCCCGGGCCAGACACCTCCCCGGAGTGTCCTGGGCATGGCTCCGGCCTGAGCCTCCCCAGCCGAACCCACAGCTTGGAAGACCCCACGGCCGCGGCCAGTCCTGCAGAGGCCTCCAATGCTGCCCTCGCCCCGACCGGAGGGATATAAAAAATGTCGGGGGGTGGGCAGCTGTGCAGCACCCCGTGCCTCCTCTTGGTGACGTCCCGGCCAGTGAGCCCCTGGTGTCGAGGCTCTGCTCACTCGGTCCTTGCACTGGGGAGCGGGGGCTGGCTGCCCTCCGGCCCCGCTCCCTTTGCCTTCAGCCACTCCATCTTCTGCTGGTGCTGCTGGATGGCATCCCGGACCCGGGCGTCCATCATGGCCTCGGTGAGGACCCCGTCCTCCGAGGCATACGCCATGGCCTAGTGGGGAAGGGGAGAGCTGAGGCAGGGCGCCCGCGGCCACACAGCTGGAGGCCAGGGCCGACCAGGGATCAGGCAGCCTGGCTGGCCGCCCCCCACTGCCTCCCCCGCCCTGCCCACAAGCCCTTTTCCTGGAGCTGCGCCCCATCAGGATGGGGGCCGGCAGGAGCCACGTCCGGGGTGCTGAGTCCACCAGGGCACGCACGTGTGCCCGCACACACCCGCTCACGGGAGTCCACAGCCCAGAGCGGGCGCCACCCCTGCACCACCCACGGGCCCGGTCCCTCACTCCACAAGCTCCTCGGTGACTTTCTGAAATCAGAAAGCCCCAGGCTGGGGCTCAGGAAGCGGCCCAGCCCCCGCCGCAGACAACCAGGAGGGCCTTGCCTCTCAGACAGAGCTGCCTGCGGCGGCAGGGCCAACGGCAGAGCCAGCGCCACGCTGGGGGACAGTCCACTCTGACGTGGCCGGGATGGCAGGGTCCCCAGGCAGAGGGCATCCCAGAGGCACCAGCCACTCTGCTGGGGTCAGAGAGGCCCCGCCGGGCCCAGGCCCCGAACACTGAGCCGCCCAGGTCCCCCAGGACCTGCCTCTCACAGGGCCCCGCCGTCCGTGAAGTCCTTCCAGCACTTCAGGCCACGAGAGCCAGCCGCTGCCCGGCCGCTCTGCCCTCCCAGCACCCAGGACTCCCCGCCCCGAATCTGGACCGGCACCTGGGCGGGACACCGAGGTTTTGCTAACTAGGCCCCAGTACCCCACCTGCTCCCTGCCGCCCCACCTGGCTGGGACCAGGCCTGCTGTGAGGACGGCACTCAGTGCCCAGCAGGCAGGGCCCGCGCCGGTGCAGCTGCGTCTCTGCAGCCGTCCGGCGGCCTGGGCCCACGTGGGCCTTGGGAGCGCCCTCCCGTCGCCTGGGGCCCAGCCGCGCTCTCCACCTTGCTCAGTGCCCAGCCTAGGCCGTGAGGGGGCCTCCCGTGAGGAGCACATGGGCCCCGAAAAGCAGCAGAGATGGGGTGACCCCACAGGGGGACACCCCAGCCCGGGGGCCCCCGTGGGTCGGGCCTGGAAGCAGCCGGAGGCTTCGCTGGCAGGAAGGGACAGGGACGGAACCCGGATCATCTGGGCAGCAGTGCACCCCGAGGGGGAGGGCAGGCCTTAGTGACGTGCGCCCAAAAAACCGAGAAGGAGAAACCAGGGACTCGACCACGGAGAACTATGGCACCACCTCGACCGGGTGATCCAGCACCACACCCTTGATGCCATGTGGACATCAGGTGCCCCCGAAACGATGTGACCTCACCTCTGGGGTCTCCTCCCCCAAAGCCCGCAGTCCCAGGGCGATCACGAGGAAAACAGCCAACAAACCCAACAGGAGGAGCTGTGTGCGACCAGCACCGGGCCGGCGCAACCCTGCCAGGGTCACCGAACACAAGGGACGCCCGAGGACTGTCACAGCCCAGAGGGGCCCGAAGCGGCGGCACGACCAGATGCTGGGGCACCCGGTTGGGTCCTGGGGAAGGTCAAGTCCAGGGGAACTGCGGTGATGAGGCTCGGCTGCGGGTGCAAGGGGCCGGGCAGGGCCCGGCCGCTGTTCTGTGGACCTGCAGTTACTCAAAACCAAAGAGGTTTTAGAATGAAAAAAAAAAAGGGCCGCCCGGGACCCGCCGGCCTCACTGGCGAGGTCTGCGCTCGCTCTCACAGAACCGGTGCAGCGGCTGGCCTCCGGCTCTCCCAGAAGGCGGGGGCGGAGGCTTCCTGCCACCCACCCACGCGGAGGCCGCCGTCCCGGCCAGAGGCTGGACAGGGACCGGCAATCGCGACCAACACGCCTTGTAAGCACAGACGTCCTCAACAAAGCACCCAGGAAGGGCCAGCACGCGGCGACCAGGGGACCCTTCCAGGACTCGACACAGGAACATCAGCAGCCTCATGCGCGCCATCGACAGGATGGAGCTCGAAAGCCCACCGTCGCCTCGGGTGCGGCCGGAAGAGCACTTGGCAAAACCCGGCTCCCTCTCCATGAAAATGCTCGACAAACCAGGCAGAGAAGGAAACATCTTCAATATGAGAAAGGCCACAGGTGGAACACCCCCAGTAAACGTCTATCAGCAGTGAAAGCCTGAAACGGGAAGAAGACAAGGATGCCCACCCTCACCACCTCTATCCAACAGAGCACTGGGCCTTCTAGCCAGAGCAATAAGGAAGGGAAGGGGAAGGGGAAGGGGAAGGGGAAGGGAAGGGGAAGGGAAAGGCGAAGGGAAAGGGGAAGGGGAAGGGGAAGAGAAGGGGAAGGGAAAGGCGAAGGGAAAGGCGAAGGGAAAGGGGAAGGGGAAGGGGAAGGGAAGGGGAAGGGGAAAGGGGAGGGGAAGGGAAAGGGGAAGAGGAGGGGGAAGGGAAGAGGAAGGGGAAAGGGGAGGGGAAGGGGAAAGGGAAGGGGAAAGGGGAGGGGAAGGGAGAGGGGAAGGGAGAGGGGAAGAGGGGGGGGAAGGGGAGGGGGAGGAGGAAGGAAAAGGGTAAGGGGAGGGGAGGGGAGGGGGAAGGGGAGGGGAAGGGAAAGGGGAAGGGGAGGGGAGGGAGGGAAGGGAAGGGGAGGGAAGGGGAAGGGGAGGGGAGGGGAGGGGAAGGGAAGCAGAAAAAGAAAAAAAAGAAACAAAGGGACCCAGATTGGAAAGGAAGAATAAAATTGTCTGTTGTACTGGTGACACGATCCTTTACGGTGCAAATCCTAAATAATCCTCCAAGAAAAGGTTGAAACAATTCAGCAAATTTGCAGGACACAAAATCAACACACAAAAACCATTTGCATTTCTATACAGTACCAACGATCAATCTGGAAAGTTGAGAAAATGTTTCTCTCACTTTCCCTCTCTAAAAGTAAATAAAGTCTTCATAAAAGAAGAAAATAATTCAACTTACAATAAAATCAAAAAGAATAAAATACCTAGGAATTAACTAAGGAGGTGAAAGACTTGCACACAGAAAACTATAAAACGTTGCTGAAAGAAATTAAGACACTGAAACACAAAGGTATGTGTTTGTTCACTGGGAAATTTAATGTCACAATGTCAAGACTACACAAAGCGATCTAGTGATACAGAAATTAAAAAAAAAAAAATCCTTGAAAATTCATGTGGCATCTCAAGAGACCCTGAGGAGCCAAAGCCGCCTGGAGTGAGGACGACGAAGCCGGAGGCCCCGGGTCCCCGATGTAAAGCCTAGTACCAGCCGCAGAGATCAAACCCGCGTGGCCCTGGCAGACGGACAGACACGGAGCCCAGAGGGACAGAGCAGAGGCCCCGAGGGGAGCCTCGCACCCGCGGGCGGACGGCTTCCAACACGGCGCCAGGCCAGGAAGGACAGCGCTTTCAACACACGGCGCGGGGGGACCTGGGCGTCCACACGCAGAAGTCATGAGACCCTACTTCATACCACGTGCAAAAACTTCAAAATGGGTCAAATACCTTAACGTCTAACATCCAACTGTACAACTTCAGAGGAAAACACAGGAGAAAAGCCTCCACACGTGAGGCTGTGATGACTTCCTGCCTGTGGCACTAAAAGCACAGGTGGCACGTGAAAAAACTGATAAAGTGACCTTATCAGAGCAACAAAACTAAGGGCTTGTGCATCGAAGGACACGATCAGCGGAGTTCAAGCGGCACCCACAGAACAGGAGACAGGCTCTGCGAATCGCAAGTCTGATAAGGCGTTTACTCAGAACACAGAATTCCTACCCCAACAACAACGCCCAACCCAACTCAAAGGCCAACTCAGCGAAGGCCTTGAACCACCGCGTCTCCAGGAAGACGCACGGGCGGCCAGAAGGCCCGTGAAGAGCCACTCGGCATCCCCGGCCATCAGACACCAGCGCAGGCCACAGGACGGGCGCTTGGCGCCCCGCAGAGCAGCCGCGCCCAGACAGGCAGGGAGCAGCACGTGCGCGGCCCCTGGCGCGCTGCTCGGGGAAGGCGACGCAGTGCGCGGAGCGACCACGGGACGCAGCAACCCCGCTGCCGGGCGCGTCCCCACGGGGACCAAGGGCCAGGGCCTGAAGACACACTTGCACGCCCACGTGCACAGCAGCACCGCTCGCAGCCGCCGAGAGGCGAGAACCCCCCAGGGTCCGTCCGCGGGTGACGAACAGAGCCAGTCTCGCTCGCTCCCTCTCACACCCCCCCACCCCGGGAACACCACTCAGCTTTAGAAAGGGGGCTCTGACAGGCGCGGATGGACCCGGAGGACGTCAGGAGGGCAGAGGCTGCGGGACTCCGCTCCCAGGAGGTCCCCAGAGTCCGGCCCGGGGACGCGGTGCAGACAGGGACGTGGACGGTCCTGGAGGAGAGGATGGTGACGGCCCCCCAACCGTGCTAACGTGCCCGCGGTCCCTGAGCCGTGCGCGCGGGAAGGGCTGGGCGGGAGGGCGGGCGGCACGTCCCCGCAGCGGCTCCAGGTGGCAGCTCCGTGGCCGCGAGCTCCGCAGCGGGACCCAGGCCACGCCACAGAGGGCGGGCGGGCAGCAGGGGCGGCCACCACAGCCAGCTCTGCACAGAGGGGGGTCGCCACGCGCCGTCCCTGCCTCCCACACGCAGTGTGTGCTTCCTCCTCCCCGGCGAGGGGCAGGGCCACCTGAGACGACCAGTCAGTGAACGTCACGCCGGGCGCGAGGACCCCTGGGCCCCGGGGGCCCACTCGCTGCCTCCCACACTCGTGTGGGGTCTGTGGGCCCCCAGCGCTCGCCGGCCAGACCCACAGCGGGACCGTCACCTGGCTTGACCACCAAGGTGTGAGGAAGCGGGAGCCTGGGTCTCGGTGCAGACACTGAGGGGCAGGGCATGGCCCGCCGGTAGGGACTGGGTGCCTGTCCCCGGGAGCCCTGCCTTGCGGGGCTGCGTGCGGAGGTGGGGCCCCTGGGATAGTTCGGTCGGGGGGTGCGGCCGGCACGGTGGGGCCGGACTCCTGCAGGACCGGCGTCTGCGTTCGGAGACACCAGGCAGCCCTCTGCGCCCGCCCTGGGCCCTCGGCAAGACAGGGGCCTCGTCAGACCCGCAGCACGCGGTGCCCTGGGCTGTGGCATCGGTCGTGACCCACCGAGCAACGACTGTCCTGCACTTCGGGGGCTGCGGGCACCGCCACGTCACAGGCCTGGGTCCTGCGCAAGGACAGTCTGGGGCTACTTGTCACAGCAGCACAACCCAGTCCATTCCGACACGGCCCCGGCCCGATGCTCAGCTGGAACAGGGGTGTGCTCGCTTCACGGAGCGCGGTCATCTGAACGCGCCGGCAAACCCCCAGGGGCCAGGCTGCCACACAGCCTGAGGGACGCTGGGGCCGGCCTAGACCCCAGGCCCGCAGCCGCCGCCGCCCAGCCGGGGCGGACGCCCATAGGAGGCCGCTGGGCCCTCCCAGAGGCGGGCGGACTCTCGGGGAGAAACGAGCACCCCGGCCTGTGTGCCCCGAGCCACCCTGCGCGCTCCGTGGTCGAGGCTGCCCGTGAGACCACGGCGAGCCCGCCCACGCTGCCACGCCCCGGAACGCACCAGCAGGAGCGAAGGACCCTGCCCGCCAGCCCGCCGGGGCACCACCCTACGCCGCTCAGGCCAGAGCCAGTCCCGGGCTCCTCACCGCGGGCCCCTGGCGGGACCAGAGCCAGCATGTCGTCCCCCGGCCCCCAGGGCCTGCGGGGCTGCTGTGGCACCCGCCCTGGGCCCGGCTGGGACGGTCCAGCCGTGGCCGAGACCCTGAGCCCAGGGGACCGCGACGCCCACACAGCGCGAGGCTCGTTTCCAGAGGCCCCGTGTGACTCCGAGCCCCCGACCGGGACGGCCGTGATGAGGGCCCCGCCCCGCCCTGTCCGCCGCGACGGCACAGGCAGGGGTGGCCGGGTGGCCGGCGGCGGGCCTCGTCCCTGCTGGTGTCTTTCCAGAGAGGCAGCCCGGGGCGGGCAGGGGTGGGCAGAGGCAGCCCGCGCCTCCGCGACTCTGGGGGCCCCCGCATTGGTGGCGCACGTGCCCGCTCACCTGCCACGCCACAGCGAGCTGGGCGATCTCCCGGCCCGACATGCCCTCCGTCAGCTGCGCGATCTCTGAGCACTTCTTCCCGTAGTCAAACTGGGCCAGCCTCAGGCGCCTGGGGACGGGGGTTCCCGGGTGACGGGGCGCCCCAGGGCTCGGGCAGGACCAGAGGCCTGCGAGGGCCCCAGGACGCCCCATGGAAGGAGGGCGGAGCCTGCGCAGGGGACCCCAGGCACCACACGCCCGCCCTGCCTGCCCTGGTGGGCACTTGCTCTCCTCCCGGAGCCCACGGGGGAGTTCCAGGCGGCGAGGGGGGCGCCCCCCAGGCAGTGAGGTTGCTGGGGTGATGAGCGGTGGGGCAGCTGCCGTCACAGAAGGAGGGTCCCACCCCGCCCTGGGGCAGGGCCGTCTCTCTCACACCAGGCCCTGCTCCAGGCCCCAACCGTAGGGCAGCCACAACTGCGTGGGGGAGGGGGGCTGGCGGACGAGCGGGCAGGAAACCAGAGGGAGGGAGACCGAGGCTGAGCCGGAGCGAGGCTCACGCTGGGACCCCAGGCGTGCGCCGGGCCTTCCCCGGGGGTCTGGCTGGGGTCCAGGAGAACCACGGAGACCCACACCGCACAGCCTGTCTGGGCTGCCGCCCAGCCGGGCGGCCCGTGCGCAGCCGGGGTCAGGGAAGCAGCCAGGGGCACAGGGAGGCGGAGGCCCAGAGGGAGCTGGGGGCAGCAGCGCAGGTGGCAGACGGGCAAGTCCATCTGGAGCAGGAGCTGCTCGCTGCTGCCAGCGACAGCAGGATCCAGGCCAGCACCGCTGGGATCTGTCCCCAGAGACGGCGGAAATAGCCCAGCCTCGGCGCCGTATCTGGAGCGCCCCGGACAGAGCTGGCGTGCGCGCAGCCCGGACCCTGCGGAGGGCGCCCCCACCGGGGGGTTTGCGAAGGGGGCCTGGCTGCGTGCGGCGCAGGGCTCCTGGGGGCAGGGGGCTCAGGGCAACGCTGTGCCTGCGGCCAGACACCGGGGCCCTGGCGATGTGGGCCCGGCCGCGAGCTGGGACGTGTGAAGGCACCGCGTGTAACGGGGAAGGGCGGAGAGACTAGCCGTGCAGGGTGACCGGCTGTCAACTTCAGGAGCTGGCGAAGGGCTGGGCGCAGCGCGGGGCTGGGCAGGCGGACGGGTGCAGCGGGTAGCGAGGGCCGGGCCGCAGGGGGACCGGGCGGCCGCGGCGCGGGGCCGGGCAGGCGGACGGGCGACAGGGCCTCTGGCGACGAAGCCGCCCTCGCCCCACCCCGAGACCCTCACAAAGCTGCAGGGTGAGGGCGGAGGCACAGCAGGTGAACCAGGAGCCGGGGGGGCCGAGGCAGCGTTGGGGGTGGCGCTGGGAGGACCGCGGCGTGACCGGGTGGGAAGCGACGGCGGGCTGCCCGGGACACTTACTGCTTTCCTTCTGTGGCTGGTTTAAGAACATACTTGTCAAAATACATCCTCACCAGGCGCTCCCGCTCCTCTAGCTGCGGCAGGGTGAAGCCGACGATCTCGTCTATGCGGTCGTTGACGGCCCAGTCGAACTGCTCGGGCTGGTTGCTGGCCAGGACCAGCATGAACCTGCGGCCGACGGACAGAGGGCGTGAGGGGCTCCAGGGCACAGGCGGCTTCCTAGCAGACTGTCCCGCCAGCTTTGTGAGGCCCTGCCTCGCCTTCCGCCGCCCTCCGTCCAACAGTTCTGCCTCGGCCCGATCCCACGCTGCCCCGGCCGGCGGCACAGGGTGGCTGGGGAAGCCGCGCTGTGTGCGGGGGGACAGGGGCCCGGGGGCTGAGACAGACCTGTGCCCTGCCAGCCAGAAGCCGTTTCGGGGCCGCGGTTCATCTGAGAAGGGCCCTGCCACCCTCAGCCCCCTGCCCCACCCAGTGCAACTCGGCCGGGACACATGCCCCTCCAGGTTCTCAGCCACAGCAAGTCAGGGTGACATGTCTCACCCCCTTGGAGGCCAGCCCCCCTCAGGGGACAGGAGGGGCCTCGCAGATGCAGAACAGTGTGACCAGGGGAGTGGGAGGGGCCAGCCCACGCCCAGGGCATCGGTGCCCCAGGGTACCCGGCTGTGGGGCCACCGCCCTGACAGCCCACCTCTGGGTGCAGCCCGAGGTGCCAGGGACAGCGACCTTGCCGCCAGCTCCGCCCGACTCCCGGGAAAGCCTCCTCAGTGGTGCCCAGGCACAGAGCAGGGACGAGGGTGCGGACGCAGCCGAGGCGCCGCGGGCACTGGGCCGGCAGGGGCCTGCCCGCTCCTGGCCCAGCCCGGCAGCAGCAGGGTGGGCAGAGGCCGTGCCTCGGTCTCCCGCCGTGGGAGGGTGCTGTGCGGACCGAAGGGGCCGAGGCAGGAAAGCGCTTTGCGCAGGCCTGGGGCCAGCGCGGCCCGTACTTGCTGCTGTGCTGGCCCGTCCGGTGCAGGAAGGCATTCAGGGTGGCCCTGAGGTCCTCGCTGATCCTTTCCTGCAGAGGCAAGTTCCAGCATCGGGCACGAGCCGCCGGCCCGAGCGGCGGAGCGCAGCGAGCAGCCCCCGGGGACCGTCACAGTGAGCAGGGGCCCCGACGCAGGGACAGCACCGGGTTCGCGAAGAGGCTGCAAAGCGCCACAGGAGCGGCTTCTGCTTTTCAGGTGGAATTTTAAAAGCCAGCCCCACTGAGGAGCAGGCACGGGCCAACCTCGGCCACAAGCATCCCGAGAGCGGGGACACGGCCGGGCCCCAGGTCGGCCGGAGCCCCCCCACACGCCCAGGCCGCCGCCCGACAGCGCTTCCCCAGCACTCACGGTCGCTCGCTTCCTGAGGAAGGCGTCTGCTTCGTCCACGAAGAGGAGGAGGCTGTGGAGGCAGGGGCTGCGTGAGCGGCGGGAGGGGGTCCGGCACACGCGCTGCCCCTTGGGGCGGTCGGGTGCTCAGGGACCACAAGCACGCGCCGCCCTCAGCTCTTTGGAAACCCAGCCCTCAACCCGGGACGAGGCATCAGCCAATGCCAGCGTCAGGAGAGCGGTTGGGACACACAGGACATCCTGCCCTGGCACTGAATGAGACACCTGGCCCCCAGCAACCGTGCTGTGGCAAACGTCGCACCCCACCGGCCACTGCCGGGCCACGGGGACACAAGGACAGGCTGCAGGGAGAGTCAACGACCCCTCCCAGCAACAGCACGGTGGCCGCTGGGGCGGAGCTGGGCGTGGCAGTGCACACACAGAGCGGGGGCCAGGAGGTGCCCGCTTACCCTCGCCGGCTGGTGCTGGCCCAGTCGAAGACCTTGTGCATGGCGGTCACACCGTCCCGCCCCATGGGGGCCACGTCCCCGCCTGTCATGATGGCGTAGTCCATGCCCGAGTGCAGCGCAAGTTTCTGGAGAGAAGGTGGGGGCGGGCTGGGGGGGCCAGCAGGGCCTTTTCCTCCCTTGAGGCAGGCGAGGCCACGCCTCCCCGTCTGGGGGCAGGCGCCCGAGAAGAGAGACGGCCCGAGGGGAGGGCTGCCCCCCAGCCCTGCCCAGGGCGCCCCGGCTGACGCCCCTCACCTTGGCAAACAGCGTCTTGCCGGTCCCGGGGGGCCCATACATCAGGACGTTCCTGTACAGGCTGCGGTTCTTCTTGGTATTCCTGGTCGCAATGGCGATATCCCGCACACGCGCCTCCAGGCTGGGCTAAGGGGACGGGGCGCTCGGTTGGGGAACGCCCGGCTGCCAAGCCTGTGCCTCCCGGGCACCTGGGCCCGCGTGAGAGCAGCGCCCGAACCCCCCGCCCCCGCCGGCAGCGCCACTTACACTGAGGACCACGCCCTCCAGGGCGTCCTGAGGGTGACTGAGGAGCCGCCTGCTGACCTGCGGGGGACGGACAGTCAGAGTCCTGGGGCCTTGGCCCAGCCCACCGTCCAGTCGCCAGAGCTGGGGCAGCCAGCCTGCCGCGCAGGCCGGGAAGTACCTAGGGACACGGCGGGGCGGGGCGGGGGCGGGGCGGGGGCCGGGCGGGGCGGGGCGGGGGCAGGGCGGGGGCGGGGCGGGGCGGGGCGGGGGCGCTGCACACAGGCTCACTGGTGGCCTCCCTCCTTCTCCTCCTCCTCCTCCTCCTCCTCCTCCTCCTGTTCCCCCTCAGTCCCCGCGCAGCCCCTGGGAGAACACGCCCCCTAGAGTCCACACGGGGCAGGACGCCCCTTTGGTGGGTGGGGGGCGGGGCAGCGACACAGTTACTTCCAGCAACTTCTCTTACAGGAAAAGGGCACACGGGAGTCCCAGCAGTTTGTAAACACCTTGGAGTCCACCCATGGGGACGGTCACACCAACAGACCCAGAGGTGACATGGTGTCTAGGGTGAGGCTCCCCCCAGCGCAGGCTCGGATGGACCCCCAGGGACAGTGTCAAGGAGGAACAAGTCAGAGGCAAACCCCACAGGCAGGAGAAAATGGACAGTGACTGAGAAAAGGAGGGAAGGAGGGCTCGGCGCTGGACGCGCCGTGTGGGCCGGACGCCCTCCAGCGGGGACCGCCGTCCCCAGCCGGGCCCCTCACCTGCAGGGGGTGCCGCAGAGCCTCCAGCACCGAGATCCGCGACGTCTCCCTCACCAGCGAGGGCTTCCCCAGCCGGGCCTCGATGTACCGCCCGGCCACCAGCGTCGCGTTCTTCGCAGAGTAGACCCCAACGGCCAGCAGCGTCAGCCCCGCCACCTGCAGCCGGCAGGCCAGAGGGAGGCGCGTGACCCCGCCCGCCCGCCCACCGCCCCGCGGTCGCCCCGAGCCCTCGCCGCCGCACCCCCTCCTGGGCCAAGTGCCTCCGGCAGAGGCCGCACGGCGCGTCTCCGCATCCCGCCCCCAGCAGCCTCGGCGTTGCGCCCCCGCGGAGGGCGAGTCCCAAGGAGAGCTCGACCCGAACTGCGACCCCGGGAACACTGCCGGAGGGTGCGCTCCCGCTGGGCCGGGGAAGCGCGCCGCCCACAGGAGCCCCGCCCGGCGGCTGGAGGGCAAACCCGACGCCAGGGCGGGAGCCGCAGAGGGCCTTCAGAACCAAGGCCAACGTCTGCAAATGGAACTAGAACTATTCCCCACAACACACACAGCTGGGCCACGGCAGGGAGACCGTGGCCCTGAGGCCACGCAAGCCAGGTCCTTGGCTGGGAGGGTGAGAAGACGGGTCAGAACCAGCAACCTCACGTCGCCCTGCTTCCCCCCGCCCCTCCCGCCCTCTGCGAGTCCGTCCGTCCGGCGTGGAAGATGCGCAGCCAGTTCACGAACAGGACAGACAGCGCGGCGGGCGGGGGCCCTGGGACCAGGGCGGACTCAGAGACGTAACCGGCACACACGTCTCGGGACCCTCCTGTGAACGAACTGCAGCAGCGTTCCTGGATCGGCGGGCGAGGTCTGGGCCGCTGAGCGAGACCACGGAGAGGAGTCGGCTGCCTAACGCACGACAGACTGCCCAGGGCAGCAGCCGCGCAGACGGGCGGAGCGCAGGGCCAGCCCCCCACCTGCCCCTCCACCTCAGCTGGGCTCCCCTTCTCCCGGTGCCCTGCTCAGTGGCCCTCGAGGCGGCTCCACAAGGGCCCCGGAACAGAACCCGCCCTCCCACGTGGGGTCAGCGTCCAGCCAGCACCGGAGAGGAGGGCGCGGACCATCAGGAGCCCAGGCTCCTGGAGCCGCCTCCCAGGTCAGAGTAGCCCAGACCCGGTCAGAGTAGCCCAGACCCGCGGGAAGCACAGCCACCTGTGCTCCGCCCCCAGGCGCCTGCCTGCCCCGCGGGGCTCTGCTCCGATGGACCCTCAGGGCCCTCTGACCTCCCACAGACAAGGTCACGACAAGGGCAGGACGGTGCTGGACCTGCAAGTGGGCAGTGAGCAGCAACCAGCATGTGTGCTCGGCCAAGCCCCAGGGACGTGACCTCTTAGACCCCGCCCTCACTCCCGCGAAGCTCTCGGTGGAGCTGGTGAGCAGGTCCGCGGGCCCCAACCGTGAGGCGTGAGGCGTGAGGCGCGCCTGTTTCCTCTGCAGCTTTCGGCGCAAACGCCCCTCGCTGAGGCCGTGGGAGGGCTGAGCGCTGCACGCAGCCTGGGCCGCTGCCTCGACCCAAACAGCCCAACTTTGTCCCAGGAAACGAGGCTAACCCAGAACCACCGATTCCTTTAAAACGCTAACCGGTCAGCGTGCCGGCCAGCGCCGACCTCCTCACATGACCGCTCCCCTCACCAGCACCGCCGCACAGAGACGCTCACAGGCTCCTCCCCGGGACCCCGTGTCCCCAGGTGGCATTCAGAGCACGACCACAGCAGCCCTTGTGAGCCGGGCAGGGACACCGAGGACGCGGAGCCAAACCTGCAGTCCCTGCAGGACACCCTGCGCCGGCCCCCGCTCCCGTGAGCCCTCTGAGCAGGGGCACGAGGGGGGTGGGAGGGGCGCCTTGCGGGAGGCAGGGCAGGGAAGGAGCGGACGCAGGGCGGTGGCTGGAGCTTCGAGCCGGCACCCCTGCCTCCAGGCGGCCCTGCCCGGGAGCCAGAGGGCCCGTGCCGAGGGCAGGGGCCCCGGCACGTCACTCTCAGCAGCCTGTGTGCGCTGGGACAGGAGCCGTGTCCCCCACGTCGCGGGCCCGAGGCAGACAAGTCCAGGGGCCGTTTCAGAACCCCCGGCCTGACCAGCTGCAAGGCCCCCGGACGAGCGGCTCCAGCTGTCCTCCCAGGACGGCCCAGTCCCTGCTGCTTCCCTCGGGGTCAGGCCTGACCTCGCCCCACCCTCCGTCCCCGAGCGAGGCTGGAACTGTGTCCAGGAACACGGGTGCCCCGGGCAGCCAGCTCCTCCTCACCCGCGGGCGGCCGTGTTGGGCATCTGCGTGCGTGCTCTCGGGCCCCGGGGCCCTGGGCCTCGGCCTGGAGCCTGGCGCAAGCAGCGCCAGGGAGCGGGGTGCTGCCGGCAGTTCCTCACTGAGGCCCCCGCCACACAGCTCAGCGCACAGATGAAGGCTCTCGAGTGGGGGCACCAGGCTGACCCCTGCTTCCCACTGACAGCAGAACCCCGAACAGAAGCACCGTTTGAAGGGGGCTCCCCAACAGGGCGTCTGACTGGTCCCCTTGTCTCAGGTGGGTCCCGCCGCGGAGGCTGCCGACCGAGAGCAACGGAAGACGAAACCCGAGCAGCCCCTCCCCACGATGCCCTCCCCCGACACTGCCCACACTGACCCCCTTGTCCCAAGCGCCCGATCCTGATCTCGGGGCTCCGTCAAGCCGTGTGTGGTGGGGGCAGCGGGGGGACCAGCAGCCACCACCTCATGGGACAGGGACGAGACCCAGCAAAGGCCCCCACAGGCCCCGTGGTGGCAGCGGTGCTTACCGTGGCTGTCACCTTGTCCCAGTCTGTCACAAAGGCACGGAATCCTTCTCCAAACAGGGTGCCGGCCGTCCTGCGGGGGAAGCACCGACGTGACCAGGAGGGACCTGGGCCTGTGCTCGCGGCCGGAGGGAGGCCGCCCCGCCGTCAGCACGCTGGCCGCGTCCCCGCAGGGCCCAGGGCACGGCCGCACCTGATGGACTCCAGGACGGTCTGGCGGCGCTCAGCAGCCCGCAGGCGGATCTGCTCCCGGATGATGTCTGCGTTCTCGCGCTCGGCCTTGGCCCGGGCTCGCGCCTCAGCCTCCGCCCTCAGCATCTCGTTCTTGTGCCGCAGCTCCATCTCCCGCTCCACGGTGGCTGCCTCGGACAGGCAGGGAGCCTGAGTCCAGGCCCCCGGGCCCCGGCACCCCCCTCGCAGGAGCGCGGCTGCGTGGCAGGACAGCCGCCCAGAACGCCCTGCCCGCCGGTCGCTGCTTCACAGCCCGGCTCAGAGGGCAGAGCCGCGCCCGCAGGTCTCGGGAGGCGGGCTCAGGCGCCCGCCCGCCCGCCCGCCCGCGCACCCTTCCCCAGCCACAGCCGCCCCGGGCCAGCGCTGAGGACCTGCGCTCAGCGCCCCGGTCGAGCAGCCCGCCAACCTCGCCTCATGGCCTCCTGCTTCTGCACAGACTCCTCCTGCTTCCGTAAGTTCTCCTCGTTGAGAAGTTGCTGAGAAGACACGAGAAAAAGGGAAAGCTTTCAAAAGGAGGAAAGAGAACCCACCTGCAAGGTGGCAGCTGCAGCCGCAGGAAGCAGCCACCACCCCAGGGGCCCCGGCCCAGGGCGGGCAGGTCTGACCGCCGCCAGGGACACGCACGGCCGCGGGGCCACGCTCGTGAGCCCCGACTCCCGGCAGACGCCCTGGGTTTGCCTGTTAGGGTGAGACGCTGAGGCACAGACATCTGAAAGCCCCAGAACCTGTCACGGCCAAACCCCCGGCCCCGGCGGCCACACAGCAGGGCCGGCGGGAGCCCGGAGGCATGTCCCTCCTGTGTGCATGCGCCTGGGCCCGCGTGTGGGGCCCAACCCTGGCGCCCCCAGGGCCCAGCAGGACCCACGTGGACACAGCCCGGCCCCCCACCTGCAGGCCCGGGGACCCACCTGCTGCTTTAGCTGGTCCTCGTAGCGCTGCCGCGCCAGCCGGTCCTGGTACTGCGCCCTCTGCGTGGGGGAGGGCAGCGTGAGCACGACTCAGCCTGGGGGCAGGTGGACCGCCAGGAACCAGCACGCGGACCCCGGCTGGCTAGGCCCTGGGGCCCTGGAGCCACCGCCAGGCACCCCACCCCCGTGCTGTCGGCCAGCACACGGGCACAGACACAGGGGCTCCCGGGACACTCAGCACGGGGGTGCGGGGTCCTCAGGGCTATGGGCAAGGCCCCCGCAGGTCCTGGCGGGTCAACAAGAGACCCTGGCCGCCCCCGGGCCGCTCCTGGTCACCCAGGCCTCCTGAGCCCCCATGGCCCACGGTGCTTACAGCCTGGTGCTGCCGCGTCTCCTCGCTCAGCGTCTTCCTCCGCTCCTCGGCCTGCACCCGGATCTGCTCGCTCTTCAGCTGCTCCACAGCGGCTTCGTACTCCTGCGGACACGCGGACACACGCTGCTGAGAACCCAGCCCCGCTCGGCCCTGCACAGGACTCCCGCTCGAGCTCACCCTGCGGGGCCAGCCCCACCCGCTCCTGGGGGCGCCCGGCGGGGGGGGCACATCTGGGCACAGATTCTGCCACCAGAAGGCACCACGCGACCAAGGCCGACCCCTGACCTCTCTGTTCCCTCCAATCCACCACAGAAGGAGCCCCCGCCCCCGCGCCACGCCCCTGCCCCCCCCAGCCTCTGCCCCGCCCCCACGGAGCCCCCACTGACCTTGATCTTGGACTGCTGCTCCAGCTGCAGCGTCTGCTCCTGCATCTGAGCCAGGCTCAGCGCCTCCTTGGCGTGGCCTGCGGGGGCGGGCAGACGAGCCTCAGGACCCGCGGGCGCCAGGGAGGCCGCACTCTGCCCACCGCCAGGCGCGCGTGCCCACCCTCCCGCTGCGGCTGTGCCAGCGGCTGACACCTGGGCCTGCCCCGCCCCAAGAGAAAGCCCCTCCGCCCCGTGCCGGGCCGTCCCCCGGGGCCCCCCGACGCCCCGAGGGCTCCCTCAGAAAGGCCGGCCCTGCCCAGAGCCCGGCGCGGCAGGCCTCTCCCAGTCCCACGGAAGGCCAGCCGTGGCTGCCGCCCGGCTTCCCACCGTCCACACACGCCTCGCAGGCCTCCGACTCGTCCCCGACCTGCTATCGAGCGCACGCAGGCGACGCGCGGGGGACGTCAAGGAGGATTAAATCGGAAACAAGCCCCGTGCCCTTCACGGAGCCCGTGTTACAGGCGCACGGGCGGCGGCACCTCCCACGCGCACTCCCCTCAGAACCCAAGCTCGCGTCTGTCTGCGTTTGGGTTCTGGAGGAGAGACCAACCTCTGGTCCCCTTTCGGCTGAGCAAGACCAGCTCTGTCAAGCCCCGCACAGCCGACCCCCGAACGCCACGGGCTTGAGCTTCGCGGGCCCCCTCCCACGCAGGTTTTTTCCAATAAACATGCGGTCGGTCCTCAGCATACGGGGGTTTCCCCTCCACGGACTCAGCCAACCGTGGGGGCGGGGGGAGAACAGCGTTTGACCCAAGGCTGGAAGCCACACACCCGGGGGCCGACTCAGGCTGGGGGCAGGTTTGCGACAGGGCGGGACAGGGGCAGCCCTACTGGCTGCGCGGTTCAGAAGTCCGCTGGGGTTCACGGGACTCTCCCAGCTCGCAAAACCCTGGGAAGGAGGCAGGGCCCCAGGAACCCAGCGTGAGATGCCACCATGTTCCCCGTCCACCCCTCTGCTCCTCACTCCTTCCGTCCCCCACGACCCACTGTACTTTTTGAACTTCGAAGTAGGCTGCAGGCCCTGGCACCCATGGCCCGCTGCAGCAAACATGTCATTAACTAAAGAATGACCTCTGCTCAGAGTCCGGGGTGGGGGGCTTGAAATTAAATGGCCACTGTGTGCACACCCCACGCATGGGAAGAGGTGGGAGCCCCGGTGTCCGCATGGCCTGCTGGGCGTGCGGTCTGGCAGGGGTGTCAAACCACAGGAGCCCCTTGAAGGCTGACCCTGACCAAGGCGGGCAGAGGGCGCCACAGACGCGGGTGCCGCAGGCCCTGCACACTGGGACCGAACCCCAGCCCCTGCGCCCATTTGCACATGTGACCTCTGGCCAGCCAGGCTGACCTCCGAGCGCCTCGCCTGACAACAGAGCCGGTCAAGCCAACTCCCCCCAACTCCTGGAGGAGAAAGCGGGCTATTGCCCCACACGGGCCTGGCGCCCCGGTGCCCCGCTGACCACAGGCTGCAGCTTCAGTACTAACCGCAGCGGTTTGCCGCCCTAACGTCACTCTGCACCAGGAGACGGGCCCTCCAAAGGGGCAGCCACCACGGGCAGGGTGCTCTTTTAGGTACCAGCCCCCCGAGTGCATGGGCAGAGGCGGGAGACCCAGGACACAGGGCGCACCAGGGGCCTGAGGGACAGAATGGGGGTCCCGCGGCGAGGAGCCGCTGAGGACGGCTCTGGTTGGCTGAGGCCAAAGCCTGCAGGCGCTGCTGCCTGGCGCTGTGTCCGCGGACGATGGGCTTGCAGAGGGGATCTGGGACCCAGGCGTGTGAACCACTCTGGGAAGAAGGGCTTGGGGCCAGGAAGGGGTGGGCGGCCGGGGAGAACCCTCTCCCAGTGGCGGCAGTGCGGCCAGGAAGGACGGCAGGAACAACCACGAGTTAGAGCCCAAATCTGGGACAATCACCAGAGGTGGGGACAGAGGAAGGGCTGTAACTCCAGGTGGTGGCACCTGAGGACTCCAGAGGACATGCTGCTTGGTGGCTACGTGCAGGCTTGGAGGTGGGAGAACAGAGGGAGGCCCTGGGGAGCCAGGTGGAGGATGTTCTGGGGCAGGAGACATGGGAGCAACTCAGAGGCAAGGGCGGGCGGAAGGAGGGAGGTCCCGACGCTGCCCCCTCACGCACCCAAGGCCCCCTGCACGGCCTGTGTAACCACGTGGAGGGGGGCAGCCAATAGTCAGGGGTCACCTTCTAAAAGCGGGAAAACTGTGACTTCCTGGGCTTGGTAAGCGGGTGAAACCCTGCTGGAGCTGGGGCAGAACGGTGCCCCCCAGCGAAGCCTGTCGCAGGAAGCCACGTCACAAGCCACGCCCGTCATCATCCAAGGGGCTTGGACGCCCAGCCACCGTTTCTCAACCCAACCCGATGACTGAAATTCCCTAGAAAACCTAACACACCGAGCTGGGGTGAGCGTGCCCCAGCGAGGCACGACAGGCTGGCCTGGGCCTGGGCCTGGGCCTGGGCCTGGGCCCGGGCCCCCGGGGTCTCAACGTTGTGCAAGCCCCCTCTAACATCTGAGAGCCAGGCAGGCCCAGAAACCTCGGTTGGACACTCATGGAGCCCCAGGGGAAGGGTGGGCCTGAGCCACAATGTGCAGGGAAGTTTCCGCCTAGACACCTCCGGGGCTTCTCTGTAGGATCTCCTTTGAAAAGAGAGCACTTCTGCTTAAACAAAAGTTTGAGAGCCACTGCTTTCTTTCAAGCAACGTTTATTCGGCATCTTCTAACATCCAAGCTCTCAAACACACTACAACTCCCAACAAGGGGTTAAAGCCACAGGAAACAGGGAAGTGGGGGAAAGATGTGGGCTGAGTGAGCGCCAGTTCCGCCCCTACGTGGAGAGCCCTGGGTCAGGAAGACGGTCAGGCTGGGCCAGGGTTGCCCGACTTGTTTCACAGACCTTGTCTCCCGGAAAGCTAACGTAACCCAACAATAAGTGCAAGTCTGCCAGATCCCCCTTCAAACCGGTGGCCCTCCACCATCCTTCCCCCTTCAGTGGAAAACTGCCAGCAACCACCACAAACAGATCCCTGCTCTGACCACGCCTTGGCCGGTCCACGTGGAGGCAGCGAGAGGGAAAGGAGCGCCTGCACACGGCGCGAACTGAAGACCGGAGCCCAGCCCCGGAACCTGCTACCTGCAACCTCTCAAAGTCCTCTCTGCACCCGGTGTCCTCACCTGAAGGGCACGTGGCAGCTGGGCAGGTGCCAAGGGCGATAGGATCCCGAACCTCCCCGTCAGCACGGTAGCTGGGGCACACTCACCCCTGGAGGCCAGTTTCCTCGCCTGACAAGTAGGACTGTCGACAGCCATTTGCCACGCCATGGCTCAGACGACTAAGGGGCTAAAGGTCCCCGAAGGCCGGCATGCCAGGCGCTCGGCGCACCGGCCCTCCGCGGAGGAGCCCCCGCCCCGCCCTCGCCCCCGCCCCCGCCGCCGCACTCACGCGAGTGCTCCAGCTCGCGCGCCGCCTTGGCTGCGCGCTCCAGGCCCGTAGGGTCGAAGTTGCTCCATTTGTCCTTGGGCCCCGGTCGGTCTCCAGCGCCACGGTCCCCACCGCCCTCAGCTCCAGGCTTCGCGGGCGGCAGGGGCAGAGGTGGCCCCTCGCCTTCACCCTTGGGGCCCTTGATGCCGAAGAGCCACGACATAGCCCGCGAGCGTCGCGTGCCGCAGCAGCCTCCAGGACCCGAAGCCGAGCCGAAGCGCGCGACTCGGAGGTCTCCCCACGCGATCTGAGCCGGCGGTCAGAACAACTGCGCAGGCGCGACACACGCCCCTGCTCCTGGGCGACGGAAGCTCGTGAGGGCCCCGTCCTGGGTGCGACCCTCGGATTGGCCACGATGACCATGGCGTCATCGGCGCCGGCTCCGCGATTGCCTGAACTTGCTCTGGGGGCGGGGCGAGACCCCTGGTTACGGCGTTCGGTCAGGGACAAAATTCACTGGCTGGGACGCCTGGGAGCCCTGGGATAAGTTAGTTCCAAGTAGCAACGGCGTCCCGTTGCTACGGGCGTCCGCAGCGCTCCAGACGTGGCGGTAGCCGAGCCGCAGGTACCGAGAGAGCAGAGGGTTCTTGATGTGCGGCCTGGACGGGAGAGACGGCGAGAGGAAGAGCCTGCGGGAGGCGGCTGACCCGCGGGGGGAAACCCCACCCGGGGCGCGCGGCGCGGCCTCGACACCCAGGGCCGAACCGCCCCTCGGACTGCCGCCCGCGCAGACTCACCCCCGCGGCCACGTGGCCCTGGCGCCCCGCAGGCGGTGGCGAGGGGACGGAGCCTGCGCGCGGCGGGCGGGCCTGGGGCTGGCCCGGCCCCGGAGCGTGAGGCTGCGCTCGGTACGGTGACACGAGGGTAAAAGGCCTGCCCCCGCCCCCGCCCGTCCTCCTCTCGGTCTCGGCCAGGCACAGCGGGCGGCGGTTGTGTGACTCTTTGTGTCACTCAGAAGGGGCTCGCAAAGAAGGGGGACAGGTGCCAGATCACCGACCACGTAAGTCCGCAGAGGCAGAGCAGGCGCCCCGACGCCCACAGAGGGCGCCCTGGCTGGAGGGCGAAGGGTCCTGGCTCCCGTCCCTGCCTGGTGAGGACTTTGGCTTGGGACCTTCCGCAGGCCACGTGCTTGCTTCCTGGACAAAGGGGCAGGCGGGACCTCTCGGGACGGAGGGAGACGAGGCTGGACAGAGGCCTGCGTTGCTGTGGGGCGGACCTTGTCCAAAGGCAGCGACGTTTGCCTTTGGGCCAGGACCCAAGTTGCCCCTTCGTTCTTTCCTTGTAGAATCGCTTTTGTTCCTGGAGTTACGTGGAGTGAGTTTCCCCACTAGATGGAAAACAGTTGTAAAAACAGGGAGCGGGGGGGATCCAACGACAGTTCTGTGATTTTATTCCCTCCAAAATGAAGAGAACCACCGAGTGAGTTTTCCAGCCAGACGCCCCCCAGCGGCCGTCAAGGATTTCGCGGACCCGCCGCCGACCGCACCTCCGCAGGCGATGGCCCGCTTCGCCGCGTCAAAGGCCCGAGGCCTCGGCCGCCCGCCCCGCGCCCACCGGCCCCTCTCTAGCGCCATCCACAGGCCGCGTTCGGCACTCCTCTGCACTTTTATATAAGAAAGAATCTAGCTCTGCATGTATAAAGTCGGTTTCTAAAAAGCACATCCGACTCATTTAACTTTTTTTAAAAAAAGTGTTGTAATAACGATGATGTCGGATGAGTACTGGACTGTCAGGGTGATCACTTCATAAGTTCTATGAATGTTTAACAGTCTCATCCTGTACCAGCTGGTAAATACGCGGTCCCTCACAAACAACACCCCCCCTTTTTTTTTTACTACAAAATCTGTTATTACAAAATCATAAGCATGTAATTCTGTAACATAACAATATCACATCAAGCACACCGTATGACATTTTAGGTGAAATGTTCAAACTAAAACTATAAATTATTACACCCATATTATTACCCTGCCAACCACACTCAAGCAGACATTCCTTCTGCGGGACCCTGTATATAAATGTTCAATCACTATGCTGTACACCTGAAGCTAATATGATGCATTGGCAACTGTCTTTGAAATTTTTTTTAAATTAAAGGAAGGGTTGGCCCTGGCCGGGCAGCTCAGGTGGTTAGAGCGTCATCCAGATACGCCCATGTTGTGGGTTCCATCCTCAGTCAGGGCACAGACAAGAATCAACCAATAAATGCACAAGTAAAGGGAACAACGAATGGATGTTTCTCTTCCCCTCCCTCCGGGTTTTGTCTCTCAAAATCAATTGGAGACCGCACCCCGCCGCTGGGAGGGGGGGGATGTCTTACAATCCCAAGGTGACGGCACCTGCCCGCAGCGTCGCTCAGCGCCGCTAGGGGCGTCCACCCGCCCTTCCCCAACCTGGTGACGTCCTCGCAGGACCGCCGGCTGCGGAGTGGCTACGGGCCCCCAACTCGAGGCCACGCCCAGGGAACTGGGAACGGCTGCGTGCCTCGGAGCGAGTCCACTGAGCTGCTGGCCACCGGGAAGAGGTGGGGAAAGAGGCGCGACCCACTCACTGGGACAGCAAGAGTGCCAGGGAGACCCACGAGAGAGCACTGGGCCGGCAGCGCGAGGCTGGAATCACCCGAGCGCCAGGTCCCAGCTGCGTTGGCAGCGTGTAAGGCTTTCCCTCCTCTTCCAAGAGGCTCGGCTCACTCCGCTGTTCAGAGGAAACTTGTTCTCAAATGGCAACACTTCGGTTTCTCCTCCCCGGGGTTCATTAGGAACTACCCCGGGTATTGTTTTTTGGAGTTTTTTTTTAAAGCATTGATTTAAAAGATGCACATCAGTTACCTATTTCACAGCAAACTGCAGTTTGCCTCGGACACACCAGTGTTTCTCTTTTGAATGCATGTCCCTTGCTCAAACTGTTCTTCGCTTCTATCCGTGGCTCATGAGCTAACTCGGCTGAGGGTTTTGTTTGTCGCACAGCTTTAGTAGCCGGTCCATTCGCCACCCTGTGTAGATTCTGCTTAATGTACGTTCCTTTTGCTTAAGCATTTGCATGGTTATTAGTGCTTTGAAGTCGGTGTTTCAAATGCACAGATTATAAACACCGAAGAAAGAGCAACTCACCAAACGCCACCTGCCAAGGACTCCTCAGATTTTTCCTAAGTCTGTATGTAGACTTCAGTTCTGCCTTTTCTGTAAGCAGATCCAAACATCTGGAAGAAAATGACTAAGACTGTTTGCGTCTTTGTATGTATTTCTTATTTTATGTAATAAAGATTATTTTCATTAACAAAAATAATAATAAGATCAATTAAAGAGTGTGTGTCTGTGTGTGTATGAAGGGTTGCTCACTATCTTAAGATTTAGGTCGTTTTTGCCCTGGCGGGCGTGGCTCAGTGGATTGAGTGCCGCCTGCGAACCTAAAGGTCACCAGTTGGAATCCCAGGCAGGGCCCAGGCCTGGGTTGCGGGCCAGGTCCCCAGGATGGGGCACGAGAGGCAACCAATCTGTTGCTCTCATTTTTATGTTTCTCCTTCTCCCTCCCTTTCCCCCTCTCTAAAAATAAATAAACAAAACCTTTAAAAATGCTGAGGATCCCAAATTTTATTGGTCTGAAGAGCTTGTGCAGGGTTTGATTCCATGATGGACGCCAATAGGGAGTCTAGAGCTTCACGCACCAGATGAAGAGCCACATCCAAAATTGGTTGAGAGATGATTTCCTTAAATGTGGCTTAAGCAGGATGGACGCATAAAACTCTCCCTTGAAAACAGATAGATTTTATCTCTAGACATAAAGGATGGGATCTGGAACAGCGATTGTTTTCACTGGTTAAAGCTGTAAGGCCATGAGTGTTAAATAACACAAAACCTTCCCCTGACTCCATTTCTGCTTCTATTTCCGCAGCCAGTGGCAGGGATTCCCAGGTATCCCTGTGTTTTTTCACAGAGCCCAACATAACTCTGCAGAAAGTTTCACATTGTAACACTGCCTGTCCCCGCTGCCTTGTGAACGGAGCTCCCCCTCTGAGGCTTTGCAGTTGGCCTTGCACTGGATGTTTAGGGGCGGATGGGAATCTACCTCAGGTCCGGCAGCTGAATCATTTTTATATGCTCATCGCCTCTTTCTGGTCAACAAGGACATCAGATTCGTCTAATTAAACTAATTCCAAAGAGTAGAGAAGTACATCGACCTCGACGAATTTCAGAATACTTGTTACAATTAAAAAATACATAAAAAGATTTGTTCTGCAGGTAAAATGGACAAATCTTAACATTGGAATTGCAAGTATGTGAAGGAGCCAGAACCGGTAAACCAGGTAACCAAATCCATTTTTCCCACGCCTGGAAACTGCAGCGGGAACACCCAGCCAGAGGGTCTCAGGCCCCCGTGCGAAGGCCTCAGCGCTGTGTGCCTATGGTGGGTGGTGCATAGCGTTTGTCTATTTATGCTTTGGCCCATAGTAACTTCTCATGTGATGGAATTGATTCGCATTGAACACAAACTGCAAAAAAAAAAAAAAGAAAGAAATGGCTGGCCCTGACCCGTGTGGCTCAGGTGACCGGGCATTGTCCTGCAAAGGGAAGGGTTGCCGGTGTGATTCCCGGTCAGAGCCCACGCCTGGGTGGCAGGTTCAGTCCCCGGACGGAGCGCATGTGAGATGCAGCCAGTAGATGTTCCTCTCTCACATCGATGTTTCTCTCTCTCCCTTCCCCTCTCTCTAAATAAATAAAATCTTAAAACACAAAATGAAATGGCTGAAAAAGAGGGGGGGAAGCGGGCTCCCAGCTCTCTGCAGGGCCCCTCACCCTGCCGCTGCTCCCCAGGGCCCCGGGGTTAAGGGTCGCCACGCTGGGCCCTCTGACACGTGCCGCCTCGGGCCCAGCTCCGGAGGGGCTGCGGACTGACCCAAAGCTTCCACAAGGTGATGTGTGGGGCTATGCAGTGGCCCACGCGGCCCCCGCCCGCTGCCCTGTCCCCCACGCAGGCTCCCCACCACCTCATCCGCCGGGCCCAGAGAGAAGAGGCACCCAGAGGGCAGCACAGCCAGGCTGCCCCAGAGGCACCCGGGGGTGGGGGGCTCTTGGCGCAGGCTGCCCGCCTGCCTGAGCACAGGAGACACGCCTCTGCCTCCCCGGGAGCAAAGCAGCTCAGCCGCCCAGACCAGAAGGACCTCGGACGCAACAGCCACTCAAACCCCGCGGCCACTCAGGGCGCCCCGGGGTCCTCCCGGAGGGGCTGTGCGTGGGCCCCTGCGAGGGCAGCGGCCAGGAGGAGCCCCCAGCCTGGCCTGGAGCGCACCCCTGTCCCGTAGGGGCTGGCCTGGCGCAGGTGAGCAGCGGGAGCTGGAGCAGGCGGCCCCCTCGTATCCCGGTGAGAAGCGTGGGGGTCGCGCCCCCTGCCCTGCAGCCTGGACGTGGCCTCCGCTCCCGTGGACACCGCGCCAGGGGCTCTCCTGCCCACGCCTGGCGGGGCGGGGCCTTCTCTTCCAGCAAAGCTCGCGCATTGGTGGCGAAGATGCTATCACTTGTCGCAGGTGCCTTCACCAGCATTTCTGAAACGTGGGCGGTTACAGGCAGGCCTTTCCACGAGAGCACAAGGTGGGGGGGAGCGAACCCCACCCCTGCTCAGGAGACCCGGCCCTTCCCGAGAAGGCGGCGGGGGCAGGAGCCCCGAGCCCAGGCGGGGTCCCAAGGGGCAGGGCCTCCCTGAGCCCCCACCTCAGCATCCTCCCGTCCAGGGGGAGACAGGGCTTCCACTCGCAGTTCATTTGTTTTCCTAGATGTTGGAAGGAATGTGTTCTCCCCAGAAAAGAGCACTGACACACAGCTGTGCACTCCGGTTTTTCTTTTCCTACGCTGCCCCCTCCCCCGTAGGAGGCCGAGGATGGGCCACCGGCATGTCCCACAGCAGGGCTGTCGCCATGTCGGCCGCTCCTGCCTGAGGGAGCCCTGGGCCAGCTGCCTCTCCTCCCGGTGGGCACCTCACCGACCTGGGGCACCAGGCCCCAGAGGCCGCCGGCCTTTGTCCAAGGGCTCATGAAGCTGGAGAGCCGTCCCCCGGTCACGAGGCGGTCGGTCCCCGGGGGCCCCTCGGAGAACGCGCGCGCGCAGCCTCGGTGAACACCCGGATCTCTCATCAAATTAGGGACAACAGCAGAACCGGCACAGCTGTGAAAACAGCGCTCACACGGGCCCCCACGTGCGAGAGGACCCTCCCCAGCGGCCCCTCCCTGCCCCACCCACGCCTGCCTGCTGTGCGGGTCTAACCTCAACCAGAAGCAACCCCAGCACAGCCCCTGGCGTGGTTTCCAGGGGCACGCGGGGAAGCCCCCAGTGAGTGGAGGGCGTCAGCCAGGGCCCTGGGCCCAGAGAGGGCCGAGGGGCCAGGGCCTGCGTGTCGGGGGCAGGGGAGACCAGGACAAAGCCGTCTCCACCAGGCCGCCCCCAGCTGGGCCCGGACTCCGGGCCCTTTCGGAAGCGCCTGGGACGGTGCGAAGGGCGGTGCCTCCGCGACAAGGGCACCGGGGGCCGCATTCCTGGGCGGGGGACGGAGCGGGGCCCCTCTCCCCGCGCCTCAGCGTCCAGCGGGACCAGGGCAGCCGGAGCCTCTTCCAGGGTGTGGGCCTGCCTCTCGCCGCTCCGCCCTGTCTTGGGGTCGCAGGCACGTTTGTGGGGAAGGAGGCGGCCACTCAGCTAGTGTCAAGTGGGTGGCTGAGCTGTGGGAAAGGACCGGCCAGCGGGCAGGGGCTCGGTGTGGAAGGGGGACCCCCTGGGTGGCCAGTGGTCTTGGATCTGTGAACCCCCGGGAGAATCAGCGTGGGGACCATGGGCTTATGTGGGGAAGTTCTGACACCCAGGGGCAGGTCAGGCCCAAGGCCCAGGCCCGAGGGTTCCCCTCGCTGCGGGGGACCCGCTATTCACCCCCACCCGCCGCGGGACAGGGCTGCTGCTGAGGCCACAGGAGCCTCCGCCCCTCGCCCGCCTGCGGACCGCCGGCCACACTGAGAGCCGCAACGCACACGCTGTCCCAGTCAGTGTGCCCTGTGCCTGACTCAGTGGGGCGGGGCACACAGAGGAGGACCCACCACCCACCGGACAGAGGCCCCCCAACGGGCGCTGGCCAGCCACCTGCCTCCGGGGCCCCAGACCCACCCCCGAGCCTCCCCTTCCAAAGCGGCCCCCTCGGCTCCCACCGTCAGGCCAGGGGCTGGGAGGGCTTCCTCCCTGGTGCCATCGTCACATAGGCCACCCCTAGGCTGCCCCAGCAGGCAGCCCCCCCCCCCCCCCCGACGCCAACACCGACCGGTGGATGGAGCAGGTCTCGGGGCCTGGGCAGGGGCCACGCGATAGTGGGAGGCCCGGAGAGCGAAGGTCGCACACAGGCGCTGAAGCGCACGCTCACACCGCCAGCCCGGGACTGTGCCGGCCAGAGCTGCCCCTCAGCCCGGCCGCTGCTGGCGGCGGCAGGGAGGCAGAAAGCCACACTGTAGTCAAGGGCGTCGCCCGCCGGCAGCGGGCCTGGCAGGCGCCCCACCCACGCTGCAGACCCGGGCCGGCAGAGGCCGGGCGCACAGACGGCCGCCCCCCACCCCCCGCACCAGCCAGCGCACCCAGGGCCCCCCACCAGGGTCCCTGGGGCGTGTGACAAGGAGTAAAGTATTCTCAGGAGACAGCAGGACTTGGTTTACATCTGATTTACTGTATTTTAGTACGCGTGCTGCCCGCGCAAGCACTGACCGGCGCTGTTTCCAAGTGTGGGACGTTAGTGGGGAAGAGGCAGAGGGCGGGCGGAGGGGAGCCTCCGCCTGCCCGGGGCTGGTCTGGTGGCCCCAGGCAGCAAGCGGTGACAGGAGGCGTGTCCAAAGGTGCAGGGAATCGCTGGGGTGCGTCCCCCCAGCACGGAAGGCCCCACCCTGAAGCGAGCAGAGGCCCCTGCCAGTGCCGTCCCAGGACCGGGGCGCCGGGCTCCAGGCCTCCCAACGGTGCCTGCGTCGGAGCCCAGCGCGGTCCGGGCGCGAAGGCAGAGCCGCTGTCCCTGGCCGCCAGCTCAGTGCCCTGGCCCTGCGTGGCCCACCTCGCCACCCAGCAGCCGCTGGCCGCTGCGTCCACCTCCTCCCCACATCCCCCCTCCCGCCCTTGAGCCGACCGTCCCCGCCAGGGAGCCTGTGGGGCCCAGCGGAGCCAGCGCCTGCTCCTGTCCCTCTGCTTGCTGACGAGGCCCCGGGCCTGAGCAGCCAGCCGGGCCAAGCTCCCAGTGCCAGCTCTCGTCCCAGGAGGGCCTGGCCCTTCACACCAGGGGAAGGTCCGCCCTCCGGTCCCAGCCCGGACCCTGTTCTCCACCAGGGCCCAGACTCCCTCCCCAGCTCCCCGCTAAATCCCACCCAAAGGATGCCACCGAGCGCCCGGCTGCCGGCCGGGAGGGGAGGGGTCACAGGGGCCAGCGCTGCTGCCAGAAGCGCATCGGAGGGTCCGGCCGCTGAGTCAGGCTCCCGCCGGCCGAGAGGAGAGGACTTGGGGGGTCACGCGGAGTCGCCGCGTGGCCAAGGCCTGGCCCGCACCCCCGGCCCTCAGGCCCAGGTTTCGGCGGGCGATCCCCCCCACCCCCGCCAGCATCGGGAGAAGGGGCCCTGGACCACGCGGGGCGGCCGGCTCAAGGACCCCGGCCCCCGGGCCCCGGCGGCGGCGGGGGGTGCGGGGCGCGGCTGCGCTCGCTGTCGGGCGTGCAGGCCTTGGCCGACATCGCCCTCTCGCGGCCCGAGCGGAAGGCCGCCGTCACGGTCACCAGGTAGGCGGTGCCCGGCGCCAGGCCCTGCAGCTCGGTGCTGTTGCGGTCGGCGGGCACGTCCACGCGCTGCGCCGCCCCGCCGCGCAGCGGGCCGAACTGCACGTGGTAGCCGAGCGCCACGGCCGGGCCCAGCGCCGGGGCCCAGCTTACGCGCAGGCTGCGCGGCCGGACGTGCGAGATGACGATGCGCTCCGGCCCGGCCTCTTCTGCAGGGGAAGCGCCCATGAGTGGGTGGGTGGGGGCCCCCGCGCCACGCCCCGCGCCCCGCCGCCCGGGGCCCCGCCCCGCGCCCCCCGCCCCGCCCGCTCACCCGGTAGCGTGCGCACCCGCAGGTGCTGCGGCCTCACGGGGTGTACGTTGGACTCGGGCACCAGCGCCACGTCGTAGTCCGTGTCGGCGTCCAGGTCGGCCCAAGCCCAGCCCGTGGCGTTCCCGGGCAGCTGCTGGCGGCGCGCGGTCCCCGGCTCCGCGCGGGGCACCAGTTCCAACACGTAATAGCCGGAGTCCGCGCTCAGCAGGGGCGGCCAGGCCAGGCGGAAGCCGCTGGACGTGACCTCAGAGACACGGAGCTGCTGTGGCTGCAAAGCGTCTGCGGGTGGTGCAGGGGGACAGGGAACCAAGGTCACCTCCTCCGGCCTGGGCCTGGGGCCCTGTGTCCGGGGCAGGGGTGGGGGCCGCCCAGCAGGGAGACAGACGCAGGGAGCAGGAGCGCTGGGGGCCCGGTTGCCCGGCCGCGGTCGGCGGACGCTAATAAGACGCAAACTGATAACGAGGCTGGGGGACCTGCAGGAGGGCAGCCCCTGCTCTGGCCCCACCAGGAGCTTCCCTGCCTCAGCCACAGCCCCCAGGGAAGCTGCCTCAGCCACCTCCCACCCGGTCCAGGGGCCCCGGAAAGGGCCCCTTGCAGGTGGCCGAGCCACAGGTGGTGTCTGAGGACGGAGGACCGACCCCCATGCCAGCCAGGGCGGCACAGGGTCCAGGGACAGCTTAGCTCCGGGAAGCCACGGCAAAGGGGGCCGGCCGAGGGCGCAGCCGGGGTGGGGGGCAGGCCACCAGGGGCCCCCCGAGGGGGGCTGGAGATATGACGGCTGCAGGGGCGGCCGGACCTAGGAGTGGACATGCTGTCTGCCTGTCTCTGCCTCAGGTCCCCGGGAGAGTGTGACCCCCGAAGCGGGGTCCCCCAAGCGAACGGTACTCCTGAGTCATCCGTGACCGTGCAGGCGGGCACGGCTGGTACAGGCCTGGGCAGGGCAGAGCCTGTTGCCACCCTGCTGCCTCCTCCTCGGAGGCTGGGCGCCCCGCTGCCAGCCTGGCCCTCGCTCTCCTTCCTGTCACCCCCGCCAGGCCCACTCCCAGTCCCAGGGGCCCCCAGGCTGCCTCACCGCCCTGTGGCCTCCTGCCCAGCAGCTCCTTCTCCTGCTGCCGCCCCGTCCCCGCCACCACCCCCCCTCGCCCCGGCTCAGCCACGGCGGGCGGCCTGGGACAACCAGGGGCCAGCTGTCCCTGGAGGAAATCTTCAGAAGCACCCTAGACCCCTCTCTGCAACCCACAGCCTAACCCCTTCCGGGTTCGGGTGGATGGTTAACCCACAGGCGGTCGCCCAGGGAGAGCCCTGGGGTTAGCGGCGTTTTTCAGTGGCTGCAGCGGCCAAGCCCGAGCCGAGGCCCTTCATTTCCAGCCCCGCCCCCTGTGGGGTTTGGCTGGACCAGGCCCCCAGAAGAAAGTCTGCGGGGAGCTGCTGGCAAGAGCCCCCACCTGCCCTCATCCCTGGGCGGGGGGGGGGGGCCGGTAGTGGAAAGTAGGGCCCCAGGGAGGCCGTCCCCACCCCCCGACCTGGCTCCCGGCTCCTGCGGGGGCGCCTGCTGACCACCTGCAGAGTCCTCAGGCTGGGAACCTCCTTCCTGCTCCTCTGCACGCCCCCCACTCTGTGGGGCTCCAGCAACGAGCAACGACTGAGCAACGACGGGCCCACCGGTCAGAGAGAGCCCCGCCCGGAGCCGCTCTTCCTAGAGCCCCGCCCAGCTCTCTTCCTGGGCTCCACCTGGGGCACCCCCCCCCCGCCCCACCGCGCCTCCCACCTACCGAGGATGGAGCTCCTCAGCTCCTGGGCGATGATGTGCAGGTCGTCCACGTCCACGAAGTGCAGGTGCTTCTCCGCAGGGGCCGAGGCGGCGGCCGACAGCTCCAGGCGGTTACCGCGGCCAGTGCTGACGATGAAGACGGTAACGCCCAGGTCCTTCAGCTCCTGCATGGGGGGCCCGATGGGGTCGCTGGAGCCGCCGTCCGTCACCCACACCAGCACCTTGGGCACTCCCGGCCGGGCCCCCGCCGCCTCGGCGAACAGCTGCTCCTTGGCGTATGCCAGCGCGGAGCCAGTGTTGGTGTCGCCCATGAGCTGGGCCGCAGCGCGGATGGCATCCTGGACGGCCGCACCGGAGCTGTGCTGGCCGAAGGGGAACTCGGTGTGTGGCTGGCTGCTGACGTGCACCAGGCTGGCGCGCAGGGCCCCAGGGCCCAGGGGCAGCGGGGCTGCCAGCTGCCCCAAAAACTCCCGAACTCGTGAAAACTCGTAGTGGGATACACTGGCTGAGCTGTCCAACAGAAAGAGCAGGTCCCCCTGGGGGGCTGATGCCGGGGACCCTGGGGGAGAGGGACAGGGCTCAGCCCAGGCGGTGGCTTCCAGACAGCTCCCCACCCGTGGCGGGGCCCCCAGGGCCTGGCTTTCCAGGAGCAGGCGCTGGCCTCCGCCTGAGTGAGCCCCGACAGCCGGTGGGGCCCCGCCCCAAAGGTCTCGGGGGTGGCCCTGAAGGGCCCGAGCTGACAGGCGGTCCACGCTCTCGGGGGTCCCAGCTCTGCACCCTGGCCACAGACCTGGGGTACCCTCTGGGCTCATCCCACCTGTAAAGGAAAGCACACTCCGCCAAGCCCCCACGCCCTCACTTTCCTCTGCAGACCTGCAAGGAGCCCGGAGCCCAGAGGCCTGGCTCCGCGCTCAGTGGCAGGTGGACCGGCCTGGGTGGCTGCGGCTCGTCTTCCAGAGCAGCAGCCCCAGGCTGGAGTCCAGACACACGGCTCCGCCTCCAGGTGGGGCAACAGGTGGGGCATGAGGGCGCAGGGCACAAAGCAGCCGGGGAGACTGGGGGCAGAGAAGGACAGGTGGCAGAGGCTGGGCGCTGGTCACAGCCCTGGGCACAGGCTGGGTGCCAGGCGGCAATGGTGCCACCCCTTCTCGGGCCCCATCCTCGGGCTCCATCCGGACCCGGGAAGCAAGTGACCTGCCGCAGCAGCCTGTGGCTCCCCCAAGGCCTCCCGGGCTCCCCCTTCCTCCTGGCACCCCTAGGGGCAGACAGGCCCCACCACCACTGGGCCATGGGCAGACAGGGGCTGGGTGTCTTGGTTCTGGTCTGGGTCTTGGGGCCTCCGTTTTCCCTGATTTGGTGGGGAGACTCCAGCCTTCTGGCCATCCCCCTACTAAGGGCCGTTCCAAGAGAGGGAAACTGAGGCAGGGACGGCCTCCTCGACAGTCACCTCCCTCTTCCCTCCAGGCCCCACGATCCGGCGGAGATGCCGACGGGCAGAACGCAGCCTCCACGTCCCGACGCTCAGCCGAGCCGCCTGGGACATCTCGGTCCTCCCGCCGAGGTGGGTGGGGCGCCCTGCCGGCCACCACCGCCCCGCGGCCGCGTGAAGAGAGCGGCGGCCCCGGGCGGGCAGCGGGGGGTGGAGGGGCCCCAGCGTCCGCCGCACTCACCGCGCTCCGCGCCGCTCCGCGCCAGCGCCAGGCTCAGGGCCAGGCCAAGCGCCGTCCAGGGCAGCATCGCAGGCGACGGAACGCGGCACGCTCGGACTCCGCTCGCCCCTCGCTGGCTCGCTCCTGGGCGGCAACGCGCGTCGCCGCACGGGCTGGACCCGGGCCCCGCCCCCGAGAGGCCCCGCCCCGATGCGCGCGCTCCGCCGCGTGCCTGGCCCAGACGCACAGACTCGGGGGAGGCGCGCGCATGGAGAGGCCAGAGGCGCCCTCGTGGGCAGACACGCACGCAGACGCTGCAGGATTCCTTTCTGGCCGTGAGACCGTGGGGCCTGGCCCGCCCCCTGCCCGAAACACGGGGGCGACCGAGCGGAGTCGCCCCAGGCCCACTGCCCAGGCTCTCGGCCCTGCAGCCTGCCCCAAAGGGCCCGGGGAGTGTGCGAGGGTGGGGTGACGCGCAGAGCAGCCCCGGCCTCCGCTGGGGCACAGGGCTGGGGGCGGGGGAGGTGCCTGGGAGCTGGGACTTGTGTCCCCAAGGACTGACCGACAGGGATTAGAAGGGCCAAACTTAGAAAAGATGCAGGACGTTGGACATAGCCCAGAGGCCTGAGACTCGAGGGGTGAGCTTCGCAGGGAACGCGCAGCCCCCACCCCTCCTGGCGTCTTGGAGGTTCAGGCCCCGTTCAGGGTGACCATGTGAAACTTATTGCTGTCCCCATGTACCCTGCCCCATGAGGGGCCCAGGGCCTGGGCAGAGGTCAGGCTCCACGCCAAGGACAGACCCCCAGGGACCCACTGGAGCCCCCCCTCTCGTGAGCCCTGCAGGCCGGACCAGAGGTGGCATCCGGAGGGGCACTTAGCCCCCGGGGCAGATTCCCCGCCCGGGGTGGGGCAGTGTCGCCTGGGCGAGGGAGGTGGGGAGAGCCCGCCGCCTCCCGCCGCCTCGCTCCCCAGACGCCTTCCTGCAGGGTGGCCACAGCCTCTCCCAGCTGCCCCTCCCTGCGGGCCGGGGGCACAGGCCCCCGCACCGGTGCCGGGATGTCCCCGCCCTCCCCGCCTCCCCGGGGATGCTCTTCGGGGAGACGAGGAGACGAGGAGACGGCTGGGACTCCATGGTCTTCCTTCCTCTCTTTCTGGCAGGTGAGAGGCCGGCAGACAGTCTGAGCGGCCCTTTGCCTAAAAAAGGAAGCGGCTCAGCCGAGCCTGAGGAGTCGGGGCAGGAACAGAATGAGGACTGTGTCCCCGCTGCCCCCACCCCTCACTGGGAATCTTGGCAGCGGCCTTGCTGGCTCGGCTCCCCAGACCTCAGGCCTCGGCGGGACCAGACTGCCGGGTGCTTCCGCCGGAGCCTCGTGGTGGGACCAGTGGGCTTGGGCCGCCGAAGTCCCCGGGCCCGCGCCCCTGCTCCCCGCACGCGAGGCTCCCCAGGGCTGCCGCGGAGACGGGGCCTGTGCGCGGAGGCCAGTCAGGCCGCGGTGGCAGCTGGCGGAGGCCGGGGGCTTGGGGGTGGCACGCCCCCGCCCACCCCGACCGTCACTCCTTGGGGCGCCCGTCTCCCTGGGCCCCCGCCCGCCTGCGCTGCAGCAGTGGCTTCCCCACTTGTGCCCGGCTCCCGCCCAGCGGGTGGGACCTCAGTCGCACGGCAAGGCCTGCTCTGCCGGGCTGACGGGGAAGTTTCCGTCCCTTCTGGAAAAACTGAGCGGGTCTTCTTGGCTGTGACTCAAACACTCGAGGAAGCAGCCGCCCGCCTGCAGACTCTCCATCAGAGGGAGAAGGGACGGGGCGCCTGGCCTCGGGGGCCCTCAGCCAGGGCCTCTGCCCAGCCTGCCCTGAGCTCGGCCACCTGCCCCGCTCTGCCGGCGCACGTCGGCCGCTCCGGCTGAGCTCCCGCCCGGCCCCCAGGAGACACCCTATGCCTGGTCACCGCCTCTGCTCCCTGGCCTCAGGCCTCGTTTCTGTGTCCCGCAGGCCTCCCAGCCCACCCCGGGGAGACACGGGCAGCCGGAGAGTCCCCAGGGAGCTCGGGGTCAGCCGGGGGTGCGGTGGTCAGGGCCGGGGCTGAGTCCGAGGCAGACGCCAGAGGAAGCACAAATATAATGGTCCGGAAAGCTCCTCTCTGAGGGAAGGCAGGCTGGGGGGGAGCGGGGGGGCCAGAGGGGCCAGAGGCACCCGGACACAGCGGGCCAGCCCCCGGACCTCTCCCGCCCCTGCTCTGTTCTGGGTCGTGGCCTTGGCCCAGCGGGGGTCCCTGCACACTGTGCATCACTTCCTGGAGCTGGTCCGCCCTGCGGCCTGTCCAGGGCAGGTGGCGAGGGTTCCGGGAAACCCCGGGACTCAGCTCTGCAGGCACCGCCCCTTCCCTGCGGGTCTGCGCACTCCCTCCCCCGCACAGCCCAGGCCTCCGCAGAAAAGAAGGGCCTTTTGTCCCCAGCTCATTGTAGTGGCGTTGACCCCAAGGAAAAGGGCAACTCCCGGGACTTCTGACCTCACCCCTGACTCCAGCCTAGCGCTCTCCGCTGGTCCGTAGGGTAGGCGGGCTGGGCTGTCCCCAGCCGCTGCCCCCATCCCCCGTGGCCGCCCCCGCCTTCAGCTGTTTTTCACGTTGTCTATCTACCCACGCATGGCAGGGGAGGCGGGGGGGGGGGCGACGGGAAGGGGGTGGCTGCCTGTGGCCTGGGGCAGGAGTGTGGGGCAAGCCAAGGCCCCCTGACCCGACCCCACAGCAGCTAGTCGGACCAGCGGCAGAGACCCTGCCGCCCCGCCCCTGCCGCCCCGCCCCGCCCCCACCCGCACATTCTTCCAGCCTTAACCCGCCCTCTGTGGTCAGGGACAAGCCGGGGCCTGAGGACCTGTCTGGGGGTCTGCAGGTCCCAGCCTCTCATCCCCCGGAGCCCTGCACCCTGCGGCCCCAGAGCTGACGGCTCTACCCTGCCCCCCCAGAGTGGCGGGAAGGCGGTGGCGGAGGCGGCGGCGTGGGCAGCCTGAGCTTGGGGGTGGCGGCGCCCCGCCTGTCCTTCCTCCCTGCGGGGCCAGGCCGCAGTCAGGTTCCACAGTGAGGAAATGCAGGTGCTGGGCCCAGGACCCCCCCCCCCCCGCCGCGTCCCCCCTAGTGCTGCGGGTTATTAGGAGGACGGGCAGCCGGGTCCTTGTTTTCCCCACTGAGGGCGGGGCCGCGTGGGGGGGGCTACAGGGAGCGCTACGGCCGTGGGCTGGGGGCAGGCAGGTGTGTGTGTCAGCAGCAAGGAGGCCTGGGGGCCAGGAAGGTGGGCGTGGGCTGCAGGGCCTTCCGGGGCAGGCCAGGGCCCATGGGCGGGCGGGGCTGATGCCAGGCCTCCAGGGAGACACCTGGGCCGCTGCCGCCGCCGCCACTGGAGCCGGAGCCCGGTGGCAGGGGTGGGTGGCAGAGAGGAAGGCAGGCACCCAGCCACTCCCGGGTTCCCAGCCTGTGCAGGGGACTAACAGCGTATCCTCCAGAGGTGGGACCCGTAGCTTCGGTCCCCTCTGTTGGAACCCTCTATGACAGGGAGGTGACCCCTGTGCCCTGTGCCAGCCCCAGGTAGGGTCCAGACAGGCCTGCGAGGGGAGGGAGAGAGCCAGGAGGGGCAAACCTGGGTGATCCCCAGGCGGGGACTCCCCAGGGGCAGGCAGGGGGGCCGGAGCGGGGCCTCAGACCTCAGAGCCAGAGCCAGCCTCTGCCTGTTCCTGGGTGGGGCTCCGGATCCAGCCCCCAGGCGTGCCTCAGTGGAGGGCAGAGGGCTGTCGCCTGAAGGCGGCTTCCCTTCCACTGCAGGCTCAGGAAGGGCGCGCGCCTGCCGTGAGTGCCCGACGCGCCTGAACCAGCGGCCTTGCCCAGAGAAAGCGATGATCAGAGTTCGCGTCTCTTGACCCGTCTGCAGGGCAGAACAAGTTTCTCCTTAACTGAGCGTCTGCCCTGTTCTACAGGCCCACGTCCCCTTCCCTGCTGCGGACCGCTCGCGCCTGTGGGCCCCGGGCTCTCACTCCTGCAGGGTTCCCGGCCAGAAGATCCTCGGGGGCAGAGGGGGGTGTGTTCCTCCAGCCATGAGGGTGGTCGGTGACAGGGCTGTGAAGGAATTCGCTAAGAGAAGGAAGCATATTCGCTCTCCAGGAAAGGCAAGGGGCGCGGTGGGGAGAGACCCACCAGCCCGGAAGGGTGGGGGCTTTGAGTTTTTACTGGATTGTAATTGAGTTAAAAAAGGTTGGGGGCGCGGGGGTGAGGCCCCTGGGCCTGGGGGCTGCGGTGGGTTCTAATGCTGTCTTCTGCCTGCGGCTGTAGGGAGCGGTTAGTTCCGCTCTTGCTTTCCAGTAATTTCCAGGCCTGGGGACAGAAGCTCAGAGAAGTAAAATGGAAGTCATGTTCTGACAAGGTCACGGGCCTGCTAGGCAGGCGGGGACACAATAGCGAACGGAACTGGCTTTGTCCCCTCACACAGGACCCAGCCCACCCGCCCCAGCCTACGCCCTGCCCCGCACCCCTTGCCTGGCCTACGTGCCGGGGTCGGGGCAGGCTCACCCCTGGGTGCAAGCTGGAGGGGCAGAACCGCCCGTCGGACCCTCCCGGCTGGGCCTGCGGACCCCACGAGGTCCTGTGCCTGAGTGAACGGCTCCGAGCAGGTCGGGGAACCGCGCTCAGTCGCCACGCCTGTGGGGCCCCGACAACCACTCCCTCCCCGCCCAGGGCCGCCGGGCAAGCGGACCGGGCAGAGGCGCACAGGCACAAGCCAGAACACGCGGGCGCGGAGGTCCCCACGGCCGGCCCGCGTTCACAGGGAAAGAGCTGTCCCTGTCCTCTGGACAGAGAGGGGCCCCACACTAACCCCCCCCCCCCCCCCCCCCAGCTCAGGAGAGGCCTGCATGGCGGCCTCCCAAACTCCGAGGCCTGAAGTGGCCGCACAGGATGCTCTGAGTTAAAACTCTTTAACTAAACGCAGGTCCTGGCGGGCGGCCACATCCTAGTCTAGAATCTTCCCTGACGTGAGGCAGTCTTGACCTTAACTGAGCCTGGGCCGCGTCTGTGATGACACATCTGTGGAATGGAATGTCAGGTAAGTTCCCTTTGCCCTACCCCTGGGGCGCCGCCAGCACCCGCAGCCGCCGGCGTTCACGGTCCGCCGTGAGCCCCGTGGACCCGCCGCGCGGTGTTGAAAGCGGTGTCTCTTGCTGCGCTTTTCCGTCTGCTCCCAGAGGCCCTCGCTCTGCTCTCCCCTGCCTCCCTTATCTGTCCGCCTCGGGTTTCCTGTCACCTCCTTACGCCTCTTCTTTTGATTGTAATGTAGGACGTAAGGTGCAAAACTGGCATTTTCTGGAGCATTTTCTCAGTCCCTTGAGGTTTTGCTTCCCTGCAACTGTTGTCAGTTTGGTTCCAATAAACCCGCAAGAATTCTTGCAGGTCTGGACGTTTCTCACGGTGACGCTCCCGCGTGGAGGCCTCCCCCTGACCCATCTCGGAGCCGCGCACCCGCGTCCTTGGCGGTTTGGACCCCTGGACGGGCCGAGGGGCGTTGAGGTCGGCGCTCCCAGCAGGGTGGGCTTGGGGGGCCGTTCTAGTCTGGGGTGGGGGGCTCCCAGGGGAGGGGAGCAGAGGCTCCATCAGGAGGGGTCTGGGCCTGGGGGGCCGAGGCCCTGAAAGAGGGGCTCCCGTCACGGGCCCCGTGCAGGGCAAAGGTTCAGGGGCAGAGCTCTGGGGGGTCCCGATGGGGCCGGCCCTGGCCGGGGGCGGGGGGCGGAGGGCCTGGATGGGTGGTGTGAATGGCGGGCCTTGAGGAGGGGAGCCTTGTGGCTGGAGGGCCGGGGCCCGTGGAAGAACAGAGGGTCCTTCTGAGCCCCCTCAGGCCCCGAGGCTGGTGTGGTGCTCTCTGCTGGACCCTCCCCTGGCCGGCAGCATGTGGTGTCCCCAACGGCCTGACAGCTGGCCCCTCCGTGAGCCTCCCACAGCCCCCCACAGTGTCCTTGGTGGGTGGGTGGGGCCGGGCCAGGGCTGCGGTGGCCTGTGACGGGGGGGGGGGGCTGGGGGCACACGTAGGAGCCCCGCGGGCTCAGGCAGCTGGGCTCCCCGCCCCCAGCAGGCCCAGCTGTTGTTTGATGGCTGCCGGGCCCGCGGGTCCTCAGGAGAGTCCTCGTATCCTAGACGCCTGGCCAGAGCCGCCCAGCCCAGGGCAGGGCGGGGGGCGGGGGAGGAAGTCGGCCTTGGACGGGAGGAAGCTGTCCTTGGCACCTGGTGGCCGGCCCTGGGAACGGCGCCGGAGCCGGGCACAGGCAGTTGGAAACCCCCGAGGACGCCTGCTGGCCCCGAGCCAATCACATGGCCGGCTCTGCTCAAGGCCGGGGAAGGAGCCCCGGCCGGTTGTGCTCCGAGCCGTGCGCCCCGGTCTGTGGGCACATCTGAAGCCAGACCCTGTGGGTCACAGGTGGAGCCCTGCTCGCCCTGCGGTGCGCTGGGCCCTTAAGAAGACCTTCCAGCTACCACGAGGCTCTGGACAAGTTACAACACATTTTTTAAAAATTTATTTCAGAGAGAGGGGAAGGGAGGGACAATGAGAGGGAGAGAAACATTGCTGTGAGAGATACACATATGGATCGGTTGCCTCTCGCACGCCCCCTACTGGGGGCCGGGCCCGCAACCCACGCATGTGCCCTGACAGGGAATTGAACCGGTGACCTTTTGGTTCGCAAGCTGGCGCTCAATTCACTGAACCATGCCAGCCAGGGCGGGGGGGGGGGGGGGGGGCCTCAGAATTTTCACGGGTGTGGACTGACCACAAAAAATTAGCAAACGTTCAGAGAAACAATATGCTGTTAGCGAGAATCAGCAAAAATAACACATAACAAAGTTAGACTCCGCCTAAGACTAACAAGCGGGAATGGTCAGGTACAGAATATAAAATAACGGTGACCTGGTGAAGACGGCGGAGCCGGAATCCAAGGAAAATCTAAAGGAATCCCTCCTTTAGAAAGGAAGCAAGGTTTTGGTATCATAGTTGAAAATTAAATGGATGGGTTAATTGGCAGATTAGACACAGCCGGCGAACCTGAACTGGAAGAGGGAGCTGAAGGAATTGCCCAGAAGGCAGAGGAGACAGAGGAGCGAGGAGGTGCCGCCGCTGAGGCGGGGCGGGGGGACGGGGCGGAGCTTCCCCGAAGAGCTTGCACAACGAGCGAGAGGCTGGCCTCAAGGAGTCTGGTTGAAAGTTCTCCAGAACTGATGAAATATGTGAATCTCTAGGCATGAGAAACACCACGTACACGAAAGGGATAATTACGAACGTACCCATAACTGGATAAAAGCTTAAAGCGCAGAGCAGAACGCAGAAGACACAGATTTACACTGACCCAGAGAGCAGCCTGAGCCCCGGCCCCGGTCTCACTGTGAACTCTAATCTGGCCGTAGGCTGAGCCCCGACCCTGGCGTCACATTGAGCCTGGCTGACCCGGGTCCCGGTCTCCGGCAGGACGGTGCAAGCCCTGGCGCTGCTGGCCTTCGCGGCGCTTCCGGAAGCCTGCGCTCGGAGAGCGCGGACGTCTCTGCTGGAGGCCCCTGGCTAACCAAACGGGGGCCCGCAGGGGCTCTCCCTTGTCGGGGAGCAAGAGCGCGGGGCAGCCACAGTGGGGCAAGCCAGAAAGGGCTTTTCCGCGGAGCCTGGCCACGCGCCTCTCTGAGCGCCGGCCCAGCGCCTCTGCTGCGGGGGTGCCCGCGGGGGTGGCGAAGGGTTCTGCCCCCGTTCCGGGGGGTCCAGCGCCACCTCGCGGCCACTCGGAGAATGCGCACGAGCCCCAGGCGCGCACGCGTCTTCCCGGACCTGGACGCGGACGTCGAGCTGGGGGCCACGGCGGGGAGCGCTTCGGCGTCCTCCCGGGACTTGGAACCGCCTCTGGGGTCACACCCAGGCGCAGAGCTGCTCCTCCCCGTCGGGGTGGCGTTCTGTCCGCCCGGAGTCGCTGGACCCTGGGTGTCGGCGGGATCCAGGGGTCCAAGTTGGGGGCGGCAGCAGCAGGCGGAGGCGCCAGGCCAGGCGGGCGCGGGTGGCCGAGGCGAGCACCAGCAGCGGCGGCAGCGAGAGGAAGCCCAGCACGATGAGCGTCGCGGAGCTGCGGTCCGAGAGCAGCGCGCGGCACGTGGGGACCGGCGCCGGGTGGACCTGGAGACAGGGCGCGTGGTCAGGGGGCGGGGTGGGCGGGCGGGGCCTGGGCGCGCCGGCGGGGCTTGGCGCGGAGGCAGGAGGTCTAGAGGGTCGGTGGCCGGGCCCGCCGTGGGCCTGCCGTTTCTGAGGCGAGGATGGGAGGTCAGAAATTCAAGCGGTGAATGGCCGGAGTAGGAATCACTTGCCGCGAGGCTCAGAGAATTCCCGCCCCGCCGTTGCCCGACCCCCGTCCCGCCAACACATACGCTAGCCTTCCACGGCCCTTTTCTGTGCTGGCACCTGACGGGGAGTCCCGACCCGTGAGTGTCACCAGCTGGCGCCACCGTCCCTGCAGCGGCCCTATGTTCGGTCTCCCTCCCCCGCCTTATGCCTATAGGAAGGGGACGCGGGGACCCCCCTGCCTACGCCCTCCCTGCCCCAGACCAAGCCCCAGCCCTTAGCACACGGGGACACCCAGCCCAGGGCGGGAGAGCTCTGCAGGGGCTGCGTGTGGGGTGAGGTGGGGTGGAGAGGGGCTCTGGGCTGGTAAAATCCAACGATATCGTCATCTCCTGGCTCCGGAACCGCCACCTCTTCCCACCCTGCTCCGCTGTCCAGGCGCTGGTGGCCCCTGGTACCAGGCTGGGGGCCCCAGGGGAGGGGAGAGAGCAGTTGCCCGCAGTGGGGAACAAAAGCCCTTTTTCTACTGTGGCCGGTGGTAGAGGAGGGGTTGGCAGGAGGAAGGCCCTCCAGGGAGGGCCATGCATGTCCTTGGGGACAAGGAGGCTGTGCTCGAAGGGGGACAATGCACCGTCAGGCCCCAGGGCCCCCGCCAGCGCCCCCGCCCGTGGAAGGCCCCACTCACCCTGGAGTGGCACAGGAATCCCAGGTAGATGAGGGCGGCTGCTGGCAGCAGCACCAGCAGGAATGTGGTCGCGGGCAGCAGCAGGTGGAGCAAGAGCCCGGCCAGGAGCCGGCCGGGCCGCAGCAGCAGCGTCCTGAGGCCGCGCCCCAGGGCGGGCGCCTGGTGTGCAGGGCGCCCTCGAGGCAGCATGGGCTCCGTGTCCGAAGCGCCCCCTCCCTCGTCCTCCTCTGCCTCCCTCTCCCGCTCGCTCCCGCTCTCGCAGGCCATGGGCCTGGCTGGCTCACAGCAGCCGTCGGGCAGCGATGGAGACCCCCAGGGTCGGCTCTAGATCCCCCGGTCAGACCGCTTCTCGGACCCCAGCAACCAGATGCAGCTCCGCGCTGGAGGGCAGGGCCCTGGGCCAGGCAGACCCTGCCCGGACCGTCCGCGCCCGGGGCCGCACCCTTGCCTCACGTCCCCCTGCTGCCAGGCGGGGTCTCTCTCTGCCGGGCGACCACAGCTCGGGCCCTGGCCGGCCTCCGCAGCTCCTGTCAGGGCTCCCACAGCTGGCCCTGGGGCCGGGCACAGGGGCCAGGCCCTCCTTGCTCCCGGTCCCGCCCTCTGCCCCCTCCCCGCTCCCCCCACAGTGACATCATTTCATAGATCTCGACTCTGACAACGGCCCCATCTGGAGCGGCCACATGGGGTCACCACCCCACCCCCGCCTCGCTCCCCAGCCTTGGTCCCTGCTGGTCCCCTCATCTCCGAACCCGGCCCCTCTCAGCCTCCACCAAACAGGGAAGACGCTGGGCGCCTGCCCCCTGGGGCTGTTGAGAGGGCCCGTGGGGCCCAGTGCACAGCTGGCGCGCGAACGGCGGCCACCGCGGCAGGCGGCCCTGGAAACGGGGGGCATAGGTCCTGTTATTTCAAGTGGGGAGGAAGCATACACCCTGCCCGTCCGCAAACCCCAGCTAAGGGCCCCAGACAGCATAAAACACTCCGACCAGCTCCCTGACCCCGAGGGTTTCCTTGCACAACGAGTGGACAGGGGCCAGCGAGCTGGTTGGGAGCTGACCCGGGGCCACGGGCACCCAGTGCCGACACCGCCGTTCACGCCTCCCCGGTCCCCTTGCCTCTCCCACTTCTCTTTGAGCGCGTTCCAGGCCTCGGGCTCGCCAGCTCCCTCCGACACCTGGAGTCGGGGGGACAACGGCCGCGGTTCAGAGAAACACAGGCCTGCGACAGGCCCGGCCAGGACGGCAGAGGCCCCTCCGCCAGGTGCACACACGGCTCACGCACGCCAAGGTCTTCTGTGGCCGTTCAATCAGAGGGTGAGCGTGAGCTAAAAACTGCTGCAGACGGTGACGTCGGGGCAGAGAGCGGTGAAGGCCAGCACACCTGTCTCACCTCCTTTCGGGCGCCGCCCTGTCCTCAGGTGGGTCGGCGCCCGCCGGGTGCCCGGCCGCGCCAGGCCCCGGGGGTTTAGTGGCAAGTGGGGCCGACGGGGGTGGCTCCGTGCGGGTGTCCCGACAGCCTGGCAGGCCCGGCAGAGGCCCCCTAGGCCGCAGCAGGGTGGGGGAAGGCCATTCCCAGACTTCCCGGCTCTGACGGGGGTGACTGGGCCCCCCAGGTGGATCCTCGGCAACAGCACGCCCTCTGCCGGCCCCTCACCCCGGGCCGCGCTGCTGTGATCTGGCCCATTCTTTTCGGGGTCCCCTATCGGGTGGGGTCGCGGGGAGCTTTCATTCTAGGAGAGGAAGGCAGATACTGAAATAAAACAGGTGCCTCCGTGGACTGACCAGGGGTAAGAAAGCGAAACAGGGTCAGGGACACGGTTGCCTCCCACTGATGGTCCGTTGAGGTTCCCTCTGGGGAGGCAACATCTGAGCAGAGTGACAGGCTTGTGGGGTAGGGTCCCCGCGGCTTGGACCTGAGTGGGGCCCCTTAGCCTCCTACCCGGAGACCCACCCTTTGGTTCCAGCACCTGTCAGGGCTGCTTTCTAGGGAGGGGCGAGGCTCTGTTGCCCCTCTTGGGGGGCGGGGTGGGACGGGGTGGGGCCCAGGTGACACCTCATCCCTGGGAGCCAGAGGGTGGGGGCTGGGTGGGAGCCACAGCCCCAAAGCTGTGCTGCCCCCTGGTGGACAGCGACGGGAGGCGGCTGGAACACCTCCTCCTCCCCCAGGCGGCCGCCCCCAGGGCCTGGGGGAGGGGGAGGCAGAGCCAGCCCCCACCCGGCCCCCCCTGCCCAGGGCTCCCGAACCAAGGCGATCCTCCTGCAGGCCTCACTCGAGCCCCTTCCTGCAGCACCACATCCCGACGCTGCTGGTCTCCTGTCCTGAAAATGCTCCCTCCCTCTCCTGGCCAGCGGTCTACCTGCCTCAGCCTCGCGGACTTGCCTCAGCATCTGCCTCAGGGGGCTTCCTCCCCAGACCCCCTTAGCTAGGCTGCCTGGCTTGGGAGGAAAGGGTCCCACCCCACGCTGCCCCCCTCCCCAGCCTGGAATCGGGGCAGCGGCCAGGCTCCGGCCTGGCAGTGGCCCTGGCAAGGACAGGGGTGTGGGACGGGGCAGGGCCTGAAGGACGGGCCCAGGAGGGCACGTGGGGGCCAGGGGCCGGGGCAGGGGCCCGTCCTGGCACTCCGAAGGCTGTGCTCCTTCCGGGATCTGCGTGTGCCTGCTTGCCTGGCCTTTGTCTCTCGCGGCCCTGGCGGTTGGCGGGGGGACGGGTGCTGGGGTAGGCGCTGCGGCTTCCAGGCAGGGCCTCTCCTTAGCGGCCGGATAAACAGTGTGGAGGAGTGACCCTTGGCTCTGCTCCCCGCCCCGCCCCCCGCAGCTCCAGCCTTCCCGCCCTCCCGGAGCGGGCGCACCTGCCTCCGCCCCCCGCCCCTTCTGGAGGAGTTCGTGGTGAGGCCCCAGGCTGTGGCTGGACCAGGATCAGCATGGAGAGTCCCCTCAGCCAGAGGACAGAGCCCCTGGGCAGCCTCCCTGTGGGGGTAACTGAGAGCCAAGCCTAACTGGTGCCCCGGATTCCTTCGGGGGCGGGGAGTCGAGGGTCTCTGTTGGCCAGGGGACAGGTGGGGTGGGGCTGGCCCAGGGCCACCAGCATCCAAGCAGGATTCTTGTTCTTCTCAGGTGAATTCTGGGAGCTCAGAGCCGGGAGCGCAGGACCTGACTGAGGCGGGAGCAGAGCAGGAACTCAGGTGGATCGAGCTGGGCTCTGAGGAGGCCCTGGGAGCAGGGGCAGAGGGGCCGGGCGCCCCACAGGCCGGGGGATGCCTGCTGCAGGCCGTGTGGGGCGGCCACCCAGGCCTCGCGATGCAGCTGCTGCGGCAGGGAGCCAGTGTGGAGGCGAGGTGAGCGCGGGGCCGGGCCGGGCCTCTGCAGGGAGTGGGAGGCAGAGGTCCCTTCTCTGAGCAGGAAGGATGGGGTTCTCTCAGGGGTGAAGTGGCACCTTCCCAGGCCGGTCCCTTCGCTGAACTGGGGAGGGAGGGCGGGCAAGTCTGGGTCTCCTCCCCGGGCCGCCCCCTGCCTCGCCCACGCAGCCGCCCGGCTCCGCAGGGACAGAGCGGGAAGGACCCCTCTCCATCTGGCGGTGCTGCGCGGCCACGTGCCCCTGGTGCGGCTCCTGCTGCAGCGCGGGGCGCCGGTGGGAGCCGTGGACCGCGCGGGGCGCACGCCGCTGCACGAGGCCCCCTGGCACGGGCACTCGCAGGTCGCCGAGCTGCTGCTGCGACGCGGAGCCCTGGCGGCGGCGCGCTCCGGGGCCGGCCTCACGCCGCTGCACTGGGCGGCCGCGCTGGGCCGCACGCTGCTGGCTGGGCTCCTGCTGGCGGCACCGGGCCCGGGCGCCGAGGTGGCGGACACGTGCGGCTGGACGGCGGCGCATTGGGCGGCCGCAGGCGGCCGGCTGCCGGTGCTGGAGCTGCTGGCGGCGGGCGACGGCGCGGGCCTGGACGGCGCCCTGCTAGTGGCGGCCGCGGCGGGGCGCGCGGCGGCGCTGCGCCTCCTCCTGGACTGCGGCGCGCGGGTGGACGCCCGGGACAGCGCGGGGGCCACCGCGCTCAGCATCGCCTCCGCTTCGGGCCGCCGGCAGGTATGTCCCGGCCTGACCCCCGCGTGACGGGGCGGGTGCAAGGGGCCGCCTTCACCCCAGGGGCTGTGCCGCGCACCGCAGGTGCGCGCACGGCGCGGGCAGGCGGGCGAGCGGGTCGCGCTCTCCGCCCGAGGCCGCAGGGCAGGAGGGGGCGGGGCAGGGGCAGCCTTGCCCGGGCTCCGGGTGTGTGAAGGCTCCGGGAAGCCTGGAGGGGCGTGTCCGGCCGGCCTTCGGGGTTTATTCTGGTGACGCGCAGCAACGAACGCCTGCTGAGCACCAGGCGTGGCCGGAGTCCCGCCAGCCCCCAGACCGCAGGCGGACGGCCGGTGGCTGCAAATCCTGGCTGTGGCCTAAGGACGCTGTGGGGACAAGTGCAAGCCTCTAAGCAGAGCTCCTCCTGGGTGCCGTCTCCGGGGGCTCCTTTACCAAATGGGGACTCAGCGTCGAGGGAAAGGCGGTTCGGTGACGCAGATCAGACGAGGTCTGGGTCGGGCCAGTGGCCCGGCGGCCTCCGCGCCTCACCCCCGTGGGCCCGGGCTGGCCTCCACCTGCCCTCCCCTCCTCTTTCAGGACATGGAGGTGCTGCTTGACCACGGAGCCGACCCGGGCCTCCCGGACAAGCATGGACGCGCTGCACTCCATAGAGCGGCCGCCAGGGGGCACCTGCCTGCCGTCCAGCTGCTGGCAGCGCGGGGAGCGGAGCTGGATGCTCGAGACTCCTTGGGCCTCACCCCCCTGCACCACGCCGCTCGGGGAGGCCACGTGGAAGTCGCCAGCCACCTCCTGGACAGAGGCGCACAGGTCAACGCAGCTGGCTGGCTCCGCAGGACACCCCTGCACCTCGCTGTGGAGCGAGGCCACCGCCCCACTGCAGAGCTCCTGCTGCGCAGGGGCGCCAGCCCCGCCCCAAGCGCCCCGTGGGGTCCGGTGGCCCAGGACCTGGTGTCCTCGGGGGGCCTGCCCCAGGCCAGGCCTGCCCTTGACTGGGAGCAGAATGACGGCTAGGGGCACACAGCCCGGCGCCCGAGCCCACACGGCCGGGGCCTGGGTCGCTTGCCGGGCCCCGCCCTCCTAGGCTGAGGCCCTGGCAGAGAAGGGGGACAGTGGCTTGCGCCCCCGCGAGGGTCCCACGGCCTGGCTTGGGACGGCCCCCTGACTCCTGGGGGCGCATCGCCTCTGCCACCACGGCCTTCCCCACAGCCTTTGCCAGAGAGACTGAGCCGTGGCCATGGATTCGTGGCCACGGATTTGACCAAAACCTGATGGTCCCCACTTTGTGTGCCCCAGGGTGTGGCCCTCAGCTGCTCTCTCTGCACCTAAGGAAGTCCTTCCTGTGCTTTCTTAGCCTCAGCATTTGTCTATTTCCCATTAACTACGGGGCCACGCCCAGGGCCACAGCGGTTTACGGCCCGGGGACCCAGAGCTCACACGCCTGCCCACCCGCTCGCCCGCGGATGGTGCCTGCCCTGAATTCCCAGGGCCACGTGCCACGGCCGAGCCCCCTGCGGTGTCCAACAGGCCGGCCCCAAACCATCCGGCCCTGCCCGGCCCTGCCCTTCCCCGGGGACCCGGCCCTGACGGGGCCTGGGCTCTGCCCGCCCCCACCCCTCACTGACACTGCTCTCCCTGTGGCCCTGCGGGGCCTTGCGTGGCCCCGCGTCTGGGCAAATACAATAAAATCTGCTTTCTGTGGCCTGTACCTCCCTGTTGCCGCTCGGCCACCTCCACAAATGAAAGCCCTGTGGCCCTGGCTGGTGCGGCTCAGCGGACTGAGCACCGGCCTGTGACCCTGGAGGTCGCCAGTTCCGTCCCCAGTGAGGGCACAGGCCTGGGCTGGGGGCCGGGTCCCTTGCTGGGGGCGTGCGAGAGGCAACCCATCAACGTGTCTCTCACACATTGATGTTTCTCTCCCTTTCTCCTTTCCTTCTCTCTGAAAAGAAACAAAATCTTTAAAAAAGGAACTGTTGTCTCCGACCGCCCGCCTCCATGTCCCCACAGAACATCATTGCCTTCATTCAGTTTAAAAGCGCACACCCGCTGAAAGAAGAGCTTCACCAGGCAGAGCTCGCCTTCCCACAGCCAGCACCGTCACGCCCAGGGAGCGCCTCTGCTCGGCCGTGGCAGGGCGGGGGTCTTACTCCCGGGGCCACAGCGGGCCCTTAGGGGGTCTGCAGGCCCGTGCGGCCGGCCAGGGGCAGAGCGGGCTGCACCTGGGAGGGGAGGCGGGGAGGCCCGTGAGATGCTGGCCGTGGCGGGCGGTGCAGGCAGCAGGCAGCGTGGGTGACTCTGCGGGCAGAGCCCTGTGCACTTGCTGATGGGCTGGACGTGGGGGGCCAGGGAAAGGCAGGGACAACCGTGACCCCTGGGGAGGCCTGGGCCCCAGGTGGAGGGGTCGGGGGTACTTCCCCTTAGACAGGAAGAGCAGATACGCAGATGACGTCGGGGGAAGGGGTGCGCCGTGCCGCCGTGGGAGTCCCCAGAGCACGGGGCGTTAGGAAGCTGCAGGGGGACCAACCGCAGGCGGCTGGCACCGACTGCGGCCTCTGCCTTCAGCACGCTCTTCCCCCGCTGCACCCGCGGCGGCCCGAGCCCCCAGCAGCCTGGCCTGCGGCGTTGCCGTAGCCGGGCCGGCCCCCATCCAGCTGGTCTTCCTGCCTGACCCCTTGCCTCTGCAGTCCGTTCCCAAAGCAGTAGCTGCGGTCTTTTTAATTTTTGTTTTGTTGTGTTTTGAGAGCATGTTTATTAAAGCTGGGGCAGTGCAACAAGGAAGGGAAGAGCGGGAGAGCCCAGGCGGGGCTGCTCTGGCTCAGAGCACAGTCAGAGCAAAGGGGGCCGTGGAGACAGGTTCGGGGGCTGAGCCTGGGGCAGGGAGCCACCGCCCACTGCTCCCCGGGTTGCCAGTCTCGTGGAGACCCCTAGAGTTCAGGAGACACGCCTGTGGGGAAGGGGAGGGGAGGGAGGGTGCGGGTGGGCTCCCGGGAGAGCACTCCCACGGCCACGACCTTGTTTGATAAGTTAGGTGACACTCTCCCGCTCAAAATCCCCCCAAGGGCTCCTGTCCTGGAGAAAGAAAACCGTGGTGTGGAGTGTGGCTCGCAGACGCCCTCTGGTGCCGTGCCTCTCGTGTGCTCCTGCGTCAGCGGGAGTGTGTACCTCCCACGCAGGCCTGGAGCCTTGGCCTTGGCCCCTTGACTGAGCGGACTTTTGTGACCACTGGCCGCCAGCCTGCTGCCGACACGCCGTGTCTTCCCAGGGCGCGCCAAGGAGGTGACACCGCTTCCACACTGCCTTGTCCTGGGGCCCCTGGCTGCCAAGCCTGAGCAAGCCCCGGGGCAGCCAGGAGGTCAAAGTCCTTGCGTGGCCTTCAGGGTCCTAAACACCCTCACCAACTGCATTCTCCAGCAGCAGACCCGCTTACTGGGCCTGGCCCTGGGACCCTCACTGGCTGCACTCCCCCCCACGCTGGCAGTTTGCTGCCCTTGACCACACCAGGCGGCTCCTGCCTTGGGCCTGGGCACAGGCTGACCCCTCCGCCTGGCTGATCAGCCGCTTCCTCCTTCTCTCGAACGTCACCCTCCGCGCCCTCTCCCGACACTATTTAAAACTCACCCGGCCAAAGGGAAAGCTCTTCTTCAAGGAGGACGCCAGCGGATACGGACAGAGGGCGGGCGAGTGTGCCCTTGGTGAGGGCGGGGGGCTCGTGCTGTGTCCGAGCGCGGAGCCATGCGGGCCCCCGGTAGCCACTCTGTCCCTGCACTTGTCACGTACTTCCAGTCCACAGCAGCCCTTCAGCCCACGGAGTGCTTTTCCTGGCAGCCCCGGGCGCGGGGCTGAATAAGGCAAAGGGACTGGGGCCTGGCCACCTCTGCCAGAAAGGAGACCCCTCAGCCAGGTGGCCAGGCGACCTTTGCTTTGGAACTACCATCCCCCCAGTGCCTCTCCCTCCTTCACAGGCGTCCCCCACCTCTGCCCACCCACCTCCGCCTCAGCGGCTGCTCACAGCAAGGCCGGCAATGATTCACAGTGTTTCTCTGCAAATTACTTATTAGGTGCGAATGCAGGGATGGTGGAGCAACCTGGAAAACAACACCCTCGCCAGCCAGTCAAGGCTGACGCCACCACGTGGGCACAGGCTGCTGCCTTGGCCTCCTGCCCTGGACCAAGGACACAATGTAATTAACGCAGGATTCCACCAAAAATGCATGACCTGATTCGGATCAGAAGGAAACATCGAACTCAAGTTGAAAGGCATCGGACAAAGGAGCCGCTACTTGTCTAGATGCTAAGGCCAAGAAGAGCAAAGAAGGGCTGAGTAGCAGGTCCAGATTACGACTGAAAATCAGACACAGCGAAATACAGTGCAGGATCCCGGGCAGGGACAAAGGGATACAGGACACTTAACAAAACTGGAATATGGACTGGAGGTAGACAACAGTATTCGACTAATGTTCAACTGCTGATTTTCATCAGGGACTGTGGTTTTTAAGAGAATGTCTTCATTCTTAGGAAATGCACAGTACAGCATTCAGGTGTCTCCAACTTCCTTTCAAATGGTCCCGAAAAACGCCACGGATGTGTTTATAAACATTTATAGCCCCAGGTGGTGTGGCTCAGAGGATCGAGCGCCCGCCTGTGACCCAAAACATAGCTGGTTCAATGCCCAGTCGGGGCACATGCCTGGGTTGTGGGCCAGGTCCCCAGTAGGGGGGCGCACAAGAGGCAACCCTCTCTTTCTCCCTCCCCTCTCTCTAAAAATAAAAAAAAAATCTTTAAACAATTTTCCTTAAATGGAGCAAAGTGTAAACAGTTGTGCATTCGGGAAAAGCCTACTGGGGAATTCCTTCAACTGTTGCAATTTTTCTAGAATTTAAAATTATATCCCAACAAAATGTCTCAAGAATTGCACTTACTTTATGCCTCTCCCTTCACTCATTTTTTTACTGTGGTAAAAGACACATAACGTAAAGCTTACCAGTTTAAGTATTTTTCAAAAACATGCATTTTTTAAAATTAACGATTTTCTTTACTTTTAGAGAGGAGAACGGAGGTAAAAACGTGGAGAAAAACCTGAGGGTGGTTGCCTCTCGCGCGCCCCCTACTGAGGACCCGACCCACAACCCAGTCCTGTGCCCTGACTCGGGATCGAACCGGCGACCCTTCGGTTCGGCGGTCAGCGCTCAATCCACCAAGCCACGCAAGCCTGCACCAACTCAAGCATTTCAAAGGGTCCCATTCGGTGGCGTTCAGGACTTTGATAGCGTTACGCAGCCACCATCACCACTATCCAGTTGCAGAGATCATCATCCAAAAGGAAACCTCCCCCTGGCAGCCGCTCTCCCAGCCGTCCCCGTAGGTTTGGTGTCCGTGGATCCGCCTAGTCTGGGCATTCCGTGGGACGCAACCGCACATGTGGCCTTCGCACCCCGTGGGGCGCGGTCCGGGATCACCCAGCGGAGGCCTGCAGTGGTCCTTTGATCCCCGCGGGGCACACGGAGGCCACATCCTGCGGACGCGTTAGCATTTCCTTCCCCACCGTCCTGGTCGCGCGCCTTGCACTCCACGCCCACTTCCAGGTCCCGCCGCTCACGAGCATGCGCACGAGAACGGGGCGGTGGCGGGGCTGGGGCGCACGCGCCATGCCCCGGAAGTCCCGGCGGGCCGCTGACCCGGAAGCTTTCGGGCGGCGCGGTGCGTGCGTCTTTGAGAGAGACCCCAGCCTGGGGCGCCATGGTCTTTCTCACGGGGCAGCTGTGGCTGCGGAGCCGCGTCACCGACCGCTACTGGCGGGTCCAGGAGGTGCTGAAGCACGCGCGGGTGAGTTGGCGGCGCACGCCCCGGGCCCCCGGCGCGCCCCAGGCGCGCGCGGGCCCCGCCCACAGCCCTCCTTTCCCGTTTCTTGACCCAGCATTTCCGGGGGAGAAAGAACCGCTGCTACCGGCTGGCCGTCCGGGCTGTAATAAGAGCGTTTGTGAAATGCACGAAAGCCCGGAGACTGAAGAGGAGGAACTTGCGGACGGTGAGCCTGGCCCCGGGGGTCCCGGCGTCCCGGCGTCCCGCCCCGCCAGCCGTGTCAACGCGGGCAGAGGGGCGGAACGGCCGCTCTCCCCTCCCGTCGGGGCTGCCGACGTGTCTGAGGCCAAACCCCGCATCTCAGGACACGGTCGGCTTCCCCGTCTTCCCGCTGCCGAGGCGGAAACCTCAGCGTCGCGCTCAGGGCCTCTGTTTCTCCTGTTGTCACACCCCAGACCCCGGTGGGAACCGGGCGGCCGGCGCCCAGCGTCCTCATCGCCATCGCACGGGCCCCCTCGTCGCGCTCCCGCTCCACCCAGCCGCCCCGCTGCGTCCGCTGCTCGCGCGCCCGTGTGCCGAGACGCGGGTGGCTTCCTTTCTTTCCCACTCGTGAGAAAGGCGAGCCCAGCCCACCCTCTACTCTGGGCTCTTTCGCGGCCCCGCTTCCTCCCACGCAGTTTGCTCGGGGCTTTTCGCGGAGCGCCGCGCAGCTCGCGCCTTCGTGACCTCAGCATCCACTGCAGCTCGTTCGGCGTGGTCAGTTTGTTTGTGGCTCGTCCCCCGCCCCCCGCCCCCAGCAGAAGGCAGGTTCCACGGGGGATCTTTCTCCTGTTGAATGCTGTGGCGCCGGGTCCGGATCAGCCACACTGTCCGTGCGGACTGAGTGAGGCTGTTGGGGGGGCTACAGCTGACCCTTTAAAATCAGCTACGATTCAGTAACCCCGGACTAGGACCCCAGCGCCGTGAACGCCCTGTGCACGCGGGATCTGTGCGGAGCGGCCTCTGCATCCCGGCGCTGTTTGCGCCTCGGGGAATAGAGGCCTGCAGCCCCTGGTCCCCGGGACCCTGCTGCGCTCTGTCCCGAGGAGGTGCGAAGAGGCGTGAGCAGGGCCTTGCGTGTGCACGGCTGCCGCCAGCGGTGAGCAGAGGTTCCTAGGGTAGGTCCCTGGACAGCGCAGCGCCCGGCGGGGACTTGTTAGAAATACAGATTCCCAGGCGCCACCTGCACCCACTCAAGCAAAAACACTGGAGGCGAGGGGGGCCCAGCGTCGTTTGAACAAACCCGTGGGCGATTCCGATGCTCCAGCAAACCTGAGAGCCACCGACGCGCGGGGAGAGTGGGCTCCACTCTTAACATCGAGTACAGAATGGTTGGGGAAAGGTCCCTCGTTCAACTGAGCAGATCCTCTCAGAAGGCATGTGCGTCACAGGCTCACCCTTCCAGACCCTTGCCGGCCCCCCCTGACCCTGGACCCGCTGCCCGCACGCCCTGCTGCTTGCTCCTTGCCAGCCAGGCCCTCCGCCGTCCAGCCCGAGGCCTCCCTCAGGTTGCTCGTCCCCCGAAGCATTTGCAGGGAGTGTTTCACGCCACGCGGTAGCCCTGGCCCCCGTGGATCCTTTCCGCATCTGCAGCCTCGTCTGTTCAGTCTCGCTCGTCTCTGTGTTCTCGGGTCTTGCTTGGTGCTCGCCAGTGAAAGCAGCTGGCGTCTGGACGAAGAGCACTCGCCGTTCATTGCTCGCTGCTGTTCGCTGCCTGTTTACCTGAAAAGAAAACACTGACTTTTCTATTTACCTCTTTTTTAATAAAGATTTTATTTACTTTTAGAGAGGGGGGAAGGAGGGAGAAAGAGGGAGGCATCATGCGGCAAACTGGGGACCTGGCCTGCAGCCCATGCATGTGTCGTGACTGGGCATTGAACCAGTGACATTTCAGTTTGAAGGCCAGCTCTCAATCCACTGAGTCATACCAGCCAGGATGTCTACTTACTTTTACAAAAACCTAGTTAGGTCAGAACCTTTTTTGGGAGGTATGGTTATAACACCTAATTAGCTTTTAAGCATCTCAGCGTTTTCTTGTTTCAGCTCTGGATTAATCGAATCACAGCTGCCTCCCAGGAGCACGGCCTGAAGTACCCAGCGTTCATCGGCAGTTTAATTAAGGTACGGCTGAGGATGTGGTGCCGTCCAGATGCTGAGCGGCTTCAGAAGCCGGCCCATGGGTGTGGCGGCGTGGGGTTGGCACCTGAACACTGCGCTCGTTCTCTGGGAGGAGTTCTGGCGGCTTCCGGGACTCCCTGCGCCAGCTGCCCCCTTGCCCTGCTGGTGGTAGGGCTGGAAGTGGACGCAAGGTGACAAGATGCGAGCCCTGGCGTTTCCCCATCGAAGGGAAAAGGTAGAGAAACTGGGTTCTAATTTCAGAGTTTTTACTCTGAGTTCTGATGAGGCAGCAGGTAAAGTTGAAACTCATGCAACTGAAAAGGAGGGAAGTGTCTTGGAGGGAGCAACCATGAGTCGCGAAATCCGGGCAATTGTTTGACCCGGAGATCATGACGTTCTGGGGGGGGGGGGGATGTGTTTCTGCCTTGTACCAGTGCCCGTCTTTGGTACTCAGTGAAGATCCTCGGGTCCTGCTGGGGGTCCTGAGGCTTGCAGAGAAGGGCTTTGCCCAGGACACACAGGTCCCAGGCGGCGGGGCAGGTTCCCCTCCTGCGTGTGCCACATGGAGACCGCCTGCCTCTGCACCTCAGTTTTCGGAGGTCACCTCCAGTTTTGCTTGGCAGACGACTTGTCTGTCTTGGGAACTGGAACCCCTGGTTTTGGTCCCTGTTCCTCTGCTTGTGTCTTGTCTCATCGTTGGTAAATGGAGACTCATCTCCTTTTCTGAACTGACCTCAAGGGTGACCCCAGGCCCGCAGCTGTAGTTCTGGGTGATGACTGGGCCCTGACCAGGGTCCTCGGTGTCCTGGCACCAGGACGGGGTGCCAGCCTCCTCTCCAGTCCCCTCCTGATCCACCTTCATCCTCCAGTGTGCACTCCCGGCTCCTGGCCCCCCGTGACCGCCCCGAACAGATGCCGTGTCCCGTGAGGGCAGAGCCAGCTGTGGAGCTGGGCGCGCGCAGGCGCCGAGTGCGACTGGGAGCCCCGCGGCGTGTCCCCCTGCCGCCGCCGCCGCCGCAGGACGCAGTCCCGACTCTGACACGGCTCTGCTTCTCTCCCCAGTGCCAGGTGGAGCTCAACAGGAAAGTGCTGGCCGACCTGGCCATCTATGAGCCAAAGACTTTTAAATCCTTGGCTGCTTTGGCCAAAAGGAGGCGACAGGAAGGATTTGCTGCTGCCTTGGGGGACGGGAAGGAGCCTGAAGGCGTATTTTCCAGAGTGGCACAGTACCACTGAGGGGACCCCGCCCTCCGCGGCCCGGTGTCTCGGGAAGAGGCTTCTCCCCATGATCATCACTTGGAAGGGGCTCAGCCATTTGCCGGCAGTGCGCTGCGCGCGGTCTGTGGTTGTGCCCACGCCACCGCGGCAGCGGGTCGGGGAGAAGCACCGCCTGTCCTCGGACCGGCCGGGAACGTCTCGTGTTTGCAGGCTGCGCTCTGAATAAAGCCCGCGTGGCCATCTGCCTGTGCGGTTGTGTCGTCTGGCATCAAGCAGATGTGGAGGGGGCCGCTGGGGGTCACCTGCGTCTGTGCCTTCCCCTCGGGCCCTCAGGTCCTCTCCTGCGGGGGCTGTTTGCACCAGGGCGCTGAGTTCTGACGCTGGCTCCCCTCAGGGCCCTGGGAGCCTCCGCTACCCAAAGCCTCAGCCCCACTCTGGCCCTACCTGTGCTTTGCTCTCCCTGCCAGCCTGTTTGCGTGCTGTGCCCTTCCTCCCCGGCCCAGGAGGGGCAACAGGCTGGTGACCATCAGATCGCCGGGTACTTGACCTCACCGAGTCGAGTGCAGGCCCACTCCACTAACAGGCTTCACAGTGGCTCTGCCAGCCCTGCCCCCCCCCCCCCCGCATCTGCCCTCCTCTGACCACTACCACCCAGAGGACGTGTCGGCCGCGACCTCCTGCTCAGGCCAGCACCTCCCTGCTGCCCTCCTGGGGGCTGGTTCCATGCAGCCCATCCTGAGCTGTGAGCCCCTCCCGCCTCAAGCACGCGCCTTCCCTGCGGCTGCCCTGGTCTCCACCTCCAGCCGCCTGGCACCGAGTCTGTACTTAGCCCCAGTGGCTCTCACCGAAGCCGCCTCCTTGAACCAAATCCGACGGATACTGTCAGCCCTTGACCCCAGCACCACGCACCCTTCCCTCCCTCTCCCCTCCAGGGCTCTGTGGGCCCCAGTAGCCTTCACGGCTTGCTGGTGACTCCTGCATTTATTGGGCGACGTACACCCGTCTCCCCTGGGTCTGCTCCTATGCTGGGTCCTGCAGCAACGCTGTCCTCCATCCGTCCCCTGGAGGTCTTCCTGGGAACCTTCCTCGGATCAGCACCCACCTCCAACCCCAGCCAGAGCCAGTCAGGGCTGGGCACCTGCTGCCTGCTGATCCGAATGTGCTTCTCTGTCCTCACCGCGGGCCAGCCTCTCTCCTGGCTCCACTCGCTGCCCTGGCCTTCTAGGAGCCCTGCTCCTGGCCCGTGTGTGTGACAATGGCCACTGGACCAGAAACATTTAGAGGCCCGGGGAGGGGTCTTGTTCCCTTTTTTGTTGCACGTAGTGCAGTGCCCGGCTCTGCACAGATGCTCGGTGCACACGCTCATCAGCAAATGGCTGCTGCTGGAGAAACGGTGGAGGGTTGGAGCCCCAGCCCTCAGGGTGTGGCCTGAGCACAACCTGCTGCCCTGGGGGAGCTGTTCTTCGTCTCCATAAAGGCAGACGGGAGTGTGGCAGACAACGGGGCTCTATCGGCAGCTCTGAGGCCTGGCCCTGACCTCTGCTGCTCCCTTACCTCTGGCCAGTCCCTGCCCAGGGGATGGACAAGTAGCCCAGGCAGGGCCAATGATAAGACGTTTGCTGGAGTTTCCAGACAAGAGGAAACTTCTTTCCCACCACTAGTCCTGGTGAACGTTTGGGTAACGGTGGCAGATGACTAAGACCCTGTCTGCCCCTCCGCCACAGCTGTGATAGCCGCACACTGACAGGTGGCGGGACACCACCGGAGGCCGGCAGGCAGCATCGCCAAGAGCGCCTGGCACAGCCGACAAGGGTGTATTGGGGCGTGGAGTCCAGAGGGATTCGTAAATTTATAAGCACCTCACGGGCTCCCGCCGTTTGTGGGACAAACCAAGCCCCTCACCACAGCTCCTGGGGCTTCCCGGCCTGGCCCTCCCACGGCTCCTGCAGGAACCTATGGCTTTCCTCACGCTGCCACGGGCTTTGTTAGAAGCATCGAATTAAACGTTCTAGCTACCCCTCTTCCTTGTGGGCTCAATTCTGGTTTATCTTTTTTTTTTTTTTCAATGTTTGTTAGTGTTTCTTTTGGACGCTATTTTGATGGCAAGAACTTTAGCGATCTGGTATTAATGTCTGTATCCCAAAAGCTGGATTCACTAAGAACTGGAAACTAATTACCACACCAACTGCCACGTTAATGGAAGCAAACGGGGGGAAAAAAGAAAAAGCCTTCTAAATAGATCCCGAATAAAGCCCAGAAACCTTAAGAACGCAACTCGCAGAAGCCCGGGTCCTGGAGAAAACACCTTTTGGCTGCCGAGCCGAGGAGAAAAGCGGGGAACGCAGGTGGCTCCGTGGGCGCCACACCTGTCTGCTCGCCAGCCCTGGAACCGCGGGGGGTCTCCTCTGGGTCCCTGATGAGCCGCAAATATGCCGGACATAAGGAAAAAGTCGGCCAGGTGTTCACGCAGCAAGAACGATTTATTCAGGGGGAAGAGACTGCGATCCGGAACGTGACGCCAAGGCCAGCCAGGCGGGAGTTTCCGCCCGGAGGAAAATGGAGAGAGTACCGGAGAGGGCTGCGGAGAAGTCGAGGGCAGGGGCAGTCACCACCCGGGTGCTCGGGCCGGACCCCGGAGGCGTCCCTGCCGGGCTCCCCGGGGACAGGGGTGTGGGAGCTGCTCCCACACACGCCCTGTCTGCGTTATCCTGTCTGCCATACATGTTGCCACTGTCAAACGCCTCTCAGGGGGCTTCCGAGGCCCCACCCCTCCACCCAAGCCCCCGACCACCGGGCTCCCACCGGGTTCCTGGAACGCAATCCAGCAGCGGAAAAACAGCCGCCGAACCCTAAGCGCGCCGTGGGGGAGGGGCCGTCTCGCCTAGTCACCTCGTCTCCGGCCCGGACCCTCCCCCAGTGCCTACGCGCTGGCCGCAAGCCCCGTCGGGAACAGCTGGACCCCCAAGAAGCTTTCGGGCTGCAGTGAGTGCGGAACTCCCCAGTTCCCGATTCTGCGAAGGTGCAGGCACACGGGCCTGGGCCGGGGTGGGCAGAAGACACCTGCAGCCAGTGCTTCCGGGTCGAAGCCCAGCTCGAGGTCTCCCGAGTGCCGCGGGGCCCTCTGGGTAACGAGCCAAAATCCCCACCCGCGCCTGATTCCGGCGTCGTCCGCGAGGCTGACGGGCAGGCCTCCTAGCCAATAGTAGCAAGGAGCCTCCGTGCCGCCCGTCGGTCGAACCAATGACACGCGGCCGGGCAGGGAGATCGCGGCTGTAGAACGTCGCGAGGAGCCGCCCTGCCGGGAAGGAGTCCGAAGAGGAGTCGGCGGCATAAAATGGCGGCAGCGACGGCGGCTGCGACCGCCGTGGCCGGAGCCCCGGGGCCCGCGGCCCCCGCAGCGGCCGCCGGGACCCCGGGCTCGGGGAACACTGCCCCGGGGTCGCAGGGAGTGCTGATTGGGGACCGGCTGTACTCAGGGGTGCTCATAACCTTGGAGAACTGCCTCCTGCCTGACGACAAGCTCCGCTTCACGCCGTCCATGTCGAGTGGTCTCGACCCCGACACGGAGACCGACCTCCGCGTGGTGGGATGTGAGCTCATCCAGGCGGCCGGCATCCTGCTCCGCCTGCCGCAGGTGAGGGCGCAGCCGCGAGCCTCGGGCCGAGGTAACCGCCGCGCCGGCTCCGGGGGAGGCGGCCAGGCCCTTTGTTGGCGGTGGGGCCCGCCCGGTCCTGTCCCCGCCCGGGCCCGGGCCCAGCGCTTCACCGTACCCGGCCCGCCGCAGGTAGTGAGGGAGGCGAGGCCGCGGACGCGAAGGCCCGTGTGATCGTGGGAAAAAAAAAACCAAAACCCTTTTTTTTTTAAACTGCCGAGAGCGCAGCGAAATCCGCGAGTTGTGCGCGTTTGAAACAGGGGTCCCTTTCGTTTTTTCTAGGTGGCTATGGCTACCGGGCAGGTGTTGTTCCAGCGGTTCTTTTACACCAAGTCCTTTGTGAAGCATTCCATGGAGGTGAGGGGCTCCGCCGGGGTTTCCGTCTCACGGAGATGTGTTGGCGGAAACCGGGCTGGGTGGCTTCCCGGGGCGCTCACGGGCCGGGTTCCTGCCCTTCCCAACGCGGCGTCGCCCCCGGACTTGCTGGGAGCCCCTAGTGCGGACCCCGGTGGCCCCGCTCCCCCCGCACCTGCTCTTTGCCCCTTCAGCTGCGGGAGGCCATCGGCGCTGAACAAACCTCTGTGTGTTGCAACGCTTGCATTTCAGCACGTGTCGATGGCCTGTGTTCACCTGGCCTCCAAAATAGAAGAGGCTCCCAGACGCATCCGGGACGTCATGAACGTGTTTCATCGCCTTCGGCAACTGAGAGAGAAAAAGTGAGTTTGTGTCACGTGTCATGAGCGTGTGTCTTGTTTTTTGGTTATTAAGCGATGCTCATGTTTCTGAAGCAAGATTCAGGGCGTGAGGTTTTTAAACATGTGCCTCAGGGGTCCCCAAGGTGCTGCTGAGCATGCGCAGGGCCGGGCACGGGCACTGCCGTTTGCTGGCGTCGGCCTCAGAAAGCCGGGGCTGGGCCCCCGCGCTGGCGCCCATGGCGTTCCGGCCGGCGGAGCCCCTGTTGTGGGACGGTGCTGCTCGGCGGCGGCACCGGGTGCGAACGGCTGCTCCTGCTGTGGTGCCGACAGAGCCGCCTCCAGAGAGGCCTGTGGCCCCGGCGCCCCTGCCGGATGGGCATCCTGCGGGGAGCGGCCCCGCTGCCGAGGGGTCCTGCTTCCTCTGGTTCTCCCGGTCCTCGCTCCTCCTTGGCACGTGCCCGCGCACGGTGGCCGGGGCGCGGTGGCATCTGCAGGGCCGTGTCTCTGAGCAAAGGGGGAGGCTGCCCCGGGGACCTGGAGGGCAGCATCGGGGTCAGGCGAAGCCTCTGCTTGAAGGAGACGGGGCCTGGCTGCCACACCCGCGCCGGGTGTCAGCGGGCGATTCTCACCCCTTGGGGGTGGTTGGGATTGAAAGTGTTTTATTTGACTTTCCACATGGTGTCTCCGTAGGAAACCTGTGCCCCTGGTGTTGGATCAAGAGTACGTTAACTTAAAGAACCAAATTATAAAGGCAGAGAGACGGGTTCTCAAAGAGCTGGGTTTCTGTGTGCACGTGAAGCACCCTCACAAGGTGGGTATGAGGCCCTGCGCCCGCAGGCCCCCTGAGCCCCAGCCCTGCCCTCCCCGGGGAGGCGGGCCCAGGAGGGTTACTGCCCCTGGCGTGGCGTGCCAGTCACGCCCAGGACCCGGGAGCACTTGCGCGGCAGCCTCCTGCGGCACCTGCTGATTTCCGTAGTAGGCCTTTAAGGGCCTTGGGAAGGGCACCTGACAAGGGCGAGCTCAGAACAGCAGTGAACTAGCGAGGACGGAGCCTGCCCCTTCGCGTTGTTCTTTCTCAACAGCTAGTTCCCTAGAGTTGCTTTGGCGACGGCCTCGTTCCCTCCTAGGAGGGGCCTGGAGAGCCCTGAGCCCTTCCTTTGGGAGGTGATGGGCGGCGTGGCCGTGGGGTTGGTGGCGGAGTGGGGCCCTGCTGTGCCGCTCGGACGCAGAGCTCGTCCTGGGAAGGCACTGCCGGTGGCGGGGGCGCCGCTGCTCTCGCCCCCTTTCCTGGGTGGCGTCCTCGTGCCGTCTGTCGCTCTTTTAACTTTCTGCCATTAATTCAAAGTCTCAGTACGTCGCTCACTGTGGGTTTAAAAGCTTTTCTCCATTTGTCGGAAGTACTTTCACTCAGTGTCATGTGCACGGTGGTGACCGGGCACAGGGCTGCTCAGGGCAGGCGGATCTCCCTGCTGAAAACGCGCGAGCAATGGGCCTGCCTGGGGCGCCGCCCAGGCCCCGAGCGTCCCTGCTGCCCGGCTGCCCGGCTGCGAAGGCCGGGAGTGGGCGCGTCCGCGCTCGTTCCTCCAGCTGCGCGGCGCCCCAGGCCTGTGGCCCGGAGCCCCCCGGGGTCTAGCACGAGGCTCTTACGTGCTGCGTGGACACTCTCAAGATCTGAGTCCCGGGTTCCCGAGGCTCGTGGTAATAACTGCTTGACCCGTATCTTCCAGATAATCGTTATGTACCTTCAGGTGTTAGAGTGTGAGCGTAACCAGCACCTGGTCCAGACCTCATGGTGAGTTGACCTTCCTTGTTCTGTGAGACCAGCCGGGGCAGTGCAGGAATGTGTTGATTTGAGGCACTTGGGCAGTGGGTAGTCAGCCCCAGGACGTGGTTGTGGGCTGGAGTTGTCTGAGTGCCCAGTGTTCCTGCCGTGTAAATCCCAGCCAGCCTCCCAAATGTCAGGCACTGGTGTAACGAACGGTAAGGTGGCCCACACCCTCCGCCGACCCTGGAGAGCAGGGAGCAGGCGTCCCCCGCGGGCTGGGGGCTGGGCCCCCGGCGTGGTGCCCTGTGTCTCCCCTGACATCGCTCCCAGCTGCCTCTCTAGGAGTCTCGGGCGGGGTGGGCAGCAGAGTTTGGCTACGGTTCTGGGGCTGGTTTTAATGTCGACATTAGAAATGAAGCCTGAAGTAACAGTTCAGCGCTGGGTGCTTTGTAAATTTTTCCCACTGAGGGGAAAAGTCTGTAAGGGTCATATTTTTGCTGCCTGAATTGTCTGGTGCTATGTCTAATAGAGAACCTATTTTGACTTTTCTTTTCTGTACTCTTTCAATCAAAGGGTAGCCTCTGAGGGTAAGTGACTAAGACTTCTCCTCTACTGTCCAAGCGCTTCGGTGCAGGGACAGCGGCCGTCCTCAGCCACTCCGGGCAGGCTCTCCACCGAAGGCTGGCTCTAGATGGTGGTATGCGCACGATAGTCTAGTGCTGGCCCACTGCTGCTGTGGTTCTGGCGGTCGCGCTTCTCCTTAACCCTCTGTCGTGCCTTGGTAATTGTATGGATTAGACTTGATCGCTGTCTTGACATGAGATTTTTGTCCCTTTAAAACTGCTGTACCTACTTGTGCAATAAAGATGCAATACCTTTCTCTGAAAAGAAAAATCTATTATGGAAAAGCTGTAAGAATTGGCTGATGGGAGTCGAGGCTTCATTATGGGATTTTGGCTTTCCTTCCGGAAGTTCCAACATTGCTCTTTTCAGCACCTGAGTGTTGACACTCTGGTGAAAGGTTTGCATCTTTAAACTCTTCCAGGGACATATTTATATTGTAATATTTCATAGAGAGCAGTAAGTTTAAATGTATGTTTTGGGAACTTTGTTTTTAGTACTTTAAAAGTTAATGGATCAATATTATTGCTGTTTGGGTACTGAGAACTCGTTATTAGAACAAAACGCTTGTGAAATGTTGCACGGTGCACTGGCAATGCTCGGGGTCGTGTGGCCGTGGCGCCGGCGCCCAGCCTTGTCCTCAGTTGCCTCCTGACACCTGGAGCAAGAGCTTCCAGAGCCAGGGCCGCTGGCCGGCGCCTGTGGAACTTACACTGTCTGTCCCCTCCGGGGCTCAGGAGCCACAAGTCCGGGGCAGGGTGGGGGGGGCGGGCGGGGGCAGATCCGTCAAATCCCAGCGGGACTTGGCTCACTGTGGGTGCAGCCGGACACTAGTGTTGGGGTGCGCGGGGAGCAGTGACTATATTACCTGTTCACCTGTTTTCTCATGGGATTAATCTTTTGTGTGTGCAACACTGATAAAGTTTAATATGAGGTCTGATTTCGGTCTGTTAAATCTTAGAGAAATATATATGGAGAAAAATGTTAAATGTAGCCTATTTTAAAACCTGTTAACTTTGGGAAAATGCCGATGTTTTTTGTATTTCTCTGTTTCCTAAAGTGCGGTAACATCTTTAATGCACTGAGTGTGGTGACACTTGCAGTATTTTGTTGCTTCTGCTTGACTTTGTGAGTGTTCATTTTAAGACTCCTTGTTGCAATGGGACACTTTGGAAACGGGTCTTTGCTAAGCCTGTGAAGAGGACCGGCTCCTGGGCACCGAGCCCTCTTCGCCCGAGGTCCCCAGCCCCCCGGGCGTCTCCCCGCCCCGCGGACTCGCTGTGGAAGAAGAAGGGCCAGCCTGCGGACACCCCATGAAGGAAGAGGAGCGCGAGAGGACACCTGGTCTCAGAAAAGCCTGTGGCTTCGTGCTCAGCAGTCCATTGAGTTTGCATGTTTCTCTGCACTACGGATTCTGAGCGTTTAGCTCTCTCTAACCCAGTCCTTTCTCGCCCCTCCAGTAGCTGTTTTCTTTCCGAGGCATTGCGCTTTGCATGAGAGCAGGCCAAAGTTGAGAGGGAAAAGTAAAGTTAAAGTTGGTTCTCTTTCATAGCAACACGGATTGTGTGACATTCAGCCAGCTTAAAAAATTTTTGCCAACAATTTCCCTTCTTCCCATCCTGTGTTCAGGAAAAGCAGTTAGCGCATTTGCCCCTGAGTCCGAGGGCTGCAGGACTGCGTAGCCCCGGTCCCAGCAGCAGCCTCCTCAGGAGCAGTGGCCTCCCCGGGTGACACAGACGGGAGCCTGGGTGGCCAGTGTGTTGCAGTTTCTCCTGCCTTTGGTTTCAGGAACTACATGAATGACAGCCTCCGCACAGACGTGTTTGTGAGGTTCCAGCCCGAGAGCATCGCCTGCGCCTGCATTTACCTCGCTGCCCGGACGCTGGAGGTCAGTGCCACGCCCCCTCGGGCCCCCAGGCTGGCCCTGTCCCCGCCTCCAGGACGCTCAGGGGGCGTCTCCAGGCTGTGCCTGTCAGTGCCAGCGAGAGGCCGCCACCTCGGCGACCCGCGAGCTTGCTGGTCGAGCACCAGAAATGTCGGCCAAGCGCAACCCTGACCACGTTTTGTGTTCACAGATCCCTTTGCCCAACCGTCCCCATTGGTTTCTTTTGTTTGGAGCAACTGAAGAACAAATTCAAGAAATCTGCTTGAAGATCCTGCAGCTCTACACTCGGAAGAAGGTGGTTCTGTGTTTTACCCGCCCTCCCCACCCCACCCCCACCCCCACCTAATGCACGCGTGTGTTCAACTAGCAGCGCCCGCTGCTGAATGGCTGGGTTGCGCTTTTCCAGGCTGACCTGACGCAGCTGGAAGGCGAGGTGGAGGAGAGGAAGCGCGCCGTCGAGGAGGCGAGGGCGCAGGCCCGGGGCCTGCCGCTGGGCGGCCCCCCGGCCCTGGACGGCTCTGCGGGGCTCTCGCCTGCCCCCAAGCCCGGTGAGCCGCCGCCCACAGGGCGGCCCCCTTTCTCCAGAGCTGTCCGAGCGCCGCGGCCCCCCGAGTCTGCATGCACACCGGGTGGCCTTTGAGATGGGATGGGGCCCCTGAAGGAGTTTGCTTCCGTCGTCTCTCGGTTTTACTCACAGTGGCTGTGGATGGGCTTTCCAAAACGCTTCTGCGTGCCCAGCCTCCCCAGCTGTGTAGATCTGTGACCGTAGACTGTTGTCGGGCCTAGGGTTAGCGTGGCGCCTGGCCATTCCCTGAGGGAAGCCAAAGCCCGGCAGGCGGCCTTGAGCGTCTCTTCGGTGCATGCTTAGGTTCTGCGTCCCAGGCTGGGAGCCGGGAGTCGGGATGAGCATCTCTCCCTGAATCCCACAGAGGTGACGCCGACTCGTTCGGCTGCCCCGTTTTGTAGTTGCTGAGGATCGGGTTTTAACTTCTCGTACATGGTTCTAGCGGAATCTCCCAAAGAAGGAAAAGGGAACAAGGCCTCCCCACTCTCTGCAAAGAATGCCAAGAGGAAAACCGAGGGGGTGAAGAAAGCCAAGGCCGACAGCCCAGTGAACGGGTGAGCGCCTGGGTGTCCCGGGGGCCGTGGGGGCTGACGGAGCTCAGGCCCGTGACTGCTGCTCTCTGTTCTCAGCTTGCCGAAGGCGCGCGGCAGTGGGAGTCGGAGCGGGAGCCGTGAGCAGAGCTACTCAAGGTCCCCGTCAAGATCCGCTTCTCCCAAGAGGAGGTGCGTTCCTGGGGAGCCTGCGCCTGGCGGGAGGGCGTCTTCCCCAGGGTACAGAGGCGCTGTGGCCATCCGTCAGGCGTTAGGGGCAGTCGGTCAACCTGTCCTTCACAGGAAAAGCGACAGTGGCTCGACATCTGGAGGGTCCAAGTCCCACAGCCGTTCACGAAGCCGGAGTGACTCACCTCCAAGACAGGCGCGCCACCGCAGTGCTCCCTACAAAGGCTCCAAGGCGAGGAGCTACCGGAAGCCAAAGGACTGCAAGTGCCCCCCGCAGAAGCCACACAAGTCTCGAAGCCGGAGCTCCTCCCGCTCTCGAAGCCGCTCACGGGAGCGGGCAGATAATTCCGGGAAATACAAGAAAAAAAGTCATTATTATAGAGACCAGAGACGGGAGCGTTCGCGGTCTTATGAGCGAACGGGCCATCGCTACGAGCGGGACCACCCCGGCCACAGCAGGCATCGGAGGTGAGGTGCGGGGGTCCTGGAGGGCTGCCCTCCAACCTTTGGCGTGACTGGCCTGTGGCACGACTCTGTTTGTAAATGGTGGTTGACTCTGGACCTCATGATGAATTGGAGATGGAGTCGAGAGGTTGGCGAGGTGCCCCTCGGGTCGGCCCGGGTGCGGTGCGCTCCGGCCCGAGGAACAGGGCCCGCCGCGCCTGCAGCCCCGCGGTGCCGAGCCACGGGAGGCTACGTACATCCCGGTGGTGCGGGTCGGTGCTAATGACAGGCTGTCTTCACTCCCGTCCCGATACTCAATTACGTCAAACCAAGAAAATGATTTTTAGAACCTTTGCCTATATTAGGTTGTACTTATGTACATATTTTGCAGTGTTTCACAATGATAAAATGGCCTTAATAGCCCCTTATTCTCTATCCACATTGTAAATAAACATGTGTTTAATACAAGTTAAAGCTATATATGAAAACTCAGAACTTGAATTCTGTCAGCTTAAAACTTGTGTAGAGAATCCTGATTTTTAAAATGTGACCGTATGTAGATCTGTGCTGAAAGCCGTATATTTTTATCTGCGATGCTGAGTGCGGGCCACCAGCTCCTAAAAAGAGGTTTCCTATATATATGCATTTTATGTGGTTAAATAAACACAGTTCTCTCTACTCAGGACATTTGGAACATAAAAGACTGTAGCTTGTCCTGCTTGCTCCTGCGCACGGCCCGCAGCACCGTCCTGGCGGTGCGTCCGCGCTGCCGTCTGGTCTCACTGGCGGTGTCGCGTGTGGAGCTCCTGTGCGCCTGCCCTTCTGTCGGAGGCTCACAGGGACCTTGGCCCTCCGCACGTTCTCGCAAAGGCTGCTGCCTGTGCGCAAGCAGGCGAAGGTTTGGAGAGTGCGGAACGGCTTGCGCCCGCGGGATGCCGGTGTGTAACCTCTGGCGTGTGCCAGGCTGGCACAGCCAGGAACGAGGCATCAGGAGCGTCACCCTTGGCGGTGCCCCCTCAGAGTGGTGGCAGGTGAGTGGGCGGGGCGGCGGGCCTCAGGGCTGCATCCCAGTCCAGGGTGGGCTGTGAGGGTCGAGGGCAGTGGGGACCTGTCATGTGCCCGGAGGCCTCTCCCAGGCAGCACCTGTGCAGCGGGGAGGGTGCCAGATACGGCCGTCTTGGTGCCAGGGGGCCTGGAGAACGGTGTACGAACATCACACGGGCGAGGAGATGTGAGAGCAACAGGGTCACCGACCAGGCCCCCGGAGGCGTGTGCTTAGAACCAAACCATAGGAGCCTGGCAGGCCCCGCACGGACCTTCCCGGTTGAGCAGCCCCCCATGGGGGGAGGGGACAGCAGCACCCGGAGACGTCGGGGAGAGTGGCACCTAGAGCCCACAGTTTCTGACACACACACACAACCCCTGCGGGCGTGTCCAACGTCCACTGCTCAGCTAGGTTGGGTCCTGGGGATGACCAGGCCTGGCCACTTCCTGTTGGGACTCACTGGCAGAGCCGCGGCTGGGATTCCAGAGTCTCCCGCGACATCCATCACCCCTGCAGGTCCTTCGGGAGATTCTTCCATCCCAGCCGCCCCAGCGGGGGGTGAGGTGGGGGGCCCTTGGAGCCCCTACCCTGGGGTGCAGCAGGGCTCGGCCAAACCCAGTGCTCCATGGAGGCTGCTTTCGGCTTTTGGACAAAAACAGGTTTCTGATTTTTCTCTCCACAGGCACAGTCTGGGAGTTTGCTTTAAAAAAAAGGAAAGGATCCCCGGCCGGTGTGACTCAGAGGACTGAGCACCGGCCTGCGAACAAAGGGTCGCGGTTCCATTCCGGGTCAGGGCACAGGCCGGGGCTGCGGGCCAGGTCCCCAGCCCAGGCCTCCAGCAGGGGGCGCGCGAGAGGCAGCCACGCGTGGATGCCTCCCTCCCTCCCTCCCTCGTCTCTGCAGTAAATAAAATATTTAAAAACAAGTAAAAAAGGAAAGAAGTCCGGCTGGTGTGGCAGATCGAGTACCGGCCTCGGGGTCGGAAGGTCGCTTGTTAGATTCCCACTCGGCACGTGGCCTGGGGTGTGGGCGGGATCCCCCGTTGACGTGAGGCAACCGGTTTTTTTTTTTTTCTTTTCGCACTTGGACTCTCCCTTCTCTTTCTAAAACTAAGTAAAATCTAAAAACAAAAACAAAAAACCACCTCTGCGAGGGGCGGAGTCCCGGCCGGCAGTGGTCGCCAGTCTGTCCCCTTCACGCCTCGCCCCGGAGGGAGGGGCCGGCGGAGGCCAGGCCCCGCAGGCCCAGCAGCTCCGGGTTCTTCGCGTCCAGCCTCAGCGGGCGCAGCACCTCCGTCGCTTCCGTCGCGCCGCGGACTCAACTTCCGTCGCTAGGATGACGTCCTTTTCGCAGTCCCGAAAAGTTACTTCCGCCTGCTGAGCGTACCGGACCTTGCCGTTGCGAGGTCGGGCCAGGCGGGCGCAGAGGCCCTCGCTGGGGCTTCTGGGAGTTGTAGTTTTCTCGCCTTCGTAACGACCTGGCGGAGCCGGCGAGCTGTGGGCGTGCGGGAGGGGGGCGGCTCCTCCGGCCGGAAACCACGGCTTTCTGCCCCCGGTGGGGCCCGAGCCGACGCCAAGTCGAGTTCCGTAAGGGCGCCAGGGGGCGCTGGACGCACGAATCGCCGTGCGGCGGCTCCCGGGGCAGGTTTAGGAACGGACCGGAAGTGTGTGAGCGCACTGGCGGCGGAATGGTCAGTTTTAGTCCCTTGGGTCGGGACTACGGAAGGTGGACGGGCGGGCGGGCTTCGGGGACAGCTGAGAAAACTGCTGGACGTGGGCCGCCGGCCCGGAGCCCACCCGCGGCCGCGGTGCGCCGCTCCCGGCCTTCCGGGCGTTGGGGCGCTGACCCGCCCGGCGCGGTGGGGGCCTCGGGGTGAAGCTGAGGCCCAGGGAGGGTCGGCGATCTGGCCAGGTTCGCTCGTGACGGAGGCGGGGTCTGTGTCCGCTGCTGGCCGTCGGACGGAGCGAGCCGTGTTGGAAGTGAGGTCCTCGCGGTGGGAGGGCGTGCGGAGGGGACGGGATGCCGGATCGCGGCGGGCCCGCGGGGCCCGGGCCCGCCCGCCGGGGCTGCTGCGCGCGCCGCCGGCCGCTCCCGCGTGCCCACAGCGCGCACCTGTGTTCCAGCTCCCCTGAACCCCTGGGAACCCACCAAGCATGTTCCTGGCGCGTCTGACTTCTCAGCTGCTCAGGGTCGTTCCCCGACCGGGTAAGAGGTCGCGCGGGGGCGGATTGGCGCGATACACACGGGGTTAGGAACGTACGGCTCACGCGTGGAGGCCAGGGTCTGGCGCGCCGAGGGCCCGTCAACAGCCAAGCATCGCAAAGGGGACGCCTGCCCCCCGCCCACCCCCGCCACCAACCCCGCCGAATGTCAGCAGCGGTGTAGGCCAGGTCACTCAAGTCTGGGATGGAGCTTCTGCCCCTGGTCCCCTGTGGTCCAGGGGGCCGCGCCTGGGTCTGGTGCAGCCTGACAGGTGCTAACTGCCCTCCTGTTTCCTGCAGGCCTCAGCCGGCCGCGGCCTGGGTCAGCGCCGCTGGGCAGCCGTGTGTGCCGGCCCCGCTATAGCACGCAGCCAGCAGGCCCCGGTCGGGCCGCCGTTCTCCCCGGCAGGGGCGTCCAGCTGGAGCTAGAGGAGATGCTGGTCCCCAGGAAGATGTCCATCAGCCCTCTGGAGAGCTGGCTGACCGCCCACTACCTCCTGCCCAGACCGGGCGCAGCGGCCCCAGGGCCTGGGACTCCGGCCCAGCTCCACGAGTGTCCGCCTAGCCCGGTTGGGGAGGGGGCCGAGCCGGGGGGCGAGGGCCTGCGGGATGCACCCCATATGCAGTGCAAAAACGTGCTGAAGATCCGCCGGCGGAAGATGAACCACCACAAGTACCGCAAGCTGGTCAAGAGGACCCGGTTCCTGCGGCGGAAGGTGCGGGAAGGCCGCCTGAAGCGGAAGCAGGTGCGTGCGGGCCCTGAGTGCCGGGCGGCGGGCGGCTGGGCGAGTGGGGGCCGTGCCACAAACCAGCGCGGGGCCTCCCTCTGCCCGCAGATCAAGTTCGAGAGGGACCTGAGGCGCATCTGGCTGAAGGCGGGCCTGAAGGAAGCGCCTGCGGGCTGGCAGACCCCGAAGATCTACCTGAAGGCCAAGTAGCGCGAGGGCGGGGACCCTGCGCCACCGCCGCTGTCCGTCCTAATAAACGTTCACAGAGCCGCGCTCGGTCTGCGCCTGCGCCTGCGCCTGCTCCGTGTGCGCTGCCCCGCGCCCCGCGCCGGGGCCGCCCCGGGTGTCGGGGGCCCTGGGAGCAGACTGGCAGCCCCTCGGCCAGGCGGGCCCTCGTCCTGGGGCCGGGCCTGCGAGAACGGGGGCCTCACAGTTTGGGACAGTCCACCGTGGGAATGGGGGTGAGCGGAGGCCCAGCCCTGCCCGTAGGCCTCGTCCCTTCCGCGGGGGCGGGGGGCGGGAGGCGGGAGGCGGCCGGCGGCCTCTCCACGGTCACCCAGAGAATAGTGCTGGCGGGCGGGGAGCACCCAGGCTGACGTTGCGATGGGGGTTGGGAGCCTCACTGGGGAGGCGGGGAGGGGAGGCAGGAAAGGCCTCGGGGCCCCCCAGAGGTGACGGGCGGTGTCCTGCAGGCTTCAAGGACCTCGGTCTCAAGTGGCCCCCTGAGCCGCCCCACTCAGCTGGGGCTGGGGCCTCTGCCCGCTGTGAGCTCCTGGTCCTCCGCCACTTCCTGGGGCTCGAGTGGGGTGGCCTGGAGGGTGTGCCCTGGCGTGTGTGCCCTGGCGTGTCCAGGGGCGGGGCGGGCTGGGGGGGCGCTGTGTGCGGAGCTGAGGAGCCCTGGAGGCTCCATGGAGCCCGGGGCCCCCAGCGGCCCCGGGGTTCCTCCTGGGTGGAGAGGGTGTGCTACCTCCGACAGTGGGGGGCAGGGCCCGTTCTCAGCACCTGCCCTGCTCCCTGGCTGAGTCAAAGCGGGACAAACCAGGGCATTTTTCTCAGCTTTCTCCAGTCCCCCACCCGTGTGGGGTCACTGACCATGGGGCACTTTGTCACAGAAACAGGTGGGGAGCCTGGGGTGGAGATTCCTGTAGAGGAGGCAGATCCATGGGCGAAGGGGGCGTGGGGGTCCCAGCGGGGTCCCTGGGGCTGAACAGACCCCACTGTGCTGTGAGCTCACGGTGCAGGGAGCCAGGGGCCCGGCCCTGGGTGGGACCTCAGGGGACCTGAGGCCGCCGAGGGCACAGGCCTGCTTCTGCTGGTGGCTGCAAGGGGGCAGCAGTCAGGTCCCCTGGTGGCCCCCGGTGCCTGGGCTGAGGACTGGGGTGCAGCAGACCCTCCCTCCCTGGGCCTGCCTGGCCACAGCCCCGCTACAGTGGCGCCTGGGGGCTCAGACGCTAGAGCTGCGGAGTCCTGGGGGTGCGGCTGGCCAGCCTGTGCAGGGAGCCACAGATCCAGAGAGCAGGGGCCTGGCAGAGCGCCCCAGGGGCCTCCATCCTGGGGCAGGTGCCCTTGGCCTCGCAATCCCTGCAGGGCAACTGGTTGTCACAGCGGGGGCACTGCTGACGGCAGCGGGTGCAGCCGGGGTGTGCTCAGTGCCCCCCTGGGCGCGGGGCGGCCCCCGCCGCCTTAGAACAGCTAACCCCAAGGCTCTGGTGTCAGAGCCACGGCTCGCGGTCCACCTGGCCCTGGCCCCGGCCCCAGCCCCGTTGGGGCAGCTCCAGGGCCCGCCCGCCCCCTCCACCCCCTCCGCCCCTGCTGGGTGGCCTGTTCCCAGCTGCTGCCTGTGGCTGGGATGCCTGTGGGCCCCAACCACGAAAATTCTGGGGTTTTATTTTTATCTCTGCAGCCCCTCCCAGCCCACAAGAGGCTGTCCCCCCCCTCTCCCCAGGAGAGCCTGCGCCCTGCCCCCCAGGCTGTGGGAAGTGCAGCCCTGTTCCGGCCCTGGGTACCCCCTCAGCTGGAACACGAAGTGGGTGGGTGGCCGGAGGGCCTGCAGGCTGCCTGTGGGCTCTAGCCCTGGCCTGAGGCTGGCCCCTTGCCCCAGCCCCAGCTTTGCCCAGCAGGTTCCTAGGGCTTGGAGCGGGGGCGGGGGGCGGTCTGGGGCACTTGCCAGGGACCCTGCCTCCTGGGCAGCTGCTCCATGCCTGGGGCAGGCCGGTGTTCTCTGGCCTGAGCGTCCACCCACGTGGTGGGCCAGGCAAGGAGCCAAGGAGGCTCAGGCCCTGTGGGCGGCACTGATGCTGGGTGCTGGGTCCCAGGGAGCCAGTGGGGGCCTCCCACCTGCAATGGCCAGGGGTGGACGCGGCGCAGGTCTCTGCCAGGGCGCAAAGAGTGTCGGGGCGGGGCTGGGAAGAAGCCGCTGCCTGGCAGCCCTGGGCCGCCCCAGGGAAGGACACCCCTGCACCACCTTCCTCTCCAGGGCTCAGTTCTGCAGAGTCATTGAAGGGCCCTGGGGCTGCGGCCTCAGGGTGGGCCAGCAAGTCCTCGCGGGGGAGAGGCGGTTAGTAGCCTCCACGAGGGCCGGAGGGCGGCCCCTGAGGCCAGCCCACGCCCCCCGAGAGCAGGCGTGGACCCGAGGGTCGCGCGGCGGGGCCGCTCCCCCCGCCTGGTGGCACCACGCTCCCTCCGTTACCCTGGAAGCCACGCATGACAGGCCCGGCACTGGGAACGGGAGGGAAAGGGGCTCGGACTTCCACGCCTGAGCAGTGTTCACCCTTTAAGAAAAGTCATTTCCTGCTGAATCCGCGGGCAGAGGGAAGCCGGGACAGTGGTTGGTTGCTGGCTAAGCTGTCAACTCACACAGAGCGGACGCTGCCAGGAGGCCTGACCTCACAGGGCGCAACTTCAGTGCCTAAGTCAGGCTGCGGGTGTGGGCTTTCAGAATTGTTTTTTAATAGATTTTATTTATCTTTAGAGGGGAAGGGAGCCAGAGGGGAAAACATCCGTGTGTGGTTGCCTCTCAGGCGCCCCCACTGGGGACCTGGCCCGCAACCCAGGCCTGTGCCCTGACTGGGAATCGAACCGACGATGTTTTGGTTCCCAGGCCGGTGCTCAGTCCTCTGAGCCCCACTGGCTGGGGCTCAAGTAATGTTTTTAATCAAGATGAATCCTTGGGCACCTCAGACTGGTTTCATACTTTCAATTTAAAACAACTATGTATCCTTCCGGGACTTTATGACCTGATATTGTAGCTTCTGGATATTAGGCAAAGCTGAACTAAATTTTCCTAAATTTCCTAGGCTGGTTTTATCAGATGAGGTTTTTTTTTCCAAAAAATGTTTTAAGGTCTTATTAATATTTAATATTTGACGACACTAGACTGACGTAACCAACACCATTTACGAAGGGCGTGTCCTTGCAAACCTCAGGCAGCACCGAGTCACTCCCATTCCATTACCCCGGGCCTCCCTCCTGTGCGCCGTCACCTGTAAAGATGTCACGGCCCCCTTCGCTGTCCACAAGCCCCGCGTCCTGTGGCTTCGCTGTGCCCTCCCTGGCCCGGGCTGGGGCCTGCTCTGACCAACAGAATCGATGCTGCCCTGCTCAGAGCCCGGCCCGCGGGGCTGGCAGAACCCCTAGGAGGGGGCAGCCCGGCCTCGACCGCCAAGTGAGGTGGCTGTGGGCGCGGGTGACCCGAGGGCAGAGAGGGCCCGGCTGCCCCAGGGGGCCGTCCCCGCCGCTCCCACGCAGCGCGGCGTGGACAAGCTGCCCCGCCAGCCCGGCCAGGGCTCTCGGCCCTCGCTCGGCCGTGTGTGGGGAGCTGCGTGGCTGAAGCCGCATTCCAGCCTCACTGCACATGTCGTTTGGGACCCTGCACGGAGGCGTTCCATGCGTCTGCTGTCACTCGCGTTCATGTGGGCTCACCGGGCCCTGGGGCTCTGTCCCGGCTCCCTGGGCCCGCCCCGCGCTGCTCGCCCTCCGGCCCCATCAGCCCAGCGGGGGCTGCAGGCCTGGCGTGGTCTGTCCTCTCCCTCCCTGCCCCTGGCTCCGCTCCCCTCAGGAGCCCAGGCCTGGGTGTCGGTGTCGCTGCCGCTGCGCCTTCTCAGGCGATGGGTCTGGAACCTGCGTGTGCCAAGACCCTTGGAGGCGTGGCTCCCGGCCCCCGAAGCCCAGTTGGTCCCGGGGGGCGTGCCTAGCAGCGTCGGAACCATCTGCAGCTGGGGCGAAGGAGGTCTGGGCAGAGCGGGCCGCTGTGTGAGGACACCGCTCTCTGTCCAGGGGGACCTCAGCTCAGGCGCAGGTCGGAGCGACCCGTGCGTGCAGGGCGGCCTAGGCGTTGGTGTGCAGATGCTCCTTGGAAAGGCACGGGCACCGCTGAGCTGAGGGGGCGTGCAACGGAAAGGAAAGGCAGGCAGCGCCACGCTCAAAGTGGGTTCTCGGCAGAAGGGACGCTGCTCTCCTCTGCAGGCCCCGGCCAGAGCCGGCCCCCGCAGAGCCGAGTGCCTGCCCGGCAGCCCCGCATCGGAGGACAGGTGCCCCGTGGCCACGTGCTGCTGGGCTGGTCCTGGGCGTCGCCCCCCGAGTGACACTGCCCTCCGACAGCCCCTGGCGCTGCCTTCCCCACACTCAGGCCTCGGATTCAGAATTTGGAAAACTGACAGTGTCTTTTTTTTTTCCGGCTTCAACCACAGACGCTTACGTCTCACCGCTCTGGGGCGTGGGAAGTGCAGCCCAAGACGCTGGCAGGATCGGGTCTTGGCGGGAGCCCTTTCCGGGCGCGCACGGCCTTTCCTGGGCGTGTCGGAAACCTCGCCTGTCTCTGGGGTCCCCCAGACCACACAAAGGCCTCCTCCCCTGTCGTTGGAAGTGGGGGATGTGCCAGGTGCCGGGGCGTTGGTTATACCGTCTCCCCACGTGTCCCCCGCATGAGAGCCCCTGTGCCTGAAGCCCCCACAGGGGAAGCCACACGACATGGTGTCCAGCCTTCCGGGGCTGCTTAGGTACCAAGGGATGCTGTTCGGACAGCGTCTTGTTCGTGACGGGGACCAGGTCCGTGTGAAAGGCAGCCCCGGCCGCTCAGGGACCCCAGAGACGCCGGACACTGTGTGGGGACTGAAGCCCTGGGCGTGCGCTGTCCTCGCGGCACGGAGGACGCTCGCTCTGAGTGGCCGTTGACAGACGCTTGGAAAGCGTGTCAGGCCTTAACACAGGCTCTGCGCGCGGCCCCCGGGGGGGCGCCGTGCAGCCTGGCCACGGGCAGCCGCCGCTCTCCTCGCCACACCCCGCACACACGCAGGAGCAAGCTCTTCTGGAAGAAAGGCCAACGGGCCGCGCAGCCGCTGGCTCCGGTGCTGACACCGCGGAAACGGGCTCACGGGCGCGACCAGGCCCTGGACCCTTCACCCTTGGAGCAGACGACCTGGGACCGTGTTCGGCTCAAACTGAGACCCATGACAGGAGGCAGGGGAGCCGGGAGCCTGCCCTTTAACCTCGGTGCAGCCAGACGGCCGCACAGACTGCAAGGAAGCTCCTGTGAGCAGAGTCCCGTCCCAGGGCCCCCAAATCGAGAAGCAAATTATGAAGCAGCTAACGTCGCTGGAAAGCCGATGAAACCCAGGGAACCGTGAAACTCTGTAGGGAGCCATACGAGGTGCTCCCTGGGCTGCCCAGGGAAGCACGAAGGCCGGCGGGCCGGGCAGAGGGGCCACGCCTGGGCCTCCGCCGAGCTGGGCTTGTGTCGCGTCTGTGGCGGGAGACACGTCCGCACCCCCACCCCACACCACAGGGAAGCCCCGGCCGGCCCCGCTGCTGCGGCCAGTCTGGAGGCGCCGGACGAGCCCTGGGCAGCCCCAACCCCAGGGTGCGGTGGGCATGCTGGTTCCCATGGGGACAGGGCTGCAGGAAGATGGCCGTCTAGGCCCAAGCTCAGGGGTGGCGGCCGTGTCCGGGGCACCTGTGGCCCAGCAGCCACAGGACAGCCCCTTGCTGGGCCCAGCTTCGGGCTCTCTCTGGAGGCGAGGGGCTAGTGGAGCGGCGCTGCCTGCTGTGGGCAGTGGCCGGAGCCGCAGGCCCAGTGGGAACCTGTCCCTTTTCTGTTGGTGCGCTCGCCTGAACCAACGTGTGGCCACAGCTGTGCTGGGTGTCACGTTTAAAGGCCAGTCTCCCAGGTCAGGCATCGGAAGCCACCGCTAAGGAACCAGGATGCACGTTGCACGTGGACACAGGAGGCTGGTCTGGCGGCTGCTCCCCCCCGCAGCCCCCAGGCTTCCGGAAGGAAGGCCGTCCCTCCCCGACTCCCAGGACTGGGGGTGGACGTTCGTCTCGCAGTCAGAAGCACTGCTGGCAAAGTCACGTGCAGCCAGGTTTCAAAACTGATGGGGCCGCAGGAACTGGCTCTGGCGTGACAGGCGAGGTCGAAGGACAGAGGCCAGCCCTGGCGCCTGCGGTCACAGCCCCGGTCTTGGCGGGTCAGCTGATGGGCCGCCTCCGCCCCCACACAGAACAGGGCAAACAGAGGCAAACAGAGGTGGGCAAGCACCTGCTTTTGGCCACGGCTCCTTGTCGCTTCCTCAGGGTGGAAGGCCAGTTGCTGCTGAGACAACGTGTGTGTGTTTCCCGTCTTCCTGTCTGCGCTGTCAGACCACGACGGGCACCGCGGGTCCCCAGCCATGCGCACAGGGGTCCCCCCAGGAGGAGGTCAGAGACTCCGCCTCCATGGGACACAGCCAGGCCTCGGACTTGGGGTCCCCGCCTCATAGCGAACCATCGGGACTCCGGAAGCAGGAAGAACGTGTGCGACCGCTGCCCAGAGGACGGCTCAGACCCAGCGCTGCCTGCGGTCTGTATCGCACTCTGGCCGCGTGCTGATGGTGCACCGCCGCGCCTCCGAGGAAGCGCCAGGGCACGCGTGGCGCCACCGCCGGCCCGGGCCGGCCCCGCGGCCAGCAGCCCTGCAGAGACACCGGGGGCTTCTCGTGCGCCGGGTGGTCTCGCCTCTCAGGCCCCGCCTGGCTTCGCCCCGGGAGGCGGTTGCATGTGTCCTCGGTGGCTGCGCCGCGGCCGCCCCGCACGGAGCAGCCCACCGCAGCCCAGTGCCACCTCTCGGCTTCCCGGGCTGGTGGCTGCGTCCCCAGCTCAGGGTCTCGCCGGGTGACGCCTGCCTCAGCACCTGAGTGCGGTCGCTTCCCGGCTCATCCAGGTCCCTGCAGTGGTGGGACTGAGGTCCTGTCCCCCTGGGCCGATGGCTGGGGCTGCGCGTGGGGCCTTGCCGTGGGGTCCCCTCCCTGGGCCCTTACATGGCACGACCCGCAGGGCGGGGGACCCTGAGTCCACTCGCCTTTGAGGGGGACTCTGCCGGAGGACACACAGAGCACTGGGCCGCCACGGCCACCGCTCCTGCGACGCTCGAGGGGGCGGCACGGGCATGGGCACGGTGGCCGGAGCCCCGGGGGGCACCGCGGAGCTGCGCCCGGTGCAGGGCCCCAGGACGGCTGCTCTCCTCGCCCGGTGCCGCGAATCCTGGCCGTTTCACACCGACCGGCCTGGCATGTCCTGCGTCCCCAGACCACACCCCTCGGGCACCCACTCCCTGCCAGGCCCGGGCCAGGCCGCCCCCTCTCCCTGGCCTGCCCCGGCCTCCCGCACCTGGGAGGCGGCTTCCCTGGGCCATTTACTTGTGGGTGTCGGTCCCTCCGGGAAGGAGCCCTGCCTCGTCCCCTGCCAGCACTGCTCACAGTGCCCAGGAGGGCCTGCGGGTTGGCGAGCGGCTCTGTGCCGCAGCTAACGGCTCCGGCTGGGCGGGGCCTGGCGTCCCTCCCCCAACCGCCCAGCACACAGTAGGTGCCCAGCAGGCAGCTGGAGGGACCGCGTGTGAGGGCCTGCTTGCTTCTGAGTGCCTGTGGTTTTCCTCCCGGTGAGCCAGGCCGCCTGGAATGTCCGCGTCCCCGAGGCTGCTGGCTGACCCCGTGCAGCCACGCTGCCCGGGAGGGGGCGGGGCTGGACCAGAGCCTTGGGTGGGACGTCTCCCAGGGTGGAGGCGCCAGGCTAGGCTGGGGGGGTGGCGCGGCAGCCCCCAGGCACCAGAAGAGGGCTGGGGGCTCAGGCCCTGGCCGTGGGCAGGGCAAGTGGCCTGGTCAGCGGTGCAGGCGCCTGCAGGGCCTCTGCTCCTCCGTGGCCCTTTCCCGCCCAGGGTGGGGGCGGCAGCCTGTTGCTGCTCATCTGGGCTCCGCTGGCCTCGAGCGGAGAGAGTGGGAAGGGGCCAGGGAGTGGGCAGGGCGGGGCGGAGGGGCCGCCGCGCTCCGCTGCACCTGCCTGTACCTGTCCAGTGGTGCGAGAGGGTCAGCGTGCCCTCAGTGGCGCCCCCCACAGACCTCTGTCTGCATCTGGGCCGAGGTGAGGGCTGAGTCTGCAGCCGGAGGGGCCTCAGCACCGGGACCCTGAGGCCAGGACCTGCTGGCAGTTTAGGGTGCAACCCGGCACCCCCGCGCCCCGAGCTCAGGGCTGGGAGCCCCCAGGGTTCTCCCTGCCTCGCCCCGGCTCTGCTTGGACATCGTCCCTCCTGGAGGCGGGAAGAGACGGGGATGGAGAGGCAGATGGGCGGGGAGGGCGCGGGGGGGGGGGGGGGGCGGGCGGGGGAGGGCGGGGAGGGCGGCCACGCACTAATAGAAACCAGTTAGAAAAACAGGAGGAGGCCAGGCCTCGGGCCTGCCAGGCGGGCTTGTTTTTCCAGAATGAGAGTCCCAGGGAGGAGCTGGAGTTCTGATTCCAGTTTGGAAAATGGGCTCCGCCCCTCAGGGCCTGGGTCCCGCAAACCGACTGTCACCAAGTTGGGGGTCCCTGTTGTCACCCCGCCCCCTGCAGCAGCACCGGCCCCCTCCCCTGCCCGGGGCTGTGCTGGGCGGCTGACTTGCCTGAGGGCTTAGGGGCCAGGGCAGAGTTCGAGGGTGAGACCCCGGCCCACCGGGGACGGGGGCGTGTGACCACGGTCCAGTCCAAGCGGGCCATCTGAAAAATGCACTGTGGGTTTCTGCGGTTGCGTGGATTGTTTGAGGTTTGCTTAACTAGAAGGAGTGGGTTTCTTGCACAGCACGCACTCTGTTATTTCGCATTTGTTTATGTGACTTTGTAGGTTTTCCCAGAGTCTCCAATTTGTGCTTTCTGGGGGGCTCCGGTACCCCTCCTTCCTCCCCACTCCCCTAAGCCAGGGGGAGTGCTCCTAGGGGCAGTGTGACCCCAGTGTGGTTCCAGGGATGCCAGAGGCTGCCCTGGGTGGCAGGCAGGTGTTGGGGGGAGCGACGCCCACCGGCCCCTCGGTGCTCGGGGTCCCCAGCCCTCAGTGTCCAGCTCCCGCCCATGGCTGGCGCTCTTCTGACTCCCGCGTCACCGATGAGGACACGCAGCCCTGGAGGACAAGGGAAGGGTCCTGCGGGCCAGCGGGCCAGGGCCCCCCGCCCTGGGGTGCCTTCTCCCGGTGGCCTCCAGCTCCACAGCAGGCCGAGGGGGCAGTCATGCCGGGCGCCTTGGCTAGGCCCCCAGGGGGTGGGAGGGATGCCCTGGGGCAGTGTCCCCCTACAGAGGTGGGGTGAAGGGAGGCTCGCCCCACAACTCCAGCCATGCAGCAACCCCGGAAGGGTCCCTGTGTATGTCTCTCTCTCTCTCTCTCACACACACACACACACACACACACAGCATCTGGGACCCTGCCCTCCGAGGGCTGGGCTGTGGGCCTGTCCAGGACCCGAGCGGGGTGGGGGGTGGCAGGTCTCCGCCGGGAATCCCCTCGCTGCTTGGGACACCGTGGCCGCAGCGCCCCTCCCCCCAGGCCGGCCTAGGATGGGGGGAGGCCAAGGGGCCGGGCAGGAGCGGAGGGGCGGTCTGCAGCCTGCCGCCGGCCCAGGGCTCCGTGATGTCATGGCGGGTGCTGAGGAGGGGGAGGGGGCCGGGCTGTTTTTCTGGAGAGTGAGAGCCGGAGGGAGTGAGACAAAGCGGCCGGCAGGGCCGGGATAGCAGCAGGCGCCATGGAGCCACGGTCCCAAGTCTTGCTGTGGAAACTTCTGCTTCTGCAGAGTGAGTTCGGGGCCTGGGATTCGGGAGGCGCCGGCCCCCAGAGGGTCTGAGCGAGCTCGGGTTCCAGACAAATCTGCCCATGTGAGCTCGAGCCCGCAGGGGTCCCCGCGCTGAGAAGGGGCCGGGTCTGGGGGCCCTGAGCGGGGGCTCCTGATGGCGAGGGCCCCCAGGACCCAGGAGGCTGCGAGCCTTTAGACGCCGTTCAGAACTCCCCCCAGCGGAAGCCGGAGCCAGAGGCCGCAAAGGGCAGGGAGGCTGGGTCTCCCCTGCACCCCACTGCTGGGGGAGGCCCCCAGCTGCCCGGAGGGGAGCAGCTGGAGGCGGTGGGGGCCCGGCAACTGGGGGGCAGCAGGGCCTGCCCCGCCTCCCCGCGCGGTTCCCAGGCCCCCGGCCTGCCCCAGGCTGGCCTGCTGACCGGGCACATTCCTCCGTCCCAGGCGCCTGGCCACATCTCCGGAGCTGGAGCATGACCGTGAGGTGGCAGCTGGCGGGGGCACTCCCCTCACCCAGCACCTCCGCGCCTCCGACCTCTGCCTCTCCGGCGGCCAGTGGCCCTGCGGCCCTGCGCACGGGGTGGGGTGTGGCTCCCGGTGGACAGGGCGGCCAGGGCCGGGGGGCCGGCCCTCAGCAGGTGCAGGGCCTGCCTGTGGGGCAGGCTCTGGTGGCCCTGCCGCAGGGACGGCGACATTGGCCACGCTTCCTGAGGGTGGCCTTTGGTGACCAGCCCCCCGTCCCCGGAGGGCAGGTGCTGCCCAGCAGCCCAGCAGGGAGCTGTGGGGCCGGGGGCACGGGAGAGGGTTGGGGCTCCAGGAGGCCCCGCCTGCGTCCTGGCCGGTTTGGCTTTGTCCTCGCCCGCTCTCTGGGCTCCGTTAGCACTGCCTCAGCGAGGGCTGCAGAGGGCCCCCACCTACAGGCCAGCGCCTGGGGTGCAAAGGCTCAGGCCGCCCCTCCCCCGCGTGACTCGCTCCTCCTCTCCCCTAGGCTCTGCCGTCCTGCTGTCCTCAGGTGAGTGACCGTCCGCTGTGCACCAAGCAGCCTGCGCCCCGTCTGGCCAGCCCCACCCCGCGCCTGTCCCCTCAGGTCCCGCCCGCCCTCCAGTGACCTCCCTCCCCGCTAGGGCCGCCGGGGTCCGCGCCGGCGGGCAGCTCCGTGGTGTCCGAGTCCGCAGTGAGCTGGCCGGCCGGCGGCCCGGCCGTGCTGCGCTGCCAGAGCCCGCGTATGGTCTGGACCCAAGACCGGCTGAACGACCGCCAGCGTGTGGTGCACTGGGACCTCAGCGGCGGCCCGGGCGGGCGCCCCGCGCAGCGGCTGGTGGACATGTACTCGGCGGGGGAGCAGCGCGTGTACGCGCGGAGGGACCGCGGCCGCCTGCTGCTGTCGACCTCCGCCTTCCAGGACGGCAACTTCTCGCTGCTCCTCCGCGGTAGGGCCCTGGGCCCGGCGGGGGCCGTGGGGGGGGGGCCGCGGGCAGGCGCGGAGCTCACGGCCGTTTCCCTCCCGGGGCGCAGCGGTGGAGGAGACCGACGCGGGGCTGTACACCTGCAACCTGCACCACCATTACTGCCACCTCTACGAGAGCCTGGCCATCCTCCTGCGGGTCACCGACAACCGTGAGTGCGCCGGCCCCGCGCCCCGCCCCGCCCCTGCCTTCCCTCCCGCCCGGTGCTGACCCACCTGCGTCCGCAGCCCGGGAGGCCGGCGCGCACTGGGACGGCGAGAAGGAGGTGCTGGTGGCGGAGCTCGGCTCGCCCGCGCTCCTGACCTGTGTGAACCGCGCCCACGTGTGGACTGACCGGCACCTGGAGGAGGCGCAGCAGGTGGTGCACTGGGACCGGCAGCCGCCCGGGGTCCCTCACGACCGCGCCGACCGCCTGCTCGACCTGTACGCGTCGGGCGAGCGCCGTGCCTACGGGCCGCCCTTCCTGCGCGACCGCGTGGCGGTGGAGGCGGACGCCTTCGCGCGTGGCGATTTCTCGCTGCGCATCGACCCGCTGGAGCCGGCCGACGAGGGCACCTACTCCTGCCACCTGCACCACCACTACTGTGGCCTGCACGAGCGCCGCGTCTTCCACCTGCAGGTGACCGAGCCTGCCGCCGCGCAACCGCCCCTGCGGGACGCGCCCGACGACGGCTCCAGCCACAGCAGCGTCCCTGCCCCAGGTGAGGGGGCCGCCTCGCGCGGGCACGGCCTGGCGCGTCTCGCGGGGGCCGACCCAGCCTCCCCGGCCCACAGGGGGACGGGGCGCCGGCGCGGGGTGGCCGGGGGCTGCGGCCGCCTGTGCCCGCCCTCCGCGGGGCGTCCCTGACCCGCCCGGCCGGTCCCTGCAGACCCCACGCGGGCGCGCGGCCGCAGCGTCATCAACGTCATCGTCCCCGAGAGCCGGGCCCACTTCTTCCAGCAGCTGGGCTACGTGCTGGCCACGCTGCTGCTCTTCATCCTGCTGCTGATCACCGTCATCCTCGCGGCCCGCCAGCGCCGCCGCGGAGGTGAGCCGCGCAGCCTCGGGCGCAGGGCGCGGCCGGAAGGGCAGCTTTCCCCGGCCCGAGAGGGGGTCGGCGGGGCGGGGCGGAGGGTGAGCGGGGCCCCTGTGGACCTCGCTGCTGGGGCGGGAGGACCCCTCAGGCTGGGGGGCCAGCCAGGGGGCCACTCTGCGCCCAACACGAGTCTCCCTTCCCAGGTTACGAGTACTCGGCCCGGAAGTCGGGGAAGCCCAAGGGGTGAGTGCCCCTCCCGCTGTCCCAGGCGGCCAGGCCCGGCCGCGCTCCCCTGCCATAACGTCCCATCCACCTCCCACTCCAGGAAGGACGTGCACATGGCCGAGTTCGCTGTGGCCACTGGAGACCAGGCTTTTTACAGGACCGAGGACATCCAACTAGGTGAGCCCCTAGCCTGTGCACACACGCAGAAGTGCCAGGACGACGCTCCCAGTGGGGGCTGGGGAGGCACAGGCAAGGGGCTCAGCGGCCCTTCCTCCCACCCCCCCCCCCAGATTACAAAAACAACATCCTGAAGGAGAAGGCGGGGCTGGCTCGCTGTCCTCCGCCCGCCAAGCACGTGGACCTGGACAAAGGTGAGTGGCGGGGACTGAGGCTTCCGCCCAGGGAGCCAGGCCGGGTCCCACTCTGCCCACCTCCCAGACAGCCCTGGGGGAGTCCCCGGCCACCTCAGCTTCCGGAAACCCCCGGGCAGCCCTGCTGGGTGGAGGGGCAGGGGGCGGCCACCCACCCCCTGCCCCCTCGCTTCCAGAGTTCAGGAAGGAGTACTGCAAGTAAGGCGACCGGGCTTCTGGCCGGCCAGCAGCTCTGCCACCCCGTCCCTGGCGCGCGTCCTCCTGACCGACGCCTGTCCGGCTCTCCTGGCCCCCCACCCCCAGCGGCTGGTCCCGCTGTCCTGGAACTTGGCCTGGGCTGGCGCAGAGCAAGGCTGCCACCAGCGCCCTCTCCCGGGAGCCGCCCCTCCTCCTCGCAAGCAGCCGTGGGCTCCGTGGGACCCTGCGGGCAGGACAGCTGTGCCCGCGCCCTGGGCAGGGGCGCGGCCGGCCCTGCCCCCTACGGCACCGGCCCTCGCTGGAGTTCCCGAGCCCTCCGGCTCCACAGGCCCCTGCCCTCGGGGGCAGCCCCACCTCTGCAGGGGCAGGGCAGCAGGACACCTCACAAGGGGGCTCAGCAGGGACCCTCGGACTGGGGTCAGCCTCAGGGCGGCACGGCCCCCTCTTCCTGCCTTCCTGGGGGAGCTGCCCGCCAGCTCCGGGGCTGCGCGGTGCGTCCCCCAGCCAGGCTGCCGTGGCTGCCCTTGGGGCCCCGAGGATGGCTCGCCCAGCCCCGGGCTGGCACCCCCGTGCTGCCCCGGGCCCTTCTCTGCTTTCCGACCTGCTGTGGCCGCCCTGCCAATAAGCTGCCTTGACAGCCACTGGGCTCCAGGGGACCTTGGGTCCCTCCCTGGGCTGGAGCCTTGGGCTGGGGCATCACTTGGCTTCTGTTTTGTCCGAGGACGGGGAGGGGTGGAGACGTTTCTAGAGTGGCCTGTGCGGCCCCTCCCGGCTCCCACATTTGTTCCTCCTGGGAAGTCGCCACCATCACAATAAAGACCCTATCGGAGTTTTAGACCTGGCCCCGGGTGCACCTCTGCTGCCCTCGCCGGCCCCCGGGGGCCGAGTCTGGGCCGGGACCCCCAGTGCTCCCCGTCAGCCGAGGTCCCGCCGCCAGTGCCCGCCTGAGTGGAAGGTCTGGGTGGGGTGTCCCGGGAAGAGCGACCTCGGAATCCTGCAGCACGTCCGCCTGGTTGGGGGGAGTTTGGGGTCAGCTCCTGAGGGTTACCTTGGATGGGGGGAGGGGGCGTGCTGGTGGACCGGGGTCAGAGCGGGCGCTGTTACTCAGGCCTCTGGGCAGCAGACGGGACTGGGTGTGGGGTGTGCTGGCGGAGGGTCAGGAGGGGGCACCTGCAGACAGGGCGCCGGTGTGGCCCCCGCACGGGGCAGGGGCTGCGGTAGGAAGGAGCCCGCATCTCCCAGCCCTGACCCCGTCCTCCACGGCGTCGCCCTGGCCGCAGGGCAGCAGGGCGCGGGGAAGCCGGGCTGTCACCTGTGCTGGCAGTTCCTGGGCTCGTGTGTCAAGAACATGGTCCGCTACGCGAGGAAACAGGAGCCACCCACACCCGTGGGCACCGAGCCCCTGCCCTGGGGAACCGGAAGCTCCGGGGCTGTTTTGGGGAAGACGACGCGTGTCAGTAAATTCACACAAAGGAAATAAAGTCACAAGGTCTATTAACTTTGCAGATGCCAGAGGGGGGGAGGAGGAGGGCTGCCCCCCACCCTGGTCCCAAGCCAGCAGGACACAGCAGGGCCGAAGCGCCCGCTACTGTTAAGGCGGTTGGGGTGAAGGCCACTCATTTTTCACAGTGGTTACTTAAAAAGGTGCCCAGGGAAAGCCAGGCGGGGACGTGGGCAGGAAGCCCGAGCGCCAGGCCGTCTCTGAATCCGGGCTCCCGTGCACGCAGGGTTGTCAGAGAGGCCGAGGCGAAGACCCCAACAGCCATCCTCCGCGCACATACCCCGCACGCACACGACAGCCCACAGGGGCGAAGGCAGGGACAGAGGCTGCCCTGGGGGCTGCCGCCCGAGGACGCGCCCCCCTCCCCGCCCAGCAACCCCTGGCCCCCAGGGGACGCCACTCCCACTGGACAAGGCCTCTAAGGGCTTAGGCTCCGGCCACAAACTCACGCCGCCCTGAGGGCCTGAGCCCCGCCACAGCGGCGTCAGCTGAGGTCAGCTCTCCCGTGACTCCGGCTATCGAGTGCGACAGATAACCTCGGGGGCTGGAGAGCCGCTGGGGCATCCCGCCCCCCGCAGCGGTGTGGCGTGAAGGATGCTGGTACCCCATGAGCTCCTGGACAGGCTCTGTCTTCCTCCTTCCCTGGGCACCCGGCATGGAGCTGTGAGGGACCTTCCCTCCAAGGCCGTCCCGGCTGGCTCCCTCAGAGTACCTCTGGGGAAACCGAGACCCACGGGGGGAAGGCGCAGGCTTTGCCGAATGGGTGCCAGCCTCGCCGAGCCTAGGGAAATGGAGGTCAGGTGCCGGCCTGGGCTGGCCTGGGGGCAGTCCCCGGCCTGGGCTCAGGGACCTTGGCGCCCACTCTGCTCCTCCAGCCAGGGGTGGGTTGGTGGGGACTTTCCTGTGCGGGTCCACTGCCCAAAGATGGTCCCAGGCCCTAGGCAGCTTTGAGAGGGGTGCTGGGGACGGGTGGCAGGGGCATCACACCCCCTGTCGCTGCATGTCCCATCCTAGGGCTGCCCCTCGTGTTACTCTTGCCAGCGTGGGACTCCCTCTAGTGGACTCGACTTCCTCCAGGAGCTGGGGGAGTGCCATTCACTCACTGCAGTGGGGGACCCAGTGGTTGGACCCTTCACAGCCCGACGGGGCGCTGCTCCGGGTCTCCCTGGACGGACGACCCCAGGGTGGTTCGATTGACAGCGGCCCCGGGGGTGGGGGAAGTCCTTTCACTTGTGGACAGAAGCTCGTGCCGGCCCCCTCTGGGCGCACGTGCGTGCGCACAGCTGCCGTGCTGGCGCCCCCGCTCCCCGGGCTTGCCTAGGCATCACGGACTCCCGTGCGCACACCCGCACTCCCCAGTGCACCTCGCATTCACTCGGCCCGTGTTTCTCAGAGCTCCCGCGGGTGCCGAGGTCGGAGCTGGCGCGGGGGCGCAAAGCGGAGGGCTCTCGACGGGGCGGGGGGGCTCTCCCCTCTGACAGCTGGGGGCGCGACGTGCAGGTGGGTCCCCACCCACCTCCTGCCCCCGACGCGCGCCTTGTCTGTGCACCGGCCGGCAGCCCCTTCCGAGAGCGCGTCCCGGGCGCCTCCGCGAGCCCGGCCGCGGATCAGGGGCGGGTCCGGGAAGAGCGCGTCGGAGGCCGCGCGCGGGCGCGCGGGCGCGGCGTTAGCCTGGCGCGCGCCCCGCCCTCCCGCGCGTGCGCAGCCCCGCCCCGCGGCGCAGGCCGCTCGGTGACGTCAGGCCCGCCGCGCTCTCGGGCGCCCCCCGCGGGCCGCGTTCTCAGCCCCGTGCCGGGCGGTCCCTGGAACTGCGCGGCCCGAGGGGGCGGCCGGGCCTCGCGCGCTCCCTGCCTGCGTCCCCGGGTCGGGGGCGGATGGGCGGCCGCGGGCCGCGGGGCAGCAGCCGGGGTGCACGCGGAGCCGGGAGCGGCGGGGCGGGCGAGGCCGGAGCGGCCGGGCAGAGAGCAGGCCGGCGGCGGGGAGGCGCCCGCGTCCGAGCCCCGGGCCGGGCCTGAGCGCCGCGAGGGCCCCGCGCCGCCGCCGCCGCCGCCGCCGCCGCCGCCGCCGCCGCGGCCGCCGCGCCATGGCGGAGACCAAGATCATCTATCACATGGACGAGGAGGAGACGCCGTACCTGGTCAAGCTGCCCGTGGCGCCCGAGCGCGTCACGCTGGCCGACTTCAAGAATGTGCTCAGCAACCGGCCGGTGCACGCCTACAAATTCTTTTTCAAGTCCATGGACCAGGACTTCGGGTCAGTGGGCCGCGGGGTCTGCGCGTGGCGTGGGTGTCGGCACCGGTCCGGGCACCGGCGGGGCGAGCGTCCTGGCTTCTCCACCCTCCACGGGCTTGGCCTTGTGGGCCTGAGTGCGTGTGACCTGCGGGTCAGAGTCTGTGGCCCCGGGCGACCCTGCACTAGGGCCGGCCGTCCCCTCTCTGCGGCGGGCAGGTGCTTCGGTCTGGCCTGGAAGCTTGTGATTTATAGGGCCTGGGGTCAGCGGAGCGTCTGTCGGAGTGTTTGGTCGGAAGGGGTCGAGGCGGGGGCAGAGTCCCAGCCGCCCGGTGGGCCCCCCAGTTTGCGTGGAGGGGAAATGAGATCTGGGACAGCGGTACGGATCTGTCTGCTGGGGTCTGCGGAAGTTTCCGGAGACTCAGCACAGGCTACCCTTGGCCCCTGCTCCAGGATCCCGAGGACAAGGCAGGGGTTAAGGGTCATTCCGCCGACCCCTGCCCTGGGGGTTGCTTGCCACTGGGGCTCTGGCCCTGCACTTGGCGCCCTGGGAGCAGCCTCTGGGTCAGCGTCCCTGCACCGGAGGTGGCAGGGGCTGTCTCCGCCGAGAGGACTTCCCACTTGCACGGGCTGGGCCTCTGGGGCAGTGAGCAGGAGGCCGGCTGTTCGCTCAAGGCCTGACCCAGCACAGCCACCGGTAACCCGAGTCCCCGCGGCAGTGCCGGGAACGGGCCAGAGGCCCTCCGGCCGAGCAGGTGTGCCTGGCTGCCCTGAGACAGCCCGTGTCCTTGCTTGTGGCTGCGTTTGGGCACTTTGACATTGAGGCCATTTCCTGGATTCTCTGGTTTGCTTGGCCCCTGGGCAGCCCCAGCTCAGGTCCAGCTGGGGCTACTCCGCAGTTCCTGGGGACCTGAGGGACGTTGGGACAGCTGGACTCTCTTGGGCCCGCCACCACCAAGGAGAGGCGCTGAGGGGCGGCGTGTCCCGGGCGGCCTTGGAAGGCTGGACGCCCCCGGGTCGCGCCTGGCCTGCCGCCTTGCTGGCTCAGGTCGGGCCCGCCTGGGCCGGGCTCCACGGCGGGGCCCCCGCTGCCCTCGCCAGGCGATCTCACGAAGCCTCTGCTTCTCTGTGAAAGGGCACTTTTGTTTTTAACTTAAGTTGTTATTTTAACAAAAATCACCAGAGGCACACGTGCTCTTTGTCACAAACTAAAGCCGGCCGAGAGTGTGTGGTGTGCCCGGGCGTGTGCCCAGCCCCTGGTTGCCGTCCTCGGACCACGGGGGTGCCTGCGCCCGAGAGCCACCCCGGGCACCCGCGAGCCGCGGAGACCCCTGCCCCGCAGGTGCCCCCGGGGGGCCGGCCCGCGGTGGGCAGCGGGCGGCCGTCGGGGTCTTGGAGCAGGACTGGAGGCCCCCCGGTTGCCCGGGCAGGCCTGGAAGTGGCTGGGATGCGGGGGAGGGGACGGGACCGGCTGGGAGGCAGGGGCAGCTGCCAGTTGAGGTAGGTGGGGGGGGTTGGGGGGACGCTGGAAGGCGACTGAGCGGGCAGAGTGGGGGAGGCTTACCTTCTCTCCTCCCGGGTCTCTGGCCGGTGGCCCGTGGCCCGTGGCCGAGGACCCTCACCAGCCACCTCTCCCTCCTGTCCGAGGCCCGTCTGCAGAACCCCAGGGTCGGTCTGTCTGGTCCCCTTATTCGTTCCGGGAGGAACTCTCTCTGGGAGGGGTGACCGCTCACACCTTGGTGTGGATGAGGCCTGGGTGTCCAGTGGATGCAGCTGTCGGGGGGTGAGGGGCAGGTCCTGCGGGGCTGGGACAGCAGCCCCCCGTGACAGGGTGGCCTCATGTGGGGGCCTGGGCCTGCCGCTCCCCCCACCCCCGCCCTGCGTGGGGCCCTGGGCTCCCGAGCCTCTGCTCCCCACCCAGTGCAGGAAGGGGCAACTGAGGGGGAGCCGCGCCCCACTTCCTGTGGGGTCTTCGGCCAAGGGGGTGGGGGTCTTCTACTTCCCAGCAGCTCTGACCCAGCAAAGCGGGGAGGGTCTGCGGGCCAGGGGGGGGGGTGGCGGGGGGAAGGGGGCCGAGGGGCGGTGCCGGGCGTCCGAGCCCCGCCCTCGGCTCCCGGGAGGTGCCGTGGAGGGAACTGGGACCAGGGGCCTCCACCGGGGCTGCTGGATTCGGGCTCGTTGCCTGTCTGGCTGTGGCCCAGGCCCCTCTGTTTCTGGGCCAGGACCCTGGTCTCTGGGGCCACCTGCCTGCGGACCCTGGGAGGTGCCGGGTGGGGGCCGCGGGGCAGGGGCTGGGGGCCCCCCCTGGCTGAGTCCCGCTCTGTGCCCCGCAGCTGCGGCACTGGGGGGCTGGTGGCCCCTGAAAGTGCGGGTCGCCCCCAGAGCCACCCCTGCGGTGGCAGGGGGTGGAGGGCTGAGCCCCTTGCCCTGGTGCCTGCGGAGTCTGAGCCTGGTCGGCGGCTGCTGGGGGGCTGTGGACGGCCCCCTCCTCCCCTGTCCTGCGTCTGTTCTCTGCCAACTTCCTGCCCTGTGCCTCTGGGGGCTCACTTGAGACTGTCCCACAGGAAAGAGCTGGCTGTGGTCGCTGCGGCCTCAGGAGCCCCCCGGGTGCCCCCAGCCCTTGGCCGCGCTCAGCTCCTGGGCTCTGCTCTGGGCAGCCTCCGCCCCAGGGTGGGGGCGGGGTGGGGCAGCCTCCAGCCCGGGGTTAACTGGGATCTGGCCAGCCACCCTGAGGTCAGGGGCGAGCTGCCACCAGGGGAGCCGGCGTGGCCGCCTCTGAGGGGCGGTGGAGCTGCGCCAGAAGCCTGCTCTCCCTCCCAGGGCGGGGGCTGGGGGGGGCAGGCGCTCAGGGCAGTTGGGAGGCGTGGCCCCAGACCCCGCCCCTTGGCTCCCAGGCCAGCTCTGTCTGCAGAGAGCCCTGTGCCCTGCGACCTGGGTCTCTGGCCCAGCCGGGCTGAGGCCTGTGGGCCCCCACCGCCCGGCCCCACAGTGCGGCAGGGCACTCTGTCCTGTGTGTAGGACGGGGTTCCTCGGGCCAGGGCAGGGGGGGCCGGGGCGGGACCTCTGGGACCCTGGGGGGGGGCATCTGGGCCTGGGTGGGGGCTCAGAGGCCATGGGCAGCCCTTGGGGAGGGGCTGAGAGGCCCCGGCCGGGCAGGCAGTAGGAGTTTGGGGTGTCCCTGGGCCTCTGGGGGAACCCTGGGGCCCTGGGGTGTGGGGTCTGGGGGTGCCCCTCCGCCTCCCCGTGCGTGAGTCAGAAGGGGTGGGAGCTTGGGTGGGGCAGGGAGGCCCCTGGAAGGGCCCCCGGGGCTGCGCAGGGGCCAGGCCCCGTGCGGCTCTCTGTGCCACTGGCCTCGAGAGACAGTGTTCCCGGCCCCCCGCGGCCCCCGCGGCCCCTGGCCGCCCCAGCTTCTCTGTGTCCTCAGCCAGCCCCGGGCCAGGCCACGGCCCCCCCAGGAGCTCAGCTCTGCGGGGCTTCAGTGCCCACGTGGGGGCGGCAGACATGGGGCTGCTCTTCACTGGGGACTGGGGCCCCGCGAAGTGTCGGGGCGTCCATCTTTTCGGTGCACATGGGGCTGGGTGTGGAAGGGATCTCGGGGGGAGCCCACAGGACCCTGGCAGGTGCTCCTGCCCTCAGGTGTCCCTGTCTCCTCCGTCCACTCACCCCAGTGTCTGGGGCCCCTCCCAGGGGGCAGGGTGAACTGAGGCCTTGCTTCCTGGGTGGGGGGCGGGGTGCCGCCCAGGAGAGCCCAGCCGAGGCTGCTTCGCCCCAGGCTCCCGATCCTCCCCGGGGCCAGAGTCTCCAGCGCGGAACCCCGCTGTGCTGGGCGTGACCTGGGCCCCTCCTGCCGCGCCCCGCCCCCCCCACCGTGGGGGGGGTGTCTGGGCCACGGCCTCAGCCGGCTGTGCTGGCTGCGGTCCCCTCACCTCTTTGACCTGAAGCCTACCCCCCCCCCCATTTCCCAGCCCCAGGGAAATGGGCCTCTTTTCCGGGTTGTTGCCCTGGCCTTCTGCTTCCTGCCCTTCCCCAACCCTCCTGCTCACGGGGACACGTTAAAAAAAGTAGGCCCCAGGTCATAGGTCGTAGGTCACTGCAGTGGGCATGGCCAGCAGGGCTCCCTGACCTCAGGTCTTGCCTTGGGCTGGTGCGGGGGTGGGGATTGGCTTGTCTCCCTGGCTGGTGGCCTGCTCTTGGGGTGGGGGGGAGTGTTTGGGGGGCTCTGTGTGTTGTGCCATGTCAGCCTGTGTCCGTGGGTCCGACCAGCCCCACATCTGTGTTGTGACCAGGCCCTGTACTGGGCTGTGGGGCGGTGCGGGGAAGGAGCCATTCAGAGCCCCTCCCTCACAGAGCCACCCGGTGGGGCGCACAGGAGCGGCCGAGGTGGGACTCACACCACAGGGCAGCCTGGAGCGCTGGGACGGGCCGGCGAGGGTCTTCAGGGGGCGACAAGAGGCCCCAGGAAGGGGTGTGGTGGGCGGGTCTTCTGTGCCGAGCCCCACGGAGGTGTTCGCCCGCCTGCAGGGTGGTCAAGGAGGAGATCTCTGCCGATAACGCCAGGCTGCCCTGCTTCAACGGCCGCGTGGTCTCCTGGGTGAGCTGGCGGGGCCCTGGCAGAGGGCGCTTGGTGGGGGTGGGGGTCCCAGAGTTGCGGGGGGCTGGGCTCCGGCGAGCTGGGTGTGCGAGTGGGGGGCTGGTCACCGGTGCCCTTTTGGGAGGTGGGGCGGTTACAGGCTGGCGGCGCCCCAGAGCCTCGCTGTCCTCCACAGCTGGTCCTGGCCGAGGGCGCACACTCGGATGCGGGCTCTCAGGCCGCCGATGGCCACAACGACCTGCCCCCACCCCTCGAGCGCATGGGTGGCATCGGGGACTCCCGGCCCCCCTCTTTCCAGTAAGAACTTCGGGGGGTTGAGCCCAGTGGCCCTGTAGGGCCCCCGCCGAGCCTGTTGCCGGTGGGTAGCTGGGCAGAGCCCACAGCTAGTAGGCGGTGGCCAGCGGAGCAGGGGCCGGTAAAGAGAGGCCCAGACCGGGAGGGCGGGCGGGCGGATGAGGGTCCTTTTGGAGTCAGAGTCTCAATAGGCAAGGGGAGGCGAGGGCCTGAGGGGTCCAGGGCTTGGGGGCCCAGTCGGCCCAACGCTGTCGCCGCCACAGCCCGAACGTGGCCAGCAGCCGTGACGGAATGGACAACGAGACCGGCACAGAGTCCATGGTCAGCCACCGGCGCGAGCGAGCCCGACGCCGGAACCGGGAAGAGGGTAACAGGCCTCCCCTGGCCCCCCACCCCGGGCCCCATGGCGTACCCCGGACCCCTGGCGTCCGCAGGTCCCCGCCCCGGCCCGTGGGGGTCTTGGGGGAGGGGTCTGAGGCCTGACCTCCTAAGGGCCTGCTTGACCCTGTAGCCACGCTGCTTGCGCCCAGGTCTGCCGACCTTGAGGACGCCCAGGCCACTGGGCCCTCCAGGGGGCCCCGTGGTTGGCTCAGCCCCCTTTCGCCCCCATAGCCGCGCGGGCCAACGGGCACCCGAGGGGGGACCGGCGGCGAGACCTGGGGCTGCCCCCTGACAGCGCGTCCACCGTGCTGAGCAGCGAGCTCGAGTCCAGCAGCTTCGTTGACTCCGATGAGGACGACAACACGAGCCGGTGCGTGTGTGCGGGCGGGCGTGCCCAGGCGTGTGAGCATTGCGAGAACATGTGCGTGCAGGCGTGTGTGGCCGTGTGCGTGGTGTGGGGGCGCACGGGCATGTGTGTGGCATGCGTGTGGCTGTGGTGTGTGCAGGTGGCATGTGTGCAGTGGTGCACATGTGTGCGTCTGTGCCACGTGTGTGCATGTTTGCCCACATGTGCTTTGTGTACACATGAGCAAGTGCCAGCGCGGGTGGTCGAGCTGCTTACCTGCTGTTCGTGCCTCCACATTTGCCTGACGGTGACGGTCCCAGTAGGTGGGGGCTTGGTGTGTGTCACGCATGCAGGGTGGCGTGTATGCAGCGAGGAGCGGCACAGTCTCCTGACAGGCTCCGCGTGGCCCTGTCTGCCTCCCCCTCTGGTGCCCCCCCCCCGCGACGGCGTGGAGGGCAGGGGTGCCTGTTCTCTGCCACCTCCTCCCTGAAGGACCCCCGTCCCTGGCCTCCATGCCCCCTGACCTCCACCCCCCCACACCCCCAGGCTGAGCAGCTCCACGGAGCAGAGCACCTCATCTCGGCTCATCCGGAAGCACAAGCGGCGGCGGCGGAAGCAGCGCCTGAGGCAGGCAGACCGTGTAGGTGGCGGCCGGCGGGTGTGGGTCCCAGCCCCGCCCTCGTCCTCAGCCCCCGCCCTCGGCCGCCCACCCCGCCCCCGGCCCCTGCCCTCGGCCCCTCACCGCGTGCCCTTCGCAGGCCTCGTCCTTCAGCAGCATCACAGACTCCACCATGTCCCTGAACATTGTCACCGTTACGCTCAACATGGGTGAGGCTTCCGTCCCGGGGCGGGAACGGGGTCCCGGTGGGGAGCGGGGTCCCCGGGCCAGGCTGTTCACTGTCCCCCCCACAGAAAGGCACCATTTCCTGGGCATCAGCATCGTGGGTCAGAGCAACGACCGCGGGGACGGCGGCATCTACATCGGCTCCATCATGAAGGGCGGGGCCGTGGCTGCCGACGGCCGCATCGAGCCGGGCGACATGCTGCTGCAGGTGGGGGCGCGGGGAGCGGCGGGGCCGGGCGGTGGGCGCCGCCCCCACTGCGCTGAACCCCCGTCCCCCCAGGTGAACGATGTCAACTTTGAGAACATGAGCAACGACGACGCCGTGCGGGTGCTGCGGGAGATCGTGTCCCAGACGGGGTGAGGCGGGGGCGGGGGCGGGGCGGGGGCGCAGCCGGCCAGGGGGCGGGGCCGGGCCTGGGGGCCGTGCGTGACCCCACCCCGCCCCGCCCCCGCCCCGCAGGCCCATCAGCCTCACGGTGGCCAAGTGCTGGGACCCAACGCCCCGCAGCTACTTCACCGTCCCGCGGGGTGAGTGGGCCCAGGGGGCTGGCGGGGGGTGGCGGGCGCTCCCGGCCCGGCCTGAGGGCCTCTCTCCTCTGTGCCCTTGTGCCCCACTTTCTCCCCCACGTCTGCTCCTTCACCTGTCTGTTGCCACACGGCGGCCACCCAGCTGACCCCGTTCGGCCCATCGACCCGGCCGCCTGGCTGTCCCACACGGCGGCGCTGACCGGAGCCCTGCCCCGCTACGGTACGAGCCCCGGCTCCAGCGCCGCCACACGCACCAGCTCCTCCTCACTAACCAGCTCTGTGCCTGGCGCCCCACGTAAGTGGCAGCTCTTAGTCCAGGAAACTGAGGCACCGGGCCAAGGACCAGGTCGAGGTGCCCCCGGTGTGGCCACGCCCGGGGGCCCGCCCGCCTCAGCGTCCGCTGTGCTGCCGCGAGGCCCCCGCGGCCCCAGGCTCCCACTCCGGCCGGTGCACGTTCTGTGCGGTGGGAATGGAGGTGCCTGGGGGGCCCCGTGGCAGGGCAGCAGGTGCACAGGTGCCTGCTTGGAGCCCAGCCTGCTTTCCGCCGCTAACACGACTAACGGGGGCGGGGGGGGGGGCAAGAGGGAGGGGCCGGCGTCGCGCGGGGCTCTGGGCTGTGGGGGGCGCCCAGACCTGGGGGAGCATCTGCACGGGCCGCTTCCCGCCCGGAGGCCCCGCTCCTGCCTGGGGCCCGGCCGCCGCCTGCTGAGGGGGCCGTGCCTTGCAGAGCTGGAGGAGGCACCGCTGACCGTGAAGAGCGACATGGCCGCCGTGGTCCGCGTCATGCAGCTGCCGGACTCCGGGCTGGAGATCCGCGACCGGATGTGGCTCAAGATCACCATCGCCAACGCCGTCATCGGTGAGCGGCCCCGGGCGCCGCGGGGCGGGCGGGGGCGGGCGGCGGCCTGACACGCGCTTTGGCAGGCGCGGACGTGGTGGACTGGCTGTACACGCATGTGGAAGGCTTCAAGGAGCGGCGGGAGGCGCGCAAGTACGCCAGCAGCATGCTGAAGCGCGGCTTCCTGCGCCACACCGTGAACAAGGTCACCTTCTCCGAGCAGTGCTACTACGTCTTCGGGGACCTGTGCAGCAGTGAGTGCCGGCCTGCGGGCGGGTGGGCGCGGGCGGGCGTGGGCGTGGGCCCGCCCACGCCTGTCTCACCCCCGCTTCCCTCCTGCCAGATCTCGAAGCCCTGAACCTCAACAGCGGCTCCAGCGGGGCCTCGGACCAGGACACGCTGGCCCCGCTGCCCCACCCGGCTCCCTGGCCCCTGGCCCAGGGCTATCCCTACCAGTACCCGGGGCCCCCGCCCTGCTTCCCGCCTGCGTACCAGGACCCCGGCTTCAGCTACGGCAGCGGCAGCGCCGGGAGCCAGCAGAGCGAAGGTGAGAGCCCTCCAGTGCCCGGCTCCCCGCCACCCGCTGCCTGGCTCCACCCTGTGTGCCCGCCCTGCCCCGTGTGCTGCGCCTGCTCTGCTCTGGGTCTGGGTGGGCCCCCCTTCCCGGCGTGAGTGGTTGCGGGGAGTGGGAAGGAGGAATCTGGAGGCTTTGGAGGGCTGTGGGGCAGAGGCAGGAGGCAGGAGACAGTGTGGGAAGGGCGCTGGGGTGGGGTGGGGACGCGCAGGGGGCCCCGGGCACCATGGAGGACAGGCAGCTTCCCCAGAGCCCTGCGGCCCCGCAGGGAGCCAGAGGCAGCCAGCGCCAGGGATGCCCACACCCCCACACCCGGAGGCGAGGGAGCCAAGGGGAGAGGTTGGGGCGTCCCTGAGAAAGAACAGTGGCCCGAGGCCGAGTAGGGGCCAGCAAGGCCCTGGGGAGGGGTCAGGCCGCTGGCCTGGCGGACCCAGGCAGGAGGGCCGGCCGCAGGGCCGCGGCGCCGGAGGGAAGCCGGTGGCGGGCCGCCCCAGCAGGCGGGGGCGGGGGCCCGGCCGGGCCTGCTGTGTGACTGCTGCTATCCCTTGCTTTGTGCTGAGCAAGCCTTAGACTGAAGGACTAGCGGAACGGACCCGCGGGGCCGGTAAGCCAGGGTCCTGCCCGGCGTCCCTCCCGGCATGTCCCCAGCCAGCTGGCGTCCGCGGGTCCCCTGTGCTTCCTGAGGGCCAGGACAGGGCCGAGCCGAGTGGCTGGCTGGGGCCCTGGGGTCCGATGGAAGGCGGGTCTGCGGGGGGGGGCCAGGATGGCTGATGCGAGCCGGCCCGCCGGGCCTCCGCTGCTGCCTGTTTCTCAGCTGCCAGACCAGGCCCTTGGCGCCGCATCGGGTGAGGTGTGCGGGCATCCGGCCGGCCCCAGAGTAGCCCTGCCTGCCCCTGCCCCGGCCCCCGCCCTGCCCACGGCTGCTGCAGCTGCCCCCGCGTCTGGGCAGGGCCAGTCCAGCCTTGTGTCTGCATGGCCCCCCCGCCCCCCCCCCAGCTCGGGACCGCCCGGCTCTGCTCCCGGCCGTCCTGGCAGTGGCCTGCAATCCTGGGAGAGCCGGGGCCGGCGCTGACCCTCCCTTCCTCCCCCTTCTCCGCCTCAGGGAGCAAAAGCAGCGGGTCCACCCGGAGCGCAGGCGGGAGCAGCCGGCGGGCCCCGGGCCAAGAGCAGGAGCGCCGGGGGCCCGGGGCGGGGGGCAGCGGCAGCGAGTCGGACCCCACGGCCCCCAGCAGCGCGGGGGGCGGCGGCTGGCGGGAGCGTCCTGCCAGCCAGCTCAGCCGCGGCAGCAGCCCGCACAGCCAGGCCTCGGCCGCCGCCCCGGGGCTCCCCCCGCTGCACCCCCTGACAAAGGCGTACTCGGTGGTGGGTGGGCCGCCTGGCGGTCCCCCCGTCCGGGAGCTGGCCGCTGTGCCCCCGGAGCTGACAGGCAGCCGCCAGTCCTTCCAGAAGGCCATGGGGAACCCCTGCGAGTTCTTCGTCGACATCATGTGACCGGGAACGGCGTGCTCTCCGCTGCCCTCGTGGTGGGGGTGCTGGGGCCCCGCTGCTCCCCCAAGGGGGCTGGGGCTCATGTGGGCTTAGCGGTGGCCGTCCCGGCCAGGTGAGCCTTCCACGGGCATGGGGGCCGTGCGGCTGGGTCCAGGGCTGGACAGAGCAGGGGCAGCCGGCGGGCAGCCCGGGACCTGGGCTCCGCAGCCCGTGGGCCCCTGTCCGGCCGGCCACGCCCGTGGGCCCCCTGCCGCTCACAGCGCTGTGGACAGGCCCCAGGCCGAGGCGGCTGCGGGGCCAGGGTCTCACCGGGTGCCCTGTTTGCAGGCCTGTCCGTCTCATGGGGAGTAATTTATTTATTTATTGCTCGGCCTGTGTCCTTTGGGAGAGGTGGTGGCCACGTCCGCCCAAGCCCAGCTGGGGCCGAGTCTGCACGTCCCTCCCCTGCCAGGCCTCTGGCGGCTGCAGGGACACAGGTCTTGTCTGAGTGGGGGGGGGTGCCGGTGAGGGGTAGACGGGAGAGGGCGCTTCCCGGTGGAGGGCGGGGGGGGGCGGGACCCGGGGGCTCGCTGCTGCAGGGGTGGGCTCGGGGCAGCCGCGGCTGGTGCTGTCCCCCGCCCCTGGGCTCTGCCTGCCGTGCGTGCCGGCCCCTCCCCCACGAGGTGCCTGCGCGCGTCTGCGCCGTGGACCCTGTGCCCCGCCAATGTTTCCGGGTAGTCCTAGAGCTGCTTCTGTGCAAAGGCTATTTTAAACACTAAAAAGCATTTAATTTTATGGGACTGATGTGTGGCTTGTCTTTTCTCCTGCCCACTGCCTGAGGAGGGGGGTGTGGGGGCAGGTCCAGGCTCCCCAGGGCCCAGCCAGAGCTGCCCAAGACTGGCTAAGGCCCCCCGCTGTCCTCTGGGTCCCCGCTCAGTGGCAAGGCGCTGCCCAGGCGCTGGACGCTGCAAGGTCTTGGCGGGAAGTCTGTCTGCGGCGCCGGCCCCCGGCTGCAGGGGTCCCGCGCTGGTGCTGGCCTTGGTGCTGGCCCCCGGCGGCCGGGGCTCTGTCCGCGGTGCTGGCGGTGGGCTGGCCTGCTTTGCCCACTCAGGCCAGGCAGAGAGAAGGGGTGGGCGTCCCCCTGCCCCTGAGTGGGCCTCTGTCCTGCGCTGAGGCCCGTGGGCAGGGCAGCCTGCTTGCCAGCCTCCCACTCCAGCAGTGATTGGCGGGGTGCTGGATGGGGGGCCCAGGCTTGGCCCAGCCAAGCGAGTGAGGCTCGCCCACCTTGACCTTCAAGTGACCCAGCTGTGGGGCTTTCCCAGGCCCTCGGCATGGACTGCGGGGGTCTGGGGAGCCCTCTGCAGGCCTCGTCCTGGCGGGGCCCCTGGGCAGCCCAAGGACAGAGCCTGAGCCTGGGGCCGCAGGCGGTGAGATCTCACGAGGGCCCAGCAGCCCCATGGCTGGTGCAGGCCTGGGGGGCCTTCTGGGTAAGATCAGCTGTCAGCCTGGGGTCAGAATCCAGAGGTGGGGGGCCTGGCAGGGACCAGCACAGTCTGGTTTCACTGGGGCGAGGCCACCGGGTCACAGGTCGCAGGTTTTTGCTCGGTCCCCTCTGCGCCCCTGTTGCTGCCTCTCCCCCGGGCGTCGCCAGGACCCCCTCCCAGGAAGAGCACGGGGGCATTGCTTCCCGGCTGCCGCAGCAGCAGGTAGCACTTGGGCAGGTGGAAGGTGGCCAGGATGCCCAGGGCACAGAGAAGGCTGGCGCCCATCTGCACGGCGGGCTGGTAGGCCACGTGCACGTTGGCGAAGAGCGGCACGAAGGACACCCAGGTGATGAAGTAGGCCAGCGAGGCAAAGGTGAGGCTGCGGGCGCCATGGCGGCGGCCAGGCCGGCTGTGCACCAGGAAGGTGCCCAGGAAGCACAGGGACGCCAGCGCGGCATTGGCGGAGTGCACCAGGGCAAAGCCGGCCCAGGAGCGCGCGTGGCAGTGCACCAGCGCCTCCGTGGGCAGCACCTGCCAGTCTGTCACCACCTTGGGTGGGAAGGCCCATAGGTACCAGGCACACAGCGCCGCCTCCACCAGCACCGCGAGCAGCACCGCCAGCCATGCCCGGGGCCCCTGCAGGCGGCCCCGCAGCCGCTCCGCCCAGCTCGGCGGCAGCTCCGACTCCACAAAGATCTCGGCCGCCTGCAGGGCGAGGGTGCTCAGGCAGCCGGTGAGCGGGAGGTGCAGCAGCGGCTGCTGGGCCAGGCAGCTGGCGGGGCTGGGCCGGCCGGGGTACAGGAGGGCGCTGAGGCAGACGAGGCCCAGGCAGGCCAGGCCAAAGCAGGCCCGCGGCCCGCCCGCGGCCCGGACCACGGGGCTCTCCTGGTGCCGGGCGAACAGCCCCAGGGCCAACAGCACCAGGCACAGCGCCAGGCCCAGCAGCGCCAGCAGCAGCAGCACGGCCGGCTCCCCCCACGCCAGGAACTTGGGTCTGCGGGGCAGGCAGCGCAGGCTCCTGTCTGGCGACCACTGGTCCTGGCCACACGGGGTGCAGAGGAGGTCGTCTGCCACGCGGGAGAGGGGAGAGGGTGCTCGCATCACAGCCCTGCAGCCCTGCCCCGACCTGGGCTTTGGCTGGGTGTCCGCCTCCGAGCCAGGACACAGCAGGGTCCTCCAGGCTGTGTGCTCCCCACCCGGCAGGGCTCCCCCGCCCCGTGCCGGCCGCTGCCTCTGCTGACCAGCAGGGACGGGGCTGAGCAGCCAAGGGGCTCACCTGGGCTGCGCTGGTAGCTGCCGGCCTTGCAGTCCACACAGTCGTAGCAGCAGGAGTGGAAGCCCTTCACGTGGCGCACCTGGCCCTCCACGCACTGCCTGGAGCACTGGGACACGGGCTTCTGGCGGGGGCCTTGGGACTCAGGCTCCGCGGCACTGGGTGCGCCTGCCCCTGCCGCCCCCGGAGGGGGCGCCGACCCTGCTCTGGAGCTGCCCCGCAGCTGGGGACCCGGGGCCCAGCGCTCACCGCGTTCCTCGGCGTGTGCCAGCGCATCTGGGATGGCCGCAGCTGCAGGCGGCCGGTGAAGCTGCCCACGGTGCGCAGCTCGGGCCTCGGGTGCCGCCACACCCACAGTTTCAGGTCGTACCCCGAGTCCATGTTCCCGCTGGTGTCGAACCGCAGCGCCATGCTGCGTGCCCGGAAGCTCATGTTGTACATCTTTTCCAGGAGCTGCCGGGTGTGCAGAGTGGTGGGCGGGGCCAGGCCAGCAGCCCAGGCCCCTCGCCCCCCGCCCACCCGCCCCGTGTCTCCCGCGGGGCCGCAGCCTCACCTGCCAGGGCCGCACAGGCTCCCGCGTGGGGCAGCCCGAGGCGTTGCACGGCAGCGTGTTGTGCAGGGCCTGGGCCACGCCGTACGCCGCCGCGTAGGCCGCGAAGGTCTGGTGGTGCAGGAGGCCGGTGGACACGTCGTCCAGCGAGATGTGGTCGCACTGGGGGCAGCGTGGCCCCGCCACGTGCTCCTCCAGGCCCGGCTGCTCCGTGTCCAGGAAGGCGCAGAAGGCAGGGTCAGCGGCCAGGGCCAGGCGCGTCTGCACGTAGGACGGGAAGTCGGGCATCGGGGCGCCCCGCTGCAGGAAGCCCAGCACGGTGCCCACCTGGGCCATGCCAGGCAGCGTCATGACCAGGTCCGAGGTCAGCCAGGCCTCGCTGGCCACCCACACCTTGGGCGAGAGCCCGTGGCGGATGCTGTGGCTGAGGAGGGTGCGGGCGGCCCCGGGGGAGGAGAAGAGGACCACCACCTGCACGCTGCTCTGGTTCACCTGGCGCAGCAGCTCCTGCACGGCGCCCAGACGCAGGCCGGCGGCGCCAGGCAGCGGCACCAGGCCCTCGTGCGCGATGCAGATGCCCTGCGCGCTGGCCAGGCTGGAGAAGAGGCTCAGGCCCTGCCGGCCGTACTCGTCGTCGCTGCCCACGGCGGCCACCCAGTCCCACCCGAGCGCGCGGAGCAGCTCCACCACGGCCGTCACCTGCACTCGGTCGCTGGGCACCGTGCGGAAGAAGGACGGGAAGGCCTCCTCGTCGCTCAGCCGGTCCATGCTGGCCCCGTAGCTGACCTGCGGGGGCCAGGAGGCATGTCCGGACGGGCTGGCCCCCACGAGCAGGGCCGGCGGGGACGGGCGGCGCGGGAGCCATGGGGCGCACCTGGGGCATGAGGAAGAAACCGAAGAGCTTGCCGGTGACGAGGGCGAGCTCGGACGAGTGGGGCCCAATGACGGCCAGCACGCGGGGCTGGTACTGCGCGTAGTCGCAGTAGGCGGCGATGTGGTGGCTTCCCGCCCTGGCCATGAACATGAGGCTGGGCTTCATGGCCACCACAGGCTCTGAGCACGTGTCGAAGAAGTCGTAGCCCAGGCGCAGCCCAGGCAGCAGGGCGGACCCTCTGTTGATCTCCTCCACGGCCATCTTCACCGCCAGCGCCCAGAGCAGGCCGAGCGACGAGAACCTGGGGCCACACGGGGCTGCAGGTGGCGGCACCCCACACCTGCGGGGGGCGCCCCCCAACCCCCCCACCTCCCTACCTGGTGCACACGGTGCCGTTGGGCTGTGTCCTGTCACCAAGACCCGCGTCCTCGGCTGAGCCCAGGGGGAAGAGCCCTCCCAGCACGTAGTCCCCCTGCATGCGGAGCTGCCGGGACAGGCAGAGCTGGGCCGCTGCCCCCAGGCCCAGCAGGGCGGAGAGGCCCAGCAGAGCCGGGCCAGACATGGCAGGGGGCGGCCTCCAGCAGGGTGGCCAGTGGGTGAGCTGGGCACGGGCCCAGATATGGAGAGCTGGGGCTCGGGGGGTGGAGGATTTGTTTATCAAAACCCTCGCCTGTCCTCACGTGCCAAGCCCAGGGGCCCCTGGAGGCCTCCTCAGTCCTCGCCATCCTGGGCCGGAGGTTCCCACACACCCGACTCTGTCAGCCTGACACCCCCAGTGGTCTGGCCAGCAGCGACCTGGGCAGGCAGCTTGGAGCAGCCACTGACCGTGACCTGGTTGCCTGCTGTGCCCCAGCCCCTCGGCGCCCACGCCGCTCCTGGGCGAGGGGGCCAGGGTTGGGCGCCTGCGGGTCCCAGCTCCTGGGCTGCCTGCGGGGGCCCCCGGGCAGGCGCCCTGGCCAGGATGGCAGCCGGTCTGGTCTCCACCCTGCAGTGGGGGCGGGATGGTCCCGCAGCAGGGCCCGTGGCCTCGGCCAGTCAGGGAACCGGGCACCTCGGGGCTCTGGACAGCTCCTCCGCCCGGGCCTGAGGCCCAGGAGCGCCGGACACCCTGCAGCTGGCTGTGCCCCACCCCCCAGGCCTGCACACCTGGCTGAACAGGTGCTCTCCCCCGCCACCCGCCCCGTGTGGAGGGGGCTTGCAGCGGGCCTGCAGGGGGGCCGCATGCAAAGGAGGAAGGAGAGGCTGTAACCAAATGGGCTGCGGCAGCCAAGCCAGCACCCGGCGCGTGGCAGGCGGCGCCGACCGCACACTCGAGGGTGGACATGGGCGCGGCAGCTGTGGGAGGCTGGCGGGCAACACCGCTGGGAGGGGCTCCAGGTGTCCTAACTGGGCCTGGCAGGCACTTACAGGAAGCGGTTCAGGGGGCCCACCCCGCTGGCCTGTGGGGGCTCCTGGCACACTCAAGGCACACGTGCGCAACACATGGTGCACATGACAGACATGTGCGCTGCACACCCATGACAGGGCGCGCACACATGCAGTACCTGCGCGCAGTGTGCTCTGGCCTGTGTGGACCCCAGGTTGTCCTTGGGCAAGTCCTCAATTGCCATTGGCCTTGGCTGGCACCACAAGGGGACCCTGGTCGCCACTCGGCGTAGGACCGAGCACCGGCATTGGCTCTGACCCTGGGGCAGAGCGCCCACGACGGCCCTTCCTGGCACGCGCCCTCTGTCGGGGCCGCCGCCGCTGCCGCCCCGTGCAGCCCCGCACCCCTGGCCGCAGCGGGGTGGCTGCCTGCCTGCCACGGGGTGGGGCTGGCCCGGCCCGGCCTTCCAACCCAGCCCCCTGGCTGACTTGTGCCTTCTTCACAGCAACAAAGCGGTAACCCTGTGGACCTCTGCAGAGCCTGGGGGGGCCAAGCTGAACCCTGCACAGGCCAGCCAGGCAGCAGCCCCCACATGGCGGGTGGGGCACGGCCCACGTGCCGGGGGTCCGCACTGCCCTGTCCTCCCGGCAGCAGGGCCTCACCCAATATGCAGATGCTTGGCACCCCCCACACCTCCATCCGGGGATGCAGAGTCTGTTTCTGTAATTGTGATTTATTTACATTGTAAAAGTCATCACCCGTATTACAGTTTCTGAGGGTTCCTGCAACGTCACACACATGTGCGACTGATGGCTGCATGGTGGACCCTTGGCACCCAAGGTCCTGAGGTCACAGTGAAGAGGCAGTGGAGCGGTCCGGGCTCCCGGCTGCCCCGGGAAAGCTGCAGGTGGCTGTCTGCCAAGCTACTGGGCGGGGGCCCAGGCCCCACCTGTGCCATGCACCCCCGGTCCCCCGAGCTCCATGGGGACAGCTGGGCGGGGACAGGGGCGGGATGCAGCATCTTGCCAGATGCCAGGGAGGCAGAGGCCAGCTGGCCCAGCAGCCACGGGCTCCCGGCGGCTCCAGGGCTGTGCTGTGCAGGCTCAGGAGCAGCTGCTCGGGGGGCACCGGGGGAGCGTGGCTGCAGGAGGCAGCGGCTGTGTGCCCGGGGCTGCCCTCCTGCTGTCACTCCCGAGGTCACGGGGGCCCCTGGCTAACAAGGTGAGCAGCAAGGAGGGAGAGGCAGTGCCAGCGTCTGCCCAGGTCCCCCCTGCCCCGGGGGCAGCCAGCCTGGGACGGAGGGGCCACAGGCAGCCCGCCTGGCCACACAGGACCCAGCGGGCCCGAGGACTCGCGCCAGCTAGCTGCAGCAGCTACTCCCCGGAGCCGTGAGTCGCCCAGCTCACAAACTTGACTCACAGGTGAGGGCAGCCTCTCGGGCTTTTGCACGAAGACTGAGCCTGCTTGACCCTCCCTGCACCCTGCACCCTGCACCTCACCCACCTGGCGGCGCCTGCCTTCCCTGGCTGCAGCCCAAGCAGGCCATGCTGGGCCTGCGGCTCCCCACAAGCTCAGCCCGCAGGGGGACCGGTTTCCCTGCTCCTAGGACGCCCAGGAAGCTCCGTGGGGGAACCGATGGGCCCTGGCCGCCCCAGCCCGGCTCTGGAGGAGGGCATGCAGCCCGGGCCCGCCGGCCCCTAGGGCAGGTCCAGCAGGGCGTGCTTGGCGTAGAGCTCCTGGGAGACGTTGTACACGTGCTCGATGAAGGGCAGGGCCTCGCCCAGCATCTCCACGGCCTGCTCGGGGGGCCCCACGTTCATGGTCTCCAGGAAGACCTTGCGCGTGGGCAGCGTGCAGAAGGCCACGGTGACGGCCCGACGGATGATCCAGGGGTGGTAGGCGGCCAGCGAGGCGTTGTAGGAGTCGGTGCAGAGCACCGAGGTGCGCGCATCCTCGGGGCTGGTACGCAGGCTCTCCAGGAAGAGCTGCAGCCAGCGCAGCGCCCGGTGCAGCCGCAGCACCGTCCGGCAGCCCGAGTCCGGGTGGCGGGAGCGGCGCTCCAGGTCCACCAGCTGGTTGCCCAACTCGTAGGCCACCATGGACTGCAGGCTGCTGTAGTGGTCCCGCTGGGGGCCGCTGCGCAGGCGCTCCATGATCTGCAGCTTCGCCACCACGTCCTTGGAGATGAAGGAGAAGATGGCGCCCAGGCTGTTCAGGAACCTGCGGGGGAGGTGGGTGCTGAGCCCAGGGTGGGTGCAGCTGGGGAAGCCCCGCCTCGGCCCTGCCCCTCCACGCACCTGACCAGCCCCCTCCAGCCCTCGAGGTAGTGCTCCAGCAGCACCTCTCCCTTCTCGTTGAGACACTGCTTGAAACTAGTCAGGACGACTTTCAGGTTGAAGTCTGGCTCCAGGTCGTCCATCTTCAGCAGGGCTGAGAGTCGGCTCGCTCCTTGGGGGGGCGGGAGCAGCAGGAGAGAACGGCTGGGGTCCCGCGCCCCAGGAGCCCGCCTCGCCCCGCCTGGGCGGCGCCCTCTCCGACACCCCCGACTGCGCCCACAGACCTCGGCCCGGCCCCGCCCCGCCACTCAGTCTTCGTCAAAGGACTCCTGCTACCTCGCAGGCACTGCGGCCGTCTCTGCTCACGTTTTCTCGCTTATCTGGGTAGAGCTGGTCTCTCTTGCCAGAATGCCTGTTTTCACCTGGAGAGACCCCTGCTGGGTCCCCACCGGGAGCTGAGACAAACGGCCCAGCTCCGTCCCGGCAGCCTTCTAGCAGGGGGCGGAGCTAGGCCGTGTCCAGCCGGGGCATCCCAACAGGGAAGGTGAAAGAGGACACTGGGGTGGCGTGGGGAGGCCAGGCGAGGGCTGGCGGCCTTGCCCGTCCTCGCCCACAGCCGCGTCCATCCTAAAGCCAGCAGAGGTCGCGGGTCAGCACATCTGGGACGCTGACACACACCGACCTTTCCTGCTCTGGATGCTGCTTGCCCTCACACAGTCACTCCACAAACATCCGAGCACCCACGCGTGTGGGTGCCACTGAGCCGCCCAGCCCCTGCCTCCCTGGGCAACCAGGACCGGCACCGGAGGGTGGTGGTGCTTATGGGCCCTGGTGACTCAGCTGCATCTCACCCTGCGTCCAGGACAAGCTCTCGTCCCACTGGGCCTGGGGGCTCCTGTGCCTTGGGTGCTGGGGGCCCTGTGGGGCCCTAGCAAATGAGGGAGGCCATCCACGCCGTGGGAACAGCCCCGGCCAGGAACCGGGCACCCAAGAGCCCGTGCCTGCCACTCTGTGGGCAGGTCCCTCACCCTCCTAACACTGGGTCCTTCGTCTCTGGGGAAAGTGGCCCAGCGCACACTGCCTCGGCCACTGCCCAGGCTAGGAGAGCTTTTGAAGGGACCCAGTGGGTTCTAAGGCCCCGCAGGCCCCAAGGGCTGGGCTGGACGCCAGGCGTCGTCAGGAGCCCTGCACGGTGAGCTTGCTCTGTCCTCGGAAGATGGCTGTCTGGAGGCTCCCAGCGCCCCGCCCCCGGGCCTCGGTCTTCTGTCCACTGAGCAGATAGACGGTCTCTAGGCACTCAGGGCTACTTCCTGGCCCCCAGACATCCTGTGGGCCCAGTGTTCCTGCCAAGGACCCGACCCGGCAGCCAGCAGGAGCTGCCAGAAGCCTTTCAGAGGATGGAAACAGGAAGGGCAGTGGCTGTGCAGCTGGCGGGCAGCCTGCCAGCTCTGGGAAGGTGATGCAGGGCACCGCCAAGGCTCCCCCCGGCGCAGCCACGGCCCCAGGGTCAGGGGTCGGGGGTGGGCGGCCCGAGTCCCCGGGTCCTATGGCTGACAGCAGGCTGAAGTCGCCCGGAAGGGAGCACCCATCCTGCCACCCCGGCGCAGAGGGAGGGGGCGGCCCGGTCCAGGAAGTCCTGCAAGTCTTGCCTGGGAAGGGGGCACCAGGGGAGGCCGGGCTCGGGTGCGGCGGGAGCCTGGTCCCGGGAGGGTCCTGCTCCAGATGAGGCCCAGATAGGGCAGGGGCCCGGGGTGCCGGGTCCGAGCTGGCGTGGGAGCCGGGTTCCTGGCCGCTGTCTCCCGCGCCTGGCCCCTCGGCGATGCCCAGGTCCGCCTGACCGACTCGGCTGGGCTCGGTTCCCCGGAGCTCACCTTCGTGCCGCCGCCGCCGCCGCCGCCGCCGCCGCCTTACCTACCGCCCCGCCCCCGGCCGCTCTCGCTCCCGGTCTCTCTCTGCCGCTCGGGATTGGTTGGCCCTTGCCCAATCAAGAGACCGGACGTGCGGCCCCTGTTTCCGGCAGGCTCACCGGAAGTTGGGGGCCGTTGGGGCTGCACTTGCGCAGTGCGTCGCTGCGAGGCACGCTCTGGCGCGGTTTGGGTCCTGGGTCTGGCCCGGCGACGGTGGGCGCGGCGGGTCGGTGAGCGCGGAGGCGACGGGGCCTGGGAGCGCGCCCGGGCAGGATGCCCGAGATCAGGGTCACCCCCCTGGGTGAGTGGGGGGCGCTGGGCCGGCGCCGGGGGATGGGCTTGGGGTTGCGTCCCGGTCGCTGCTGTGCTGCGCCCTAGTTTTTCTAACGGCGACCTGAGGCGAGATCGCCGCCGCCACGTTTCCGACCCTTCGCACGTGGACCGAGGCTGCAGTCGCCTCCCGCCCCCACTCGGCCTCTGCTTCCTCCCCGTCCCCAGCCTCGCACCCGCCCAGCGCTGCGGTCCGTCCTCAGGTCGGCCCGCGGTTTCCTTGATCTCTGCAACCTGAAAGAAGAGAGCTTTGCTTCTTGGGGAAACACGTGCACTCTTAGAACCCTGACCGTTCCATCCAGAACAGCGCGAGGGAGAAAGCTCGCTCAGAGTCCAGGGTCCCGGAGACACGGGGGTGGTGGTTTGGGTGGCCGCCCTCGATTTCTCTGGGCGTCTCCGCTGCGCACACCCCCGCTGCGCCGCTCAGCGCTGCCTCCTCTCGGGGCTGGTGTCGGTGTCCGCGGTCTCCCTGCTCTTCCTCGTGGTGCAAGCTCTTTCTCCGAGTAGCCCCCCAGCCCCCTCAGGCGCAGGCGCTGAGCTGGTGACAGCTGCCTCACACCGGCACTGGCTCGAACGCCCCGCTCTCGCTGGTCGGAGCCCACGTCCCACCGCACCTGACCCGTGTCCCGCCCGCGGCCTCTCCTGGCCGTAGGCACAGGCTCCCCTCTGGCCGCTGGGACCTCACGCCCCCTCCAGCAGCCTCTGCAGGATGGGACTCTCCTTCCAGCCGCTTCTCCATCTGGCTCCTATTCTCAGCACCTGCTTTCCTCAAACAGTCCCCTTTCCCCGGCCCGCACCTGGGAGGGCCCCCAAGCTCACTCAGCCTCAGCACGACCAAAGCAGAACTGCTCCTCCCCTGCGTCCCTTCGCCAGTGTCTGCCTCGTGGGCTCCCTGGTCCCCTGGGCCAGGTGCGGAGACGCTCAGGCCCAGGGCCGTGGCGCACCTGCCCGCCCGCGGCTGCCCCCTCGCCTCCTGGGAAGCGCAAGCCTGTCTCAGTTCTGGACGTCTCTGTGCCGCCGCCGTGGGCGCGCGTCCCCAGCCGGCGCACTCGGCGCGTCTGGTGCGCGCGCACGTCGGCCATCCCCTTGCCCTGGAGCGTGAGCTCCCTGCAGACGGGCGTCTCCTGTGTCCTCTTCTGCGTCCTGCGTCCTCCCCTGTGCCCTGCAGCCGCTTCCTGCATCTCCAGCCCAGCTCAGGCCCCTGCCTTTGCCCCCGCGATTGCCGTGGTTCCTGTTGGGGACAGGCAGCCCGCGCCTGAGAGCCGGCTCCACGCCCAGGAGCCGTGTGCCTGGCAGGGATCGGTCCCTCCATTCCCGTGGCTTCACATTTCATGTTGACTTTAAAGAAGCGTGGCCTTTTTCCCGCCCACCTGTGTCTGGAGGCCTCTGAGCTGTTCTGGCCTCGAGACCCAAGGCCCAGCGGGGAGCAGGCAGCTGCTACCCTGCCCTCAGGGAGGCACGTCCCGGTGGGGACAGCAGCCACCCTGTGGCAGGGCTGCCTGAGGCACAGCTCTCGGCTGGCATCTCCTGCCCTCATCACGGGCGGCAGGCTTCTCAAGGGCCAGCCCCCATCCCGCTCCAGGCCCGGTCCCCTGGCGTGCGTGGTGCCAACAGAGGGTCAGGTGGCTGCAAAGGGAGGTTTGGGGTGGACACTGGAAAGCAGACCATTTGCTGTCACCAGGCCCTGCAAGGTCGTGTCCCTTTCCTTCTGGGCTCTCGGGCCTCAGGTGGCCATAGGAGGTGGCCAGGATGTGCCCCAGCTGGACAGGGCTCGGAGGTCAGGAACGTGGCTGGAACTCAGGTGCAGGCGTGATCCCTGTGGTTAGGTGGTCATTGCCGGGCTGAAGCCACGTGCGGGACCTTTGTTGGCACCACCAGGGGCAGGTCCTGAGGGGGTCCCGCCGCCCAGGCGTGACCCCGCCAGGTCTCAGGAGGGGTGTTCAAGCCCCACAGGCACCGGCGTGACTCCGTGGGTGCTGGGACCACAGTCGGGCAGCCGTAACTCAGCCCTTGGCTTTCGAGGGTACGGGTGGGTCACGGGGTGGGCTGCGGCCATCCATCCGACCGTGGGCAGCGGAGGCTGGGCCTGAGGCTGCAGGCACAGTGGGAGAGGTGGCCTGGGCGTTTTGTCCCCTCCCTGCGGGTCTTCCTATCTGTTTGTGGAGGTGGTGATGTTCTCGCCTCAGGTGTTGTCACACAGCAGCTTGTTACGGGGGTGGGGTGGGGGGTGGGGCCAGCAGCTGGGCTGTGGCCTTGGGGCTGGGCCGTCCTTGTAGCAGTGGGGGCGGGGGGTGGCCGCACCTCACTTGCTGTCCCTGCAGGGGCCGGCCAGGACGTGGGCCGGAGCTGCATCCTGGTCTCCATCGGGGGCAAGAACGTCATGCTGGACTGCGGAATGCACATGGGCTTCAACGACGACGTGAGTCCCGTGCGTGGGCTGCGGGGGGCCCTGTCGCCCCACCTGCTCCTCACAGAGGACGCGGGGCTCGGCCTCGGGCTCCGCCCTGCGGGATGGGGACAGTCTGGGCAGGTGGGCAGCGTAGTTCGCAGGTGGGCCCGGAGTCGCTGCATTCCTGGGCCGCCCCCACCGTCACGTGCCAGGCAGGGAGCCCTGCTTGGGGGCCGGTCTGCACAGGGGGGCCGTGTGGGGTGGGTCTGGCACTTGACCCTCCCGTGCCCGTGGGGGCTGTGAGCAGTCAGCAGTCCTGGCGCGGCCCCTGGGTGGAGGTGGTGCCCCGCAGCGCGCCGGCCGGCCCCGCCCCCCGGCTGACGTGCTCTCCTGACTTCTCAGAGGCGCTTCCCTGACTTTTCCTACATCACCCGCAACGGCCGGCTGACCGACTTCCTGGACTGCGTGATCATCAGGTGAGCCCTGCCCCAGGGCTGCTGGTGACAGGGCCGCGCGTGTGCCGTCGCCTGCCTCCGGACCCTGCGGAACCCAGGGGAGCTGCCCAGGCCCCGCCCCCGAGGCCCGCCCCTCCGCGCGTGGGTGCCGGCCCTGGCGGAGGTGCCCTCGCTTGTGGTCATAAGCGCCCATGGCTGCTCCTTGGTGGGCTGCAGGCCACCGGCAGGGGAAGGGCGGTCAGCACTTTGCGCCGGGCCGTGGGTGAGAACCCAGGTTCCCCAGGCAGACCGGGCTGCGTCGGGTCTCCGACGGCTACGGCCGTGACTGCCCCCGCCCCCCAGCCCCTCCTCCCCAAAGGCCTCCCCAGGCGACCTTGCCCGGCCTGCCCCTCACCTGCGGGTCTCGACCCCTGCTTGACTGGACAGGGCTCCGACCTCCCTGCTCACGCCTCACGCCCTGCCGACGGTCACAGGTGGCCAGGGACCCACTGCTCGCGGCCCTGACCGTCTCGTGGCCTAGCCACCCTCAGCTGCTCTGGGGCTCTCGGGGGCTGTCCCTCCCACGACAGGGCTCGGCCCCACGGCCACGTCAGCTGTGGGTGGCGCAGCTGCGCCCGCTCCGTCCCTGTGTTGCGGGGTGTTCCCGACCACCGCCCACAGCGCACTGTCCCCGGAGCTGCTTTCTATCTTCAAGGAACGTGTCACCGTCTGGTACACGTTTCAGCTGTTTACTTGCTTATTGGCAAACAAGACGTGCAGGCTGTTGGGTCCAGGGAGGCGGCCGTCTCTGTCCGCTCCGCCCTCGCCCCCCAGTGCCGGGGCCCAGGGCGCCCCCGCGGGCGGGCGGGCGGGCGGGCGGGGGCACGGCGGAGCCTAGCGCTGGTGTGGGGGCCGGTGCGCAGGGGCCGGCTGACCGTGCTGCGCCCCCAGCCACTTCCACCTGGACCACTGCGGGGCGCTGCCCTACTTCAGCGAGATGGTGGGCTACGACGGGCCCATCTACATGACCCACCCCACCCAGGCCATCTGCCCCATCCTGCTGGAGGACTACCGCAAGGTCGCTGTGGACAAGAAGGGCGAGGCCAACTTCTTCACCTCGCAGATGATCAAGGACTGCATGAAGAAGGTGGTGGCCGTCCACCTCCACCAGACAGTGCAGGTCGGGGCCGCGGCGCGGGGCGCGGGCGGCCGGGGCGGGCAGAGCCAGGCGCTGCGGGGCCGCGGGGTGCGGGCTCCGTCTCGGGGACGCAGCTGGGGGGTGGCGGGGCCGACAGCCGGTGGGGCTCCAGTGGGTAACGGGCCAGCGACGCTGGGCTCGCCTGTGTGCTCAGCGTCTGTGGGTGCTGCTTGTCAGGTGCGCGCACGTCTGGAGCCGTTTTATCCGGACTGAGCCTCTCTCTGTCCGTGCGCGGTGTCCGTGTGTCGTTAAGGAGGCCTTTTGTCGCAGGCTGTGTGTCTGGTAACGCGGGGGACGTCTGCAGGGTGTATCGTCTCGTCTTTTCACTTTCAACCTTTCTGGATTGTACTGGGACGTGGCTCTGTCAGGGGGCATGGGGTCCGCGTTTGCGGACCCAGCCTGGTTCCCTGCCCTCCAGACATGCATTTCCCGAGGTCACTGTGCCGTGGCTGTCCCTGTTCGCTCCCTGTTGCCGTCTTGCTTGATGTTTCTTTCTTTCCTTTATTGCTCACTTTAGATTGACTTTTTTTCTGTAAAGTTCGGTTTCTTGCCCTGACTGGTGTGGCTCAGTGGACTGGGCATTGTTCTGCAACGTGAAGGGTCACCTGCTCGGTTCCCAGTCGGGGCTCAGGCCCGGGTTGCGGGCCAGGTCCCTGGTTGGGGGCGTGAGAGGCAGCCAAGTGATCTATGTTTCTCACATCGATGTTTTTCTCTCTCTTGCTCTTTCTCCCTTCTCCTGCCTCTAAAACTAAGTAATTAAAATCTTTACAAAGCTTTCTTTTTCCTTTTGTTGGGTTAGTGATGATGTATTGATGTGTCACTGTTTTAGTGGTGGAGGTGGCCACGTGCATCCACAGCAACGAGACCTAAGGCACTTGGGCCTTTCCTGGGCAGCACAAGGGTCTCGGTGTTGCAGCCCCTTGAGCTCCCCCCGCCCCCCCCCCGTCTGAGACACTGGCGGCCGCGGCTGCATTTTGAGTCCCTTGGTCGACAGGAGCCTGGCAGGGCTTCGGGGGCGGGCGTCTCCGTTCACACTTCCGCTGCCTCCGCGTGGTCCTCGCTGCTTGTTCGGGAGAGTTTGCCTCCGGCCTGACGAGCAGCCGCGGGGACCTGCCTTGGCCGACGTCCGTCTGGGCTCCTCCTGCCTGCCCCCCGGGAGGTGGCGGCCGCGGGGGCAGAGCTCTAGGCCCGCAGCCACCCCTCAGCCTCCCCGGCCCCGGGGGCCCCAGGGGCTGGCGTCAGGCTCCGGCACGGCCGCTTGCCGGGTCTCGCCCTGGGTCGGGGGGTGGGGGGTCGGGTCTTGGGGCTCCGGGCCGCTGCCGCCCTGTCTTGCTATGCGTTTCGGGTCACGAACTCTCTCTGGTGTTTCTGTTCCGCTGTTAACTTCCTCCACTGAATTCTTAATTCCAGTCATTACACTTCTGGTTTTAAAATTTTTATTTTTAAAAAGTTCCTGGTTCTGTGTCAAGACTCTTAACCTGGTCCTTACTTGCATGGGCACGTTGGTCACACGGTGCCCCTCTGCCGGCCCCTCTGCCGGCCGCAGGCCCTGCCGCCGCTCTCTCCCTTCCGACCTGTCCTCTCGTCTCTGCGGTCGAGCTGGGTCGGCCTGAGAACAGGACGCCGTCTGTGAGGAGCGGGGGACGGCAAGTGACGCCGCCCACCCGCGCTCCCCTCCCAGGTGGACGAGGAGCTGCAGATCAAGGCCTACTACGCGGGCCACGTGCTGGGGGCGGCCATGTTCCAGATCAGAGTGGGCTCGGAGTCGGTGGTCTACACGGTGAGCAGAGGCGCTCGGGGGCTGGGGGCGGGGCCGCCGGGGCGGGGCGGGGCCCCTTCTGTAACACCGCGTCCCGCAGGGCGACTACAACATGACCCCGGACCGGCACCTGGGGTGAGTCGGCGGGCACTCGTTGGCTCCATCCTGGGGGCCCTGCCCCGGGCGCACTGCCCTTCCTGGACGGCCGGGGCGGGACGGTGGCCCCGCGTCCCCGTGGGAGGCAGAGTCTCTTCCCCGGTCTTCACGCGAGCGCTGCCCAGGCCTGTGCAGAGGGGCTGCGGCTGCGGGTCGGCCCTGGAGGCCTCGGCTGAGAGCGGGGCTGGGGCCCGGCCGCCCCCGACCTGCAGCTGTGCGCACGGCCCTCCCCGGCCACGCCCACTGCCTTACAGGGCCGCTTGGATCGACAAATGCCGCCCCACCCTGCTCATCACGGAGTCCACGTACGCCACGACCATCCGCGACTCCAAGCGCTGCCGGGAGCGAGACTTCCTGAAGAAGGTCCACGAGACCGTGGAGCGTGGCGGGAAGGTGGCCGGCAGCGGCGGGGCAGCAGGCGGGGGTCCTGGGCTGAATGGAGGGGCGCAGGAGGGAGGCTGGGTGAGCCTCGCGAGGACCAGCTCCCTCTGGCCCTTCTGGGGCCCCAGCCCCAGGCTGGCCGGAGCACCCACCAGGGTCCCGTCTGGACAGACTGGCTGGAGGCGGGATGCGGGTGGGGCCGCCTCCTCAGGGATCTCAGGGACCACAGGCCTGCGGCTGGAAGAGCTGCTGGAAGAGCTGCCGGCAAGGCCGTGGGCTTGGCCTGGGCAGGCAGCGCGGCCAGGACCCCCCCCGCCAGCCTCTCCCCCACCGCACAGGTGCTGATCCCCGTGTTCGCGCTGGGCCGAGCCCAGGAGCTCTGCATTCTGCTGGAGACCTTCTGGTAGGGGCAGCGGGTGGCTTCCGGGAGCCCAGCCTGGGGGGGCGCGAGGGCGCGAGGGCGCGGGGCGGGACGCAGCCGGCCTGTCCTGCGGCCCCTCCACGGCGGCCCCGCACCATCCACAGGGAGCGCATGAACCTGAAGGCCCCCATCTACTTCTCGACGGGCCTGACGGAGAAGGCCAACCACTACTACAAGCTCTTCATCACCTGGACCAACCAGAAGATCCGGAAGACCTTCGTCCAGAGGAACATGTTCGAGTTCAAGCACATCAAGGCCTTCGACCGAGCTTTTGCCGACAACCCGGGTCCCATGGTGAGGCCCTGGCCCGGGGGGCGGCGTGGAGCTGGGGGGTGGCGGGCACAGCCACCTGTGCCTGCTGCAGCCGGGGCGTGCGCCCAAGCCGGCGCCAGGCGCCCCACGTGCATCCCTCCCTCGTGTCTGGGGGAGTGTTCGGTCTCCCGGGGGATGGGGCGCAGCTGTGCTGCGGGGCGATGCAGCCGGGGGTGGGAGGGGCGCGAGGGCTGCAGCGGGAGGCCCCGGGGGCAGGGCGGGGTGCGGCCCGGGGTGCGGGTGGCCCTGACTGGACCCCCCCGCCCCCCCAGGTCGTGTTTGCCACGCCCGGGATGCTGCACGCCGGCCAGTCCCTGCAGATCTTCCGGAAGTGGGCAGGGAATGAGAAGAACATGGTGAGGGGCCCGGGAGGCTGTGCAGAGGTGGAGAGCAGGGGCTCCCGGGCTTGGGGGCGCTGCCGCCGTGGGGGGGGGGCTCGGGACCCCGGGGCCCAGTCGGTGTCTGACCCAGGCATCTCCGATCGTCGCCGTGTTTCTGCCAGGGCTCCCTCCTGGGCGGGGGTCATGGTGCGCCCGGGTCGGCCGGGGGTCTGGCAGGGGAGAAGGGCCTCCGCCCAGGATTCGGAGGAGCGGGGCGCGGGGCTGTCCCACGCGGAAGCCCTGAGGCAGGAGGCGGAGGCCATGCAGGTGGCCACCAGCTCTGTCCTTTTCTGCCCTGCAGGTCATCATGCCTGGCTACTGCGTACAGGGCACCGTGGGCCACAAGATCCTCAGCGGGCAGCGCAAGCTGGAGATGGAGGGGCGGCAGGTGGTGAGTGCCCCCCGCTCCCCGGCCCCCCCGGCCCCCCGGGCCGGCCGTGACGGCCTGCGCTCTGTGCCGTCGCAGCTGGAGGTCCGGATGCAGGTGGAGTACATGTCCTTCAGCGCCCACGCCGACGCCAAGGGCGTCATGCAGCTGGTGGGCCAGGCGGAGCCCGGGAGCGTGCTGCTGGTGCACGGGGAGGCCAAGAAGATGGAGTTCCTGCGGCGGAAGATCGAGCAGGAGCTCCGTAGGCCGGGGGGGGCAGGGCCGGGCGGGGCCGGGGTCCGCGAGGCGCGCGCGGGCGCCCCTGATCCTCTCTGCCTCTCGGGCCAGGGGTCAGCTGCTACATGCCGGCCAACGGCGAGACGGTGACGCTGCCCACCAGCCCCAGCATCCCTGTGGGCATCTCCCTGGGGCTGCTGAAGCGGGAAATGGCGCAGGGTATGCCGGCCGGGGGGCGGGGGTGCCGGCTGGGGCGGGCGGACTCCGCTGACCGCGCTGACTGCCGCCCTTCCCTGAAGGGCTGCTCCCGGACGCCAAAAAGCCCCGGCTGCTGCACGGCACCCTGATCATGAAGGACAGCGTGAGCGCGCGCGGGCCATCCCGGGGCGGGGGGGCGGGGGAGGCGGGGGCCGGGGGCAGGGCCCCTGCGCGCGCTCACCTGCCCCTGCCCCGCAGAACTTCCGGCTCGTGTCCTCGGAGCAGGCCCTCAAGGAGCTGGGCCTGGCCGAGCACCAGCTGCGCTTCACGTGCCGTGTGCACCTGCACGACGCGCGGAAGGAGCAGGAGACGGCCCTGCGCGTCTACAGCCACCTGAAGGGGTGGGTGCCGCCCCGCTGGCCCTGGGGGCGGGGGCGGAGGGGCATCCCTGTGCTCTCCCCGCGCCCACCGCGCCGTGTCCCGCAGTCTCCTCAAGGACCGCTGCGTGCAGCACCTCCCGGACGGCTCAGTGACCGTGGAGTCCATCCTCATCCAGGCCGCCGCCCACTCGGAGGACCCGGGCACCAAAGTGCTGCTCGTCTCCTGGACCTACCAGGTGTGTGGCAGGACGCGCGAGGCCCTGCGCCCGGCAGCCGGGGTGGGGGGCATGGGGGAGGGCGGGGCAACAGCCTCTGGTGTCCCTGTAGGATGAAGAGCTGGGCAGCTACCTCACGTCCCTCCTCAAGAAGGGCCTGCCGCAGGCCCCCGGTGGAGGCAGCTGATGCCCGCCCGCCACCTGCCGTTCCCCGAGGGACCCGACCCCGCTCCAGGGCAGGGTCTGCGTCTGCGCCCGCGCCCTGGCCCCGTCCACGGGGACACCGCCAGTGTCTCGTGTCTGCCAAGTGGCTGTTCTTGGTAGAATAAATAAATAAATAAATAATCCTGGAGACTTCTTCTTGTTTTATTTGTACCTCTGGGCAGGGATGTTCCCCTCCAGTTAAAACAACCAAAGGCCCCACCTCCCCCACTGGCCTGGGGCCACCAGGTCCGCTGGGAGCCCCTCGTGCACAGCTGGGGCCTGCAGGGCTGGGCCGGCCAAGGCCAGGCCCCTGGGGGTCATCTGTGGCTTCAGTGCCATGGGCCCTACAGACACAAGGCCAGCAGCTTCAGGGCGCTGGAAGCAGGACCTGTGGACAGATGCTAGGTCGCCTTGGGGGTGGGGGTGTCTGTGGGGGCGGGGGAGCCCCCGCTCACTTTCAGAGCCCCCCCCTTCGGTTCCCCCTCCCCGTTGGGAACTCACGGGGGGTGGGCCTGAGGGCCATGAGCACCTCACCCCAGGCCTCCTGCCGTGGGGCCACTGGTCTCCGGCTTGAAGTCTGGCTGACCTGGGGCCTTTCTGCCCCCTGGGCCCTGACTTTCCTGCTGGGCACAGGCTACATCCCCGGCTGCTAGAACGACAGAGGAGAGCGGTGACAGCAAGGCCACCAAGGGCTCCTCCAGCAAGGACCTGGCCTGGAGTGGGGTCGATGGCGGGGTCCGAGCAGGGCCGCCCCCACCTCTTACCACGGTCCTCGAGGTCCCTGTAGAGCACCGACTTCAGGAACAAGCCGTGGGCTGGCGCCACACGTGTCTGGTGCCTGCCCAGGGGGTCCCGGCTCTCAAGGATCAGCCTCACCTGAGCAGGTGTCAGAGTCCCCAGCCCCACGGCCACCAGCACCGCTGTCATCCTCCGCACCTGCCGCCCAAAGCCGAGACTGCCGCCCAGGCCGAGCGGCCCCGCGCCCCCTCCGCCCCGGGCAGGGCCCCAGAACAGAGCCCACCTGCCTGTACAGGAAGGACTGGCTTTCGAACTCCAGGCTCCAGAACTGTAACCTCCTAGGGACACAGGCACCTGTGACATCCAGGCCGTAGGGTGGCCCCAGGCCAGGGCAGGGGGCCTGGGAAGCCCACTGACTGGTACCCACCCTCCCCTGCACCGACCGCCCCACCCCTTAAGGGAAACCAGGCAGCTGTCACGGGCGAGTCGGGGGGAGGGCAGAGCCTTCTGGGGGCCTTGCCATGGGGGTGGGGCCCTCACGCCGAGGCGCTAAGGCCCTGGTCCTGGCCCCGCGGCAGCTCATCTGCTGGAGACCCAAGCCTCCAGCCGGACCTCTCTGGCGTGAGTTCACGGCTGGCTGCAGAAGTCCCTCCTCCCTTCAGTTCCGGCCCAAACCAGGAGGGTTCCCGAAGCCGGCGGCTGCCATGTGGCTGGAGGCCCCTGGTATGGTGTCGGGCGCAGTGGAACCAGCCCTGTCAGGCTGGGCCAGGACCACTGGCCTGGTGCACAGCCCCAGCAGGACCTTTTCAGTGGCCGCCAAGGCCTGCCCCCTGGGCAGGGAGCCCTGGGCAGGGCTGAGTGCCCGCAGAGAAGGGCGGTCTTCTCTGTCCTCTGTCCCCCAGCCTCGGGGGAGGGCAACTGCAGGTTTGTGGGCACCACCTCACTGCCCCGCACTGCCCCAGCAGGTGCCCGGGACACCCCCCCTCTGCCGAGCCGGCCCCCCTCACCTTCCCTCCTGGGGAAGGAGGAAGGGGCTGGCCGGGCCAGGGGACACGGAGGCCCGGCGCAGCGTGCGCACGGAGCTAGGGGACTCGCTGCCGGCCGACTGGAAGGCGCTGAAGTCGTGCGTCCCCAGGAGGTGCTGGGCAGCCTCCTGCATGGCAGCCACGTCCAAGCAGCTGCAGAGAGCCAGGGGAGCGGTCAGGCGGCGGCCGGCCTGGGTGGGGGGTGGCAACCCCACCCTCCGCTCTCACACCGGCACTCACGTGGCCTGCAGTGCCCAGCATCGGTGGCGTTCAAACACCGGCAGCTGGTCATACCGGGGGCAGCCAGTGGCCAGGCGGTACAGGTAGGTCCTGGACGAGGCAGAGTGCCGGGCATGGAAGTCACCGGGCACGCGGAAGGCCTGCAGGATCCTGTGGGAGTAAGGCCAGGCCCACCGCAACAATGATGCGCGCGCGCGCACGCGCACGCGCGCACACACACACACACACCCCACCACCACCACCCCCCCCCGCCCCTCCCTTGGTTGCTCCCCTATCACTGTCAAGAACGGCGGCCTGGACACCAAGTCCTTTCTGGTCTCGGCCTCCAGGGGGGTAGCGCAGAGGGTGCTCACCGGATGGCGGGGTGCTTCAGGTGGGTGTTGAGGGCCTGCGTCAGGACTTCGGGGGAGAAGGGCGGCTGGCCTGAGCGGCGCTGGACGTCCAGGTGCGCCGCGTTGCTCAGGGCGTGGACCCCCGCATCCGTGCGGCTGGAGATGGTGAACTTCACCGGCACGACCGATTTCAGCCCCTCCGCGGCCTCCTGCGGGGAGAGAGCCGCCGGGGGCGGGGCGGGCAGCGCAAGGCGCAGACCCCGTGTTCCCACAGGTGCCGGGCTCCCACTTGCCCCTCCTGGGGGTCGCTCTCCTCCATCCCAGGCGGCAGCCGGCGGAGCTCACCTCCAGGTAGTTCTGGACCCCGACGGCGCGTTGGGCGCCCCTGACGGCCGCGACCCCGCTGTAGGCAGAGGCGGGCGAGGTCAAGGGCGGATGCGGCCCCGCCCGCGCCCATTCCTTCCCAGCGTCGCGGCCCGAGGCCGGACGTACGGGTCCTAAATATAGCTCCCGCCCTTCCCTCGCGCGCCGGCTGCCCTCGGAGACCAGCTCCGGTGCTTCCCGCGGCGCCGCATTGCGCGTGGGGGTCGCGGCCACCGGAGAGTCCGGGAGACGTACTTAAAGTCGGTGCCCAAGTACTGGAAGTACACGAGGTAGCGCGCCCGCACCGAACCCGCGGCCGGGCCCGAGCCCATGGCCTGGCCGGTCCGAACCGAGAAGCACCCAGGGGAGCCGGGGGCCGCACGTGCGTCCCTGCGCGCGCGCGCGCGCGCGTACGCAACCTGGCCACGCCCCCGGTCGCTCCCGCGTCTGCGCCCTGGCTTTCGCCCCGCCCCAGCAGCCCTCCACACCCGCCCCAAGGCCGCCAAGGGCGGGGGCAGCGGAGGCGGGGTCAGACTTAGGGAGTGGGTGCAAAGTGCCGGCCGCTGCGGAGCGCGTGGGCTCGACTCGGGCAGCGACGTCCCGGGAGACGCTCTCACAGCCGCGCCCTGACCCGCACGCCCCCTCGTGCGTGCACTCATTCGCTCGTCTGCCCACCTTCTCACTCGAGTCCTTCCGCCGCGTTCTGGCCCAGAGGGTTTTGCAAACGCCCCTCGTTGCGCAACAGCGGGATCACTGGAGAGGGCGGGGTCCGTGCCCTCCCCGCGCCCCGGGGCCCGCCCGACGGCTCCAGCTGCCCCACAGTGGCTGAGCCTGCCCACCTCCCCGACCTGGAGTGGCCCAAGAAAGAAGGGAGGCCGAACCTCGGGGGCGTCTGGGCCGGAGCTGGGCGTGCCCGCGGCCGCAGGGAGGGGCGTTTGGCGACGCTCCCCTGCGGTGACAGCCGGCGGCGCCGGCGGTCGGCGGACTTTGGCGACGCTCCCCGGCAGTGACAGCGGGCGGCGGGCGCACGCTGCGGACTTTGGCGACGCTCCCCGGCGGTGACAGGCGGGGCGGGGTGGTTGCACGGCGGCCTCATTCCGGGGCGGGCGGGCGCCGAGCGCGGCGCGGGCGGGCGGACGAGCGGGCCGAGCCGGCCGAGGATGCCGCTCGGGGCGCCGCGGTCCTCGTGCCAGTGAGCGCAGCGCGCCGCCGCAGCCATGACGGTGGAGTTCGAGGAGTGCATCAAGGACTCGCCGCGCTTCAGGTGCGCCCGCGGGGCGCGCCCTTTGTGGGCGCCGGGGTCGCCGCCCCCTCAGAGCACCCGGGGCGGCCAGGGGAAGGGCGCGGGGCGAGGGCGTCGGTGCCCCCTTTGTGCCCGACGCGGAAGCCGGTGACGGAAGCTGGAGGACCCCGCCTCCGACAAAGCCCGCAGCGCCCCGGGACGAGGGGACGGAACAAAAGATGTCCCTTGTGCTGGTCACCTCGCGCGGAGGGCGCGCGCGTGGGGGCGGGGCTGCCGCCGGCTGGCCACCTCTCCGTGGGAGTGTCCACCCCCGCTTTGTGTCTGCACCGTCGTGCTGGCCACCTGCACAGCGCTGAGACCCTCCGCGGCCCTGCAGCCCTGCTCTGGCCAGGCTTGTCTGGGCTTGTGGGGCTTCCGTCCTTGGACTCTGTCTTGGTCCGTGTGCCCAGAGCAGTGCACGGGGACAGTCAGCTGGAGCCGCATGTAGGGCCTGGGCTGGCCGCTTGGCAGGGTGACCTCGGCGCCTGGAGGGGTGGGGGCTGGGCCGAGCAGACCTGATTGGAGGCTCCTGCCCTGGGTTTGTCACTTTGGGGCTCTGGGGGAGCGCAGGCGCACCCACGCGCGCGCACCACACGGTCACCATGTGCGCACGCCCGCCAGGCCTGAGCTGCTCCCGTGTGCAGCGTGCGCGCGTGGGAGCCGCGTCCGTCCGCACCTTGTCTTGAGGCACCAGGCCCTGGACGTGAATGTGTGGGTGAGCTGCACCCCTGTGCTGGCATGCGTGACACATGTGTGCAGACTTAGTGATGGAGGCGTGCACGTCACGTGTCCCTTCTGGATGTGCACACATGCACGTACTGTGTGCTTGCCGTGCGGGTGTGCGTGTTGGCACCAAACACACACGGTAGTTGGTTCGTGGGTGTCCCAGCACTGCCACCGTGCCCACGCATGGGATGGCACCGGCACGTCCACCCGGCCGCTGTGCACACGTGAGCCTGCCTGCGCCGTGTGTGTGCTGGTCTTGGGGTGCCGGCCAGAGGGCCTGTGTGTGTGCCGAGGGCGCAGCGCCAGCGTGGCCCCTGGGCCCTGAGCAGGCGCCTCAGGAGGGAGGCTGGGGGCGAGGGGTCTGGTCAGCCAGGAGAGCGGCCCCAGGCGCCGGGCGGTAGGGGGGGCCCTCTGCCGGCCCAGCCTCTGGTGCTGGCTGGTCAAGGGAGGGGGTGCGAGGCGCTCATGCTCTGGGGCTCCCCTCTGCCCACTTGCTGTCCTGGGACCCAGGCTGAGGGGAGCTGCAGCCAGGGCCTCAGCCAGGGCCTGGGCCTGCTGTGGCCGCGGGTCTTGCCGGGGCCCCTCCCGCAGAGCCCCACGTGCATCTGCCCTGCCGGCCAGACCGGACTCGGCACCCGCTCACCCCAGGCCTTGCCTCTCCACAGCAGCCTGTTCTGCCAGTGGCACCGCAGCGGGTGTGGTGGCCCTGCCGGGCCCCCTCCGGCAGGGAGGGGCGGCCCCTGTGGGAGGGCCCCACTGAGCCGGGGAGCGGCTGCGTGGACCCGTGGGGACCCTGGGCCACAGAGCCCGCTCTGGGCTTCGGGGCCACGGGTCTGGTTTGAGGCAACCCCGAGGTGCCTCGTCGGCTCTGCTTCAGGTGCAGCTGCGGCCGTGACCAGGGCTTCCTGGAAGTTGGCCTGGGCTGGGCCGGTCAGGGCGTGGCAGGCTGGGAGGATGTGGTCAGTGATGTGGGGCCCTGCGGCCCCCGCCCTGTGAAGGGGGACCCTGCCTGTGCGCCCTGGACCGGGGCGGGCCCCTACGTCCCTGCGCCTGTGGCCAGGGATCCAGACGCTCCCAGGCTGGCCTGGGCTCCACCCACCCCTGCTCTAGGGGCCCGACCCGGGTGGGGTTTCAGGCACTGAGTCACGGCCTTGGGGGGCTGGCCCCTCCCCACTCCCTGTCCTCCAAGCCGAGCCGCTGAGGAAATCCTGGAGGGAGGGCAGGGGAGGAGGCCTCGGGCCCTCAGAGGCTGGGGAGGGCGAGGTGGCGCGCTGGCTCCCGGTGCAGCCCCACCCCTGCCGCTCGCCTGTGGTGGCCGCGCTCCGTGCGGCTGCGGCGCCGGGTCTCCTCCTGCAGCACCGTCTTCGGGGTGGGTGGTGCTTCCCTGCCCTGGGACCCTCCGAGGGGCAAGGGAGCAGGACGGGGGTCAGGGCCCTTGGGGTCCCCGCCTCGAGCGGTCGGACGCACGCCCCTCAGCCCGCACGCCCGGGCAGTCCGGCCGGGCAGCCCTGGGTGGGCCGGAGCCCGGGCCGTCTCCGCGCCAAGCAGGCGGCCTCTCTGACCCATCTCTGCTCCAGAATGTGGTCCCCTGAGCCCCTTGGGAATGGGCGGGTGCTGCTCAGAGGGGCGCCCCTGTCCTGCCAGGTGGCTGGCGGGGACGTTACAAGGTCCCTGGGTGGCCGGTACCCCCAGCCCCAGCTTCTAATGGAGATCGTTTGGAGCTACACCCTGTGCGAAGGACTAGGTCCTGCCCGCAGGTCTGGGAAACCCTGGGACACGCCCCTCCCCCTGCCCACCACCCCTGCCTGACCCGCCAGGGCCTGTCCCTGGGGCCTGAGCCCATTCCCGCGGCCCCTCATCCCCGGGAGGCCAGATGGGCCCAGCTCACCAGCTGAGCGGCGGGGGCGGGGGTGGGGGGGGCGCCGGGATCCTGGCCTGGTTCTGCTGTTTCCTGTTCCTGGAGCGTGTGAGGGGAGGGAGACGTCACGTGCCCGATCCATCTGCCGCCGCCGCCTTCCGGGGATTCTCCTGTCCCAGGCTTCTCTGGTGATGTCATGCGTTAACTCTCCCCTCCCCGAGGTGGCCCGTTGTCAGGCGGCCCCACGGGAGTGGGTGCCCCCGAAGCCGAGCCCGCTCCCCCCCGGCCGACGGTGCCGGCCTGCGTCTGGAGGCTGGGGGCGTCGGGGGTCTCGGGATGCTGAGGAAATCAGAGGGAGCGGCCGTGCGGCGCTCTGGGCTCCGGCTGAGACGGGTCTGCTGCAGGGGCTCCCGGGCCGGGGTGGAGGGTCCGCCTGGGGTCTGGGGTCCGCTCCGGGCCCTGGGGCTGGGCAGGAGGGGAGCTGGCCTGCCTTGTCCCCACCCGAGATGCACCTGCCCTGGGGCCCCGGCCCCTCCCTCTGCCCTCAGGCTTGTCTGACCTCCCTGCCCGGGGCTACAGCAGCTGCCCCTACCTGGGGCCGGACACCCGACAGGGCCTCCTCCCACCTGGGGCCGGGGTGGGCGCTGGGCAGCGCTGGGTCAGCGGGACCTGGGTCCCGGCCCTGGCCCCTCCTCCCAGGCAGCGGCAGCCTCTCCCACCTTCCGCTTCTCCACCTGCCCGAGGGCCGCGGGGCGCAGGCCGGCAGTGGGGAGCAGCCCCCGCGGGAGGTCCTCGGGGAGGTGCAGGCCCGGCCCGGCTAGGAGTCAGGGTGGCCGGCTGCAGGCTGAACCCGGCCGCCCCGCTCCCATTGCAGGGCGACTATCGACGAGGTGGAGACAGATGTGGTCGAGATCGAGGCCAAACTGGACAAGGTGAGGGCCCCCCCGCCCCGGGGCGCACGGCGGGAGTCCAGTGCCTCTCTCCGCCGCCACGCCCAGCGGCCGGTTTATGTGCAGCGTGCGTGTGAGCACCCACGGGTTGCACCTGGGGCGTGCAGCCTGCGAGCTGTGCGCAAGACGCGGCGGTGTCCCCTGCGCCCCAGCGGGGCCTGCCGGGCGTGTCCCAGGTGCCACATGCGCTGCACATACGCGTGTCCACCCCCGGGTCTCCCGTCGGGTGGGGTGGGCCGCGGCGAGTTCCCCCCAGGGTAGCTCCAGGGCGGGAGGCAGCCGCTAGGGTCTCTGCCTCTGAGAGACCAGCCTGGGGCCGGGGTGGGAGACGGGAGGAGGAGGAGGGGCAGTGTCCCTGAGCCCCCTCAGTGGCCGTTCCTGCCGGCTGTTGGCCAGGACCGCAGCCACCCCCGCCCCGGGTGCTCTGCGGGGGCCTCCCTGCCCTGCTCCAACCTCCTGCTCTGAGCCAAGGCCCGGCGCCCGGGGGCTCGGGTGGAGGGCGGGCGGTCCAGGCCCTCTCGGCCTGGGGCAGCCCAGAGCAGCGGTAGGGAGGGCGGGCGGAGGCGGGTGGCCTGAGGGTCCCCCTTCCACCCCACCCGCAGCTGGTCAAGCTGTGCAGCGGCCTGGTCGAGGCCGGCAAGGCCTACGTCACAGCCAACAGGCTCTTCGTCAGCGGCGTCCGGGACCTGTCTCAGCAATGCCAGGCCGACGCCGTCATCTCGGTGAGGGGCGGCTGACCTCCAGTCAGGGGTGGGCGTGGCCAGGCAGCCCCCCGAGGCCGCCCAGGCCCTGGGAGCCAGCGGGCCTCTGCGCTGGGCGGCAGGGGTGGTCCTGTGGCCTGCGGCTGCGGAGGCGCCGGCCACTCGGGGGCACGGCTGTTCCACCTGAGTGATGGGTGTCCCCACGCTGCCCCTCAGGAATGTCTGCAGAGGTTCGGAGACAGCCTACAGGAGATGGTCAACTACCACATGGTGAGCCCTGCCCGCCCAGCGCGGGGGTGACGGGCTTGAGGGCCTGCTCGAGGGCTCGTCCGGGACGGCTCCACTGGGGGGTGGCCTGGAGGGCCAGGCGGGGCCGTCAGGGGCTCTCTGCCGGCCGGTGGGGAGGACAGGACAAGGAGGTGGCGACACAGCCCAGGACAGAGGGTGGCAGGGGTCTCAGGGGGAGGGGCCTCGGAGGCTTGCCCAGGGCCCCCGCGCCAGGCGGGGCCTCCAGCAGAAGCATCCCCCAGGCTGACCCCACGGCCCCGGACGACTGGCCTCACTGCCTCCCGGGGTCCAGGTGACCCCCAGCCCTCAGCGCCCCCAGCAGGGACACTGGGGCAGCGCCTGAGGCACACGTGGGTGGCCGGACATCGGCCTGGGAGCCAGAGCCCCAGACTAAACAAGGGGCCCCACCCCCCACAGAGGAAGTTCAGAAATAAACCAGGTCAAAACAGCTTGTCCTGCCCTGTCTGCCTGTCTGTCTTCTGATCCTGGGCCCCATAAGTGCTATGGGGAGACCCCAGCTCCCGACACCCACCCGCCCACTCCCCGGCCCAGTCCCTCGGGCCCTCCGGCCCCGACCCAGCCCTCCCCGCTGCAGATTGTCCTCTGGGCGGCCTCCCAGGGCCCGGAGGCGGCGGGGGTCACCAGGTGCTCCGTGGGGGCCGGCCGTGTGAGGCCGGGCTGTGGGAGGCCGCACGGGGGCCCCATCTGGGGTGCCATTGGCCCTCAGCCTGGCCCAGAGCCAGGAGGGGACATGGGCAGGTGGTCACAGCTGTTGCCTTGGGCACTGGTCCAGGCCTGGGGGCCACGCCCTCTCCCGGGCCCTGGGAGGCCGGCTCTGGGGGCATTAACGGGGGGGGGCGGGGGGTGCTGGCTGGGCTGGGTGGAGCGTTCCCTGGTTCTCACCTGGGGGGGACAGGGGCCTGGCCCTGGGGGTCTTGTGGGGGAGGCCGCTGACCTGCCCACTCTCCTCTGGCCCCCAGATCCTGTTTGACCAGGCCCAGAGGTCCGTGCGGCAGCAGCTCCACAACTTCATCAAAGAGTGAGCGGCCCGAGGGAGACCCGGCCCGGAGGGGTCTGCACTGGAGGGGGAGCGGGCGCAGCTGTGCTTGGTCGGGGGTCCCGGGGCCTGCTGGGGGCGCTTCTGGGCGGGACAGCCTGCAAGGGCGAAAGCCGGGACGGTGGGAGGAGGCTGGAGGGCAGGAAGAGGGGCGAGGCGCGACCGCAGAGGGAGGCAGGGTCGCCCCGGGCTGGACCTGCTCTGGGAGAGGCGGGGAAGGGCCGCGGGGGCTGTGGATGGGGGGCTGAGGGAGGGGGGCGCACCCAGCGCGGAGGCTGCAGGGCTCGGGGCTGCCATGGGGCGCCAGCCGGGAGGCAGGACGGGGGCCCTGCCCGGGAGCGCGGAGGGCGGACAGGAGGCCCTGGGGGGCATGTCTGGAAGGGGGGCCCCACGTTCGGCCCTCCTGGGAGCCCTGATGTGACACCTGCCACCCCCAGGGACGTGCGGAAGTTCAAGGAAACCAAGAAGCAGTTTGACAAAGTACGGGAGGACTTGGAGCTGTCCCTGGTGCGGAATGCCCAGGCCCCGAGGCACCGGCCGCACGAGGTGGAGGAGGCCACAGGTGCCCTGACCCTCACCCGCAAGTGCTTCCGCCACCTGGCGCTGGACTATGTGCTGCAGGTCAGACGCTGGGCCTGGAGGGGTTGGGGGTCGGGGGTCGGGGGTCGGGTCTGTGAGCGGGGGAGGGCTCCTGGGTTCCGGCCGACTGACAGAGCTGGCATCCGTCCTGGGAGGCGCCTCTGGCTTGAAAAACCGTCAGTGTCAGATCTCGGGAAGGGACGTGGCGGGGGGCAGGCCAAGGCCCAGAGGTGGGGATGTGCTGGGACCAGCCCGGGGCCGTGGCTGCAGGTGTGGGGGCCGGAGGGACTGTGCGGCGCGTGGGCTGGGGGCCCTGGAGCAGGCGTGGGAAGTCCTGGCTTTGTCCGTGGGAGGGACCCCTGGAAATGAAAGGCCTCCAGGCCGCGGCGGGGTCGGCGGTCGGCCCCCGAGCAGGGACATGAAGATGAGCCGGGGGCCCTCGGGAGCCACGAGGCGCAGGCCCCGGCGACCTCCACCTCCGCCCACCTTCCCTGTCCTCCCGCCCCCTCTTGCCCTGCCCCCCCGCAGATCAATGTCCTCCAGGCTAAGAAGAAGTTCGAGATCCTGGATTCTGTGAGTGCCGGTCAGGGGCGGGCGGGGGCTGCGCTGGAGCTCGGCGTGCGCCCGGGACGGGCGGGGCGGCCTCACCGTGCCTCCCGCCCGCCCGCAGATGCTGTCCTTCATGCACGCCCAGTACAGCTTCTTCCAGCAGGGCTACAGCCTGCTGCACCAGCTGGACCCCTACATGAAGAAGCTGGCGGCCGAGGTGCGCGCGGGCGGGGGCGGGGCCGGGCAGGGTCTCGGCGGGAGGGCCTTTCCCGCCCTGATGCCCCCCCCCCCGCCCCCAACAGCTGGACCAGCTGGTGATCGACTCGGCGGTGGAGAAGCGGGAGATGGAGCACAGGCACGCTGCCATCCAGCAGCGGGTGAGGCGCCGACCTGCCCTCCCCGCAGGGCAGGGGGCGGCGGGGACCCCAAGCGGCCTCCACCTCTGTCCCTCTCCAGGCCGCTGAGCTGGGAAGCCCCTGGGGACATGCACGTGTGCTCTGTCCCTTCCCCCAGACCTGCCCACGCAGCAGGAGGGCAGGGCGGCCCTGTGGTCGCTGAGCTGAGAGGTCGGGGCAGAGGGGGCCAGGGGCTCCGCCCCTCAGCGCACGGATGCTGGGGGCTTCCTTCAAGGCCAGTGGCAACCTCCGGGGCCTCAGTGGCCGGCTCCTACCAGACCCTGTTTGGTCCCTTGCCAGACCGTTGCCCCCATGCCGCCCTGGGCGGGGGTGGGCGCGGGCGCAGGTGGTGCTGCCAATTTCAGAACCCGGGGAGCCTGGGCAGGTGGGGGCTGCAGGCGGAGCCGCTGCTCACTGGCATGCCTTCCCTCCTCCCACCCCTGCCTGCGCTGCGGCCGGCCGCCTGCAGACGCTGCTGCAGGTGAGTGGGCGCCCCCCCAGGGGGAGGGAGCCAGGGGAGGGCCAGTGGGCGGGGCCTCTGCCCTCCCTCACCCCGAGGCCCTTCAGCACCAAGGACACCTCCCACCGCCTCAGAGCTCCCAGACACCTGTGGGCACTTCGCTGTAAACCGTGGCTGGCACCAGCAAGGACACGGGCTGAGCCGGGATGCATCCCCCGTGGGAGCGGCGGCAGCTGTCCCTTCCTGGCCCCGCTCAGCCAGGGAAGCAGGTGGCTGGGCCTCCTCTCCCACTGCCGGACACACAGGACAACTCTCAGTGTCTCCCCGGCCTGGTGAATGGAGCTCTGTCAGGCAGGGAGCAGGCCAGCTGGCGACATGAATGGGGGACTCGGGGCGGGGGGAGGCAGCTTCCTTCCTGCCCCCAGAGCCTGCGCTCTCCTCAAGGCGGGGGGAGGCGGGCTGGGCTCCGCGGCCCCGCGGTGATGTGAGGCGACTGCCCCCAGGGGCTCCCGGCAGGGGCCTCACTCAGGTCCAGGGTAGGCATTCACTGGGGTCTGGCTTCGACCCCCCCAGGACTTCTCGTACGATGAGCCCAAAGCGGAGTTTGACGTGGATGCGCCCAGCGGCGTGGTGATGGAGGGCTACCTCTTCAAGAGGGCCAGCAACGCCTTCAAGACCTGGAACCGGTGAGGCCGGGCCTCCCTGGGGTGGGGCAGCGGGGGGCCCTGCGGGGGGCCCTTGAGAGGTCCCGCCTGACCCCCAGCCCGTCCGCCTGCCCAGGCGCTGGTTCTCCATCCAGAACAGCCAGCTGGTCTACCAGAAGAAGCTGAAGGTGTGTGCAGGGCCCCCGCCCTGGGGCCCTGGGGCGGGCTGGGGCAGCGATGGGTGTCATCGCCTGAGAGGGCAGGGGGCAGAGAGCGCTGGGGTCTCGGGGAGGCTGCATCTGTGGGGCAGAGCAGTAGGGGGCGGTCAGGACTGGGCGCCGTGCGCGAGGGCCGCTGCGTGCTGCCCGCAGGACGTGCTGACCGTGGTGGTGGACGACCTCCGCCTGTGCTCCGTGAAGCCATGCGAGGACATCGAGCGGAGGTTCTGCTTCGAGGTCGTGTCGCCCACCAAGTGAGGAGGCCAGCCCGGCGGGGGCGGGGGCGGGGCGGGACCCCCGCCCGGCCGGCCTGACGCCCCCTGCCCCCAGGAGCTGCATGCTGCAGGCCGACTCCGAGAAGCTGCGGCAGGCCTGGGTCCAAGCCGTGCAAGCCAGCATCGCCTCCGCCTACCGGGAGAGCCCGGACAGCTGCTACAGCGAGGTGTGGCCCCGCCAGCGCCCCCCACGCGTGCACACGGCCCCTGCAGGCTGCGCGCACCCGTGTTGTGGGCGTGGGTGTGCACGGGCTTTGCTTTGGGGACCCCTCAGGGGACCGAGGCCGGAGCTCCTGGAGGGCTGAGTGGCCCCTCGTGCCCCCTCAGAGGCTGGACCGCACGGCGTCCCCGTCCACGAGCAGCATCGACTCCGCCACGGACTCCCGAGAGCGCGGCGCCAAGGGCGACACTGTGCTCCAGCGCATGCAGAGCGTGGCTGGCAACGGCCAGTGTGGCGACTGCGGCCAGCCGGACCCCCGCTGGGCCAGCATCAACCTGGGCGTGCTGCTGTGCATCGAGTGCTCGGGCATCCACAGGTGGGCCCCTGGGCAGGCGGGACGGCAGGGCTGGCAGGCCGAGCCCCCCCCCCCCGCCGCTCACGCTGGCCCCCCACCCTCTAGGAGCCTGGGTGTCCACTGCTCCAAGGTGCGGTCCCTGACCCTGGACTCCTGGGAGCCTGAGCTGCTGAAGGTGGGCGTGGGGCCCTCGCGTGGGGGCGGGGCCCGCGGGCGGCGCCGTCTGGGACTGGGGGCTGAGGCCCGCCCGCCTGTGGCTGTCTCCCGCCAGCTGATGTGTGAGCTTGGGAACAGCACCGTGAACCAGATCTACGAGGCCCAGTGTGAGGGGCCGGGCAGCAGGAAGCCCACAGCCAGCAGCCCCAGGTGAGGCGGGCGCAGCAGGGCGGGGCGGCGAGCGCCCGCCCTGAGCGCGGCCTCATGCTCGCCCGGGTCCAGGCAGGACAAGGAGGCCTGGATCAAGGACAAATACGTGGAAAAGAAGTTCCTGCAGAAGCCGCCCCCCACGCTGGCTCGGGAGGCCCCGCGGCGCTGGCGGGCCCTGAAGTGCCCGGGCCACCACAGCTCCCCCCGCGCCCCCACCGCCCGCCGCAAGGTCCGGGTGGAGCCTGTCCTGCCCGCCGTCGCGGCTCTGTCCTCAGGTGGGCGGGCTGCCGGCTCACCTGGACAGGGTGGGGGAGGCCCCGGGGGGAGTGAGCCGGGAGCCCTGCCTCGGGGGGGTCGGGGCAGAGTGGGGCGGGGGCGGGGCTGGGGGCGCCCAGCGTGACGGCCCGGGCCTCCCCCACCCCCGCGCAGGCGCTGTGGAGCGCAGGTTCCGCCGGGACTCCCTCTTCTGCCCCGACGAGCTGGACTCCCTCTTCTCCTACTTCGATGCGGGGGCTGCTGCGGCTGGTCCACGCAGTAAGTGCTGCGAGCCCCAGGCCCTGCTGCCCAGCCCTCGGCCCAGCCAGGGCCGAGGGCAGGACGGGGCGTGGCGCGCCGGGAGGGCCCCCCCCCGCCACAGCCGCCCACGGGGGGGGGGGGCGCGGGGGCAGGGCTGGCAGCACAGGCGGTCTTTGCCGGCGGACGGGGCTAGGAGGCGGCCTCCGGAGGCTGAGCTGGGTGGGGAGGACGGGGTCAAGCCAGGCGAAGGCTGGGATGGTACCTCGAGGGGCTGGGTCACGCTGACTCGGAGGTGAAGGCCAGGACCCTCAAGGGATGCATGTGAGTGGGCGTGTGCTGTGTGCACACGGGAGTATGTGTGTCAGTGTGCATTCAGGTGTGTGTTATGGGTGTATGTGCACATGTATGCCGGGGGCTTGGAGAACTGGTGACACAGCTGGGCCCCTTCCTGCCTCCTATGTTGGGAGCAGCTGCCCGCAAGGCCGCCTGCTAACGGCCGGTCAGCGCCCCCTGGCCTGGGGACTGTGCGGCGCCTCCCTGGGCAGAGTGGGCAGGGCGGATGGGGTGGCTGCAGCCAGCAGAGGGCGCTGCCTCACCAGCCTGGGCCTCGGCCCTTCTGCAAAGGCTGCCCTGGGCGAGCTGGGCCAAGAGCCCCCTTGGGGCGGCCAGGGGCCCTGCCTCCAGGGCTTGGCCCAGACCCCATCGCTGGCCAGGGCGCCCCCCTGCTCCCCAGCGGCGGCTGGCCCCGCCCCTGGGGGCATTCCCTGGAGGATGGCTGGGGTGTGGGGAGGAGCCGGGGATGTTCAGGACCCCTTCTGCCCACGGACCCCGCAGGTCTGAGCAGCGACAGCGGCTTAGGGGGCAGCTCCGACGGCAGCTCGGACGTCCTGGCCTTCGGCGTGGGCTCCGTGGTGGACAGCGTCACTGAGGAGGGTGGGTACATGCCTGCCGCCTCTGCCGCAGCCCCTGCCTCGCCCCCGCTTCCCTGGCTGTGGGCCAGGCCGCGGCCCCTGACCGCCCGCGGCCCCTGACCGCCCGCCTCTCCTCGCAGGGGGCGCGGAGTCCGAGGAGTCCAGCGGTGAGGCTGACGGAGAGGCTGAGGCCTGGGGCCTGGCGGACGTCCGCGAGCTGCACCCCGGGCTCCTGGCACACCGAGCAGCGCGCGCCCGCGACCTCCCCGGGCTGGCGGCGGCGCTGGCCCACGGGGCCGAGGTCAACTGGGCAGACACAGAGGCTGAGGGCAAGACGCCGCTGGTGCAGGCGGTGCTAGGGGTGAGCAGGGCTGGGGCTGCGCGGCCAGACACCGGCGTGCGCTGGCACCTTGTCGCCGTCGCGCCTGCCCCTTCGGTAGCTTGTACACAGGGCCCCTGCCCTCCGCCGTCGTACGCCAGCCTCAGTCTGGCCACGGTGCCCCGGGCCCTCCGAGGGGCCGTCCCCTTGGCGCACCTGACTGGTCCCCGGTTCCCCAGGGCTCCTTGATCATCTGTGAATTCCTCTTGCAAAACGGAGCGGACGTGAACCAAAGAGACAGCCGGGGCCGGGCGCCCCTGCACCACGCCACGCTCCTGGGCCACACTGGGTGAGTCGCGGCGCCCCCCAGCTCGCCTTTGGGGCCCTGCCGCCCGGGCGCGCCCCAACTCGTCTCTTCTGCCCTTCAGCCAGGTCTGCCTGTTCTTGAAGCGGGGCGCCGACCAGCACGCCTTGGACTTTGAGCAGCAGGACCCGCTGAGCATCGCGATCCAGGAGGCTAACGCCGACATCGTCACGCTGTGAGCCCGCAGGCGGGAAGGGGCCGCCGGGGTGGGCGGGGCATCGTGTGAGCGTAGGGGGGTCGCCGAGTGTGGGACGCTGTGTGGGGGCCCTGGGGCGGGGCGCCGTGGGGGGGCGGGGCGCCGCGGGGGTGCGGGCCCTGGGGCGGGGCGCCGTGTGGGAGCGGGCCCTGGGGCGGGGCTCCGTGTGTAGGCTGGGGTGCCGCTTGGGGGCGGGATCCTGGGGGGGTCAGGGCCGCGGGGCCGTGGCGCCCTCACACTGCGCTTTCCCCAGGCTACGCCTGGCGCGCATGGCCGAGGAAATGCGGGAGGCCGAGGCGCCACCGGGCCAGCCGGGCCCCCTGGCGGGCAGCAGCCCCACCGAGCTCCAGTACCGCAGGTGCATCCAGGAGTTCATCAGCCTCCACCTGGAGGACAGCTAGGGCGCGCGGGCCCGGCCGCCTGGCCCTTTCCCGAGCCCTGGCGCCCCACGCTCCGGGGGCTCCCGCAGCCTGCTCTGCCCTCCTTGGAGCTGCCAGGAACCCCAAGGCTGGGGAGGGACCCCAGCACTGAGTCTTCTGAAGCCCCACGTTTCCCCAGAGGTGCTGCATCGCCTGGTGCCCCTCGCCCCAGGGGGGACCCCATGTCTTCAGGTGACTCCTTCCTCGGGGGCCTGGGTTGCTCATGTCACAAACTACTCTCAAGGTTCCGCGTCACCTCGTGCCCGCCTGTCCTCGGGGCCGTGTCACCATATGTCCTTCGGTCCCTGGGGCCCATGTCACCTGTACCCCTTTGTTCCAGGACCTTGCGTCCCCCCGTCCCAGGGGCCCGCGTGATCCCGTGCCCCCACTTTTATTGCCCCAGATGCCGACCTGCTAGTTAGGTCCCTCCCACCCCCCCGAGCCCCTCCACTGGGCCCCAAGGCCGGTGGCTGGCCATCGGCCCCTGCGAGGGCAGGAGGGGCAGCCCACCCAGGGAATCAACCCGCGTACCTCACTCAGTGGCCCCGGCATCCCGGCTGGGCTTCTCTGGTGCTGGGGGTGGATCTGGCGTGGAGCCTCAGCCCTGGCTGGACGCGGGCGTCCTGAGCCCACGTGGCTGGCCGCGTGGGCCCTGTGCTGGGTGGCCCTGGACTGGGTCCCGGCCTCCTCCAGAGGTACTTGGCTCAGAGCAGGTACATAAAGGACTTTGGCACTTTGCACCCCGGCATCCAACGCTTTGTCACGGACTGAGTGGATTTTCTACGGCCACCTCGTTCTCACTCTGTCTCGCCTCTCCTCTTTGTGGACTCTGGAGGACCGCCTGGACCCAGCTCTGTCTGCTGCCACGGGGAGGCCCCTGCCGCTCTGCCCCCCGCTCGCCAGCTCACCGCGCGGGCTGGGCCCTCGGGTGGGCCGGGCCCCTCAGCTCACTGCCCAGGGCCCGCGATACCTTCTGCGCTCCCCGTGCTGGGGGCCCTGGGGCAGCAGCTGGGCCTCTCCCCAACTTGGGTCCTTGATCAGGCCAAGGCCAGTCGGCTGGTCACTATGCAAAGGCTGCCCAAGGAGGCTCCATGGGCGGCAAGGTGGGCACTGACCGGGCCCCCCACGTCCCTCACCTGCTGCCTGTGACCCCTAAAGAGCAGAATTAACTCCTTCCTCTCTCCCTGCTTGAGCTCTGTCCCCACTTCCCACCCCACTGCCTGCCAGGGCCTCGCGCCTGGACCTCAGGCCGGCGGGACTGCCCACTCCAGACCGCTCAGTAATAAACTGCTGCTTGCATCGCTGCCTGTCACTGGCTCGCCCGCCTCACTCTGCTGTCTCGGCTGGGGAAGGCGTGTCTCTGGGGCCCCGGCCTTTCCTGAGGGGTGGCCCTGAGTGGGGTCGCAGCAGAGCCCCAAAAGGAGCCAATAAGCGGGAACCTAGGAGTCTAGCGGGGGCCTGGGGCTTCTTTGATGAAAACCGACTCCTGACGCCCCAGCCCCTGTTCCCCAGCCTGCCTGCCCTTCTCTGGCCTGGGCTGCGGCTGCCGGGAGGAGTAAGGCTGGAGGCCAACGGGCAAGGAGGGTCTGGGCCTGGTCTTGTCCCTTGGGTGAGCCCCAGCCCCAGCTCCCGGGCTCAGTGACCCCCTGTCCCCCAAAGTGTCCATGGCCCCAAGGAGTGTGGCGGCGCAGCCTGACGTTTTCGGCCGTTCGGGGAGGGCAGTCGGGGAGGGGGGGGCAGGCGCATGTTCCAGCCACCAGGTGGAGTCGCCAGTTTTATTACAAGGCAGCCCAAGGTCATCAGGTGCCTGTCTCCTGCTCGCACACACCGACACACAGGTGTAGGCAGGCGTGTTGGCGCAGGCAAACACATGACACCAAACAGACACACTGCTGTGTGGAGGCACCCCCCCCCAGGGCATGAACATCACATGAATGTACACGCGCCAGCACACACATGCATGTGCATTCTCGCTTCCCTCGCACATGTGCACAGGCACTTGGTCATGCCTGGAACATGGCGTCCAGAGCGGTGGGGACGTCCCTCTCCTCCCTGCTCGGGGGCGGGGGGGCTCCTCGAGAACTCTGAGTCCCCCGCTGGGCAGGGCAGCTGCCCCGACGAGAGCCCTGATGTGCTGGGCACGCGGGGCCTGCCCGCCAGCCCTCAGGCTCCGGGGCCGCCGCTCCCTGGGCCGCAGGCTCCGCTCCGCGGGCCGGGGCGGCCCCGCAGTGCTGGTCTGGCCCCCCGGGCAGCCAGGAGAGCCCGCCGCTGCCACAGCCCCCAGGTCGGACGAAGTTCAGGCTGGCTCAGCGCCAGGGGACTTGGTGGACACACACTCGACCTACGTCTTCAGCTGGGACTCCTGCCAGAGCCCCGGGGAGCATCGCCAGCTGGGGTCCTGCGTGTTCGGCGTCACGCCTGCAGTTGCCGGGCGCCCGGGTGGCCTCCGGCTTGGGGGTGAGTGGCCACGACCAGGGAGCCCCGTGCACGGCGGAGCCGGCGGCAGCCCAGCAGCAGGGCAAGGGCTGTGGCGTCGAGCAGCAGCTCCAGCAGCTCCAGGACGGAGAGGACAGACGAGCCGAACCACAGGCTCCAGAGGCTGCCCATGGCAGACAGCAGCTGCGGCACCTGTCGGCGGCGGCAGGCCTGTGAGGGGTGCGCGCCTCTGTGTGCAAAGCCGGGCCGGGTTGGTGCCGCCCGCGTCCGGCCTGCTCTGCCCCTCCCGCAGCCCTCGGCCCGGCCCCCTCACCGAGTACACAGGCGTCTCGTCCACCGTGCGGTAGTTGAGCTCCTGGTAGAAGATGTTCACCTTGGCCACGTTGCTCCTGGAGGCAGACGGAGGTGGGAGGGGCTGGGCCGGGACGCGCCACGTGGAGGAGGTGGGGGGCCTCTGCCCAGGGCTCCAGCCCCGGCGGCTCTGCTTGCCCAGGACAGCGAGGATCCAGTCCTGCGCACGGAAAGCTCCCTGTGGCCGCGGTTGCCCTAGCCTTCCAGGCACCGCAGGCCGGTGAGGGCAGGGACCCCGGGGCAAAGGCCGGTCCTGGAGGGGCTCTGTGGGACCCCCATATCCTGCCTGCTCATCCGCCCCTCACCCCCACCCTTCAAGGGACTCACCCCGGACTTGGAGGAAGGCCACCTGGAGGTCCCAGCAGAGAGCTTGTAGGAAGACTCCCTAGGACAGACAGACCCCATCGGTCACACCGCTGCCCTGGCGCCAGGGCAGCGGCCCCGGAGCCCAGCCCTGCCACTCACCTGCAGGGCCTGGGGCAGCGTGAGGCGCAGGGGAGCCGGTGGGCCTCTAGCTCTCTGTAGAGACGGTAGAAGCAGTGGCCTGGGGAAGGAGGGGTCAAAGGCAAACCCATCAGGAGGGACCCAGGGGTCGCGGAGGTTTGCGGGCTGACAGGCAGGTGGGCAGGGGCGGTGGGCGGGCGCGGGGCTCACCCCAGGCCGGGTGCCGGGCAGAGCTGCAGTGCTCCGCGCCGGGGGGCAGGGGGTAGAAATAGTAGCCGCAGGAGCAGGTGTCCAGCATCAGCTGCTGGAAGCAGGAGACGAGACAGGCCTGCGGGGACAGCGGGGGCCAGGGCTGAGGTCCCGGCAGCCGTCCCTCCCCCGGGGCCGGCCAGCCTGCGGGTTGTCTGCCCGCCCTCCCCAGGCCCTTCCTGTCCGCCCCGCCCCGCCCCGGCGCACCTGCATGGTGTAGGAGGCGTTGTACAGCAGCCGGACGTCCACGGCCGCCGCCTCGTCCGTGCAGTGGCTGTAGGGGCTCCCGAGCCGGCGCACCTCGTCCTGTGGGGAGCGGTGGCCTCAGCCACTGACCGCCCTCGCCTCGCCCTCAGGCCCCAGGGCCCGGCGGGCCCTCGGGAGCGAGGGCGGGGCCCCTGCTCTGCCCGCCCCAGGGCGTGGGGTGGTGCCGACGCACCTCGCGGATGCCGATGGTGGTCTCGGTCCCCGGGCGGATGCTGAAGCCGCGATGCTCCAGGAAGGGCGTGTGGTTGCGCAAGTGGACCATGACCTTGACGCCTGCCTCCGTGGACAGCAGCGGGAGGTGGTCCTGCTGCTCAGCCCTGAGCACCAGGCTGATCCCTGCGGGAGGCCGGGGGTGAGGCCTGGCGGGCAGGGGCGCCCCGCCCCCGCCCGGCCCCGGGCTGGCACTCACCGTGGGTGACGCCCGGGCGCTGGGCGGCCCACTCGCCGTTGAAGGTGTAGCAGCTGCCGCAGACGGGGTGGTGGAAGGTCTGGAAGTGCCTGGAACCGAGGGCCAGGCTCAGGGCGGCACGCGCCCCTGTGCCGCCACCCATCGCGTGTGGCCTGCCGGCCCGGCCGGCCTTATCTCCGTGGGGAGCTGTTTGCCGCCGGCCCCAGGCCTGGTGGGCGGGGCGGAGGGGAGCGCCCACCCCGCCCCCACGCACCGGGCCCGGCAGTCCCGGCCGTCGTAGTGGCAGGAGAAGACGAAGTGGTCGCCGTGGCCGTGGTGGCTGTCCTCACGGTCTGCGGGCAGCGCAGCCAGGATGTCCACGTAGTGGAAGAGGTACCAGGCTCGCACGGCCTCGACGCCGGAGGAGTAGGCGCGGTCGAAGCAGTCGCCGCCGGTGCGGTTGCACTGTGGGGGAGGCAGCTCTCAGCTCAGCCCCGGCCTCGCCGGCCCACACACCCGCCTCAGTGCCCAGCGCGCGGCGCTCACCAGTCTGAAGCCCACTGTGTTCTGGCCGTCCGGGCCGCTCAGCCTCTGCAGGCGGATCCTGCGGTCCAGCTGGAAGGCAGGCTCTGGGCCTGGGTCCTCCGCGAGGGGGGCGGCCCCACTCTCGCTGAGGTTGAACTTGTAGAGGGCGTAGATATTCTCCTGGGCAAATTCGTCCAGGGCCCGCAGGTGCCTGCGCGCCAGCCTGGGCCTGTGGGGGAGGGGCGGGCTGGGTCAGAGTCAGCCGCCAGGGCCCCGCGTCTGTCCCCAGGGTGACTGGGTGCCCACCAGCTCACACCGATCCCACTGAGCTTCACCGGGCTCTTCCTTCTCTCTCTCTTTTAAATACTCACCTTAGAATACGTTTTTACTGATTTTAGAAAGAGAGGAAGGGAGAAAGAAACATCGATCGGACCCACAGCCTCGGTGTGTGCCCTGCCCAGGAATCGAACCTGCAGCCTTTTGGTGCACAGAGCGGGGCAACGCTCAAACCAACCGGAGGCAGGGCTGGTCCTTCTCTTTGAACACCCACCCCCAGAGGGCGGAGGTCTCAGGGGTCCCGACCGCGCTCAGGGGTGCGGAGAGGCGGAGCCAGGCGTGCACAGCCCAGGGGCCCCTCGGGCCGGGGGGCGGGGTCCGGAGCCCTCACCGGTGCGGGTTCATGTTGCACAGCGTGACGGAGGGGAAGAGCTTCCGGTCCGAGTGCACGGACACGGTCATGAGGACCGGGTAGCGCCAGTACTGCTCGAAGAGGAGCCCGAACTGCCAGTAGAGCGCGCCCAGGGCGCCCAGGAACAGCAGCCCCCAGGACGCCGTCTTGAGGCGGTTCTGGCCGGAGCAGACGAGGCGGATGGCGCCATGCATGGTGGCGTGGGCGCAGAAGAAGGTGAACAGCTCCCTGAAGGAGCCGGGCAGCTCCACCAGCTTCTCCCCCTGCCCCTCCTCCACCTGCGGGGGCGGGGGCGGCTGGGCGGGGGGGCACGTGCACCCGGCCTCGGCCGCCGCTCCAGCCTGCGTGGAGAATCGAGGTCAGCAGGGCCCAACGTGGCCCGACCCCCACCCGGGTCTCTCCCCGCCCCCGCCTTGCCAGCGGGCCTTCCGTTCTCCGTCCCCGGGACTCCCGGGACAGCGGTGTCCTTCGGACTCCAGGGGTGCGGCCCAGCCTGCTGAAACGCGAAAGGGGTCCCACCAGCGGCATGTGGCCGAGAGAGAGAGAGAGAGAGAGAGAGAGAGAGAGAGAGAAAGAGGAAGCAAGAAGAAACATCGGCCACACCGGGGACGGGCCTGCAGCCGTCCCCACTCCGCCGGGCAGGGCACGCCCGGCCTCCTCAGGCGGGTCTTATCAGGGCAGAGTCGAGCCTGGGCCGCGGGGCAGGGACAGTGGGCGGCAGCGCCAGGGCCCTGCCCAGCCCTGTTTGCAGGCTGGCGGCTGGGTGGGTCCCTGCTGCCACCTCCCGCGTGGGGCAGGGGCCTCTGGACAGCGGGGGACTGTCGTTTCCGCGGGGCCGCGTTTGACCGGGACGACGGAGCCAGGCCGGGCGGCCCTGTCTGGGCCGCGGGTCAGGCCTGAGTGTCGTTCACTGTGCTGTGGGCTCTGGGTGGGGCGGGGCCCCGGAGCCGAGTCCCTGGCCTGTGGGCCTCGGGCTTCAGGAAAAGTGGGCAGGGAGCGTGGTGGGGCCCGGCGGCCCCGGGGAGCGGAGCCGAGGCCTGCCTGGCCCCCAGCCCTGCCCTGGAGGCTCCAGCGTCCGAGACCCAGGGCCTCCAGACCCTTGGGTCCCCCGCACACAAGCATGTGGGCCGTGGCCAGGCCAGGCCTGCCGGCCCCGGTCACGCACCGAGTCGCCACACGGGCTCCTGTGGACTTTCCACGCTGTCGCCATGTTGGTCTGAATCATTGGGTCTGAACGCTCGTCACCCAGTGGGGCCTCTGGGGCTTGGGCCCCACCCGCCAGCAGGCCCCGGGGAGGGCGGGGGCCCGGGGCGGGGGCGCCGAGCCAGGGGGCGTCTGCCGGCCTCAGCTGCCCCGCAGGCCGGGCGTGTGTTCTGGGACCGTGCGGGCCCCAGCGCGCCAGCCCACTTCGGGGACCGCAGGTACGGGGTGGGGGAGGCAGACCTCCCCGGCCCGCGGCCTCGGGTTCGCGGCCCCCGGCTTGCCTCGCGCCAGGAGCACGAGCCGCCACGGGTGCTGGCGATGGGCTCCACGCGGCGCAGAGCGCTGCCCGCACCGGTGTCTCCATGCCAGGCTCATGGGGAAGGCGGGTCCCTCGGCTGGGGGATTGCAGGGGAGCCAAAAGAGGCCCTGGAAGGTGCCCTCTGACTCTGGGGACCACGTTGTCTCCCCTCCCCGGGTGTGTGACCCGGACCCGCCCCTCCCGCACCAGCGGGGGCTGCAGGGCCTCCAGGGCCTCCTGAGACCGGGCAGAGGCGCTGGGGCGGACGCGGGCACTCGAGGTCCTGAGACACTTCAGACGACCGCGGGCACACGGGCGCACACTCCCCGCCTGCACTGAGCCCCCGGCCCGTGGGGCCGCCCGACGGAGGAGGGCTTCGTGCTCCTCCTGCCCTCGCCCTGTGTGTGCACGGGCTTGTGGTGACGTGTGGGACCCCCCCCCCGCTCCACTCCGGACCAGGGGGACCCCAGGACACGGCTACCTGATCGCCCTGCATGGGGGGGCCCAGCGCAGGTACCTGTGCCGGTGCGTCCATTCTCCTGTGGTAGGTGGCCTGACAGTGGCCGGTGGCAGCTCCAGCAGGTGACGAATAGGGATGTGGCCCAACACTGGCTGGGCAGCCTATTTATAACAGGCTGGCTTGGCGTGAGGTGTTGGGGAGGTGCCAGCGGCCGGGGGCAGCCACGCCTGCTCTGGGCATGGACGGGGAAGCCTCCGGGGACAGGGACAGGGTCCCTCCGCTGGGCGAGCCTTTCTTGCCCAGCGCCCTGGAAGCGAGGCCTGGGACCGTGGCCCCGCTGGGGACAAGGAGCTGCAGGCTCCGGAGGGAGGAGAGGGCGGCGCTGGGCAGGGACCCCTCGGATGCCCGGCCTGCGCGGCTGAGCAGGTGCCCCCGGCCCGACGCCCAGACCTCCCTCAGGCGGGATTCCCGCTCTGCTGTTCCAGGCAGAGCCACCAGTCCTGGCGCGCCCCCCCCCCCGCCCCGCCCGCCAGGCCTGCTCGGCTCACCCTGCCTGCGCGGAGCCCGGGTGTCTGTGGCCAGGGGATGCCGGTGGGGGGGGGGCTCTGCTCCCAGAACCCAGGTGTCCCCCAGGGCCGGCTGTGCTGGTGGCCTTGGCTCCGGGGAGGGCGGAGGTCAGCACCCTGTGGCTTCGGGAGGGGGAAATCACTCTGGGGGAAAAGCTCACCCCGGACTCACCAGGGTGTGGGGTGAATCACGACCCTGTCACCCACTGGCTGCGACCTTTCCCGAATTCCGCAACCTCCCTGGGCCCATTTCCTCGCAGGCGCAGCGGGGCTGAGGTGCCCGTCCACGCTCAGCCCGAGGCGGGGGCAGCCGACTTCGCCGGCGTGCAGAGCCCCTCCTGGGGCCTGCCTCCGAGCCCTCAGGCTCCGCCAAGGCCTGCGCGCTTTTCCTTTGGGGGGTGGACCATGTGAGTGAGGTGACCGGGGGCCACGGTGCCCCGGGGGGGCCCCTCAGCAGAAGAGGAAGGCCCCAGACCCTCTCGGTAGTGAGAACAAGCGCCGCAAGGTTGCAAAGCCAGTGGTCTGGAGAGGGGCTGCAGGCTCAGACAGCCCCGGTCAGCCAGGGTGGCTTGCAGGGAGCAGGGGCCCCGGTCTTCCTCTGGGGGGGCCCTGGCTGGGGCTCGCGTGTGCTGCCTGCCGGCAGGGACCCATGTCCTGCGGGACTGAGGTCGGGCCTTGTCCAGGCAGGAGACACAAGCTCTCCTTACACTCTCCTAGGGGGGCACCGTGCTTGGGGGCCCGAGGCCAGCAGCTGGGTCCACGACCCTACCCAGGCCACCGGGGAGGGGACAGTGCCTCCGAGAAGGGCTGGGCCTGGGGGCATCGAGGCAAACGCTTCCAGGCTGGTGTCCTGGACGCTGCAGGTGCCTGGCGTCTGGCGGGACCTCTCCGGGTTCCGTGTCCTCCCCTGCAGGTGCCCCGTGTCGGGGGTCGCTCAGAGCTGGCCGAGGGGTGGTTCTGATGCCACAGGAAGTCTGAGCCATGGGCTCTGCAGGTGCCGCTGCAGAGCCACCCCCTCCCCGAGCACCTCCCATGGTGTCATGCGCTGGTTGCCCCGGAGGTGCTGCAGGAGGTGCCCCAGCCGCTGGGGCCGGCCGAGTGTGTCCTGCAGCCTCTGCGGGGCCCCGGGTCTGGCCAGGGTCTCCTGCTGGAGGGGCGGGGCATGTGCACACTTCCGGTGGCCCCTGGCTGGCTCTTCGGTGCCCTGGCCACAGAGCCTCTGCTGGTCAGCGGTGACTGAGACCTTCTGTCCGGCCCTGGGGCAGGGGCAGCAGCCACAGGATGCAGCGTGTTTTCCTGATTCTAACCCTTCCTGGTCTCCTGGCAGCTCCTTGGACACAGTGGGTGGGCCTTTCACTCCGAGTGCTCAGGAGTGGCTGCCGCTGTCCCCTTCTGCCCCTCGGCCAGCGGCGATCCAGCGCGCTCGCTGGCAGGAAGTCCCTCCCGAGGGCTAGCCCCAGCCTCTTCTGCTCCGAGGGCAGCCTTGGGGTTGAGAGCACCCGGTGGCCACGGGCCACCGTCCTCGCTGCCCACTCGTCCCAGCCGCTGAGGCCCCCCAGCTGTGTGGCCAGAGGGCCAGTGGCCGGGGCCTCGCTGACCCGAGGCAGCGTCTGCGCGTCTGGTGGGCTGAGGCGGTGCGGCCTCGGCCGGATCTGCTGGTCACCCGGTCTCAGGCAGCTTCGCCCTGGGGCGCTTGGTGAGCGGCGGGCTGGGGGCTGACGCTGGGGGTTCTGTGCTGCGTCATGGCCTGTGCCTGCAGGTGCGGGTGGGTGTGTGCCAGGCACACTGAGCTCGAACCTCGGGGTGCCCCAGGGGCGGCCCCGCTTACGTAACTTTCCCCAGGCTGAGAACAGCCGGCCCCGCCCTGCTTGGGGATGGCCGGCTCTGTGGAGGAGGCAGAGGAGTGGAGGCAAGAGGCTCAGATGTTTTCTGGATGCGGCAGCAGGAGGCAGAGCCTGGGGGGCCCCCTGCCTCCAGGAAGGAAGGAAGGAAGGACGTGCAGGCCGAGCGAGCAGGCTGGATTCCCGCGGGCTGACTCGCCTGGGCGGGCTGAGGGACGATGCGCAGGCGGGTCCTGCCCAGGGCCTGGGCAGCCCTGCAGCCGCTGCTCAGAGCCTGTCCCAGGTCCTGGAGGCACCGGACGCGGGGGAGCGTGGCTGCCCACCCGCCCTCTGCCTGAGGTCGCAGCTGGACCTGCCGGTGCTCGGTGCCCACGGTCAGGCGTCGCGTGGTCAGCCAGCCTACCCCGGGAGGCTGCCGGGGGTGTGGCTGAAGGGCGAGGAGCTGGGGTTCGAAGCGCAGCCCTGCTTCCCAGAGCGATGTGGCCCTGAACGGCAGTGGCCTCTCGGGGGATCTGTCCAGGCCGACAACCACCGCCGGCACCACCTGTGGGGGGGCGCCCTGGTGGGGGACATGGCCCTGTTCTGGGCTGCCCCTGGAGCGGGTATGGTGGGCAGTGCGCTGGCCTACCCAGCCTCCCCCTCCCCAGACACCCACCGTCCCACCCCCACCCGTCTGCCGTCTTCCCCTCTCTCCAGACATTCCCGTGTGGCAGACGGAGGCGGAGAGGGTTCTGGGCACTGCCGTCTGGGAACAGCGCCCTCCCCTCCAGACCCCCACCTCCCCCGCTTGCCGTCTCAGCCCCCCTCACGGGACGGGGTCGCCAAGAGCTGCCTCCCCTTCCCCTAGGGCCAGGGCGGGGACCGTGGGAACGGAAAGCGAGCCTCAGTGTCACGTCCACGGGCGCATAATGTCCCCATTCATGGGCTGGGTGGAAAATTCGGCCGGGAAACAGCGGAAGTATTTTTACGAGAATGGCTCTCCCCATGGGCAGGGGCTGGGCAGGCTTGCCCACGGCGCACCCCACCTGGCATAGGTTCCGGCAGAGGCCGGACACGGGGCGCCCAGGACTTGACTCTCGGGGGCTCTGGGCCAGTTGGGTCACTGATGGGCTGGGGTCCCCTGTTAAGTGGGCAGAAGTCTGAGAACTGGGCCCCGGGCCGAACTGGGCCGGTCCTTGGGAAGGTGGCGGCGGGTGGGAGTTGGGTCCTGGTGGCACAAGGCGGGGCTCCTGTCGGCACCGCCGGGGTCACCCTTCATCTGGGCCTGTCTTTCTCCGGATGGGGCGCCCCCCTCTGGGCCGGAAACCCCGTGGCCCCGAGTCTAGGGGAGAAGAGAGCACGGGGTGTGTGGGGCCTGGGACCACTGCGGGCAATATCTGCCCCCGACACTCTTCCGCCGGGCGGGGATATGGCCGAGGGATGCAAGGGAGGGCAACGGCAACCCGGCTACACCTGCTAAGGGGACTCAGGACAACTCCGCGGCGCCGCCTGCCAGCGCGCACGCGCCGACGATTTCCTTCTCCTGCCTCGTCCGACGGAGTTGCCGGCCAGTGCGCACGCGCTGAGTTCCTAGCGCGCGCGGCGGAAGGCAGCAGTGGGACGCGGGTTAAGTCCTCCCGGCCGCCTAGAGCGGCCGCCCCAGCGAGCAGCGCACCGGAACCGGAAATGAGAATGGCTCCGCCTCGCGAACGGCCATCTTGGAAGCTGAGGCGGCTGGGGCGGCTGAGGCGGCTGAAGCGGCGGCGGCGGTGCTGCTGCTGTACCGCGCGGGCCACGGTCTCCGCTCCCTGCTCCGGCCTCGACCACGGCGAGCCTGAGCGCGGCGGCGGCCCACGCGCGGCGACGGGAAGAGGTGAGTGCGCGCCGCGGGACTGCGCCGGCGCCTCGGCCTCGCGTCCCACCCGTCGGAGCCGGCCCGAGCGGGGCGCGGGGCCCCTGCACGGCCCGTTCCCCCCGGTCCGCCGCTCGCGGGCTCCGGCCCGGAGCTTCCGTGCGCAGAACCCGCGGTCGGTTACGGCGGGGCGCCCGGGGTCCCTGCCGGGGCGGCGCTGCGGCCCGCCTGGACGTGGGGCCGGCCGGCCGCACGGTGGGTCTCCCGCGGGGCGGGCCCTGCCGGGACGAGCCGGCGCGGGGCTGGGTGTGGAGCTGCGTCCCGGGAGCCCGTTGGGGCGGGGGCGGTGCTGTTCAGCCCGCCGTCGCTCCGCCCTGGGCAGTTAGCACCCCGACCGGCTCGCGGAGGCCCCGGGGCGAGGGCGCCTGGGCTGTGCCCCGCGGGCGGCGGGCGCGGGGCGCCGGCGGCGGGAGCGGGAGTCGGGCCCGAGGCCGGCCGCCCGTCCTCCTCCGCCGGGGGCCTGCGTCGCCTCGCTCTCTGGCCCCGCGGGGACCCCGGTCCCTTCTCCAGTTAACGCCCCTCGCGCGGCCTGGGATCGAATGCCGCTCCCGGCCCCTGGCGGGTCTGCGCGAAGCCGCTGCCCAGGCCCCGCCGGGCGCGGGCGCCGTGCACTCCCCGCGGGGACACCGGCGTCCTCCGCGCCGGGCCTGCGGTTACTCGGCCGCGCCGAGCCTGGTGGCAGGTCTGTTCTCGGGCAGGTCGCCGGGCCCTGTCCAGCCGGTGGGGCGGCCCTGGCCGAGTCCTGGGCGCGGACGCGTCACGTGCGTGGGATCGGCCGGCCAAGGTCCCCGCCACGCGGGCGCGGGCGGGAGGGGTGCCGCCGGGGGCGGGGCCGGTGCTCGTCCTTCGCCCGCGCCCCGGCCTCGCTCGCCGTGGACACCCGGGGGAGCCGGCTGGCCGCGAGCCGCGGGGTCCTGGGTGAGGCCCGGAGTGAGCCGAGCGGTTGAGTCGTGACTGATTTTAAAGATTATGGCCTGGGAGCCACGACCGGAGGGAAGTTCAAGTTAGTGCCCGGCCAGGCCTGGCCACTTCCACCTGGCGTGGTTGTCCCCTAAGGCGGCCACCTAGCACGGGGTGTCTGCGTTGTCCGGCCCTGGGTCACGTGCGTGGCAGAGCCGTAACTTCAGGGTCAACGTTTAAAAGGAACAGAAAACGCCCGTGGTGGCTCTGCTCTTGGGTGTTGCCGTGTTTGCTGCTGGGTGTTGGCCCCGCTGAGCCGCCTGGCCGGGGGGCGGGGGGCGGGGGCGGGGCTGGGGCTGCCCGGAGCCCAGGGTCTCTGCCGGGGCCCTGCGTGAGGCCGGGGCTCTGGAAGCCCGGGAGGGGCAGCAGCGGAGGCCTCTGACCAGCAGGGCGGGGAGGCCGGGACGGCCCTGGCGGGAAGCGGCCGAATGCTGAGCCTGAGAGGGGTTTGGGCCTCAGGCGGCTGGGCCTCGGGAGCAGGGGCGCTGCCCCCTTCTGTTGGGCTGTTGGAGGGGGCAGTTCTTGCAGGGCTGTGACCAGAGCTGCCCTGGCAACGTTGAGACTCATGTCCAAGACGGACTGAGACGGAGACACGAGCAGCCAGGAGGCCGGTGGGAGGTTGCTGGGGTCGCGACGGGAAGAGTAGTGGGGCCCTGTGTCCGCGTGAGTGGGGGGGCGGGCAGGGCCCTGGGGGTGAGGGGCTCCGGAGCGAGGAGCAGGGTGGGCGACGGCACACACGGGGGCCTGTGACCCCACTGAGCTGGTTGCCCCGTGGGGATGGCGCCCGGGGAGGGCTCGGCCAGGCACAGGGCAGGAGGCGCCACCCTCTGCGAGGAGGGGGTGTGGCGGCTGAGGCTGGTGTCCCCCGGGACCCAAACGTGCGAGGGCCCGAGAGTGAGGAGGGGCAGGCGTGGGGCAGGGGTGACTTGCAGGTTCCTACGGGCAGGGAGGTCAGGGTGCAGAGCGAGCCTGGCCACCCACGTGCGGTGCAGTGGCAAGACAGCAGTGGGGAGCGCTGAGGTGGGAGCGGGGTGGGCGTGGCTGCTCCTCCGCTGCCCACACCCCACCTGCCACCACGGGCCGGGGCGCCCCCTCCGCCTTCCAGACCCCGCACACCCGACGAGTCCTCGTCTCTGTCGTGTGTGGAACAGTGGCTGCCACGCTTCACGGTCAGCACCGCGGCTCTCTCCAGGTTACGAGGAACTCTAGCAGGGCTGGAGCCGCGCTGGGGCCTGTGAGAGTGGGGCGTCCCGGCTCCCCGCCAGCCCGCACTCTGCCTCTGGAGCAGAGCTGAAGTGACCCGGGCCACGCGGCTTCTCTTGCATCGTGGCCGTTGCCTCACTCCTAGTCCCCAGCCTTCGGTGCTGTCCTGCCCGGGTCTGTCCCTCCCACCTCCTCCTGTCTGTCCCCTGCTGTCCCATCCATCCTGTGCTGAACCAGCAAGTGGCCCTTCCCACAGAAGGTCTGATGCACCTGAAGGCGTGGGCCTGAGACCCTCTGAGCGCGATGCGGCAGCCTGGCTGGCTTCGGTGGCCACCGCGCCCTGGGGCTCCTGCGGCGGTGCCCCGGTGTGGTTCCTGGGCGCAGTGCTTTCTTAGGCCTTCTCCCTGCAAGGCTTTCCTGCCTGCTTAGCCCGGCACACGCGCCTGAGTCTTTCCAGGGTCCCCTGTCTCGCGCAGGTCTCGGAGGGAGGCGCTTTGCTCCCCGTCCTTCCCCGCACTGTGACGTGGAGAACGTGCTGGGGATGTGGCAGTGGGCTTCCGCGGGGGTCGCTGGAGGCGCGCCCCCCCATGCCGTGGCGTCGCAGAGCGCAGAGTGGGGGCGCTGTGCGCCGTCGCCTGGGGTCTGCTCCGGGCGTCAGACACTTCCGCCCACAAGCATTTGAAAGTGGATCAGGTGTTTAAAAAGAATCTGCACCCAAGTGAAGGTCATGGCGGAGCAGGTGCGGAAGGCGAGTCTGCGAGGCCTTTGGGCCTGAGTGGGGCGAGTCTGGCGGCTCGCGGGCCTCAGTCGGGGCCTACGGGCAGGCTCTGGGGGGCCGAGGTGCTGTGTCCTTTCCCTTGTGAACCTGCGAGTTTACTTTCAACAGATGAGCAACAACAGCAACAAGAGAGCGCCGACGACAGCCACTCAGCGACTGAAGCAGGACTACCTTCGAATTAAGAAAGACCCGGTGCCTTACATCTGTGCCGAGCCCCTCCCCTCCAACATTCTGGAATGGTGAGCTCTGCGCCTTCAGCCGCCCGCACTGCCTGTCGCCCGGCTGCCCCGCGGGCCGGCTGCGGGCCTGGGTGCTCCCGTTGCGGTGCTTGGGAAGGGTGCCCGTCCTGCCTGAGAGGTTGGTGGGCGTCATGAGGCCTGCAGACGCTCACAGTGGACGGCAGCCGGGACAGCACAACGGCTTGACCTTGACCCCTGCATGCTGGGTTGGAAGGGGTCCTTCCTTCCTGGGCCAGGGTTGGGTCTGGGGGACCCAGCGGGGAGGCCTTGGTGCAGGCCTCAGAGCTGTTGGAGGAGAAGCTGTGGTCCAGCCCCTCCTCCTCTGCTCTTCTCCGTGGGCTTTGCAAAGCTGCCTGTCCAGCCTTGGGGAGTCCGTGAAGGGGTGGGGGGCCAGAGATACCGCCCCTGGCGCTGGCCCAGGTCCTGACGTGGCGGGGGGGCTGTGCCTTCCGAACAGGTGCTTCATGGTAACCCCCTCGCTGCATCGCAGTTCGGGGTCAGGAGGCCGCACGTCTGCAGAGCCGCTGCCCTGGCCAGGTTGGCTGGTGGTTTCGTGAGAAGGAAGGTGTAGGCTAAGATGTTACGAAGTATTTTCTCTTGAAAGCGTATTTTACATTCAGATTTTTAAAAGTAGTTAATTTTTTTTTTTTTTAACCCAGAGGAAAGAGATTTAACTGAGTTAAAAAAAAAATTTCCAGATGCGACAGGTGTTCAAGGGTTTTGGGCCCCCCTTCCTGGGCTCACAGACAAGGCCAGCGCTAGCAGGTAGGGGCGGTTCTCAGGGCGATATGGGCCTCAGCAAGTGAGAGGATGGCAGAGCTCTCCCTGCCCCCGCCACAACAAAAACCAGGTGTGACCCCAGGGCAGTCTCAGGGATCCCTCCCTGCATAGAGACGAGGTCCCCAGATTCAGTCATTTGCTGGGAGGACCTGCTGCTAAGGTTTATCAGTGAAAACACACAGTAAATCAGCAGGGGAAAAGGCACAGGGGCAGAGTCCATTGCAGACCAGGCACGGCTCCCCGTGGCCCTGGACTCACGCGGGACCGCGCGCTTGAGGTGCTGTCCACCCAGGGAGCCTGGCAGAGCCCCAGTGCCCGGGGTTCTTACTGGGGCAGGGCTCGTGGGCACTCTGGCCTGACACCCGCCCGAATTCCAGACCCCCCACCCCGCAGGAACGCAGGCTCCCTCAGCAGAGCCGGCACTGGCCACGGGGAGGGCCACGGTGCCAGGCCGCAGAGCGGGGCGGGGGGCAGGGGGTGATGTGCCACCGGCCTCACCCGGTGACCCCAGCGCTGCCGGGCTCTGCGCACCTGGGCGTTCCTGCTCCCGTGGTCTCCCAGTGGCAGGGGTGGCGGGGCAGGGCCACGTTCAGGCCACAGATCTGGGTGTGTCCTGTGCTCGCCTCCCAGGGCTGTGCCTGGTCCGCTGACACAGGATCACCCCCCGCCCCCGCCCCCTCGTGAGTGAAATGTATCAGGCAGCAGATAGCAGGTGTCTGATCTGCTTGTTAACGCGTGTGCGTGTGTCTGTCCTGGTGGGAGGAGGTGTTGGGAGGCACCGTGTGTGCAGCTGTGTGCGGTCTGGCATTTCTGCCTCACTCACTTCCACTTTCTCTCTTGTGCTTTCCCCTCGTGTTTGAACACCGGCAAGTCCAGACACCACTTGGGGTCGAGCCGTAAGCCCCCATTACTGGCGCACGGCGCGGGGGCACGCGCGCCCCTGGGCCCTGCGTACGGGCTGTGGGGCCAGCCCTGCCTGTCCCAGCTGCTCCTGCGCAGGGGCGGCTCCTCTGAGGCTGCGTCTGGTTCTTGTGGGGCGTCAACCCCGGGCGACACAGCCGTCTCGGGTCCCCGGCTGTGCCCCGTCCGGAGTTCTGCCCGCTGAGAAATACAGACTTTCAGGTGCTGTTCAAGAAGGTTGTGAAATTAAATGTGTAAACGTGTTCAGTGGACGTGACTGGGTACAGAGAGTTAACGCTCGTGTTGTGGAGACAGTGCTTTGTGGGAAACCGAGAAGGGACGGCCTCCGTCACAGAGCGACTACGGCATCGGCCGCCAGAGCCCGAAGGGCTTCGAGGGGCCCTGCGGGTCGGCCCTTGACCTTCAGAGCTCTCAGGCTGAAGGCTTGTGAAGGTTCGGTGTCGGTGGACCTGCAAACCCCCGGCCTTGAGTGGCTCAGGTTTGGGGGAGTTCGCCACCCACAAAGCCCGCTGATCTCTCTCTCTCCCTCAGGCACTATGTGGTCCGAGGCCCTGAGACAACCCCGTACGAAGGTAAGTCGCCCGGAGTCAGGGCGGGGCAGGTTTGTGCCCTGAGTAGATCTTGCCTGTTACGTGCAAGACGTAACCAGTGTCCTTTCCATGTTGGACTTGCTTGGGACTCATCCTGGTGTTTCCCCAAGTCCTGGCGGTGTTGGCTTCGTGGTCGGTTTTTGCCTGTGTGTTGTGGGGGGACCATCTGTAAGTGCGGGGGTTGTGCTGAGTCTCCCTGGTCGGCGGGGTCAGGGCCGGGTGAGCAGCAGAGCACACCGGGCTCTCCCGCCGCCTCCGAAGGCGTGTGCTGTTGAGGGGGAGATGGGTGTACTGGCGGCTCTCGGGCGAGTCCTGCCGGCTTGGCGATGGGCCCCTGGCGCGCGCGCACAGGGCGCCGAGGCGTCGGAGGCCCCAGGGCCCGGCCCTGGCGCAGCTGGGCACCTCCACGCTCCTGACGCCGGCCTGCGGGAGCCGCCCGGGGCCCTGGCATCAGGTCCAGAGTAGAACGGGGCTGTCAGCCAGCCATTGCCTTGGTAGGGACGGGAGTTGTGGCCAGGCCAGGCCGGCCCGGAGCAGCTGTGGCCAGGGGGGCAGCGCCGCCAGCTCTCCAGCCGCTGGGCCCCGCCTCGAGGCGGCTGGAGCGGCGTGGGGGTGCCTGCGGGTTCGCTGGCAGAGCCCTGCAGTCACAAAGGAGGCGCGAGAGCCGTTGGGCGTCAGAGTCGCCGGCCGCTGTGGGGGAGGAAGGCCCTGCTCTCCTGCAGGTCCTTGGGCAGGGGCGTCGCCAGTCTCACTGGACTTCTCTGCGGCCCAGGGTCCCCGCTCTGGGGGGACCTGTCCCCGGAAACGCATGTGCAGGAGACCTGCAGGGTGGGCGTCGCTGGAACTGGGAGCGTCCCAGGGCCCAGCAGCCGGGCGTAGGCTTGCGACGGCCCTGTGCAGGCAGGTTCCTCACCGCGTGGCCGAGGCCGCTTCAGAGCTGCCCGTCCCCCTGCAGCGCAGCGCGGGCCCGCCCCCTGCTGGCTGCTCTCGGCAGGGCCTCCGGGGGGCCGCGCTCTGGGCTCTGTGTCTGGGCCCGGTGGACCCTCACAGTGTGACTCTGCCTCCCCTTTTCTTTTTCCGCGGCTCCTGGGCCTTTCCCGGTCCCCCACCCGCTTCTCCCACCCCCACTGCTTGTTGCTGCCCGGCCCACACCGCCCTGCTGACCCCAGCAGGGCCAGTCCCTGCAGGTCACGGTGGCTTCCGCGGGTCCCGCGCTGCCGGGCTCCTCCCAGGTCGGTCTGCAGGCTCCACCCGATCCCATCCTACCCTTTCAGAGCTTGTGGTGGACACGCACAAGTTTATAGTGAAACTTTCATTCTGAAATGGACGTGGGAAGGCCAAGGACCCAGCCGCAGCCTTAAAAAGGGAGAAGTGGGAGGCGCCCTCTTGCCTGCTGACTTGCATCTGGAGGGAGAGGCGCAGGGACAGGACAGGGTGGGGGCACGGGGCTGTCGCCCGAGTGGCAGAAGCCATTGGGGGGCGCCCTGCCGCCCGCCTGCGCGGCCCCTCCTGTCCCAGTTCCGTACACCCAGGCCCCGCAGTGCTGGGTGCGGGCCCCTGGCACGGGCTCCGTGCTCCTGGCGCCCGTCCTCTTCCCGCCCTCGGGGCCGCCTCCCGAGACCCCCCAGCCCCCGCTCTGCGCGCAGGCTGCGCAGCTCGCTGTGGGCCGCCGCCCTGAGCCTCCGCTGTCCGCCCTTCGCTCCTGCGCAGGATCCTGCGGGGGGCCGGGGGCGGCCGGCTCTCGCCCGTGGTGGTTCCCCACGCACTGGGCCGGGGGACGCTGGGTCAGTGCATGTGCTTAGAGTTCGGTTTTATTATTTTTTTTCTTTAAGGTTTCGCTTATTTCTAGAGAGAGGAGGAGGGAGGGAGAAAAACGTCAGAGTGTGAGAGAGATTATGGATCAGTTGCTTCTGGCACAACCCCCACCGGAGACCCGCCCACAACCCAGGCCTGTGCCCTGACCAAGAATCAAACCGGCGACCTTCCGGTTCGCAGGCTGGCGCCCAATCCAGTGAACCGCAGCAGCCAGGGCTTGGGCTGTTCTGGGTGATCTTAAGTGGGCGTCGGCTCTGAGCGCCAGGTCACGTGCCTGTCGGTGGCTGGCAGGCTTGCCCGCCTGTTGAGCTGGCCCCTCCCGTGACACGGGGAGTGGAAGGGCCAGCGGTCGCACGAGGCGGCCGGGGCGCTGCGGCCACACGGGTGCTGGCAGGCCTTACTCCGGACGGGTCTGGGGCAGAGCCCTGTGGGGGCGGGGGCCCTGCCTGGGCCGCGGGCAGGGCCGCGCTCCTCCAGCCTCGCCGCGTGTGCACACGGGCGCGCACGCAGGCCCCCCGTCCGGGGTGGCCCCGAGACCCTGCGCTTCTGGCAAGCTCCGGGGCTGCCCGCGAGCAGCAGGGTGGAGGCGGTGAGGCCCGTCGCGCTCTGGGTCGGCTGGCAGGTGGGGCTGACAGGGTTCGATGGCGGAGCAGGTGTGGCGGGGGCGGGGGACCCCCGATTTTGGTCTGCACGATGGAGGGGGTGGAGTGGCAGTCGGGGGGGAGCAGCAGGAAAGCCTCTCGGACCCTCCGGGATGTCGGTCCGCAGTCGGGAGGAGGGGTCCAGGGGTCTGGGCAGAGGTGCCACCTGGAGTCGTACAGTCCGCCCCGCGTCGCGGGGGCCCCGGGGGCGAGCTGGAGGCGCCGGAAGGCCGGTGCTGGGGGTGAGGGGGGCAGGAGGCCAGGCAGGGCGGGGCTTCGGGGGGCAGGGGCAGGAGAGGCCACGAGGCCTGAGAGGTGGCCGCACCGCAGCGGGGCGGTCTGGGGGCCGAGGGAGAAGGCGACGTGGGGAGACGGCAGCCCGGGCGTTGTGCACAGCGGGTGCAGGTGGCAGGAAGTGGACGGTGTGGGGATTGAATGAGGGTTTGTTTCGAGTCACGTTTAAGGTGGGAGAAGTGGCGGTTTGCCTGCTGCGGGGCGTAGTTGGGTGGCAGAGGAATGGCTCGTGTAGGGCGGGGGCCTGGGGGGGCAGCGAGGGCTCTGCTGCAGGGGAGGGACCGGGGTGGAGACTGGGCCTGTGCAGAACGAGGTGCGGAGCCGCGGGGGCCGAGCCCACAGAGGGTCCCGGAGGTGGGCAGGTGAGCGTGAGGCGGGGGGCCTGTGGGACGGGGCGGGGTGCAGGCTGGAGACCCAGGAGTTGCTCTGGGCTGTGACGGGGTGCTCTCTCTGTTTCAATACAGGCGGCTATTACCACGGAAAACTAATTTTTCCCAGAGAATTTCCCTTTAAACCTCCTAGTATTTATATGATAACCCCCAATGGAAGATTCAAGTGCAATACAAGGTAAGGCGTCTCTGCCCTGCTGCGGGGGCGTGGCCAGGGCCAGGACGAGCACGTGCCCTGCTGAGCGGGCCCCTCTCTGCAGGCTGTGTCTTTCCATCACGGACTTCCACCCGGACACGTGGAACCCGGCCTGGTCCGTCTCCACCATCCTGACCGGGCTCCTGAGCTTCATGGTGGAGAAGGGCCCCACCCTGGGCAGCATCGAGACATCGGACTTCACGGTGAGGGGCAGGGAGCACGCTGGCGTGGGGGGCTCCTGCCCGTGTCCTGCTCCCCAAGCCCTGAGGCGCCCGCGGGCCCGGCGTTCTCTTCGGCCCGCCGAGCTTCCTGGGCAGCCCTGCGGGACCGTTCACGGCACCTGCTCTGTTGTCTGGTCGGCTGGCTTTTATTTTTCTGTTGATGAAGTGAGAATCCAGTTTACTGTCGTCCACTGATGATGATGGAGCCACAGATGAGCTCCATTATCTGCGACTAAATTAGCTCGTCATGAAGAGTAAGCGTGTCCGTGTGTCCAGCAGCGTGAAGACGGCAGCCCTTGGCTATAAAGTCATCTGCTTTTAGACGTTTACATAATTGAGATTAGCCTTTGGGCTGACATTTTCTTTCTTTTTTTTCTAGAAAAGACAGCTTGCTGCCCAGAGTTTAGCGTTTAACCTAAAAGACAAAGTCTTCTGTGAACTGTTCCCCGAGGTCGTGGAGGTGAGAGCGGGAGCCGGCAGTTTGGCTTCTCCAGGTCGGAAACACTGTCGGACTCGGTTCTTCCCAGAGGGACACGTCCCGCAGGCAGAGCACACAAAAGGGCGCCTGTCCCCGCAGGGCTGTAGACGCCACAGGCCAGGCGCCCGGGAGCTGTGGGGGTGGGCCTGGGAGAGGTCGGGGGTCGCTGAGACGGCCTGCGCAGACCGAGGCCATAGCCGCGTGTCCCTCGAGCCTGGCACAGCGCTGGGCCTGTGAGGTGCAGGTTGGGTGACTGGGCAAGTCCCTTTTCCTCCACATCCGTAAAACAGGGCGGTGCCAGGACTGAACCCACAGCAGCCACCCAGGGGGTCTGGGGGGGAGGGGGGCACAGGACCTGCCGTGGTCCTGGGGGGCTGGTTTGCTAGACCCCCTTTGTCTCTCGCTGTTTCCTCTCAGGAGATTAAACAGAAGCAGAAAGCACAAGACGAGCTCAGCAGCAGACCGCAGGCGCTCCCCCTCCCCGACGTGGTCCCAGACGGGGACGCGCACCACGGCCCGAACGGGCTTCAGCTGCTCAACGGGCACGCGCCGGGCGCCGGGCCGCACCTGGCGGGGCTGCAGCAGGCCAACCGGCACCACGGACTCCTGGGCGGCGCCCTGGCGAACTTGTTTGTTATCGTCGGGTTTGCGGCCTTCGCCTACACGGTCAAGTACGTGCTGAGAAGCATAGCCCAGGAGTGAGCCGCACGCCGTGACCTCTAGGGGGTCAAATACGAGGGACGCCGGGCCCGGGCTAGACACTGGCTGGCTGGACGCACCGCACCGTCGGCGCAGGGCGGACCCGCCTGACTCCTGGGGTTAGCTTTTTAGAACCTGTTGAGAGGAAAACAAGAACAACCGCGTGTGTGGTTTGGATGTGGAGCGCTCAGACACGGGTGCCGGCCCCCGTCCTCGCCCGGGGGCTCGGGGGTCGAGGAGGAGGGGCCTCACGCTTTGGTTTTATACCGCATCTCCTGTATTGTCTTTTGGACCTGTTTTAGTAAATCTGTTTTTCATTTTATAGATTTGGTCACTTAAAAATACAAAACTCAATGCCTATCAAACGCTCTGCGTGTGTTCTTAGCCCAGTGGCGCTCTGACCCGCTGGGCAGGGGCCGGTCCCAGGCCTGCGCCACGCTCCGCTCTGCTGGGGGCGCGGGGTTGTGCCGGGGGGGGGGGGGGGGGGGGCGGGGGAGCCAGCGCCTCCGCGAGAGCGGCTCTGCCTGCACTGCCCGCGGCGGCCGCGCGGTGGCGCCCTTCGCCCCCGGAGGCGGCCGGGCAGAGCTCCCCCGGCTGCCGCCTCAGCCCCTCCGGGCTCCTGGCGCCCCCAGAGCCTTTGCTCTGAATTCCTCGGTCCCGGTGGCCCCGGAGCCCCTCCTGTGCTGTGGAGGCGCAGACCCCGCAGCCCCGGAGGGTCCCCGCCCCCCGACAGGCAGGCCTCGAGCACGTGGCCCAGGCCCCGGGGAGGCCCTCGCGTCCCTCGGCGCAGCAGACCCACGGCAGGCGCTGGCCCTGCCCGGACGGCCCCGCGGGCGCAGGGCACCGCAGAGGGCAGGCCGCCGGGGGGCCGGGGCCGGGGCCGGGGCTGGCGCCGCCCCTGCGGTCCCTGACCTCCCCGGGAGCCGGCGCGGGGCCGTGCGCTGCCGCACCTTTGACGTTGTTTTCCAGTCAGTTTATTTAAAATTGCCCTGTAATTTACCACTTGTACGTGTTTGACCCACTCTTGTGAAAAAATCTTTCATTATATTTTTGTTCCTAAATCGCGTGCTGTTTGAGTCTGTGCAGGGGGCTGGGCGGCGTGTGGGCGGCTGTGGGGCAGGCCTGGCCGGAGACCCCGAGACCTGCTGCTGCCGGGCCTGCCCTCCGGCCTCAGCGGGCGCAGGGGCGCGCCTGGGGCCCGCGTCTGGTCCACACGCCCTGCGGCGCGGGGCCGGGGCGGGGCCTGCATCTCCCCAGGCCGGCGCTTCTGAGGGCTCAGAGCCCTCGGTCTGAGGCTGGAGCGGCTCCCGCTCACGGGCCACGAGGCCAGCCCGGCGCCACGGTCCTGCCCTCCTCGGGGCCTCAGGGCCTCCCGGGTCTGGGCTGTGGGCTGGTGGGTGAGGACCCTGGCGCGGGCCCCAGGAGAGTGGGAGTGGTTCCCTGTCTCGGGGACACGGGAGCCTCTGGGCCCCTCCGCGGCCCCAAGCCCGAGGGCGCAGTGTTGGCTGCGGAGCAGGGCCTGGCCGAGGCTCAGACGCGGGGACGGGGCCCTGCTTCCTGCCTCCTGCCTTTGAAGGGGCCGAGTGAGCTGGGCCCAGGGTGGCGGCGGGGCTGGAGCCGCGTGAGGCCCAGCCCCTCGCCGCTGCTGCGTGGCGCCTTGTCCGCACGCGTGGCCAGCCGCCCTCGCGGGCGCACACGCGGCCTCGGGGCCTGGGCCACCGGGAGGCAGGTGATGGGAAGTGGGTGCCCAGCCTCCAAGGAGGGGCGTGGCAGCCTGCAGTCTCCTGGGCTGCCTTTCCTGACCTGGCGCCGGGCACAGGTCACACCAGGGCCCTGAGGCTCCAACAGGGAGCTCAGGGGCCACGAGAGCCGGCGCTGTCGTCCTGGGGCGTGTGACCACCTCTGCGTGAGCCAGGAGGGGCGGACAGACGAGCCAGGGAGGACGCACCTCACGCCCCCTGAAAGCCTGTTCCCGGGCGTCTCTGCTTGCGGCCCACCAGCCGCCCTTCGGGGAGCCTGCGGCCGGGCCGCCTCCCCCGCCCCGTCCGGACGGCTGGAAACCACCAGGGAAAGGTCTGGAGGGCTGCCTGCAGGACCCGCATCCCCCCGAGGCTGTGCTGGAAGCAGTGGCTCCGGCGGGAGCCGCCCACGGCTCTGGCCATCGCTGGCCTTGGTCTATACCGGGGGCCCCTGGCCCGCGGACACGGACCGAGGTCGGGACTGAGACGGTCTGTGGCCTGTCAGGAGCGGCGGGCGCGTGTGTGACGCATCCCCTGTGTTTACGGCCGCCCGGTCCCTCCCTCGCTGCCTGAGCCCTGGCCCTGGTCCCCGGTCGGGTCGGCGGCCTTGGACCCACCGCCGCGACGGCCCCGTGCGGAGCTGCCCACGCGAGAGGCTGGGGCTGCGTCCTGCTCAGGAGAAGCCACTGCCCGGGGGGCCGAGGAGGCGTGAGGCTGGGCTGCCGCACGGGGGAGCGGCTGCCGACACAGCTTGTCGTCAGCTGCGAGGTGACTGCCCAGACACCGTTGGCTTGGAGACATATCAGAACCCCATCAGTGAGCGGCAAGTGACAACTAAGCTGCGTCTGGTGGCAGGCTCTACAAGCCACCCCCACCCCCCGACCCCGGCACAGTCTGGAAAAATTGTCTTCCGTGATGCCGGCCCCTGGTGCCCGAAAGGCCGGGACCGCTGGTCTACACTGCGGCTGGCAGCCGCGTCAGGCCCCGCCCCCCGGGGCCCCACCGTGCAAGGACAGCCCACAGGGCCTGGGCCAGGAACTGCCCCCCGCAACGGCAGTCTGGAGGCAGTTAAGGAAGGACCCCAGCGCTCCCTGGGGACCCCACTGTTGCTCAGCCCAGCAGGAGGAGACCGACCGCTCGCTTCCCCCAGGCCGAGAATGGGCACTCTGGCGGGGCTCACAGGGCCTGGCCGGGGACATGTGTCCCTTCCGCCTGCTGGCTCAGGAAGCTGAGGGCCCACCGGCCCCTCGGCAGTGTGCACTGGCCCTGCGCCCCGAGAACAGGAGGGGCCACACGGCTGCAGGCGACCCTGTGGTCCTTGCTGGCACACGCACCCCGGTGGAGAGGCCGCACCTGGGGCCACTCCGCTGGCGCGAGGCCAGGAGCCCGGGGCAGAGCCAGCAGGACCCGGGGAAGCGGAGCGGGCGGGTCATAGGAAGGAGCGGACGGGACGGTGAGGTCCCCACGCCGTGTGTCCCCCACTGGGGGCCCTGGCCCAGCACCCCGCAGGGGCGAGGGTGAGGTGCCAGGCGCTTAGCTGGGATGGGGGCAGGGCGAGTCCTTGTTAACGGTTCCCGGGGCGCGTCCGCCTCCCGGGGCGGGCGGGGTGGGGGCTGTGTGCGAGGCCGTGGGAGGGCAGCCCCAGCGTCTCAGTACAAGCGCGGAGGCGCCCGGTCAGCGGGGGAGCCGGCCCGTCCACGCCCCCAGCCCGCCTCGGGGCCCGCTGACAGATCATCCGAGCGCGCCCGCCCCCTTGGAGCCCGCGAGCTTTGGGGCGGAGGGGAGGGTTTATCTGGCGGCGGCGCGGGCAGCGAGGGCACTGCGCGCGTGAGGGGAAGCCGGCGCTGGCCCGACCGCGGGGACAGGAGCGCGTCCCGCCGCGCCCGGCCCGCACCCCACGGACATGCACCGGCAGCGTCCGGGCGTACCCTGGGCCGGCGCCTCCGCGCGGGGGCTCTGAGCGGCTGTGCGCCCCCATGAGTGCGCCTGGGCAGCCCTGCGCGCCGCCCTGAGCCGCCGCCGAGGTCCAGAGCCGCCCACCGGCGACATGCGCTGGGCCTGGGCCGTGGCCGCGGCCCTCCTCTGGCCTCAGCTCGTGCTCCCGGGGGGTGTCGGGACCCGGCGGGAGCCAAAGCGGCCACGGCATCCCAGCCAGCGCACCGAGACCCTCAACGCCACCGCGGCCCACAGCGAGGGGCCGCCTGGCTCCCCCAAGGTACGCGCGGACCCGCGCACGTGGGCCGGGCTCGCCCGCCGCGGGCTTCCGGGGCTTGCGCTCGCGGGACCGTCCTCCCACCTGCCCTCTCCGCCCGCTGTGCTCTCCGGGACCCCTTCTTGTCTTGGTGGGGTGGGGCTCTGGGCAGGATTTATGGCAGAGGGGGTTGGGGCCGGCCCTGCCCTCCACCGGCCTCCGCCGGTCGGGGAGGGCAGAGGCTTCCCAGCAGGGCTGCGCTGGACCCTTCGGAGCCGGGGCGCCTCCTGCCACAGCGGCCCGCCGCCCTTAGGTGCCATCGCCGGTGCGGGGCGGGAGGGCGGGGTACGGCGGCGCTCTGGGCCGCCTGCTCCTTGGCCGTTCACCGACCCCCTGCGGGGAACCCGCCCCCACCACTCCCAGAGCTGGAGCGGCCAGGGCTGGCCTGGACCCTTGCTTCCTGGGGACCTCACGCCCAGCCCTGCTGTGGAGCTGGCGCTCCCTCTGTGGCCGCTGGCACGCGGTGCCCCTGTCCTCAGAGTCCCTCAGGGTCCCCTGAGACCGGAGGATTCCCCCCCGCGCCCCCGCACCTGCCTCAGCCCCGGCCTCTACCTTTGGCTGAGGATCTCCTGGGGGGCCTTGGAACTGACCCCCGGGCCACGGGATTGGGAGGGGAGCGCAGCTGCCAGGGCAGGCCCCCGCCAGCCCTCTGCCTTTGATCCCAGCCTCCCGCTGCCCCAGGGCGGCTCCGTGGCCGCCAGCCCGACTGCTCTCGGCCCACGCGCCCCGCTGGCCCGGGGCCCCGCCCGCCCGTGGAAAGCGGCTGCCGACTCCGCAAGTGCAGGGGACAGTCTGGGGACAGGGCCGGGCCTCTGCGGGCGTGCCCCGGGTGGCGCAGCACGTGCTCCCCGGCCCTCCGCACAGGTCAGGACACCGGCCCTTCCTCCTCCTGCCCTCCTGCCCCCCAGGACCCCTGGGGGGCTCAGACGCGGCCAGGGTCCATGGTGGCCAGGGACACAGGCAGAAACCGAGGGGCGTTTGAGTGTTCACGGCTTCTCTCTCTCCCCTGGGTGGGGCCAGGGCAGGGGCGGAGACGCCCGGACCCCGCCTGCCCCTCCCAGCCCCCCAGGATGGAGGCCTGCCGGGTCCCCTGGGAGAGAGTGCAGCCTCCCCCGGCCGGAGGCTGCCTCGGGCCTGGCTCTCGCTGACTCGCCCGCCCACCCTCCCTACTGAGCTCCGGCTGCTCCTCAGACGCGGGCAGGGGCGCTTCGGCCTGGAGCTGGCGGGGGGGGGCGATTGGCAGGCTGGGGCGGCGGCTCTGTGCTGCCCCTCCAGCCCTCCCTCCTACAGCAGGGCCGGGGCTGGGGCCTGGGTCCAAGGCTGAGGGGCAGGGCCCTTCCCCGCTTAGCCGGGGGCTCTGGACCCTGGAAAGACCCTTGGAAAACTTGCTCCTGTCCCCTGCCTCCTGCCTCAGCCAGGGCCCAGCCCCTGTGGGGACACAGAGGCCCGCGCTGCGTGTGCACGGGTGTGCCTGTCCGCCTGGGGACAGGGCGCGGTGGGAGGGGACAGGCCCCTCCGATGCGCAGCCAGGGCCGAGGCCTCCCGGTGCCGGGCCCAGGTCCTGGTCTGAGTCCCCGGGTTTGGCCGGCCTGCCTCCTCCCCTGCTTCCCGGGTCTGTCCCCACGGTGCCCATGTCCGCCAGGGCCTGGGGTCCCCGCTCCGCCCTGAGGCCGCAGGGAGGACTGAGCGGGGCCTGGGTCCGCGCACGAGCCCTGCCCCTTGGTCCTTCAGCCACCTGAGGCCTCGGGGCCTGAGTTCTCAGACGCCCACATGACGTGGCTGAACTTCGTCCGGCGGCCGGATGATAGGGCCTCGCAGAAACGGTGCCGGGGGCGGGACAAGAAGTCGGTGAGACGGGGGTCTAGGCCCAGGGCCGGGGGGGCCGTGGCCCCCACTGGGATGCTCATGCCCTCTTGCCTCCCCCAGCGAGGCCTCTCCGGCCCCCCCCGGGCCCCCCCGGGCCCCCCCGGGCTCCCCCGGCCCCCCCGGGCCCGCGGGCGCGGAAGTCACACAGGAGGCTCTGCTACGAGAGTTTCGGGAAATGCTGAGAGGTGAGGTGCCCCTGCCCGCACCCCGTCGGGAGGCGCGGGAGGGTGTCCCGGGCCCTGGGGCGACCCCAACCTGCCGCGCCTGCCCCTGTCCCCACAGAGGCCACCGAGCGTCGGTCCTCGGGGCTTTGGGGCTCGTTGCTGCCCGAGGGGACGGGCGGGCGGCTGGTGGCTGAGGCCTTCCACTGCCGGCTGAAGGGTCCCGTGCTGGTGGACAAGAAGACGCTGGTGGAGCTGCAGGGCTTCCAGGCCGTGAGTGGGCTGTGGGGGGCTCTCCACGGGCCCCGCAAGCCGTGGTTGTCTCGGGGGGCTGCTGGGAGCAGGATGCAGGGGTGGCCGCCACGGGGGAGCAGGTCCACAGCCGCCACAGCGGGGCGCCGCCACCAGCGCGAGAACGCCGTCGTGCACGGGGCTCCGTGCGGGGTCCACGGCCCCCAGGCCTGTGGGGGCTCTTGGGGCCTCTTCTGCCTCTGGGGCCTGCGGCCTGGAGGCCCGGGGAGGGGCACCCACAGACCTCGCCCTCTGTCCTGCCGCCTGGGTGGTGGGGCGGGCGGTCGCCCCCTCCAGGCTAGCCCTGCTCTCCCTGCAGCCCACGGCACCGGGTGCCTTCCTGCGGGGCTCCGGCCTGAGCCTGGCCTCCGGCCGCTTCACAGCCCCCGCGACCGCCATCTTCCAGTTCTCCGCCAGCCTGCACCTGGGTGAGTGGGGCCAGGCCGCTGTCGGTGGCGGGCGGGGGGGGCTGGCCTCCCAGGGGGGCCCGACCTCGCAGGGCCTGGGTCCCGTCCCACCGCGGCCTCCCGCTCCACACCCGGCCCCAGCCAGCAGCCGCTCCGGGGCCCCTCTGGGCAGCGCGCCCCGACTCCGCAGCCCCAGCCCGGGCCTGTCTGCTGCGTCCGCTGAGGCCCGCTGCGCCGGCTGTCTCCGCAGACCGCAGGGGGCTGCAGGGCAGGGCCCGGGCCCGGGACACCGTGCGGGTGCTCGTCTGCATCGAGTCCCTGTGCCATCGCCACACGTGAGTCGGCGGCCCTGGGGGCCACCTCGGTGCTGGGGGGGGGCAGGGCGCCGGGGGCGGGCACCTGACCGGGGACCTCCCTGCCCGTGGAGAGTGGAGGGGCCGCCCCAACACAGGCCCCATTGAGCACTGGGTGGGGCCAGGCCCTCGGGCCCGCTGAGCCCTCACCCTGGGCACCGCGTCCAGGTCCCTGGAGGCCATCTCGGGCTTGGACGGCAGTGGCAGGATCTTCACGGTGCTGGTTCAGGGGCTGCTCCAGCTGCAGGTGAGGCGGGGGCGCGGGCGGAGCAGGAGGGTTCCGAGCCGCTGAGCCTCAGAGCACAGCCCCGGCCCAGCGCGGGGACGGACGTTGGCCAGGGGGCCACTCAGGACCCCGGGGCCCCCCACGCCTGGGGCGGGTCCTCTCCACGCTCCCCACGGGTGGCTGGGCGGGCCCTGCGGGGGGGCGGGGCGTGACGTCCACTGCGGGGTGTCTGCAGGCTGGACAGTACGCCTCCGTCTTCGTGGACAACGGCTCCAGCACAGCCCTGACCATCCAGAGCGGCTCCAGCTTCTCCGGCCTGCTCCTGGGCACGTGAGGGCCCTGTGGGTCCCCGAGCAGCCGCGTCGAGAGGCCCCTCTCAGGGCCGTGGGGAGCTGCCCGGTTGCCCAGCCCCGCTGCCCTCTGTTACACATGCGGTCACAGCAATAAAGAGTCCCCAGTCCTCCCTGCTGCCTGGTCACTGTGTTGTGGGGGGTGGGGTGGGGTGCGGCTGTGGGGGAGCACGTGGCCTCAGGGCGCAGTCCTGGGGGGTGGGGCGGCCTTGTCTGGGAGGCTAGGGTCTGGCTGTGCGCCCTGCAGCCCCCACAGCCCCTGCGCCAAGGACGGGTGTCCATCCAGGTCCCTGCCCAGCCCTGGCCGCGGCCCCTGCACTCGCCCAGGGCCGCCCCCGCCCTGGAGGGCAGCGGCCTGCGGGGCCCCACGGGCTGGGGCTCAGACGCGTTCGGCCTGGGGCACCAGAAGCCCCCAGGGAGCAGGGCGAGAGCAGGGAGCACTTGGCTGCCCGGGGAGCAGAGGGTGGGGGCCCCTTGGAGGGCCCCGTCTTGTGTGGGCCAGCGGGCAGGGCTGCACACGCATGTGCAGGCCACGGGCACCACGTGTGAACCTGGAGACGTGTGAGCAGGGCGCCAACTTCCCGCCACCTTCCCCTTGGTGGCCGCCACACCCGGTGGGTGCAGACCCCCCCTGGAAAGATGGGGTGTCCCAGCTGGGGCAGCCAGACCCTGCCTGAGGGTCCTGCGGATTTGGGGCCCCCACCCCCGCCCCATTTTGGCTCCAGCAAACCCAGGCCAGAGGATGTAAATACGCCCTGGGATGTCCAGGCCTCTGCGGAGCTGCCCAGGCACCGTGTCTGGTTGGCACCTCGGCCCGGGCAGGCGGCCGCTCCTGGACCGTGAGGCTGGCCCTGCCCCTTCCGAGACGCCCGGGGACAAGGGGGGCTCAGGGGGCTCAGCTCCGCTGCAGCAGGGCCCCGATCCCAAGGCCGAGCAGGTGGAGAAGGGCGCCCTTATCCTGCAGAGTGGGCCAGGGGCTGGGGGAGGCCGGGCTGGGGGTCCGTCGCAGACGCGGGAGGCGGGGCAGTTGGAGGCTGGGGCCGGAGGACCCTAACCCAGCCCCTCCCCCAGGGCCCTCCCTGGCCGCGCGGGTAATGAGGCAGCAGAGCCTGGTGCCGGGCGGGCGCTGGTCTGTGCAGCTCCGGGCTTGGCCACTGACCCGTCCCCACCTCTCTCCCTGGTCCCCCCAGGGTGGCGTCAGGGGCTGGGGGAGGCTGGGGGGGGTCTCCGCTTCGCGGCGACCGGAGGCGCCAGCCTGGCCTGAGTGGGGATGTCCCGGACGCCTGCGAGCGGGGGCGGGGGGTGGGGGGGGTGGGGGGCGTGGGCCCTGCGGCCCCTGCCGGGGATGGGGGGGAGGGGCACACAGGGGAGCCGGCGGGATGGGTCCCTGCCCCCCTTCCCCCCAGGGGCCCGTGGGGGCCACGTCTGGAGCGCCAGCCGGGCTCGGCGGTAGCGCCCGGGATGGGCAGACAGCCTGTTGACAGAGGCGGCCGCGCTGGGCTGTCGGTGGGAACGCCGAGGGACCCCGGCCAGCTCCGGGGTGGGCCCTCTGGCTGCGTCTGGGGCCTCACTGCCCCCGGGGGGCTCTCCACTCTGTCCATCAACACCGGCCAGCCCCCCGACCCGCCTGGCCCGGGCAGGGGCGGACCTCGCCGCCTTCCCCAGACCTGCTGCCGGCGGCTGTGATGACAGAGATGGAGGCCCGGCCCGCGGGGCCCGGGGCCCTGCAGGGAGCGGCCGACAGACGAGGGAGACAGGCGAGGAAGGCCAGGGGCCGAGGAGCTCGCGGCGGGCAGGTGGCCAGGGCCGGGGGCAGCTGCTGGCGCCCGCCTCCACCTGCCTCCTGTCCCGCCCGCTCCTCGTCTCTGCCCCAGTCTCAGGCCATTACCGCTTCGCCGTGACCCCCTGGAATGTGTGGCCCCCAGCCCCCTCGGCTGGGGTGCAGGAGCAAGGGGTGGGGGCCGGCCTGCGGTTCGTGCCATGGGGATCCTGGACTCGGGGGCCCAGGGCCCGGGCCCCAGGCTCAGACCAGCCCCGGAGGACACAGGCTGCCCCACCCCCGGGCAGACAAGGGGCCGGCTCAGGGTCGGCCCCAAAGGCCCCGCCGCGGCCCAGCTGCCCCAGCCGTCTCAGCCACGCCGGTTCCCGGGCCTGACCCAACGTGCGCCGTGGACCACTTCCCCGGGGCCCCGGGAGGGGTCTGGAGACCCCGTGGGGCCCTGGCCCTTGCGGCCACACCCGCCCGGCCTGAGCGGGGGCCTCCGGCACAGGTGCGGCCCGGGCCCAACCTGCTGCCGCTGAGGGCAGCGGGCTCGCCGGGGGTCCCCTGGCGGGGGTCCCCGGGGGCCGGGGCTCGTTCCCTGGCCAGGCCCCTGGGTGTGGAGCTGGGCTTTGGGGTGGCCCTAGTGTCCGGCTGTGGCCGGAGCCAAGCGGCCCGCGCAGAGCTAGCTGGCCTCGGGGCGACCCCTGACCGGAGCCCCACCCGGAGCAGCGGGAGCTGCCGGGCTGACCTCGTTAACCTCTCCCAGGGCCCGCTTCCCAGAACCTCCGTCTGACCTGCCACGGGCCGGACGGGGGCCGAGGGGCTGCCGCCAGGGGTTCGGGGAGGCCCCTGGCCAGGTGCTTCCCTAACCCTGGTCTCGGGGCGACAGCCAGGCTGCCCCTGCTCGGCCCCCCTGGCCCCGAGGTGGCCCTGGGGCCGGGGGTGGGCGGGCCTGCGTGTTGGGCCAGAGCCTGCCGCTCCGACACCTACAGCTGCTGCTTGTCTGAGTGCAGACAGGAACGTGGGCAGCTGGAAAGTCCTCTCAGGGGCCAGGAGCCGCGGGGACTGGGCCCCGGGCTGTGGCCGGAGTGGGGAGCGGCGGGGTGGGCAGCGCGGGGGGGCTCCGGCTGTGAGCAGGCGGCTGCCTGGCCCTGTCCCCCAAGGCCCCTCTGGGGGGCCGTGGACAGCCTGGGTGGTGCGGGGGGCTCGGGGCAGGGGTGGCACCCGGGGCGCTGGGTGTCCTGCAGCCGCAAGGCCCAGCCGGAGCGGGGTGGCTCTCCGTGGCCGGAGCCGAGCCGCGGGTCCGACTGCGCCCCCTCGGGTTGGTCTGGGGCTGGAAGGGCTCTGCTCCGAGGGACCTGGGGCCGTCTCCCTGCAGGCGCCTCCCCGCGGGCCTGGGAGGTTCTCACAGCCCGGCCGGGCCCCCTGGGCTCCCGGGCCTGGGCCGAGGGCTGAGAACGGCTGGGGGCACAAGGGCGGGGGGCATGGGGGAGCGGGGAGGGGGCCTGGGGCACGTGCCTGGGCTCCCCTCTCTGGGTCTGTGTACCTGTGCTCCCTCCCGTGCTGACCCCGTGCTGACCCCACACGCCCGTGGTGGCTGCGAGGCCGTGTGTCTGTGGGAGGCGTCCGTGCGAGGTGTGTGGGGCGGGGTCGCTGTGTCCCCCGGGACCTGGCTCTCTCGGCTGAGCTGGAATCGCCAAGTCCCTTGGGGCCGAACACAGGGCAGGCGTCCGGGGCCTGGTGGCCGGAGCTCCTGGCTGGCCAGTCGCTGGGCTCAGGGTTGGCTGTGGTTGGGGTCCTGGCATCGGGGAGACTCGGGGAGGCTGTTCCACCCGAGGAGCCGTCGTGCCGGGCGACCAGGCTGGTGGCCTCAGAACTGCTGGGCCTGAGGTGGGGACTCTGGGCGCTGGGGCAGGAGAAGAGGGTCCTCCCCCAGGGGGCAGCTTCCGGCACCGGGTCCCGGGGCAGGAGCTCCTTGGGGGCGGCAAGCAGCGCGCAGGGTGTGGAGGCCTCAGCGGGGGGTGCGGGCCTCGGGGCCGCCGCTCACAGCCGGGCTGCCCTCTGGGCTCCGAGCTCTGCGTGACCTCCGGGCCCTGTCCCGTGTCAAGGAGACGCTGGATCTCCAGCCCCGCAACCCGCGCGGACTCAGGAGCCGCGGCCGCCGAGCCCGGGGTCGCCTGCGGCCCGGTCCCCGCGGCCGGGGGGGGGCGGCTGAGGAAGGAGCGCGCCCTGCCCACTGCCTGTCCGCCCGCCAGCCCGCAGGCCCCACGGTGCGCGCGGGCAGGCGGGCTGGCGTCTGGAGGAGAAAGGCCTTTGTTCCGCGGAGCTCGGGCCCAGCCCCTGCGCTCGCGGTGACTCACAGGTTCCCCGGGGGAGATGCCGGCTTTGCAGCAGCCGATGTGTCACACGCCCACCCGGGGCGGCGGCCCCGGGGCCCTGCCTGTGCCCGCGGCCCCTCCGGCGGTTCTGCCAGAGCCTGGGTGGGTGCGGGGGCGGCAGCGAGAACAGCGGGGACAGGAAGGGGCACCAGAGGGCCCAGAAAACCCCGTGGCCTCGCCGTCTCCTGCCAACTGTGGGGTGGGGGGCTCCCCGCCCGGCACGAGGCTGGACCCAGGAGGCTCTTCCCGCCTTCCCCGGGGAGGCTGCCCTCTCCTGGCTCCTGGCTCCGGCCCTCTGTCCCTGTGGATCAGGTGGGCGGCTGTGGAGGTGGGCAGGGGCGGGGGTCCCTTCGGGCTGGGCGGCCGAGGCCCTTGGACACCTCCAGGGCCCGGGGCCAGGGCTTGGGTTCCCTTCTCCCGCTGCTCCCCGGGTCAGGGGCCAGGCCAGGCCGCGGGGCAGCGGGAGGCGGGAGCCGGACGAGGCCTGCCCTGGGCTCCTGTCCCGCGGCGGGGCCTGGAGGGCCAGCCGCGCCTGCGGGGTTCACTCTGGAGGATGGAACCGGCCGCTGGCGGGGTCCCAGGGCCCCTCACGCAGCCCCTGGCTTCTCCCCAGCCCCCTGCTTGCCAGCGCCACGGCCAGCCAAGCCCTGCCTGGCGGAACCCGCTGGCCAGGAGCAGGGGCCCCAGGACCGCGTGCAGGAAAAGTGTGGGGACCCGGGGCCGCGGGCCACAGAGGCACCGCCTGCGCTCGTGGGTACAGGCGTCGGGGGGCGGGCGGGGTCCTGCCTGTCCTGCTGAGTAGCTAGGCCAGCAGCTGCCCCTTGCTGACCCCCTTCCCCCCCACTGCTGAGCCTCCCCGGGGTTCTGGGTCTGGCTGCCCCCCTTCGCGAGGTGGGGGTGGCTTTCATCTCCAGGCTCAAGTGGAGACCCCCCGTAGAGACCCTTGACCCTCGCCGGGGCCGGGGGCCCCCATGTCCGCGTGGAGGCGGCTCAGCTACAGCGTCGCCGAGAGTCCAGGGGCGAGCAGGAGCCTTCTCACCCCCACCCTTCACCTCTGCCAAGGCTGAGCCTCCGGGAGCCGTGGGCGGCCCCCGCCCCTCCCCGAGACGCGTTCTCTGCGGGACCCCACTCGCCGGGGGCGGGGCTGGCAGGCCCCGGGGGCACTGCTGGTGCCGGGACCGGGGCTGCACCTCTGCCCAGGCGTTGGACGTGGGCAACTGCGGCTGGCTTCCAGAGCGGGGCCTCCGCAGCCCCCGGCCTGAGGGTCCCCGGGGGCCCCGCACCCGCCTCGCGGGGGCTGCTGATTTGCCCCGAGTCCCTTGCGTTCCACAGGGGTCAAGGGGACGGCCAGTGAGAGGGGCCGCGAGGACCGACAGAGCGCGGCCCGCGTGGCTGCGGGCCCCCTGCGGACCCCGCCAGCCTCGGCAGAGCGGGGAGCTGCCACCGGCCTCCGCGGCGGGTCTCAGGGGTCGTGGTGGCAGGAGCAGAGGCCTGAGTCTGGCCAGGGTGCACGCGTGGGCCTCCTGCATGAGGGTGCGAGGGGCGGGGGGCCGGCAGCACCCACCCACTGCCGCGCGGGGCCAGGACGGCCTGGGAACGGGGAGGAGGAGGGCGTGGCGGGACGGCGGTGGGGGGGGCGGGGGGCAGTGGAGAGAGCGGGGCTGTGATGAGCACTTTCTGCCTGGAGCAGGAGGGAGGGTACGAGCCCACCCAGGCCCCCCAGAAGGGGGCGTTGTCCCCAGGGGCCGGGTGATGGCTGAAGGGCTCTGCCTGTCCCAGCTCCCACGGCTGTGGGAGGGTCTTCCGCGCAGGGGTTTGGAGGTGACCCCCAGGCGAGGCCCGGGAGCGAGACCTCTCAGGAGCGCAGGCTTGCCCTGGGGGGCAGAAGGCTGGCGGCCGAGGCGTCCGGACGGACAGGGAGGCCTTTCACCCGCCCCTGGACTCACGTGGAAGGGAGGCCAGTCAGCCCAGGGCAGGCTGCTCGGGGCAAACGCAGCGCCGACCCCTCCAGGCCCCTGGAGTGAGGGCACAGGCTTGAGGGAGCAGCTGAGACGCAACTTGGTCCCACTGGGCACCCTGCCCGCCCAGGCGCCTCCGATCGTGGGCTCTCTGCTCCGGAGGCCCCAGGGGGCCGGGGGCCTGGCCTGCTTTAGGCCCGTCTGTGGATGCTGCCACATGCTTCCTGGGGCTCCAGGGGGCGAAAATCATCCACCTGGCAACGGGGACAGGGCCCCGGGGGCTGGGGCGCAGAGAGGAGCACCCCGCCCCACAGGCCCTGCGGAGTCTGGGCTGAGCCGGCAGCCAGTCGGGGGCAGCGACCCAGCCTGTCAGGGGCAAGGGGTGCAGAGACAGGAAGGGTGTGGGGGCCGGGCAGCCAGGGAGACGAAGCCTCCACAGGCTGCGGCTGCAGGGCCCCGTCCCCCAGCTCTGAGGCCAGACAGGACCAAGCCGAGCCCTGGGGGGTGGAGGAGGCTGCCCCGCAAGGCGCCGAGGGGTCTGTGAGCCGCAGCCTGTCCCCCCACAGCACCCAGTGGGGGGCGGGCAGACAAGGGCAGGAGCCGACGCCACCAACAGTGGGGCAGAGGGGCACAGACACGCGTCCAGGGCCGGAGGCTGGAACCGTGGGCTCCGCGGGCCTCGCCCTGGAGAGTCCGGGTGGAGCCCTTCCTGGCCTCTCCCAGCCCCGGAGCCGTCCTGGGGGCGGCCAAGGGCGGCCCCCGCTCCTCTCTGCCTGTCTTCACACGCTGCCTCCTCCGCGGGCCTCTGTCTCCTCTCCTTGCAGGGACACTGGGCGCGCAGCCGCGGGGCCCCCTAATAACCTCACCTCACCTTCAGCGCGTCTGCAGGCACAGCCGCATGCGCGGGTCCTGCGGGGCAGGTCGGGACCCTATCTTGAGGGAAAACAACTCAACCTTCAGCAGGTCCCTGAGATGCAGGAGGGCCGCCAAGCACAGTCCCCGCCCAGGCGGGTGGGCGGGCGGAGAGCCCGGGGGGATCTGAGAGGACCCCGACCCAACCAGCATTTGGCGTCCTGCGTCTGCTGCGGGGCAGACCAGGCAGCCACCTGTCCCGCCCAGATGGACCAGGTGGACGGGCCAGGGGCTCCCAGTCTTGCTTTGAGGGCCTGGGGGTCGGCAGGTGGTCTGGACGGGCCTCCCCGGAGGTGGCACTCGAGTGAAGCAGGGGACACGCATGCACGGGGCAGCAGGCGGGGCTCAGGGTGGGACCTTTTCTCCCCCGGCAATTTCCTCGGGACCCCTCCCAGTTACTGCTGTTGGAAGGTCCCCTGCTTTCTAGCTCTGGGACCTTGGCCAAGGCACTTGGTCCCTCCTCCTCGTCGCAGGGAAATGGAGCAGCTGTGGCCTGGCCCAAGCACCTGCAGGCGCCTCGCCCTGGTCCCTCGACAGCCCAGCTCCCTCCACCGCCCCTTGAGCGGCGCCCGCTGCTTTGTGCCCCCCGCCCCCCGCCCCAGTTCTCCCTCCCAAGGGCCTGCTCTCTCTGGGCCCCGCTGGGCGCTGGGCTCACAGGCAGCCTGGGCAATCGGGCCCAGACGGCAGGGGCTGCACACAGAGTGGCAGGGGGGAGCTGCAGGCTTTGGGGGCTGCCTGGGACGGTGGGGCGGGGGTTCACTGCGACGAGGCTGTGGCCAAGAGGAGCCACGGGGCAGAGGCCTGAGGGAGGGGGCTCCGTCCAGGGCCAGAGGCTCTGCGACGTCCTCGTGGGGCCTGTGCACGGGCTCCGGGACCCCAGGGACGGGGGCTGTGGGTCACTCTAGGAAGACGTGGCTGGGCTTCCGCTCCAACTGAATCCCAACATGGCATCAGCCACAGCATGGATGTGCCGTCAGCCCGGGGCTGTTCGGGTTTGGAACTTCACGGCTTAGGTTGAACAGTAGGAGACCTCTGTTTTCATAGGTCAAATCTGACTGTGCACGTGGTTCTGCTGAAGCTAGAGCTCAGGCCCCCAAGGGCACGTGCCTGGGCCGGTGGTCCAGCCCTCAGCGGGAGTCCCGGCTGGGCCACCGGCCACGTGGGCCGCAGCCAGGGCTTGGCCTCGTCAAGCACCTGGCTCCTCGTCCGAAAGACGGGAGGCCGCACACACCGCCTGCTGAGGATCCTGAGGTTCCGACGGCCCCGCCCCGGTGACAACAGCTGGCAGGAACAGGGTCCTGATGCTGCCAGCACGCCGCAGGGAGGCCAGGCCCTGCTCTGCTCACCCCGGTGTCCCCGACCCCGGACCCTCTCATGGATCCGCGTCCTGTGAACGAGGCGTAAGCAGGGGCTATCGGTCCTGGCTCGAGGCAGCCCGCCAGAAAGCTCGCACTCACCTTGTCCTGAGAGCTGTGCAGAACCCCAGGACCCCTGAGGTGCAGCCCCTACCTCCCGAAGGTGGCGGAACTGCGGTGTCTCTAAGCACACGACCCCCGTGCCCTTCTGGCCCAAGACCTGCAGTTCTAAACGTTCTTCCACCTTTAAACAGAGACAACCCAAACCTGCCGCTATGGACTGATTGCGTCCCCGGGATTCAGGCTGAGGCCCTGCCCCCCAGCGCGGCGGCGTTAGGAGGTGATGGGCGTGCGATGAGGTTGCGAGGGTGGCTCCCACCGATGGGGTCGGTGTCCTCAGCAGAAGAGAGGACATGGGAGGGCGCGTCTGCACACCAGGAGGGGACCTCACCAGAGCCCGGCCCTGCCGGCGCCCTGACCGCGGGCCTGCGGCCCTGGGGCCGCCAGGACTAACTGGCTGCTGTCCGAGCCGCTGCCTGTGGGGTCTGTTGTGGCGGCCGAGCTGACGGAGTCTTATCAGCTGCGCTTACGTCCGTGGCCTGAGAACGAGCAAGACGCAACCGAGAAGCCAGCCGGAGGTTTGCACGCCCACTCGTGGGGCCCTGACCTGGACCCGGGAGGCCAGCCGGCGACCCGCGAGTGCACAGCATGCCCCGTGCCGGACGGGGGAGGGCTCGCGGACCTCCTGCAGCCGCTGTGCCTCCCTTCTGCAGTGACCATACGCCCCTCTCCCGTAGAAGGGGGAGAAAGGAAGCCTGGTCCTCCGAGGGTGGCGGGTGTGTGCACAGCGCGCCCGGTGCACATTGCTGCGTTCAGCCTGTTTTCTTAGGACAGAATTTGGGAAACCTCATCAACATTCCAACGGTTCCGATTCCCAGAACTGGGGCACAATAACAGACGTGCGAGGGAGAAGCACTTGCCCCTCTGCACCCGCGAGGAGGCCTTAAAAGGCAAGTCTTTCCAGACAGAGACAATGGGACTGACCTTATGTGTAAACTGAAAAGAGAAATGGACAGTTTAAAAATTCTTCTGTGTTTAAACACACATGCAGCAACGGGTCTACAGTTCACACTGTAGAAACAGATTAATCCAAGAATTCCAAGTTGTGATAGAAAAGTCTTCCCAAATAATTTAAAAAACATCCAGACCCACACACTCCCAACTGAAACTCTTATCTACACAAACGTACAATGTTTATAAATAAATCACAGGCAGGCGCTGAATGGCATTTACCCCAAATTCACTCGAGAGGAGACACGGAGACCAAAACCACTTAACATAAAACGAAGCTCCATCTCGGACTGACACATAAATAACACCAACAGGAGACATAAAGGAGGCAACCTGGCTGAACCAGACAGCAGCAGTTCCCATAAAAGCCACTTGATTGCAACACAGCTGAGTTGCAACTGGTCAGGGCCTGCGGTTGGCTTGCAGCCGTTGTAGCTCTCAGTGCTGTGGGGTCCCAGGTGGACGGTCAGTACCGTGGATGCAGGACATGACGCAGTCCCCACCCAGAACAAGTCAGACCTGTGTCTGGGGTCAGCTCCAGCCTTTAGCTCCTTGTTCCTGCCTTAGGACAGGACAGCAGGCAGACAGGGCGGGGCGGGGCGGGGGATTTGGGGCCAGAAGCTCCTGCAGAAGGGGAAGGTTCTTCCCAACTCACACCTGAACCTGGGCTTCTGCCCAGTCCGGGCAAATGCTGGCTGGAATCCGGGGGCAGGTCACTTCTACCTGGACGCGACGCATTGCCCTGGCAAGCCCCAGGGTCTCCCAGACTCAGAACAAGGTGCTTTGAAGCAAGACCGGAGGAACGCTCACTGACAGGACTTGAGGCCTACGAGCTGTCCGCTACTGCATGGTGTTTGCCCGAAAGCCCCGCTGGTCACCGGATACACTAGGTTCCCCTCGAGGGCTGGACGCGTCCCAGACAATCAGCCAGACATGTCAGCTCCCCCATTGTGAGACTGCCGGGGCTCCCACAGGGACCCGCGGCAGCCACCCCGCCACCGCAGCAGGGCTCAGGGGATGCCCCCCTTCCTCTGGCAGCACTGTGAGGGAGGCGCAGACCAGTCGTAGATGTAGGAGAGGCGCTGCTGCACCTCCTGCTTGCACAGGTGGCCCTCGTGCGCCAGCGTCTGGTGCTTCTCCAGCATGTCCTCCAGGCTCTGCTTATGCGTCACCAGGTACTGGTTGCTGCACCCACGAGACTTGTATTCGGTGTCGAAGCGCGGGTCGTGTTCGCGCTGCACGTCTACGGGCGCCAGCCAGGCGCCCATCGACACATCCTCACTGTGCCACATGCGCAGGTACTCTCGGCTGAGGCGCAGGTAGTGCACCAGGTCGGCGGAGAGCACGTAGCCACCGCCCAGCGCATAGGGCAGGTAGTAGTCACAGAGCTGCCAGGACGCCTCGCGCCAGCGACCCCCGGGCTTGACGCGGCCGCGGCCCGAGAAGAAGCCCCAGTAGAGGCGGCGGCGGCGCGCTGCGTCGCGGGCGCGCAGATCGGCCAGCAGGGCGTCCAGCCGCGCGAACGAGTCGTCGTCCGCCTTGAGCACGAACTCGAAGGTCACGTGCTCGTCGAGCCAGCACAGCATGGCCAGCACCTTGGCGGTGAGGTTCTCGTACGCGTCGCGCAGCGCGGGCAGCAGCAGCAGGTCCCCGTGCCGCGCCTGCTCGTGCTCCAGAGCGCGCCGCTCCTCGGCGCCCAGGCCGGCCGTGCCCACCGCGAAGCGCGCCCACACATCGCCCGGGCCACCTCGCCGCGCCGCCGCCAGCCACGTGCCGCGGACGACGCTGCGCCGCTCGGCCGCCCGCGGCGCGCTGGCCACCAGCACGGCCAGGAAGGCGGCGGCGCGCCCGGGCCCGGCGAGCAGGGGCCCGGGGCCGAGGCCTGGCGACGTGCGAGAGCCCTCGGCCGTGCAGCGCGCCAGATAGAGGAGCGCGGCGCCGCACAGCGCCAGGCCGCCCAGGACCAGCGCCGTCCGGTGCCGCCACGCGCGCCGCGGCAGCTTCATGGCTCGCCGGCCGGCCTGCGAGCTCGCGGAGACCCCGAGGTCCACGGCCCGCCGGACTGCGGGCCGGTCCGGCCGGCCGTCACGTGCCCTCCTGCGCTCCTTTCATTGGTCGTCCCGGGAGGGCCGCGTGGCCGTTTCCGCCCGGAGGAAAGATGGCGGCGCCGGCGTCCCCGCGCGGAGGTCGCGCCCGCCCGCGCCGCCTGGAGGCCCGCCTCTTCCCGGAAGAAAGATGGCCGCGGCCTAGCCGAGTCCCTTTGGAGGCGTCAGGGCGCTCGGCTGCGGACGGTGGATCCTGAGCGGTGAGTGAAGGCCCGGGCAGGGTGCGGGCAGGGACGGGGAAGCCGACGGCACTCCTGGACGGCCCCGCCCGCGATGTCGGGGACACGGGCCGAGGGACGCGGTCACGGGAGGCTTGGGCCTCGCCTTCAGCGCGGGGCGACCTCACTGTCCTCGTCTGAGAAACGGGGGTCGTAACGCCAACTAGTAGGACTCGGTGAAGACCTGAAAAACGCCCGTAAAGCCCGGCACCATCAGTGTGACTCCTGAGCGGGAGCAGCTTTTAAAATAAACGTTTGCGTTTTCGGCGCAAACGCCGAAATTGGGTTCCCCAGGATGGACACCCAGGGGTGGCCGCCACCGAGCTGTCGCCTCCCTGCCGAGCACGGGAAGTGGGCAGGGGACACAAATAAATGCTGTGATCCGAGGAGAGGGAGCCTCACGGGGGCGGGGGGACCGCAGGGCTCGTATCTATGCAGTTGTTCTTGGGTTACTTTTGCTGCCAAGCGTGTGCATGACGTTCGTGCATTACCCGTCACGATAAGTAGTGGGAAGAATCGACCTTGGGTCAAGGGGCAAAGGGCCGTCCAGGTGCAGTCCCTGTGGGCGCCAGGTGTGTGGCTGCAGGCAGTGGGGAGCAGGTGGCCTGCGCAAGGCCTTCCCGGCCGGTGCGCGGGGCGTGGGCTGGGAGGGGCAGGGGTCACCCTCCAGCAGGCAGGGGACGCACCCAGCTGTGGGAAGGGGGCGCGCTCCCGGCCCCTGGCGTCGCCCCGGGCCTGCACCCAGCGTTTCCGCGGCTCGTGTGCCCCGAACACGCTGCTTCCTCGGGCGTCGGGCCGCTGCCCAGCAGTGCGCAGCGAGCAGCTTTGCCGGCGCCGGCGGGAGCCTCCGGAAACGCTTGCGTTCATTCACCCAGTTCTGCCAAGGGCCTGCCGTGTGTGGACAGTGTGGCCGGCACTGGGACCCGCAGCTGAGGAGGACACGGTCTCGAGCCCCTGACGGGCGACAGGCAGGCGTCCCTGCGAGCGTGGCTCCGGGGTCAGTCACAGCCGGAGAGCACAGCGGGCAGCTGGGGGCCCCAGGGCTGCGGGCAGGACGCAGGCCCCGCAGACCTGGAAAGAGGGACGCCGGGCCCTGGCAGCGTCCCCGCCTCAGAAGAAAGGGACCAGGAGAGCGAGACGTCGCCGAAGGGCTCCGGGGGTGCTGGGGCCCCGGGCACGCAGGGGCGCAGGCCTCCGCCCGTCGGGCGCGTCCCTCGTGGCGGGTCGCGTAGAACAGGGACATCAGAGAAGCCCGCGGGGGAGCCGCGGGGCGTCCCGTCCCTGTGTGCCCTCAGGCTGGGGGTGGGGGCCGGACGCCGTGGTGCTGAACCACCCCGGGGCCCTGCCGGCTGCCCCAGGTGCCGGTGGGCTTCCCTCGGGCGCCCCTCCCCGAGAACCGCGAGGGGAGGCGGGGCCTCAGCTGCCCCGGGAAGGACCGAGGAGCGTGTTTGCCCGGTAAACGGGTCAAGGCGCAGGAAGGAGCTAGACTTCCCTTTGGGGTCAGTGAAGGGTGGCGGTCCACGAGGGGAGGACCCGGGGAGGCAGCTGGGCCCTGCTCCCGGCTGCAGGGGCCTGGGGGAGGAGCCCACGCGGAAGGGGCAGGTGTGGGTGCAAGCCGCGGCCGTGGGCTCCCTCACGTGCCCACGTGGACAGAAGGGTGGCCTTGGTCCTTTACCTCCAGGCCCAGGTACGCCCAGGATGACGGACTTCTGGGCGCTTCTGTGTGAACATGAGCAAGGACACGTGTGTGTGCACATGTGTGTCCATGTGTGCACCGTCTGTCCTGTGCCTGTGCGTCGGCAGGCACAGGGGTCGCTGAGGTGGGAAGGCGGAAGGGCTGGTGCCACGCTGCGTGGGTGTGGGGGTTCGCGGGCCCCAGGCCCAGCCCCCCAGAGCTCTGGAGTCGGGGAGGGGCCTTCCATTTCATGGGGGAAACTGAGACTGGGGAGGTCTGGTGGCTTAGCTGATGCCACAGAGCTCACATGTGCTGAACTGGGACCTCAGGAGGGTTCGGCCTCGACGGTGGGCGGCAGGGCACAGGGTTGGGGGTGCCGCCCGGGTGCTGAGGAGGAGGGCGGAGCCGGAAGCCCAGCGTCCGCGGGGGCAGAGCGGGCACTCCGCCTCTCGCGGGGCCGAGGACTTGCCTTACCTGTTACAAAGGGGCCGTCTTTTCATCCGTTGCCTGCGCGGCTCTGTCCAGCCCTGGCTCTGCACCCTCCCTGTGGGCGCCGACCGCCCACCAGGGTCTGGCGGCTGCAGGCTGTGGCCTCGCGCCCTCAGCTGCCTCTCCTCTCTCCCCAGGCAGTGGCCGCGCTCGCAGGCCGTCGTGCGGTCCGGCCCCGGGCGGCCATGGCGACCGGGCCGGCTCCGGGCTGCGGCCTGGCTTCCCGCGGCCTCTGGCTCCTGGGCGCCATCCTTGTGCTGGGTGTGTCCGCCCGGCCTGCCAACCACTCGTCCGCCCGGGACCGAGCAGGCCGCAGGGAGGACAGCGAGATCCTGCCCCCGGACCACCTGAACGGAGTGAAGCTGGAGATGGACGGGCACCTCAACAAGGACTTCCACCAGGAGGTCTTCCTGGGGAAGGACACAGGCGGGTTCGAGGAGGACGCGGAGCCTCGGAAGAGCAGGAGGAAGCTGATGGTCATCTTCTCCAAGTAGGCGCCCGGGCCGGGAGGCTGTGGGTGTGCGGCCGGTGCTGGGGGCCCCGCCGGTCCAGCCCTGGCTCAGGGCGGTGGGGGACGGGTGGCAGGGCCCGCTCGATGACAGGCTGTGGAGCAAGGCGCTGTGACATGCGCTCTTAGGGGACGTGGCTTGGGACGTCTGTGGGCGCCGAGCCGGGGCCCGTGCCACGCCGAGCGGCACGCCGGGCCGGAAGGGGCTTCCCCCTGGCTGCGCCAGGCCCCCGCGGCCGGGGCTGTGGAAAGGCCTGGGGCGAGACCCGCAGCCGCTGTGGCGGAGGCCGGCGGCCACGGGAGGGGCTGCAGTGCCCGTCAGTGCGGCCCGGCAGCAGCCGTGAGGCCCGGGACAGGCCCGCGGGCGCGGAGCCGACTGGGCGTGTGAGCGCGTTTTGGGGGCGCATGCCTGGGAGCCCCGCGCTGCGGGGTGACAGGGCCGGGTGAGGGAGGGGCGGCCCCGGGGGCGGGGGGAGGGCTGGCCTGGCCGCACCAGCAGCGGGGGGAGCTCAGGGGACCTGGGGGCGGGGCGCGGTGTGTCCAGGCCACTGTGCAGGGGACTCCACACCCGCAGTTGTCGGCACTGAGGGTGTTCGCTCACCTACCTTGTGACCAAAGTGCATGTGGGCCGTGCCCTGGGGACTGGCGGGGTCTGCGGGTCCTGGGACGCCCCTGCCCCCAGCCTGGCAGGTCGCAGGCCGTCAGGGTGTCGGTGACGTGGTGGACTGAGGGTCACGTGCCGGGACCCGGCACTCGTGGCTCAGCTCCAGACAGTCCACTGAGGGGGGTTCCGCTGCGGGGAGCGCACGTGGCGTGGGGCTTTGGAGCCGCCCGAGGGAGGTGCGGGGCCTCGTGGCTGGGCCAGGGTCAGGGCGAGGCCCTGGCCGCTGGACACGGCCTCGCGTCCTCTCCTGTGTGTCACCGAGTGCCCCGCCTCCTGGGCCGGGTGACAGAAGGCCCGGCGCCTGCCTCGCCGTCTGCGCCTGGGTTGGGGGGCGAGGGGCAGGGGCGCAGGAGGGGCTGGGCGTTCTGGAGGTGGGCAGGCGGGTTCTGCCCCCTCGGGGAGGCTCTGGGGGGCCCAGCAGCTGCACGCAGAGGGGGCGGAGGCAGCAGGAGCCTGGTCACCGGGTGGGACGTTGGCGAGAGGGTCGCGGGCAGGCGGGGGTCTTCCAGGTTCAGCGCCGGGGCCAGGAGAGGTGGCCTCAGGCGCTGGGGGGCCGGAGCCGGTGCCCCTCCACCCTGCCGGCCAGCCTGCGGCCTGGGGTGAGGAGCTGAGGGCTGGAGGCAGGCGCCCGCCCGGAAGCCATCTCCCAGCCCTTTGAAGTGGAGTCTGTGTTTCAAGGGAGCAGAGAAAGAAGCTGTGAACCCAGCCAGCAGGGGGCAGGCGGCTCCTCCAGAGAAGGAGCGGCTGCAGGAGGAGGAGGGTCCGCGCCTGCCCGGCCCCGGGAGGGGTGCTGGCGCCCGCCCTGGAAGGCTGGAGCTCGGGGCCGGGCACTTCAGGCGCAGGGTGAGCGTGGAGTCAGGTGCCCGGAGCACGTCCCTGGGGGCGTGGCCTCGGGCCACCCGGCTCAGGTGGTGTCGCTGGTGTCTCCCCCGGGGAGCTGCTCCCATCCTGTCCCTCCTGCCCGCCCCCCCCGCCCCCCCGTCACCCCATCCCGTGCGGAGGCGCCGTCCCTGAGGTCTGTCCGTGTGGACCTGCGGGTGGTGCTGCCGCCCACAGCGCCCGGCCTCGGCCTCTGCGTCCCTGGGACCCGCCGCTGCCCCGCTGGCCTTGATCACTTCCTGCCTCTGGGGCCGCCAGGCTCCACACTCAGCGGCCGCGTCTCCGGGAGCCTGGCCTCTGCCGCCGCCGAGAGGCTGGGAGACCCGCCCAGGCCTGGGTGCGCGCCTGCCGGCCGAGTGCCGCTGCTGGGGGCGGTGCACAGTGCGCGCGCGCAGGACGGTGCTGTGGGCAGTGGGTGTGCGTGTGCGTGTGTGTATGCGCACGTGTGCACGTGTGGGACGGCGGCCG